TTAGGAAAACTTAATCAAGTTGAGCACAAAGCTCCTACCTAATAGGTGACGACCCAGAGTTATATAGACAATAAGAAACTTGGATTATAGCTGGATCAGCGATCCCACGATCTAAGGGTACTAGATCTATAAGATCTAAATGATCCAATCACATGACCCCAAGGCCCACCACCAATCGGGGAGCCTCGCTTGCTGAGCCTATAGTCCACTAGTCCCGTGATCGTAACATTTTTATTAATAAAATATTTTTTTAAATAAAAAAAATTTAATAATTTTTAAATAATATAATAATATAATAAAAAGTTTAGTACGTAAACGAAATATCGTGTCACGATCACGGGACTAGTGGGCCTCAGGCTGCACGGTGGGTCACGTGATGGAGTTTTACCCTCCCGTAAAACTCTAAGGTACAGTAAAACTCCAGGAGGGGGTTTTACTCCACGACACTCAGGTTCTATATAACCCTAGGTTGTCACCCGTTAGATAGGAGCTTCGTGCTCAACTTAATTAAGTTTTCCTAACTACAACATCATTGCCTTATCTTACTTCATTCACCATACCAACCCACGTGACCTTACCAGGGTAAGGAGAGAGTCGTGACATATCGATTCGATTATTTTTTAAAATTTAAAAAAATAAAAAATAAAAAATAAATGAAGAGAAAATTTGGATATATATACGCCAGGGGAAAAGGATGTCATGTGAGGAGCTAAGCCGTAATAGGCTTAAAGCTAGGGAACGCCACTATTCCCGGCCTGGCCTCTGTCGCGGGCGATTAGGCAGGCGATTAGGTCAGGTGACAGGCGATTAGCCAGGCGATCCAGGTGATCCGTAACACGTTTAATAGTTTAATTTTAAAGTTATTAAAGAATAATTTAGATAATAATATAATAAAATGTTTATTTAAGGAGTGTGTGTAAATGTTAGTAATTAGAATATAAAAAAGTAGGTAGTCGACTTTTGTGACAGTTTTATTCGAATATTAAGTTCACAGTAAAAGAGTTGAGCTAAAAACTGGGCGCAGAACCTGTCGATATTCGCGTGTGATAACTGACTTGATTTCTTAAAACTACAGGGTTGTCCTCATGCTTTATATAATGCTCGAACCCACTAGCTGATGACAGGTGTCATCAGTCGAGGAGTCGTTGCATCATGCATTAGATCATACCCTTGAACTAGTACTACACCAACTAAGAGTAATGATTCATCCATTCCTCAACATATGCTCAACCATAATAGTCTATGATGACTGCACAATGAGTGAACATTCAACAATCCCTTAGCCTGGGCTGCCTACAGCATGCATATTCCGACCGTAAAATGGTTGCTAGACCATGGAAGTAATCGGAATACCACCATCCGATCCCATCGAGACAAAGAACAAAGCAATGATTAGTAAGTCCGTTGGTACAAATGAGTAGATCGAAAGTAAACCGCAACTGACTGTTATGCCGAAGTACAATGCTCGAGCTTGTCTCAGGAATACGAGGCATCGAACATGGCAGGCGTCCTATCGGTAACCATCTCGTAAACTCTACCCAGCCGATCGACCTTTTGGGTCCGTGGGTCGATGAAATCAGCTTTCATGCAGATGGGACTGGGTGGGATCTTATTATAAGCTTGCTTGGAAGCTCTTCAGAAAGGCTCGGTCTACGTGCATTAACTCCTGCAGTTGCTTGGGTCCTGCAAACTCATGGTCCAGAAATCCGCAAGAGTATAGAGACGTCACCGCGTCGACTGCAAGATATGCTTCACCGCGCGCTGTGGGCAGGGAGACCTGATCTAGTGGACTTGATCTGGGCCGAACTCGGAGCTCAGGTGAATGTATCTGACTTCAGCGGCTTTGGTGCGCTGCATCGTCTGGTTGCTAGGCTAACTGGGGAAGTATTAGACGAACAGATACCGGGAATCTCAGCAGCGGTAGGAAAACTTCTCGAGAAAAGGTACAGTCCACACGATCTTGGTCATGAAGACCTCTATTCAAATGAAGGGGAGACACCTTTGTCTATCGCCATGCACTCTTCTGGTGCATTCTGGCATTGGCGCAACATCTTGCAGAATATCGGAATTGATCTAGAGACGTACACGGCACGTGAAATACAACAGAAGTCGAGGCTAACAGACTCAGGATGGCGCAAGGAAGATCTCATAGTGTTGTTCCGGTTCCCATTCTCCTCCTCGTTCTATAACGAACGATCGACCTGCCGACGGTGTAAGAAATGCTTCTACTTTTCGTGGGAAACTTGGTGGCAAGAGGTTCTAAGAAACAGCCGCGAGAACTCTATGGAACATCTGGGCACCGCTGACCAGACTCGCATCTGGCGTCCCTTTCATCAGTGGAATGACCTAGTACAGGATGATTACTTCAAAGGGTGGGTGCAGGTCGTGAAAACCGAAAATACCACTTTAGGTACGCATTCAGGGGAACGATTGCAAGAACACGTGGAAGATCCCAGAGTGTGGCAAGTAGGCCGACCAATTATCCTTTCTACGGAGGATACTGTTACTTTGAGTGCTACACTACTTCCGACGCCAGATGATGACTGCGATGAGAATTCCGCAACCAGTGAAACGAATACGAGAGAACAACAGGACGCTAAAACCTCAATTGGTGATTCGAAGGAAGAAAAGGTTAAAGCGATGTGGTCGTACCGTCGTGACGAAGAGCAGTTATGTAAAGGCTGTCGTCTTGTTATCCTTAAATAAAGGCTGATTCTGAGGCGTTGGTCCACCGTTCCAAACTCATAATATAAAGCAGCAAAGCCGATTCGAAGCCCATAGAGGTGTTCGAAAGATTGACAAGAACACTAAGGAGGGCGCGCAATGTGAAACTTCGATCCATTCGATTGGTTCCTCTATTGTCGTTATTTTCGTGCGTTGCTTGATGAGCCTCGCTCCATCCTGTGACTCGCAATATGCAATTGTGCAAGTCTTTAAACCACGCCAGCAAGGGGTTTATGTGACCCTGTTGATGCGACGAAGTAGGAGATATGGAGAGGATAGGCAGGAAGTTATAAAATCGCGAATAGTCTCGGAAAGTAAGGTTAGAAGTCGCGTTAACGACTAAACGATACGTACAGTAAACTACGATTTTTTTTTATCGAGCTACAGTAAGCGCGTGCTCCGGCCCGCTGCTAGTATAAGGGCATCGCGCCGCCCGCCCGCCGCTTGCTCGTTTCTCACGATTTTGTATGCATCGGCCTGATGTGGTAACGTACAGTATCGAAATGGAGGTTGTCTGGGAAGTGGATACTGCCGAATTTTCTCGTCGAAAGAGGGCAGCAAAAGCCTGTCGAACATGTGCCAAGAACAAGAAGCGCTGCGTCCATACCTTTACTCGGCCAGGGCAATCCCCAGCCCAGTCTGATATTCCTCATGTCACCTCATCATCTTCAACTCCGACTGCCGCTAGCCATAAGAATCTGGAGCGGGATGCAGAGCACACATCGCGATCGGACAGCGCTTCATCAAGTGCCAGAGGCGTAGCACAGGGTTCTCAACCGGAGATTTCATCCTTAAAACTGTCCAACGAACAGTTACTTCATGTGGATGCACTGGCCTCTGATAGGATATCAGTCGGCGTGGCCAGCAATCCAGAATGTGTTCCTGACAACGATGTGCGCCATGCACATTTGACAGAGCCCCAAAGGAACTACCTGAGGTCTGTTGGTACTTTCCGAATCCTTCCAAGAGCAACGCAGGATGTACTGGTGACGACTTACATCGCCAGTATCAATGGTCTCTTGCCAATCCTCGATTCTGGAAAATTGTTTCGCCAATATTCTAGCGGGCAGGCTTCGAGATATCTGATCCAAGCTATCTGTCTAGTGGCATGCAAGACTCAACAGGCAGTGCCATATCTACGACTGTCCGAAAAGGGAGCACTGCTAACTCCTATTGAATTTGCGAGAAAGATCTATATTGGCCTTGATGCTGCTATGAAAGCTGATTTTGAGCCAAACCGCGTTACAAAGATCCAAATCTTGGCTCTTCTGCATGTGTACAACGATGGGACGTACGGCATAGAGGATTCTTCCGCGCATCTATCTCAGGCCATACAGCTGGTCTGGGCGTTGAAGATACATTTTCACTGGCCTGGCCGCTCGACCGAGGACGAGCTCAGCATGCTATGGTGGTCATTATGGAGTCTTGATCGATTTAATGCCTGTATTAGCTGCACGCCGATCATGATTAGAGATAGAGACATACAACTAGCTCGACCACCGTTAGGATCTGACCATCAACTTCAGGTGATGGCCATCTGGCTCAGACTTGGAGACCTGCTAGGGGAGGTGTTTGATCTATACCGACCCGTAGTAGCCGAGAATCTGATCGAGTGGGGCGACGAGTTCATCTCGTTCTCAAAGCTCACTGATGGCTTGGAAGCCCGTATGTTCCAGCCATCACACTGGGGTGAGCAAGCAACTCTAGCAGTCTTGTCATTCTAGATATTATGCTGACACGCATTCAAAGTTGCTTTGGAACTATGCTTTCAAGTAGTAGCTATTCTCTCGTGTCGCTATAACAAGCCTGGATCCGTATCCTACAAACGTCGTATTACTGCCTGCGATCGAATTCAGACACTGATGTCTGAGAATCGCCACACGCAATTACCTCCCTTACCTGTAATTCCGTACGCAGCCACCCTATCTTTGACAGGCGGACTCTGCGTATTACGAGATGCGCAAAGGGAACGGAAAATTGCGCAAAAAGACGTCGCTGTACGTTCTCAGATCCTGGAGAAGTTAAGTTCCTGCTGGCAGAACACGGAGGTGGTGGCAAAGCTAGGCAGAGTGGCATTGAGGAGTCTGAAAGAGCCTTCGTCCAGAGCACAGGACTTTACCAATCTCCTGACTGGTATTGACGCAGATACAGAAGCCAGTAGAGATGCATTCAACGGGCGCGTTGGTGCAGCCAAGTTCACCAGGGCGCGAATCATGACTCCTGGAACCAGTGCAGAAACCGACGATGACCTGAATTCAACCGACCCTGTTTCCAATGAAGAGGTGGAACCTACTGTTGCTCAAAGTGTGCAGACATCCGAAGTTCCTCAAAATTTCAATCCAGAAGCACCGATATATCCTAATCCAGGAATATATCTATCTCAAACGACCCGTCAACATATGCCCCCTGCCTTCCCACCAGCTGCAGCACCTGCCGCTGACTTCCCAACCCTGTTCGGAAGCGCCGAGTACAGCCAGGGATTCAACCAACACTCTTTCTTCGAAGGTTTTTTCGACCTCGGCATGCCGACGAGCTTACAGGATGTGATGTCCGATGGGACCCTGTTTCTGAATGAAGTTTTGGACGACTCTAATAGTGTCGATAGTTATGCAACACAGTTGCAAGAATTTTAGGAGTCAGGACACGGCATCACGGGGACAAAGTATGGTGGTAAAAGCTCCATTGGATAAATTCTATGATCAATATCATGCGTATTATCAGCAATGAACCACTGCCTACATAAATTCCATTGGAAGAACATCTGCGAGTATGCTTTACACTCTGAGGACAGTACTCAAGTGCTGAGACGCCCTCGACGTATTGGGGAGCCATAGCTTGGGTGTCCCCTGACAAGGCCCTGTAAGCGAGCACTGCTGACTTGCGGGACAGGCTTCCACGTTTCTCCGCAACAACAAATGCTCAGTTTTTACTTTTATTAGACAACAAGCAGGACTACCCAAGTTGCGCCAATCAGATCTGAAGGTCAACTTGTCATGTTCAGCCTAAATCAGGGAAATTTCCATGGTCTGAGTTTATTGCATGTTGGTCGGATGATCAGCTGGATTTTTGATGAGAAATACCAATGGCTAGACTAGCTGAAAGGCTTTGTCTAGGTATAGCGTCGGTCGGCGGTCCGACTGCCAGACTGGGAATAGTATGCCAAGATCTATTCCCACTAAGGCGGATAACAGCTTACCTGACATTCACCTCACCGAAGCTTTTCAGCTTTTCATCCTCGAATTCGTTTCCCTAAGTTCCCGAACCCTACCCCGCTTCCTAGCAAAGCGGATCGATCCGGTACTATCCTGTCGTGAGGCATGCCAAATAACTGCCAGTGTCTTACTTCAGGAGTTTTTTGGGCGCCTGGAGAATTTCATCATATGGCTAGTCTTGGAATTACGGGTTGAGATCTCTTAGTCTAGTCATACTACCTAGTTTTTACTGTGTAAAAATCAGGAGCGTGGTGCCCGAGCGGTGGGACCCGACCTTCAAGTCTTGAAGACAAAGGGAAAATGGAATCTAGGTATGTTGGATATGACAAATAGTGCTTTGAGTGCCAAACTCACACGAGATGGTGTAGTAAGAGTGCAGAATTATCTTGTAGTTCTGAATTAGTGCGCTGATACGAGATGTAGCTATAGCTTGACCCATACTGGCATATCTTCAATGTTAGTCTCAACCACGACGGTCTGTCCACCATCAAATTCTCTGACATGCTCATCCTTCACCTCTCCTATCTTCAACAGTGCCCATCTAGCATCCTTTGGCAGATAAACCTTCCTTTGCGTAGCCCCAGGCTCCATGATGGGCGCACACAAGTATTTTCCACCAAACATGTACTGATCCTCAAATTCTCTTCCCCAGCATGCCTCATCATGGGGGAACTCCAGGAACATGGCTCGTATCACAGGTGTTCCCTTCTCACTTGCTTCTTTCATCAAGTTCCGCGTGTAGTCCCTCAATCTCTCTCGAAACTTCATGTACTTGACCAAGATCGGATAATTGTCATCGCCGAAACTCCAGACTTCGTTGTCAGCGCCACTACGGCACTCACTTCCTCCGCCGTTACCGACCTTGGCCTGGACTGGGTCTCGAAAGCCATGCAGCCGCATAACGGGGCAGAAAGTGCCCCATTGAAACCATCGTACCAACAGTTCGCGAAACGCTGGATCTGCTGTGATACCGCCATGGAAGCCTCCAATATCTGTGGTCCACCAGGGAATTCCAGCCATACCCATGTTGAGACCTGCAGCGAGTTGGTTCCTGAAACTGCTCCACGAACTCGCTATGTCGCCACTCCATACTAGTGTGGCATATCGTTGGGAGCCTGCCCATGCACATCGAATGAGATTCAAAATGCCGTCCTGTCCACCCAATTTCTGACCTGCCTCTAGCTGGCCCTCGAAGAATGCTTGAGCATAGTTGACAGGATATATATTTCCGACGCCCGATGTGCTGCCTTTCCAATACCTATAGTTGTCAAAGTCGTACACATTGTACTCCGGCTCGGCCTCGTCGAGCCAAAAACATCGTATGCCTTTGTCGAAGTAGTTTTTCTTGGCGATCTGCCAAACATACTGCCTTGCATCTGGATTGGTGAAATCTGCGTGTATCGTATTACCCATGAAATCCATTGCGATGGGAACTCCTCGCTCAGTGCGCACAAGGTAACCTTTCTCCAGCATTTGAGGATAGTTTTCGCTGCGCTGATCGACGGTTGGCCAGATGGAGATGAGGATTTTGATGCCGAGATCATTGAGCTCCTTGATCATATCGTCTGGATCTGGCCAGAATTGGGGATCGAACTTCCACTCACCCTGAAGAGGCCAATGAAAAAAGTCTATCACAATCACATCCAGTGGGAGCTCTCTCTTCTTGTACTCGCGGGCGACCGATAATAGTTCGTCTTGTGTTTGGTATCGCAGCTTACACTGCCAAAAGCCAAGACCGTATTCAGGCATCATTGGAGCATGGCCAGAGACGTCGGCGTAACGGAGCATGATTTCCTTGGGTGTTTCCCCTACCACAATCCAAAAGTCGAGAACCGTTGTTGCATTTGCCTCGAACGTCATGATGTTTCGAGCGAAGACAGCACGACCAACCGAAGGATTGTTCCAGAGCAAACCATACCCGAGGTTGCTCACAAGAAATGGAACGCTTGCTTGAGAATTTCGCTGGGCGAGCTCGATGTCCAAACCTTTCAAGTCGAGGTACGGCTGTTGATACTGTCCCATGCCATACAGCTTTTCATCTTGAGATTGTGACTCGAGACGGTAGGTAAGGTGATAGTCTGCCGCGCCTGTGCCATGGGATTTGAATTCTCTTGCGACAATTTCCAGTGCCGAAGTCTTGGGATCAAACACATCAAGTCTGTTCCGGGCGTATTCTTCGAGTATCTGCTTGCCGGTAATGTTGTTCTTGATAATGAGTTTTCCGGTTGCTGTCACAAATGCCGTGATTGCTCCATTGGTGATTGATGAATCTTTGATCTTTTGTAGTGGCTCAACACTGAATATAGATGGGCCGCGCAAGGTCGTCTGATCAGCCGGGACGGTGATAGTGGGCTTCAAATCGGGAACTTCCTGCGATAGTGCCCAATTCTCTGGCGGGAAGCTTTGAGCTTTGGTGCTGCGAACGCGAAAAGCACCAGGCCCCCAAGCCTCAATTTGGAGATGCTCGCCGTTGTAGCGAAAGTTCAAACAATTGTTCTCCGAGTCAAGCATCTTAAAGTCCGCGGCAGATGAGTTTAAAGAGTAAAGGGGAAAGAGGAATGAAGAAATGAAGGAGCATAAATCACTACCTAAGACAGTATCTAATAGGTTTCTTTCTCCTATTAACGAGGTTCCTCGTCGACTTTAATACTTCCCAAAATCTCGCATTCGATGTTCTCGTGAGATCCGCGAGAAAGAATGGAAATTATTCGAAGCACATGTGGGATCTGCCCTACTCACTCTAGCTTCAATTAATACTGATCATCCCACTACTGAATGAAGCAGGCGGTCCGACTGCCCTTTCGGGCGTGAGCCGCCGGCTGATCCAACCATGTTGTCGGGACCGCAAATCCTGACCCCTTCCAGCACTAGCAACTGTCCCTGTCCCCAGTCCGGGGGAAGGCGGGGTCTCCACGATATTGTGAGACTTAGAGCACTGTTCTATATAATAGAAGACTATTCTGCATTGCCAGACACCTTCACCTCAATTCAACACTCTGCGTTGTCTTCTTCTGTGCTTTCAGTTTTTCTTACCCGATCTTCTGCCAAAGAAACAGACACATTATCACAAGGAACATTATACCTTCCTTACAATCTTGTTATTCGCACACAGACGATATATCGAACGAAAAAGTTACCATCCTACCCTATTCAACCATCCCCTGCCGTGCCCATCATGTCGTCTCCGAATCCAAACGACGAGAAACAAGACAATGATATCCATTTGGGCCACATGGAGGCTACTGCCGGCGAAGAGTCCGCCATTGCCAACGATTGGAAGGTTGTCACTGCGGATGGAAGACAGGCGACCATTGCAGAGCACAATCTGACGTTAAAGCAAGCCATCAAGAAATACCCGAGAGCAATCATGTGGTCTGTGTTTGTATCCCTGGCCATTATCATGGAAGGATATGACATAGTCCTCATGGGTTCTCTCTTCGGCCAGAAGGCCTTCCTCAAGAAATACGGAAATTACTATCCGGCCATAGGGGAGTATCAGCTTTCCGCACCTTGGCAAAGTGCTCTTGGCAATGCGCCAAACATTGGTGCAATCTTTGGAGCACTTGCCAATGGCTACTGGGTCCACTACTTTGGGTACCGACGGGTTCTCCTTGCTTCCCTTGTCGCAGTGGTTGGGTTCATCTTCATCTCTTTCTTCGCCACCTCGGTCGAAATGCTCCTTGTCGGAGAGATACTGTGTGGACTTCCATGGGGAGTCTTCGCAACCATGGCGCCTGCATACGCCTCCGAGGTTTGCCCTGTAGCGCTTCGTGGCTATCTGACAGTCTATGTCAATCTCTGTTGGGCCTTCGGTCAGCTCATTGCTGCGGGCGTTATGGAGGGTTTCCAACCAGTCAATAGTAAATGGGCATACAAGGTTCCATTTGCGGTTCAATGGGCTTGGCCTGTACCGCTCTTTTGCATCCTCTTCTTCGCTCCCGAGTCACCATGGTGGCTTATATCCAAAGGCAAAATCGAAGAAGCAGAGAAAACGGTCATGAGGCTCACTTCAAAGTCCATGACATCCACTGATGCTAAACAAATTGTTGCAATGATGGTTCATACTCACGAAATTGAGCTGGAGGTTGAGACTGGTACAAGCTATTTTCACTGCTTCAAAGGAGTTGACCTTCGACGAACGGAGATTGCATGTGTCGTATTTGGAGCCGAGATCTTCTCTGGGCTGCAGTTGGGTGGAAACCCTACTTACTTCTTCGAACAAGCAGGAGTGCCCGATTCGAAGCTTTCAAGTTTTCTGTCGGCGGCCTTGGACTTGCTTCAATAGGAACTATTCTGTCATGGTTTCTAATCGCAGCTATGGGTCGTCGGACGATTTTTGTTGGTGGCCTATTCCTCTCGGCTTGCTTCTTGTGTCTGGTGGGTATTCTCAGTGCGGCGTCAAGTTCAAGTGGCAGCAGCTATGCCCAGGCAGGGATAGTGATGTTTTGGATGTTCCTCTACTATTCTACCATTGGACCGGTCTCTTACGCCATCATCAGTGAGACATCCGCAATAAAGCTACGCAACAAGAGCGTGTGCTTGGCAAGAATTACTTACTACCTTTCCGCTATTGTCTGCGCAACTGTCAGTCCCTACATGATCAATCCGACAGAGGGAAATTGGAAAGGCAAGAGTGGCTTCTTTTGGGGAGGGACTTGCTTTGTGTGCTTCATTTGGGCATTCTTTCGACGTACATACGAGGAGTTGGATGTTCTCTTTGCAAATGGTGTAAAAGCAAGAGACTTTTCATCCTGCGTCGTGGATGCATATGCTGAAGACGAAACAGCCCGAGTCAAGCGCGAATAGGAGGACACAGTGAGCTGAGACATGTTATTGATTTATGATTTGGCAAATTTTGGTTATGCTAGGAGTTTGTTTCCGATGCCACTACAATCACTGAACGTACTTGTGTTAAGAAAAACTGTACTAGATTGGCGGCTCGAAGGAAGGCACGAACGACTGGGAAATGATCATTCGTCTACTTCGTACAAATATTCTTGAACACAGAGAGAGAACTGTCGTTCTGATTTGTCACTTGATTAGGCATAACAATCCTGATAATGGTCCACTCGACAGTGATCGCATTCTTACTAAAAAGGACCATCTGATTAACATAAACATGAAAAGGCTTGCTTTCGGTACCAAGACTTGTTCAACCAATCTGAGCCTTGCATATCGTCCAATTCAGGCTCTAGGTCTCACGCAATCCTGACAGTAGCCATAAGTGCTGCTAGCCCAGTTGCCCAACCAACTCCGTAGCCGATGTAGCGCACCTTGTGATAGGTATCCCAAGTCGTTATCAACCTCATCACATCGCCCTCTCTATAAACAGATTAGAAAGCACCTTTGACAGAGTTCTACAAACCGAGAAGCTCATCCAAGTAATTGAGATACATCTGTCAAAGCTTTGGGCAGCAAATCCCCTAGCTTAGCCCGAAAATCTAGATCTTTGAAATGAACACAAAATAGAAGAGAAGTCTGACATACTCTTGGCTTGACAGTTCCTGCTTTTCGTTCATCTGAAGTAGTGCTTTGTTCGTAGGCATAATCACCGTGAGTGTCCAAGGGATTATACTAAGAGATGAGAGTGCAGAGATGATGCTGAGATTGCGAATGAAGTGATCCGGTGCAGTGAATGCTGCAATGGCATGGAGTCCTGCAGTCAAAAAGGTACCGCCAACAATATAAGTCTGTTGAATCGATTAAATCTATGGTGATACCATCGGTCTGAGTGGGAAATCTTAAATTGGATACGCACTGCTGAACTATTGAAGAACAACGACCAGATCCTAACTTTGTCCTGCTTGCTTAGTCGACTTGTTCCGATCTCTTCTTTGATGATTGGAACGGGGCCGACGAGTGAAAGTCCAACGTTGCCGAACAGGATTGGGGAAGTGACCAGGAGACCAAGTCCGAGAGGCCACGCTGCGGTGGGAATCATATCAAGATGGGACAGTAAAGACATGATGGCTGGAGTTCCTGAGATGTCCAAGAGACAAGGTATGCAACGCAATAATTGATTCCAGAACTGAACTGTGTGTTGAGAGGAGAACGAATATGAGGGAGAATGAGAAGGGAGAGGATGGGAGGACAGAAGAGGGCTTCGATAAGGTTCCCAGGCGTTGATTATGTCAGCCAGGTTGACGCGGGAAGTTGTGGCGGCGGCGCATGTATTTGCCTGCTTGCATCTGTGACCAATTATAGGACAATCCACTGGAAGGGTTACTGTTGATATCCCCGTCAGTCGGGCTATGCGAAGCTTCTTCGCTTTCGCTAGCCCTGAATCAATGCGCTTGCTTTCTTAAGTCCGGCTTCCAGACCCAGAAAGTCGCTCTCTTCCGCAAAATCGCGCACACGCCGTCAGGTGGAGTCAATGCAGTGTCATATGCAGGTGGCCACGGGAGGATAATAATTATCACACTATTGAGCATCCTGAACTGAACTTATTCTTTTACCTCCACCTAGTGGCTTCTCCTCACTAGCATCGTATCTCTCGACAATTCAACGTACATACGTACACCTAAAAGGGGGTCCATCCGTTCTTCACCATCTCGACAACCTTCTTCGTAGCATCGTCAAGAGATTCCTGAGGCAGTCCGAGCAATCTATCACTAAGTCCCCACCTCGACCCAAAATCACCGACCCCGTCAGGATAAAAGATTCGGGCGTACGATGCCGTCGGAAATCCAAGCATGGCGTTACCACTTTGCAGCTCTGCGAGGCCTCTCTTAAATCTCACCTCTGTGACTTCAGAGTCGATCGTCCAGTCGCTGTCTGTAGTTTCAAGTACTCGATTCAGACTATCAAGCATATCCCGTTGGCTAACCTTGAAACTGTTGATATAAAGTGGCTTGTTCTTCCAATCTGCCATGCACGGTGATGGACCGTCCACGGGCAGGCTTAAGAAAGCTGCGACAGCACGTCCACATTGGTCCCACTGATCAACAAATTAGCACAGTAAGAGAAAAGGGACAGTAAGGAGCGTCCAAATGAACAGGATATATTTGCTCTCCTGCTCGGCTCCTGGGACAGCTCCCATCTCCGAAGCTCCAGAACAGCACAGTAATTTGTATGAGAATAGGCTTACAGTGCTGACATCGATTTTGGTGTTACCGTCATCATAAAACGTTAAGCTCCTGTCAGCGACATCGAATCCAAAGAAGGGTTCCTTGGATGCCAAGCCAAACTCGTACCAGAATCCGCAGACCAATACCACCCGAGACACATTTACTCCCTCAAACTCGGCCAAGCGTGCTTTATAGGACTTTCCGTTCAGGGTCTCCTCCATAACAGCTTTGTTTTGAATGTCGCCACCATATATGTTCGGCATGACCCAAGAAACACCAGCTTCTCCCGCTGCCTTGAGGACTATTGACTGATCAGTTTACACTGTTCCATAAGTGTAGAGCCTATAGGCTCCTTCGAGGAGACGGAACATTTGTTTTTTGATATGCGGCTCCTGAAGATGATCTTGAATACTAAACAGAAGAAGAGTTTGACGTACTTCTAGCATGCAGGTCTCCTGGTGCGTTCATCGAGAGAGTGATGATCAAGAACTGCTGCCCCGTGAGGGCTGGGATGAGGGATGCATCATCATCGTAATCCACTACGGCCACTTTAAGCCCTGGGATAGAAGCAGTCTTGCTGTCCTTGTGGGTGATGGCAGTGACTGCGTGCTTGCCAGTCCTAAGGATCTCTCTAGTAAATGCACTCCCAATCCTACCGCCAGCCTAGAGATTTGAGTCAGTGCTCTCCTATTCAATAAACTTGCCAAGGAGGGTTTTTAGCTCACGCCAATAATTGCAACTTTTTCAATGTGAGCCATGTCGTCTTTACAATTGATGAAAAAGGAATAGAATGTTGGACAAAGAGTAAAATTATCTTCATGTCGCCAGAGTTTTATACCAAGTTATGTGGTGTAGAGTGTGTAGCACTTAAAAGAGCTCGGAGGTATCGTATTAACTCCGCGTGAAGTGCTGTATGATATTCATGATCACCGCGGAGAAACCCACTTAAAAACCGAACATGACTATTTTGAAGATTTATTTTCCAATCATTAATGTCCTAACTTTTACACAAATTGATATTATACTACTGTGCAACCGCCTATGCATAGAGCGAAGGCACCTTCGCCAAGAATGATACCTGGTTCGTTACCTAGAGCATGGTAAGTCATCTTGTTATGGACAGGTCTCGCTAACGTAATATCATACACACTCTAGAACGATGACACCGCCTGTCTCAAGCAACGTCCTTGGTACGTGTTGCAGAGACGCGCCAGATCACCTCAATGCCAATGCTGTTAAGATATGGCCGTGGGCTACGCATATGGTGTCGGCACCGTGAGCCCCTGCTTGCAGCGCAAACTACGAGCATTTTTGATATCCGCTATCAGACTATCAAGGCGGGTGTTAACTTCTTTGGGTGACTCAAGTAATTTATGATAGTATCTTGACCTGCTTAATTTGCGCTGTATACGTGACCTGCTCAACGATATCGCATGCATCTCGAGGATCTCTGACGCCATGTGTTTGAGTCTCTGGGAATATATGCACAGGATGCTCCCATGTCTGTTTCGTGCTGGTAAACACTTCACAGTCTGGCCTGGGTACAAAGCGGGTTTCTCGCCTTGGGAAAAACGCCATAGTTCCACATATATCCTTTGAATGCAAATCGATTACGAACGTATCTCGGTTCCACATTATTTGTATCCTACTTAACAGGGTTTAGAGGTACTCTTCTTGAAATCTAGTACCACTTTCAATTAGCAAGTTGCACAGGAGAGGCTTGTATGTGGACGAAACCTCTTTCTCGCCTCATATTTGACGTTTATCCATCGCGGAATCTCTACTACCAGGTTCAATAATGTATGCTCCGGGTTTAAATTTAGCAGGATGACATATTATGTGGAATAGGGAATCGCGTTCTGTTCAGACCAAACAGGAAAAATCGTCGTGTTCAGCTGTCCAGATCTTCTTGCAGAGAAAGTTGGAGTTGACGTGTTCGGAGACAGGCGTAGATTCCACGCGTTGACTGGTAAATTAGAAGAAGCGATCTGAATGCAGGTTCTAGACACAGGACCAAAGAATTTTTGAGAAAGCACTTGATTGTCTTTCTACCTACCTAGCCCCCAATCACAACGAGTTAGCTGTGCCCGGCTCGTTGAATACCCTTACGAACAACGCATCTACCGATACCCCAGCCTTGAAGAAACACGCTTGTTGGACCAAAACTACACGAGCCGCCAGAATCGAGAGCCCGAGTCTTACGGCGTGGTGGGCCCCAGCTCTCTCCGATGCCCTGAAGCGGATCATAAGATGTCATGATGGGGGCGATTGCGACAGTGGTCTACTGGGAAATGGTAGACCATATTTGCTGTTCTGTCTTTTGTATGATATTCCTTGGGCTGAGCTCTGTGCTCTTAGATTTTGGTAGCTGTTCGATTTAATTGAAGAGTAGTGCGAGCCAGACTATGGTTGCACTATGGCTTCACAATTGCATGATGATAATGTCGGTCCGTTGCCGAGTGCACTGGGAACGAATCAAAATTGCTAGGTATTAATAATGATATTGGATTTAATATAGAGAACGGAAGGATGTCACAATATAATTTTGTTCAAGAGTTGTACTATGAGTATTTAGAGTTTATAGACTTATTATTACAGATGAGGTGGGGATCACACTGTAGAAAGTAGAAAGAAAGGCTTTTCGCTAAATTTCAGGAGGCGCCAAGGTACTAGCGAGTTGGGTCCTGAACAAGCCCCTCAATGTAGCGAGTCTGAGCCAACACATGCCCGCTCAGGGAGCTTCATGACGCCTCCTCGCCAAACTCTTTGTAGTGCATTGTACCCGACAACTACTGAATTGGAATGGTGTCACTGTGGAATTGATATGCAGACAACCTTTCAAATGGCTCATCTGAGGAGATCTTGCGTGTTAATTTTGGCAACGCACGCTGGGAATACAAGTTCAACAGTGGATTGAATCTCTTGATGCCGCGTCGTAGTATCATGTTACTCATGCGAAATGTCTGAAAGAAGAAACGTTTGATTAAGATCATTACGATTCATTGATGATATTTATCAACGTAGGTTCCAAGTGTTCCGAAATATTTTATGGCCCTGATGTAGCTAGAAAATGCCATTGCAAAAAGTTTGATTTTCTTTTCTCCAATTTAATCGTATTCTTGCAACATTTTTGAAATTTGAAGATTTTGGTAGGCACTGTGTCACATGTCTGTCACGTGATACGCTATTAAGGGAGATCGCATTCCATATTTGCATTTCTTGTGGTCCCCAACCATCTAAGGGAGTTCCTCTCCTCCTCTATCTTAGCTCTTCAGAGAAAAACATTACACTTCTGAACCCTCACTTCTATTCATCTGTCACACTGTCAAATACAATCTTTACATTTTAAAGTTCCGCACATCTACCAGCTCATTTCTTTGAAGGATCCACCACTTTTTTCGAAGGCTTTGCTGGGTTTGGTGGTGGAGGAGCTCTTGCCATTGAGGCAAAGTCATCAGTAGGTGTAGCCAGCTTAGGATGCTTGGCTTCCCAATGGATGGCCATGTTATTCTTGTTGTCGATCTCAGATTTGCACTCAGCCTATCAATGTTCAATAACTGCACAGAAGATATATGCTGAGGGTCTAACGCACGCAGGTAAAGCGATGACCTTTATCTTTCTTCAGGATTGAGTTGCCGCCTTTGTTCTTGGCTGCGAGAGCCTTTTGTTGAGCTTCGATCTAGTCAGGTCAGCCACAGGCCCACGCTAGCACAGGACCACGGGACGTTATTGGTAAGGAGGATCACCTTTTGAAGACCTCTTGCCATGGTGAAAGGATGGGAATGACGCTGTTGAATGATCTGCGCAGTGTGAAGAAGATACCGAAGTGAGGTGAGGTGAGGATGCACCGTCGCCATCCTCCCATCGTTGAAACAAGCAGAGGCGGTGAAGGAAAAATGAATTTTCCGGTGCCGGCTCCCCACGTGTTGCCGCCTTGATTCCGATTCTGATCGACCTTTTCGCACATGGGAAGAGCGTGTCCATATTACGGGCGCACAGAATATTTCGATATTAATGACTCGCCTCAACGAGCGTATATTTTGACAACACGAGAGAGACATCATCAATATGGAGCGATTGGAATCACTACCTATATTCCGAAGCGATGCTGCTATCCAACAGCTCCTTTCCACCTTAACGACGCACGATCTAGAGGGATCAATGCTAGGGCATGGCTTTCAAAGCACTTACACCACGCTGTTGCAATACGAAGAAACAATCTTGTGGGACTTCACGAAGACTTTAGACTCGATGTTTGACTTTGGTTCATTTCCCATCCCACAGGACTTGGCAGCAGATAACCACAAGTGGTTATATTCATCCGTGCGAGAGAAATGGTACATCAATTCCGACTCTGAGTTCGATCAATAGAACGGAGGATCTTCATGGCACCAATTACGCCATGTGCTTTCTTTGATCAAATCCTACGTTCCTTCCTCCTGTCTATAATCATCTAAATCAACAGGAGATTCCAAACAGCACGATCGGCTCCTTAAATTGAGGCATCTGCCACCTTTTCTAAAGCGGAACCCTTCTGTTGCGTCTCTCCATCCTTTGAACCTGATTGATTCTCGTCTCCGCGACTACCGACAACAGCATGCTCTTCTAGCACATGCTTAGGAATTACAACATCCTCCTCGCCACTAAAATATTTTGTTTCTTCAATGTGGAACGCTGCCATGTACAAGAAGATAAGCACACCAGTGGTATAGAACGCGAAGATGCCACCCGCCTCTTTGATGTACGGAATGCCGATCGAGTCAAGCCCGAAGCAAATAGCTTCGCCTGCACCGAGGAAGCCACGGAACACACCCTATTCTATCTATCAGATGGCTTGAATTACTGCTAGGGACCAGCGGAATACTTGCTGCATAATTTGCCGCTTTTCGCGGTGAGTTGGTAAAGCATCCCAGATAATAGACTGCCCCGAAGTCAGACTTCCAATCAATCTTGGTCAAAAGAAAAGGGGAAAGAAAACAAGAGTCATTACGAATAAGGTATTGCCAGAGCGAAGAGGCAATCCAATTGAGCATGAAGAGGAAGAAAATGGCAACGAATTCGCCGTCTGTCCAGTCTGTGAGATGTCCTGGGGTTGCGTGGCGATCGTAGTTTCGCGTTCTTACAATTTCCCAAATCCAGGCTCCGATGAGTGGGATCCCCACAACAGCAAGTCCAATGAAGGCTCTCGTCCGTCGGTGCCCTACAATCGGTTAGCTCTCAATCTCTAATCTTGAGTTCCGCATCAAGCACTCACAGGCTTTGTGGTCCAAGATAAGTTGTAGGCCATATCCGAATGGAACCTGGAGGACGACCGAGATAAATCCTAAGAGACATCGAGTTCTCAGATTATTGTGATATGCGTTGACCGAGCCGCCGTACACGAGGAAACACTCAGCAGGCAGGAAAGCCGGAACCTTTTGCCGTCAGCATACTAGAAATCGCAGTGGCTGATCCAACGAACCATTAAGAGCAGTTTCCAATCTGTGAAAATTTCAAGATTGGCTTTGAGTTCCTGCACAAACCCTCGAGCTTTGATTGCCGCAATGGGCGTGCCGTCGTCTCTTATTATGGTCGCTGGGTCTTGCAGGAGAAAGAAACCAGCAACGGCGCCGGTGCCTTGCAAAACCAGGAAGATTATATAGACCGATGGCGGCACCCCAGCAGCAACAGTCTATCATTCGTCAGCAGTGTTCGCAGCCCTACCGGATATCAACATACCGAGTCACGGTTGATGATCAGGGGAATTATCCCGCCCACAATAGATCCACATGCTTGAATGTTGATGGACATTGTAATGAACGATCCTCGATTGTCTTCTTCCGAGTATGACATAGCTATGTATCCCATAGTAACAAAAACCAGCCCGGAACCGATCTCGGGATTGTCAGCTCGACGATCTCGACCTTTTTTGGAACAAGGCGACAATTACTCACACCAATGAGCACACCAGCAGCAATGGGAAAGCCTTCTTTGCCCGTGGCGTCGAAATACCAAAGACTTCCCACATACACCATATAGCCACAAACTCCGAGAGGAGCAGTGACAGCTGGACCGATGGTGTTTAGGACACTGCCGCCGAATGAAGAAGAGAAGAACCACACCGAACAGAGGGTAGCGTTCACAATCTGGACCGTTTGTGCATTGTTGGGTCGTCCGCCGCCGGCACCTAGAAGATTCAGAGCAACATACAGGCCAGCTGTCAGCGCAACCAGATAGCCCATAATGATACTTCGTCCGTATTAGCCACTAGTTCTCAGCTAGAATACTAGAAGGGCAACTGACTTTTGCCAGAATGGACTGTGGAGCCGAAGCTCAGGGATGCCTGGAACTTTGATTGCCATTTTCTTCGGAATCCGGCTGAGATCAGTGGGAGATGTGGTCTCTCGTATGGTTTTGCGGAAAGCCTCTTGAACGAAACACGATTCAGGAGAAGTTATCACCCGTGATTGAAATTCTTAAGTGTAAAGGAGACACTGTCATTGGTATATGAGAAGGGACGCAAGATGCATTTGTAGATCCGCACCGACAAGGAATCCAAATTCCGGGTGTTCACAATTGATATCTTATATTGAGAACTGATATCAGCCATCCAATTCTTGCATGCATTGTGGGTGGATCTTGATACTAAACTCCCCAGCCTAACATGCCCCAGTGGCGATCATTACGCTCAAGACCGACTGATAAAGGAAATTTACAAGACAAAGCTGATAAGTGGGATAGTACTGGCACTGGTAACTGGGTGCGAGAGTGCGATAAGCTTCAACTGGTATCGGCACCGTCCTCCGAACGTGCTATGATAGAGTTTCTCGAGAGCTGATCGTTTCCAAGAGTGGAGGACCAAGTGGGAAAACACTCAACAATTGATTGTCCAACCATGCTCTGGAGATTTCGTCCTGGTTATCAAATCGTGTCTTTGATGTAGCTTTTCCTATTCTTCTTCTGCGATCCTATGATAATCAAACTCTTCACCACTATCTTCTTAAATCTTAGTCCGTTGCGGGCAGAGAAAGTACCTCACTTATCTAGTTCAAGGCATCTGTTTAATTGCAAGATGGGTTCTATTGAAGATGCAGGCAACATTCATATCCCACTGGTCGATATCTCACCGTATTTTTCTGGAGACGCAGTCGGGAAGCAGAAAGTTGCGGACGAGATTCGTGACGCCTTCGAGAATCAAGGTTTTCTTCAAGTCATAGGCCACACTGTCCCGTTGGATATTCAGGACCGCTACCTCGCAGCAATCGCCGAGTTCTTCTCCCTTCCTCTCGCAGACAAGGAGTCAGTCTCTCAATCAAATTCGAAATGCCATCGAGGGTATGAGCGCATCGGAGGACAGAAATTAGATGAGTTAGACGAAAATGCCACTCCTGACCAGAAAGAGGGGTTTTCGATCAGGCGCGAGAGGCCTTTGGGAAGATTCTTGGAAGGCCCAAATCAATGGCCTGCGACGATGCCACATCTAAAGGATGTCTACATGGAGTATTTCGATGCAGTTCATCAGCTTTCGAAGACGATGTTCAGGCTTATTGCTCTTTCCTTGGGTCTTTCTGAAGATCACTTTGATTATTTCGCTTCGGACCCTAATAGTGAGTTTACTTATCCTTCGATCACTTGGGCATGAACTGACACTTCCCCAAGGTATTTGTCTATGTCGCGCGCATCATTATCCACCAACCCCTAAAGACTCTGCGGGAAGAACTCGAGGGGTTGGGGCGCACTCCGACTTCGGTGCTCTCACCCTTCTACTCCAAGATAATGGTTAATTCCTCCCCCACCTTTGCCTGTTGAGCACCTCCAATTAACTGTCCCAAAAGTCGGCGGACTAGAAGTGCTCCACAAACCCACCTCAACTTGGCATGCTGTTACGCCAATCCAAGGGGCTTATGTTGTCAATATCGGAGACCTAATGCGTAAATTTTCAGCCCATTAGCTCCATCCCAGGAATGCTCCACTAACGTGCTCCTAGAGATATGGACCAACAATCGCTACAAGTCAACGATGCACCGGGTCATCAGCCCTTTGAGCGAGCATGACAGATATTCGTCTGCGTTTTTCAACGATGGTGCTCTGGATACAATTGTTGAGTGTATTTCAACGTGCTTGGGTCCAGGGGAAAAACCAATGTACGCGCCCATTAGAGTCGAGGACCATTGTATCAAAAGATACCAGCAAAGTTATGGGGCTGGTGGGACTAAGATTACTGTTTGATTTTTGATTATTGTAATGTCTTTGTAATGTACGTGGCACTTGGGGAGTTGGACTCCTGATCAAATCGTAGTTGTTTGAATCTAGACAGCGTCTTATCCCCTACAATAAAATCTTCGGGAAATTACTTTATTGCTATATGCACCAAATACAAGTCAGCAAATCAAAGAGCGCTACACATCAGCACCACCTTTCACCTCGATACCCCCAAATGTACCAGCCTTGAATTCGTGAACCATCTCTTCCATGGTGACCCATTCCACTCCTTCATGGTTGTTGATATACTCAAACAGTCTCTCATGCATTAGTTTAACTTGCGGTTTCCCACTGACCTGCGGATGGATGGACATCGGGAAAATAAAGGAGTCATACTCCCTATACAGATAATCAAACTGGTCTTTCCAAAGTTGTTCTACAACGCGGGTGTCAACGTAGCCGTGGGTCGATGCTTGTTTGAGGGAGAGCTGAAATGGTGGCCAATCGTCGAGATGCCAGTTGGCAGGAACTTCGACAATTGAAGATGGCTTGAGAGCTGTCATAGGCGTCATCCAGGTGGAGGCTTCTTTCTCGACGTTGGTCTCAACCCAGCTCTCAGAGCCCGACGGAGCGTAGTACATTTGGGAGTCGTGATGCATGAATGAATGGTCGTATTCCTATAAAACGGGAGTCAGGTCCCGTCATCTAGTAGCAGGGATAATGAGACTTACAATCCCGAATTCTTCAAGCAGTTTGATAGTTTTTTTGGACGTGTCCCATGCTGGTGCCGTCCATCCTTTTGGCTTCTTCCCCGTAAATTTGGTGAGAATATCAATCGATTTAGTTAGGATATCCCTTTGTTGCTTTTCGGTGAGAGTTCCCACAAATTCATGCGTATATCCATGAAGTCCAATTTCATGACCTGCATCTCGGACCTTCGCCAACTGTTCTGGGAAGGATTCGATCGAATGTGCTGGCACAAACCTTTGCATGTTAACTAATCTGTTATGAGTGTTTGAAAGGGCCTTTTGTCTACCATGTTGTCTTGATGCCGAATTTCTCCCACAATTTCAAGAGGCGATCGATCCCAACGGTGGCTCCAAAAATTCCTCGCGATACATCGGTCGGATTTGCTCGTGCTCCAGTCCTCGTGTTGAGCCTGAGAGTGGGGTTAGTTTCCACTCCTGAATGCGAAGTATGGGTTACTTACCAGCCACTCACAGCATCCACATCAATACCATATCCTACTAATACTCGTTTCCCCATGATAACGGTAACAAAGATATAGTTGAAGTTCTGAATTCTCTAATATCCGAACACTTTCGTAAATGTAGATGATCTGGGTGACGTAGTTGCTTATCTCCTCGAATTAGAAATGCATAAGCATAAAGGTGGGAGGCAGCAAAATTTATAGAGCAAGAAATGATAGGGTGGGATATAGTCTCTATCACATTGCACATGCACACGGCTCGGGTAGAGAAAGGGCATCATGATAAGGTTCAGACTATAGATGCCAACAATAATGTGTTGGTTTCATTATATTATATTGTAGGTTACTATAAAATTAGAGTGCTATCCCCTTCTTTGCGAAACTTACATCTAGAACGACGCCGATGTAACCAAAGGAAAGTATCACCGCCGGTATACAAAACCCTTCACAACATTAGCCAATGACCCTCAATGGCTTCATAGAAGAGGATCGGAAGGAGCACTGACAATCTTCAATCCGGATCCCTGGTGCTCGGGTCGATCGAAAACTTGTGTATAGGCGGACGAACAGGAAAGAGAGCGTCAAAACTATCATGACTACGCTCACTCCAACTATCGCCTTCTGCTGCGACGGGAGGTCGATGAGATTCGAACTTTGTCCTGGAGCCGGCGCGGTCGTCGGTGTTGTTGCAAGATCTGCCTAATTGCTCATGCTGGTTGGTTGACTTTGAGATCTGATGATTTTCCTTAAGGGACATACAAGAACAAAACGTCGCGGTCACGACAGACGAGAAGTAAGCAAAGCACGAGGTATAGACAGATACATAAGCCATACTTGTAATTAATATGAGGGACACTCGGTCCACGAAAAGCGTCACAAATACGCGAGCGTGGGCCGTAAATAGCACTTGCTGTAATAGGGCAGAAAAATGATATGCAAGCGGCTCAGTTGCAATGCTACAGTACCCAGCTCAAGAAAGGCCATTTGCAGACGGTGACCGGCTCGGGGACGACCCCCGACATCTGAGTACTTTTCACGGCACGACCCGCTTCTATCGCTGTAATCTGGGTTGTATAAACCATGGATGAAAAGGCCCCACCACGCGGCTCGTGTAGTTTGATATGTATTTCTGCTGCGGTAGTATATCCTACATCCTCCATCCTGCTCGAGTTTATCCTGCTCAACAACTCATCTTTATGTAAAGTCTTCGACCTCAGACCTTACATCAACCCCACTCCAGCAACAAACACGACCCGGAGCTGGCTCTCCTAGGCAACGACTGGGAGCAAGCAACATCCTCGGCATATTATTATCTGCACGCCAAATGGCTTTTCAGCGAGGATAAATTTCAAGGATACCGATGTTGGTAGTAATGTTGGTGATGTTGGGAAAATGGACCTGCACCTCGATCAACCCACCAATCGGACCACACATAGCTTTCGCAACCTCGTGCTCGAGGGCGCGTATATAGCATACCCTAGAGCATCGGAATCTCACTACGTTTCACAACCACAGCCCTTCCAAATTAAATACAAAGAAAGCCAAAGCGATGTCTACGACTGCCACTACACCTCCCATATACTCGGACTCTCCTCTGGCATTGATCGCCACCCCACAGTTCGAAACAGGCAAGGTAAACCGCTTCGAACGCCGCCGCTCAATTATTTGAGTGCTTGCTGATTGAAGCCCTCAACAGGATGACCCTTTCACCGTTGAGGCTTCCCACATGGCTCTGAGTCACAATGCCTTCATCCGCGGCTTCAATAGCATATATCAGACAGCGCCCCGGCTCACTCTGCTCGCTGATAAGAAGGACTTTGTCGGCTACTGTCTAGCTTGGGTTGACTGTGTCTCTACGCACCATCACTACGAAGAAACGGAGCTTTTCCCTAATATCAACAAGAATGCGGGTCAGACGGGCTTGATGGCTGGTGCGGTTCACGAACAAGAACTGTTCCAGGGTGGAATGGAAAAGTTCAGGGGCTATCTCGTGGAAAAAGCTGAGAATTTCAAGAGCGACGAGCTGATTTCAATCATGGATTGCTTCAAAGAGCCGCTTTGGAACCACCTCAAGGCTGAACCACCGCCATTGTCGCTCTTGCGAAGTACAGTACTCCAGACAAGCCAATTCCCATATTAGAAATTGCTAATGCTGCAGGTAAGCATAGTCTAGCACGCGTTCCTTCTTCGTCTGCTAAGTCACCTGCGTTTTTCTTTTAGGTAAGAAACAGGTTGGTTTGAGCATCATGTTCAACATCCTGCCCGTGTTCTTCTTGAACATGGAAACTGTTCAGTTTGAGGGTGGCATGTGGCATGAAGTCTTTCCGCCTCTAAAAGGCCTAGGTAGGACGGTGATGAACAAGGTCGTGCCAAAGTGGCAATCAGGTCAGTGGCGTTTCTGTAGCTGCGATGCTGACGGTAAAGTCAAGCCGCTAGCTGTCTGAGAGTACTGGCATGTTGGTGGTGATAAAGGCCTCAGGGGAAAGTATCCGCACTTGACCTCAGATCATTGCCAAGCGGTGTAGGCCTTCGTGAATAGCATGATCTGAAAGATTACCGGTAGAATGAATGAAAAGAACGACATTGGGTTTTTGTGAAGAACTTGGCTTTGACTAAACGGTGCCTCTGCAAACAGACGTTGCGTTGCCAAAAACATGTGTTGTAATGAACAGAAAGAGTTCCTACCTATTATCGAACGTGGCGTTATGGGAGATGATGATAATATCTATACCTGCTTATCAGCTCGATGAATTCATGGAAAGTTTATTCGGAGAAGTTAGAGACCCTCAACTGATTCAGAAAGTTCGGGATATAGCTGTCGAATCGTGTCGGTTCGATGTCAATATTCACGGAACAAATGGCTACACCTCCACTGTACCCAACGGCTTCTATACGAATTAGTTGACCACCCATCAGCGAGGGAAAAGATGTGAGGATGGAATACTGCATCACACCACAGGCACGATGCGAGCTTCATCTCGTATATTCTCGAACACGAAAGTGTAGTTCAATCACCAGAGTATGTGCGCAGGCAGCTCCACAGCGAGCTTGCCACTTCAATACTCATGCACATCGATCAGGAAGAAGTCAACGCTCGCCTCGCAGTCCAAAGGCAAGAGTATATTTCCAAGAAAACAAACTCAGATTTGTTGCTCCTTGATTTGAGTAGGGGGACGTATTACACGTGGATGCGGACGACAGCTGCGGATACCTCCCAATGCTCCTTCACCTTTGTTTTCTTCTGCTGTTTAGCGGCGGAATCTGGCCAAACATTCTTCTCTGGTGTCTGTCAGCATTATATCTCAAGTGCGCTCAGTCGGCACCTTGCCAACTTGTACCGGCAATACAATGACTATGGGTCTGTTGCTCGCGACAGAGCCAAAGGGAACTTAAACAGGCTGAATTTCCCTGAGTTTCTGGAGGAAATTGCTTATAAGGAGGCAAATAATGAGGAATTTATGAAATCGAATCTCTTATTCATCGCTGATTACGAGAGGGAATGTATGAATCATGCCCTGATGAGGCTTCAGGCGGAGATGGCACATGATAAGCAACGGGTACTGAAGGTGAATGCGTTGAAGGTTTACATTGACACCGTAGACCTTTACGAGCAGGTCTACGCTGCAAGGACGTATCAAATTGAGTGCGGTGACTCCAGAGAGTAGTTGGTGGAATTGGAACTGGGGTTTCTCTGGAAGGTTTGAAGGCTGAATGTGATAAGCATTGTTTACGCTTGGTGTTTGCTCTGGGAGAGCCCCTGAGAAATTCTCCATGATCGTTCGTAGGGTCTGGCCTTATATTGAATGACACAAGCTCTTTCTCTTTTATCTTCGACCCTTGGGCTTGTTATTCATACAGCATTAATGTCTTCTCTCGGTCTCTGCTCTTCATTGCCTCCAGAATATGATCTACAACACGACATAAATATCTTTCTTTCAAAGAATCTGCTTTCCTATTTATGTTGTCCCACAAAATCTGGAACAATGCTATCTTTCATTCCAATTCTCAAGGTATAGAAGAGTCGGAGGTTGCGCAGTTTGGAGACCACAGGAAGGTCAAGCTCTGCGGGCTTACGTAAGCGTACACAAACAAGAGACATCTGTCTGTCTCGATCGTATACGCACTGACACCAATGGAGCAGCAGCAGGCACGAGCGTGTCAAAGTCTGCTTCTTCATCTTTGCATCAAACTCTACCTAGGTACTGACCAGTGTTCCGGCACGCCCTAATCAGATGCCGCGCTCCATAACATCATAAATGCCGCACCTCACCGAGCTTCCACACGTGGTTTTTTCACCATAACACACTCGCTCGTGTCTATGTTTCTACTCGATCATCTTCATTCCTTATTTGCTTCATCTGACACGTACAGCTGTTCATGCTCGTGTATCAGGACTGAGGGATCGCAGTCCCCCTTCTTTGAATCCGCGATTTAGTTTGCGTTATCGCGAGAATCACCGGTGCTGCTGCCTTGTTCCTCGCCCGGAGTCCAGCGTGCGTGGTACATCCACCCAGTTGTCCAATTTTCCATGCGCAACCTGAATTTACAGAATACAACATACTGCGAATCCAGACCTCAGATTCCTTGGATTGATTCGCATTCTCAAGATGGCTTTGCAAGAAATTGGGTTTTATGGTGGGATGGCATTGCTAAGTGAGTACCCACAGATTTGCTCATCTGCCCATGTGAATTTCTTCAAGTCGCCTAACATGCTATAAGCATGACTTCAAGTCTGAACTTGACCATGTGCTCATCTGAGGATTGGTTGATTATTTGGCAGTACGAAATGCGAGAGTGAATGAACATCCGAATGAGCCCTTTGTTTGAGCTGTATGCTAACGTCCTTCTGTTTAGTCAGCTCCATCACCGGACCAGGACTGACCACAAGTCTGACAACCCATAGATGCTAGTTTGAAGTTTTGCTAATCCTGAACAAAGTCCCTCTCTTGTACCAAGAAGCTGGTTGGTTGACGCCAACGCTAGCATTCGTCCTCTTTGGCTGCTTGGCAGGAATTACCTCTCTTTTTCTCGTAGAGACAAGTAAACATACTTTCTTTTCACTCCCTCTCACAAGCCCAATGTTTGGGCTTCCGACCAAGTTTCACCCCTATTCGGAAGCTTCGGCGCCTACTTTCATCTCAAAGCATGCACTAACTTTCTGGAGTGTCCACCATTCATGGCAACGAAGCTTTCCAGGCTCGCGTTGAATTCAGCACTGTTGCTCATTTGTATCTGGGAGACAAAGCGCACATCATCATGCAAGTGCTTCTCTATTGCGCCTTACAAAGTGTCAATGTTTCAAGCATCATAATATCAGAGCAGGTACGCGCAAACCTCCTCTGTTGTGCTGTCCATCGCAGGATATTAATCAGGCAGCTTGATAGACCATGGACTCCTTACTCATTCAACTGTTCCATAAGAGTTGTGCTTTGAGTTTCACGAAAGGATGGGTGTGTGGTACGTATGAGGATTCTCCCTGTCGAACCAACATTGACATTAGTCCAGTATCTTCAATTGACTCTTCTGGGTTGATTTTTGATTCTTACATTCTATTCTCTTTCGGCTACCTCGTAAGCTATGCAAAATTACAATAAATACCAGGACACTGACTTCAATCAGATAGCTGCTGCTATGGTTCTACCATTGTCAGTGATGAGCCTCGTTCAGAATATCAAGTTTCAACTGATTTCGGTCGCAACCCTCTTCTTTGTTATGATAGTTTGGATCTTTCTCTTCGCCAGTCATGGGTTAGACTTGGCCGTTCCAGCCATTGGTCACAATCAAAGTGCCCTTGTTGGGTTTACTCTCAGCAACTTTGCCTTTCTTGATCCCACTAACAAACTGCAGATCACCACAGTTCCGTCTTTCATCAACGAGCTTTCTCGACGTGTTTCCATACGCAGATCTATCGCATATCCGATAGTTATTTGTGTGGCTTTGTACATTATCATCGGATTGACTGGTGCTGCGAGTTTTCAGATAGACCCCTCATCTGATCTCCTCGCGACCCTCAGCGCTGCGAAGAAACACAACATCTTGATCATCATCGTCAACATTCTGTTCCCGATCTCTGTCCTTGTCACCTCGGTACCCGTTTTCGCTATTGTGATTCGGTACAATCTTGTAGTAAGTTTACCCCAACACCCAACTACGCACTCGTTGTATGCGGGCTCCGGAGGCTTCAAGTTGTTTCAGGAGCGAGACAGCACGTTCCAAGATAGCTCAGGGCCGTCGGAGCAGCCTAATCGATTGTCGGGTTTTTACAGTGCTGATAATGTGTCAGCGGGGAAACCTTTGCTCCAACAGTAGGTGCGACTGTGAAGATTCGAGACAGCAGAAGCTAAATTTTTAGGATGGGCCATTGTTTGGGCGAGTCTAATGTACGTCAGATCATCCTTGATTGTAGGACAAGTTGGAAGCCGACCTCTTGGGACACTCTTCCGGGAGAACTCACATCAGCTCCTTGATACTTTTGCGAACAGAGACTGATTTTTTAATAGTCCATGGGTTCTGATAATTCCTTTTCAGACTAAGGTACGTACTTAATGCCTGTTGTTTGTGTCTCTTATCCTATCTGACTGCTCATAGGGATGGCTGGTTTTAGTGATGAATTGGAGCTCGTAAGTAACGTCTTCGGAACTAAATCACCTTTCCTCGATTGTCTCATGAGTCATGGTCGCTACATGATTTAAAGAAGCAAACTAACTCCCGAAATGCTCCTTGATTGCCTCAGAGAATTATACTGACTCGAGTATGTCAATGTTTAGCTTGATCTTCGGATCTTCAACCAACTTCATAATTCCGCTCACTCTTTATATTTCATCGAAGACCCACACAGCAAGCACAATCGATACATCAGGTACATCCAAGTCGAGCTCTCTGCACTGCAATATCTTATTGATGCTATCATAGGTGGTGATCTTTTTGTCCTGCATCGGGGTAATTCTACCACATCAGCGCGGTCCCATCGGAGATCGTCGATTTCTGCACGGAGAAGTTTCGCCCCAGAAGGCATTCCTTAATTGGTGACGACACTTGCCGATGAAGAGAATAGCATACACTTATATGAGGCGTCTTCCTCGCCTCTCGTTGTGGTGACTTCACCTGCTGAATTGCCGAGAGGGAGTCTAATTTATGAACCCGAAGAAAACGCCTCCAAGAAATCTAACGAAGCAATCGACGTCGCTGATTTGGGTCAAGAGTCCTCGTCGTCCGGGCTTGATCCATCGTCCATACCCCTCCGAGTTGTGTATTCTCCAGCCGTATCGAGGAATCCAAGCATTGGTCATGGGTCTCAAAGGGGAACAGCGATCTCCAACTCGGATCTGCCTTCAGAAAGTACTGAAGAGATACTCATTCCCTCGCATCTTGCCCCGAATGCACCATCGTTAGAAGCTCAGAGATCCTCAGAAGGTCATACATTGCGCAGGAGAAGTTCCACTGCGTCAAGGGACAACACCAGGTCTTCCTACCAACCATCGAGCAACCCAAACGCCCCACCAGAGCGATCTTTCTCACAAGAGCGGGACCGCGACGAAGAACATATCCAGGGTGTATTCAAGGCTCTTCCTCGCAGAAAATGGCTACCAGAAACTCTACTTGCGAGAATATGTCTTGCGATTGTGACTTGCTGCGTATTGGGAAATCTCATCTATACGTGAGTAGCATCCACGGGAAAGTGGGATACACAAGCTAATCTGGATAGGATTGTCGAAACTGCACGGGGTCATAGCCCACTGAGTGGTTGAGCGTGCGATAGTCCTGGACAAATCAATTACCGTGCCGTAGATGGCGGAGTTTGCCACCATTACACAATCAACTGAGGTGGCACGAATATCCTCATGGGAGCCGATCGACGAATCTACTCGTCGGGATTTTCAGTACACTGGAGGATTTGGAGCTGGAAAAGTACCAAAGGGAGATCTGATTCAACTAAGCTTTCATGACTTGAGTCACGAGAGATGGCAATACTCCCGTATGGTGCAGCTAGATCATATGAGATGCTTCAGCTCAGTGGGCGAGAACCTGATGAGGGGTTTTTTTTGGAAGTGCGAAAGAAGTAAACGCGGTGAAGAGGTCAAGTTTGACATGCTGCTGCGAATGATCGAAAGGATGGAAATGTTATCCTCAAGTAACAAAGTCCAGAACCCCCACGTAGAATATCATGTGCTCCCAGTGTTTCTCCATCCCACGACCCCTTACCGGTAGGTCACAACCGAGTTTCGTTCCCCTAGGCCGAGCACAGTCTAGCTAGCGAATTGACGAACAAAACAACCTCGGCATGTCTGACAAGCGGATCTTTCCGATCTCGGGAACGATAGGAGGCCATGCTCCTCCTCGTGCTCATGCACCTCTGCCGACCGCGCATGAAGCTCTGGGTGGCTTGTGATTTTGCGGGGAACCCGTGAAAAACGTCACCGAGGATCAGAGACAAAGGGCGAGCGCAAGCTGGGTCCCGAACAGAAAGAAAGACGCGATGAAAACATTTGCACTCTATCTTTGCTGCTCTCCGACTTCAATGAGAGTGCATTTTTATTTACATATACTTGTCCTTCTCTCTCAGATCTGCTGTCCGCAAAACAACCTTTCGTCCATCTAAGCACGGGTCCTCGACTCATGTTTCCCTATGCCGTGGTACCTCGTTTCTAGACCCCTCCGCTTCGCCGAGCTAAAGCACCTTTCTGGCCACGCGCTGAGAAGCAAGTATCCGACCCCACACAAAGCCATTCCAATCCTGGGACCCCTTTCTAGCTCCCTTGTCTGCATGAGGTCAAGGTCGAAAATGACTCTGGTCCTGGAGCCGCGGATCAGATGTGCTCTGGGAAAAGTATTAACTGTCGCCGAGCTGCAACTTTTTTCTCACATTGTCATTTCTCTCACACTTTTCTGTTCATTACCTATTTCCAATCGCCCAGAACTAAAAGTTTCCTGTTTCTCTTCATTTATGGTATAGAATCAACGGTCATACTGGTGGCAGGGAGAAGGTCCTTTGACCCGAGGTGAAAACACTACAAGCCGTGAGCGCAACACAAAACACACGAGCTGTCAAAATGTCTGCAAAAAATGTGTCGGGGCCGAATGGCAAGAAGCCAGCTTCTGCCGCTACAAATTTAATAGGTATGCGTTCTGTTTCTCCCAATTGTGAGTTTTGTCACAAGCACATGCTAATTTGGGCATCTAGCTGGAGGAGCAGCAGGAATGATGGAAGCTCTCGTGTGCCATCCACTTGGTAAGTAAAATATGTTGCTATTTGTATACTTCCAATTCTCACAACTTCCCTTTAGATACCATTAAAGTGCGAATGCAACTTTCTCGTCGAGCCCGCGCGCCAGGCGCAAAGAAGCGCGGCTTCTTGACCACCGGTGCAGAGATTGTGAAGAGGGAAACGCCCTTAGGTCTATACAAAGGGCTAGGAGCTGTAGTGACTGGTATAGTACCGAAGATGGCTATACGGTTTACAAGTTTCGAAGCATACAAGAAATTATTGGCGGACAAAGAGACTGGCGCAGTCAGTGGGCAGGCAACGTTTCTAGGTCAGTAGTTATACTTATCCAGTCGACGCTCCAAGCCTGCCTTTTCCGAGAAGATCGTATAGAGGAACCCCGTGCTGATACAAAAAATAGCTGGTCTTGCGGCTGGTGTGACAGAAGCAGTAGCTGTTGTTACTCCAATGGAAGTCATTAAAATCCGATTGCAGGCTCAACACCACAGCATGGCGGATCCACTGGATATACCAAAATACAGAAACGCTGCTCATGCTCTCTATACTGTTTTGAAGGAAGAAGGGCCGGGAGCTTTGTATCGAGGTGTCTCTTTGACCGCACTAAGGCAAGGTATGTCTACTTTTGTGACCGAACTTCTGGTTCAAACGTTGACAGAAATACCTTTCTAGGCTCCAACCAAGCAGTGAACTTTACTGCATACACAGAATTCAAGGAGCTCTTACAGAAGTGGCAACCGCAATATGCAGACTCGCCTATCCCATCTTATCAGACGACTCTGATCGGCCTGGTTTCAGGAGCCATGGGTCCACTATCCAACGCGCCTATTGATACGATCAAGACGAGATTACAGAAAACGCCTGGGCAACCTGGAGAGACAGCTTTGAGTCGAATCACAGCAATTGCGAAAGACATGTTTCGGTAAGTATCTTCAATGACAATGAAAAGCGTACAGTCGCTTACAAACAATGTATATAGACGCGAAGGATTCCACGCCTTCTACAAAGGCATCACACCACGCATTATGCGTGTAGCTCCAGGTCAGGCTGTAACATTCACCGTGTACGAGTACCTGAAAGAGAAGTTGGAAAATAGCACCGTGCCTATTGTTGGTGGAAAGTACGAAGAATAATGGAGAACAACGAGAGAAGAGAAAAGTCAACATGTGGATGGCCCTACCTCTTATTTGTCGATCTAGATTCAATAACTAGACATATCGGTACAGCAAGTTGTGCATGGCGTTGGATATTTGGATGGTCTTGCCATTCCATTCAATGGAATTGAGATTTTGGTTTCTGTGGAAATAGCATAGTCCAGCATAGCGCCCTACAATGAAAGCTTCGCACTCTGTTTATCTTTTTGCACTTGTAAATTCATGAATCGATTTTCATCAATTATTTTCGCCCTGGTCTCTTTGGCCTCTCAAACGCCTTCTTGACCTCCACCTTCGGATGCAGGTCGCTTTCGATGCTCTCTTCAGAGACATCCTCGGGAGAACTGGCTTCGATTTTCTTGTCAATGGTAAGACCTGCTTCTGCCTCTGCGATTTGTACTGCCGAGCGGGACGAAGCTGCATACAGCATACGCTCCTTGATTTTCGAGCCAGAAGGGCATGTGTATATAAAGAGAATAGGGGAGGAAGAAGTCCCATTGTAAGTGTGCTCGTAGCGGTAAAAGGAGTATCGAGGTTCGGTAGCTGAGATGGTCGAAGACAGAGACGAGATTTGTGTCGAGGTACTGGAGGCTAGCTCCATAGTTTCTGTTGCAATGTTTATTTTCTTGACACATATCAGTAATCCATTGCCTGAGTATTGCTATTTTGAAGGCAGACTCACTATTTGCACCAGATTGTCTCCCCCAGCAGCAAGACTTTTCAGTGCCAGTAAAGCATCATCACTGACGGGCATACTAACTCCCGAGCTGACATGACTCTTTCTCTCGTTCATACCTCTCCCTTCTTCGGCTTCCTTCCTTTTCACCTCTCCCAAACTCTGTTCCTCTTCAGTAAGAGGTGCTTCGAGCGTTACGTGCTTGTCGTGCTTCTCAAAGCCTTGAGTGGTCAACTCCTCCTTGGTCGTTGCAAATATAGTTTCCCGAAACCTCTCGATCCCCAGCTCTCTGACTAGTGTAAGACGTGTCGATGCAAAGAGCATCTTCTGTCGCACTGGGGCCGAGTCGGGAACATATGTGATTGCGACGAATGGCGCATTCTCGGTGCTAGCATAACGCCGCAGGATGATGTAAAGAGCTACATTTGGTTGCAGATGTGGCGCGAGGAGCGAAAGATCATCGGAGAACGAAGATGTAGCAGGGCTGAGGACAGTCAAGGGCGTGAGTGATTCTTTCGTGATGGTGCAGAGGAGACCTCGTTGGTCTTCGGAAGACACGAGAGACTGGAAAGCCGTCTGAAGCTCCTGGGAAGCTGGAATTATCTTGTTAGTTGCCTTAGATATCACAGACAATGAAATACATACCTGATATTCCTGACTGCATGTTGTAGGATTTTTATATTGTTCTGACAGTATGAATTCACGTCCTGGAACAAATGTGTGTCTTCTGCGACGATGTTCCTGAGGTGACGAGGCGGGGCAATTGCGTGGCAGGGATCGACGTGGAGCACCAGGAGGAGCTTCGAAGATTTGATGTGGAGCGACTTTGTGCGTCGACGACGACGTCCCTTTTGCACAAACACACATTATATAGACGAGGAGTCATGGAGGGCGCTCAGCAGACCACATCCGGTCTTATAGGTAAGATATAACTCTATTCACTTTTAATCTCGTCGAGCGCAATATTTGTTTCCAGCGACAAACACCGCCCAAGGACAAAAGAGTTGGTCTCCAAAACACAACCAAAGCAAAATCGCCATGACCCGAATCAGAGATTCTCCCTCTCCTCGACGAGTTATTGTCCCCTTGCAAGAACCTGTCAAGCTGTCTGCTGGGAATGGCATCATCAATCCTCTTGCATCACCGCGAAGACCACCACCCGCTAACCATCTTAAAGATCGCGAGAATGCGACAATTGCAGAACTTCTTACTCGATTTTTAAATCTTGTAAAGCTTGCTGCATCGCCGGTTGAAGAGGGTGCCACGAAGGAGGTTGCTGCTGCACAGGCTTTTGAAATGGAGTGTGAGAGTTCTGCTTTGGTATGATTCTAGATGCCGAACCTCAATACACATCTGACATTGTGCTTGTTCGAATAGGTTCGAGCTTCAGAAGACCTCCTCCAATTGACACGCGAGCTGAAGGAATTGTGGCTTTTTGGGCCCTTGAGAGGCATCAAGGAGGGAGAGGGCGAAGGGAAAATGGACGAAGACTCGATCAAGGTTGGAGAAATGGTCGAGGCTCTTTTGAAAAAGACATCTGGAACGGCATAATGGATACCTTGATTTGAGCAAATTCTTTACTGAATACTAGGCGCTGGGAAAGAATAACAGGCGTTGGGTGTCACGGGAAGCTTAGATACCAGGCGTCATGCCACAATTAGATTATGATGGTCACAGAACAATGGGACATGAAATGCTTTGGATTACTTAATTATCTGAACCTAGTTGGTTTATCGTATGGCGATGAGTGCTGATAGAGCTCGACACAACAAGAAGCTACTGGTCACACTACCATGCCTTTGGGGGAAAGGCTGTACCTATGTATCTGTGGAAGAGAACGCAACGCGACCTTCCAGATGCTAACCTTGATGCTCCGATAGGAAGCGCCAAAGGTGCGTCCTCGTGTTATGGACAGTTTGCTACCTATGCCAAAGAAGGAATCGAACGATTAGCCTTCCTCCCCATTGACATCGGCCTCGTCATCGCTCAGATTTTCAACTCTAGAAGCAGCCTTGCTTTGCTTCGCAGCAGAAATACCAGAAGCAGTGATCCACAAGAAGTAATCTGTTCGGAAGTGATCGATATGATGGAAGAAAGCATGAAACCTGTCATTGTAAGCTAAATATGGGCATTAATCTTGCATAACTCACTGGTGATCTTTTTCTTCCTCTCTGAAAAGCCGATCATAAATTTCCCTTTGCTTGAACTCGTTCATTTCCTTCTCATATTTGTCAAAGTCGATCTTCTCTCTCATGAATTCTTTGAGAGCCTTTTGGTTATAAGAGTCGAATACAGGCCGTTCTAACAAAAGACCCAAGCTCGGAGCTTTAGGAATACTGATGTTGGCTGGACCATATGTCTCCTGGATCAGATCCTTTGACGCGCCACATCGCACCACCAAAGCTGCCATAGCCACCATTTTGCGGATCTGGTGCATCATAAAAGACTGACCATGTACTTTCAAGGACAACCACTCCGTGTCGTTGATAATGACAGGCTCAGAGGCCACTTTGAAAGAACGAATTACTCGTTTGGCGGATGGATCCGAAAAGGTCTTCTGGATAGTGTAATTGTGGAAATTGCGGGTTCCAATGTAACAGTCCAGAGTTTCTTGAACTCTTTGCTTCCGGTTTGGTGAGACGCGATATGCCTTTTTTGCAATGATATACGCTGCTTTGACCTCTTTGATAGCTGCCTCGAGAGGTGTGAGAACTGATTTCGATTCCTCGATATTTTCGCTCTTGACGTTTGTTGATTCACCATTGCTTTCCTTCTTGATGTCGACCAGATTCGCAGATCCTTCAATCTTGCTTTTAAGGCCATCGTCTTCCGTCTTGATGTCAACATCACCTCCAGTCTTGGTGTCGGTCTGACCATCAACTGTTTCGTTCTTGATCTCAGTTGTCCCTTCATCCCTTTCGCTCTCCAATTTGTCCGATTGCTCGACCCCCTCACTTTTTACATCTGCTGCCTCCTCCTTCTTGGGCACGAGATTTTCTTCCTCTGAGGAATGAATTGAGGTCATGACAGCTTCTCGAAGCTCAGGATCCAACTTTTCTAAGATTGGATTGACATATTTCTCCTCTGTTTCTTTCCAAAATGAGGCAACATCTTCCTGCAAAGACTGATATGTCTCAAATACACCTTCTTTTTCGGCAGATTCGACCAGTTTCTTGCCTAGAAAGCTCTGTGGATGTGGTGGTAGGAAAGAATAGGTAGGAATCAGGTATTCGTACCATCGAGAATCGCAAGTCTGGTAACAACTGAAAGCGCCATTGGTTCGTTCGATTCCCCATACCCGAATCTGCGGCGGCAAATGCTCATTAATGATCTGAACAATATTCGGGTCTTCAACAATAAGTTTGAGAGAGATAACATTCCCAGCAGCATGTACGCCCTTGTCGGTACGTGCACATCGTACAAGTGAGGATTTCTTCGGGTCATCGGCATTGGCTTTGGATATAGCTCCTGCTGCCACGAAAGCCTTGAATAAATCTCCCTCAATCGTCCTTTCTGAAGCGTTGATCTGCATACCCTTGTAGCCAGTACCGGCATAGCCAATCATTACTGCGACTTTGCGCTTGGGTTTTCGAGATTCGGCTTCAATCTCTTCTTTGGAGAATGGGCTTGCAGTCTCTCCGGCAATCGCGCCATCTTCTAACTTTCGGCGCTTTGCTTCTTGCTGGTCATCGTTCCTCTGCCTCCTGTCTACACGAGTAGAACTCGATTAGTTAGTTAAGCAAGGCATGATAGTATGTCATTAACGTACTCCCATTCCTTTCGACCCACTTCTCTTTTCTTGTTGCGACCACCTTGATCTTTTGATCCAAATCCACGACCTCTGCCTCTGTCCCCTCGTCCTCGCCCACGACTGCCCCGATTCCTGCCTTCACCGCGGCCCCTCGAATCAGTCGGTGAGGAATGTTGGGTCTTTGGCGCACTGTCACCTGAACCGGCCGCTTGCTGAGCTGCAGGAGGGTTGTCGGCCATTTCAGTCGTTTGAAAGCTTTCATAGCCTTCAATTGAAAACAGAAAGGAATTTTGACAGCCTCGAGAAATGCCCACTTCGAAGGCTGACTTTTTGAGCCGCTAGTCCCTAAGTAGACTAGACGGTCTCCACTAATCTGCAGCCTCGTCAACTTCAAAGGCAGCGACCGCATCGCAGCCTTCGACCTTTGACAATACCATCTTCCTTCCCACAATTGTATTTTATTAGGGACTTCGAAAAACCAACTCTACGTTCTTCAACTTCCTGTCATTTACAGCTCTGGCAGTGTTGATGCCTAACGTGAATAATGGGCATCTTTGACTCCCATTAAGCTCACCTTCATTGTTCTTTGGCCTTCTTTGAAGTCCTTCCTCTCTTTCCACGGCGACTTCTCGAACACCCCGCAATCTTTTCAGCTGGAGCTCAGGACCAAATATTCGCTCCTCGATCTCTTCACAACTCCGAACCCTTCAACCCGGCCCGTATTTCTGATCAGGTAGCGGTGATGGAGTTGGCGCAAAGTCTCGTGCGCTCCTGCGTTCGGTCCTTCTACGAGACGAAGCATATTCTGGTCATTGACGCACTCATCCTTCATTCGGCGTATGTCTAAGGGCGAGCCCCGGGGACCAAAACAACGTGCTAACGTGGGCATTAGTCTGCGAGATGACGATATGGCATACTTGATGGGCATGAACACAAAGGAGTTGCACAAGCTGTGCGGGCGATTGAAAGAGGATCGCTTTCTTGCAGTGTATGTCCGGCGTTACATGCGGGATTCTTGATGCTAATGCATGGTGTGGATAGTCACACTCGTGCTGAAGTCAAAGAGGGACAGCAACGTCCGATGAATCGAACCTACTACTTCATCGATTATCGTGCAACCATCGATGCAATCAAATGGCGAGTTTATTTGATGAACAAGAAAGTGCAAGGAAATACAGTTCCCGAAGCCGAGCGCAAGGAGTGGTTCTGTTCCAGATGCAAGTCGGAATGGACACAGATTGAGGTTCTCGACAAATGGTTACCTGAAAGTGGCTTTCTTTGCCATAAGTGCGGCAACGTGCTCATACACGATGTGGAAAACAATCGTGGTGGCCATGAACAGTCTACCAAGTATCATGCTCAGTTCAGGTTCATCACGGATATGTTGCCAAAACTCGACGAAGTCATTGTCCCCGAGAACAATTTCGATCGTGCCTTCGCTTCACAGTTGAAAGTCATTCGAGATGAGACGAACCCGGCCAACGAAACAGCACCTGTCGATGCGGCAGCAGCGAAACCCACCGCTGTTCGTGGTATGGCAAATGTTGGACCAACCTCGATCTCAGTTACTCTTACAGCATCAGAGGGTCCTACAGAAGCGGACATTGCGGCTGAACAAGCTCGAAAGGAAAAGATCGCTTCGCAAAATGCCATGCCAGTCCATTTCTCTCACAGTACAATCACTGGAGAGCAGGTCAAGTTCGCTCAGTCATCACATCAACCTTCTCAATCCCTGGAGCACGACAAGAAGAGTGTTGGCGCGGATACTCCTTTGATGAATGGGGATGGTGCTGAAATTGATGATTATTTTGCAAGACTGAAAGCCGAGCAACAGAAGGAGGCTGAGCGTGAGAAAGATGAGGAGTATGAGACAGATGACGAGGAAGATGAAGAGGACTTCGAGGATGTAGTTCCCACCGGAACAGGATCGGGCATTGGAACTCCAGCCAGTTCAGCGGGAGATTCTAAGCCTAATCTTGTCTCACTGGCGAATGGTCTACCAGGAGTCTTGAAGAAGGGTGGTAGTGCATCAGCCAGTGGGACGAGCACTGGGGCAACGAGTCCGGTAACAGGACCTGGGACACCAAACGATGAGGGGAGACCTACGAAGAGGGTTCGGATCGAGGAGCCAGTGCCAAAGGAGGAAGAGAGCGAGGAGGATATGGAGTTTGAGGATGTCTAAAACGACATTGGTCTTTCTCCATAATTGCATTGCTTTTAGCGTGGCGGGTGCATTTGATGTCGGCGTTTAGGAAAAGTGCCTTCACCGGTGGAGAGTGGGGAATGATATCTTGGCGTTGCTTTGCGAATATTTGAAGACATTGTCAGCTCAACTAGACTGCTGGCAATGCATGGTGTAAAATGTACAAAATGAGTCTATGAATGAATGTCACTGCATATTGTGATGTTATTGTCGCATGTCTGAGCCATTCTAGTACCTATTAAATCCACCACTTTAGCGGGGTAAGATTACGCTACGTGCCTAATACTTTTAGACTCCCTACTACAGGAGGACATGAATACTACACATCCACGTGTCTAAGAGCTTGAAGAAATGTTTCACTTCTTCGATAATATGCACAGCATCGAAAACGCTTTGGTGGGTTGCACCTGCAGCCTACTTCCATGACATCAGTAAAGATATTTGGCTACTCCGCCACTTTCATATTGCGACCACGCGCAAAGTTGGAACCACCATGGCGTTGAAGTTCCCAGCAATATACCTTCTCAAAACCGAAATTGAAAGGGACCCACAAGAGCTTCATCGCCTCGAAAAAGAGATAAATGTGGTTGTATGTTTTAGATTCCGGAGATAATCCAAGTGTTTTGGCAGTCGGCCAGCCAACCCTTCTTCGATCGGCCCCTGCTCCCTTCGCCGCCTCAAGAAACTCTATGCTGACTTGCCAATAGTGGAATCCAAAGGAGGCGAAACTCTTTCTCGGGGAGATAAATACGCCAAAGCGCGCCATACTTGAACTTCGCAAGATAGGCTTGGATACGGAGGATGTCACCACGCAAAGCAAAAGACATCTTGATGGTGGCGATGTCCAGAGCTCGCCATCAACCAACTCCAGCAAGCGGCGCAAGGTAGAAATGACTGTGGGTGGTGGAAAAGAGGTAATTGCAATCGATTCTGGCTCGGAAACAGAATCAGATCACGATCTATTGCCGGCAACAACGACGCCACGGGAGAGCAGTCTTCCGCTCCATAGCAAAGACAGGCCACCAGGACTTGCAAACTCAAGCCTACAGGATCTCGGAACCAATAATGTTGTCTCGGTTCTGAAACTTTCTTGGTACAAAGACTCCCTCAATTCAGGCGGACTCCTTCCCTATGACAACTATCTAGTGTACCAAGGCAAGATAACCTCAGGGCTCAAACACCAGCCAGGTAAAGTTACAGTACGTCCGAAAGGAATTCAAATTCTTACTCGAGCCAAGGAGGATGCACCGCCACCTAATGCTAAAAGAAGTCATGGCAGGCATACCTCTCGAGCATCCCGAGCTCATTATAGCCAATTGTCAAGCCAGCCAGCGCTGCTTCACGAAACGACTGTGGAACACGAGGGAACTGATATGCTCCCTATCCCAGATTTTCTCCATACAATCTACTCTTGTCAGCGTCCTACTCCTCTTCATTGTCCCAACGAGGCCTTCCTCGCTCAACTGAGGATCATCAAGCAGGCACGAAAACTCGAGCACGAGGAGATGAGGTCCCGTGCCTACTCTGGTGGTATTGCAACTATTGCCTCTTATCCTCACACTCTGATGTCTGCACGAGAAGTCTACAGATTGCCGAATTGTGGGGGCAAGATAGCTACTTTGTGGCGAGAATGGCATGAGACTGGGCACATCGCTGAAGTAGACCGTATTGAATCAGATCCGCGGATGCAGGCGCTCAACATCTTCTATGGCATACACGATGTCGGAGATTCAGGGGCCAAGAAATTCTATGAGAGGGGTTGGAGAGACCTTGATGATGTGATTGAGTTCGGCTGGGACAATGTACTTACCAGGAATCAACAAATCGGAGTGAAATATTACGACGAATTCCAGCTCAGGATCTCAAGGACAGAAGTGGAGAGCACGGCCAACATAATTCTGGACTATGCAAATAGGATACGAGACGGCTTTCAAATGGTAATATGTGGAGGGTATCGGCGAGGGAAGTCGGATTGTGGCGACGTCGACGTGGTCTTGACCCATCCCGACGAAGAAGCTACGTCTATGTTTCTACAAACACTGCTGGAAAACTTAGAAGAAGATTCGTACATTACTCACCGGTTGACAGTATCGACGAGGAATAGTGACCGAGGACAATCTCCAGTCAGTTGGAAAGGCAAGCGGAAAGCTGGCTCCGGCTTTGACACACTCGACCATGCATTTGTCGTCTGGCAAAATACTCAGTGGCCGTCCCAGGTTGAAGATTTGAAGAAGGATCCGAATTTCAAGAATCCCAATCCCCACCGACGAGTCGATATCATTGTCACTCCATGGAAGACGGCTGGTTGCGCTATCATCGGATGGTCAGGCGGAACGATGTTCGAGAGGGATTTGAGGAAATACTGCAATGACAAGCTAAATCTGAAATTTGATAGCAGTGGTGTCAGGAAGAGGGAAGGTTATGATGAGGGAGCTTGGGTTGATTTGGAAGCCGGGGACGGTGACTTGTTGGTTAAGGAGAAAAGAGTATTTTCTGGATTGGGGTTGGAGTGGAGAGACCCTACCGAAAGATGCACCGATTGAGGAAGTTTGCTCGGAAAGCACTACCCGATCTTGGTAGAGCATGTTTTTTCAATGTGTTTTACAATTTCATAATACTTAGTCTTGGTAGGACCCTGACCGTTATGCATCTTACACTTTCAGAACATCCATTGCCTTCTCAAAATCTCCGTACAAGTTCCGACACTTCCAGAACATCCATCATATATCTCCACAAAGTCCGTACAATTGCCATACACTTCCAGAACATCCATCATATATCTTCACAAAGTCCAGCAAACAGAGAGACATCTGAATCTAGTAGTCCTCACCCTCGGCCAGCAGTAGCATTTGAACCAAGACACCTTTGCCGTCATTCTCGGGAAAGATCTTCAAAGCATTCGTGAAGCTCGAACGATTACCAGCTACGACTTCGAGAACGCCATCTTTGTCAGGTAGGTAGATGTACAACTTTGTGACATTCATTTGCCAGGTCGCACCGCAAACATTGAAAAGTCCGTCAATCGAGTGGACATTAGAAAGGTCGACTGAGCGGAAGACGTTCCTAATCTTTCGACGAACCAGAAAGACGAGATGGTCATGATGGGGCGGCAAAAGTGGAAGCGGTGGAGCGACAGAAACCCTGGCTGGTGTGGATAATCCCGAAAGGCTTTCGATCCGTCTATGCGTTCCAACACTCTGGCTCGGTGTTCCAACACTTTGGCTAGGCGTTCCAATACTTCGGTTAGGTGTTTCACTACGGCGGCTAGGTGATCCGACACTGCGGTTACCAATTGAATAGGCTCCGTTAGGTTCCTTCTTCGTCTTGCGTCGCTTCAGAGGGGTCTTGGTATCTTCGGCCTCGTCCTTGACTTTCCGGCTGGCCTTCTCATCTCTCAATTTTGTACAGCGGCGACAGTGCCACTATAAAACGTTAGCCTCACTTCCCATTCATCGTAAATGTTAATAACATACATGTTCATGATCCTCGGGAGTACGGGCAATGGCGTAGCAACGCTGATGGAAGTGACAACGACATTGGTGGCATTTGAACAGAGCATTATCGGCCATGTTAGACTGAGGGCTGCCGCAGACAAAACAATCCTCAGTGTCGAATGATTTGAAGAAATTGGCTTCCTCTAGATCCAAGGCATTTGGTAGTCCATTGCTCTTCAGGCATTCGAACAATAGCGCCATGTTCACTCGGATTGTCTGCTCATCTTCTAGTTCTGACCAAATCAACCTGGTGGACTGTCCATCGATAACCACTAAGCTGTTCTCCCCTAATTTTCAGTAAGCCAAAGGTCATCCAAGCAAAACGGAGCACTTACAGCCAGCATCGTGAGGAAGGATCGGTGGAAAGAATATAGTTCCTCCTTTACAAGCTTCCAAGAACGTATTGACAACTTCGATGAATGCACTACTGAATACTAAGCTTGGGCGACCATCTGGTCTGACGTCTCGAGGGGCAATTCGACCACGGGCATTCAGATATGTCTTGGTGTAACCAGTGAATTGACGAATTGCTTGGACGACGTCCTTGTGTAGTTGGGAGTTCTCGACGATACCAAGGTTGAACATACAATCACCCATAGAGATTGGGCGTTTCGCAAGTTCAGTACGATTGTTGATACCAGCTTGGGAAAGGACTCCACGCTTGGCGCGCGTCGGTGTACTGTGTTGGGACATACCTTCGGACGCGTATGAGGTTGTCGGGGTGGTTTGAAGACAAAGTTGGGATGAAAGGTTGTGCGTGTTCCGTGTTTGGAAGGAACTGGACCTACGCGTCTTCCGCAGTATGCTTGACCAGACAACAATTGGGAAGGGAAGGCGCTCTCAAGCTGACGTGAATGTGACGTGGACTTGACGTGAACTTGATGAATTTCCACAAAGAGTTGGAGTTGAAGTTGGAGGGGTTTTTTATGTTGTGACTTGATTAGCGTGCTACTCGCCTCGCTTTTTGGCCTCCTCTGCTTCTCGCTTCCTAGCCAGATACCTCTCTTTGGCACTCATGATATCACCTTCTGTCTTTCTACTCTTCGAGGCTCGCTCGATCTTCTCTCTCTCTTCCTCCTCCTGCTCCAACGCCCTCTTAGTTGCTTGTTCTAATTGTGCCTCCATCATTCTCGATTGCCGTTCTCTCATTGCCTGCTTGCTACCTCCTGCACCAACAAAGCCTGAACCTCTGCTTCTGTCTGCAACCGAAGCACCTCCACGCGACGCGTTCGCAGCCACCGAGTTCTTAGGCTTTGGGACGATGTTCAGACCTCCTTTTAGTAGTTGCCGCTTGTCCACGACTTGACCTTCGTCGTTGACAGCGATGCCAGCTCCAGTCTTTTCGTTAATCTCACGTGCCAGATCAGCCTCCGTCTTCTCTTTTTCTTGCTCCTCTTCCTCGACTGGACCCTGTTGGAGTCTGTCTTCCGCGGCTCTGACAACTTCTGCATGCTTCTGTTCTCCTTTCTCGAGCATACTCTTGTAGAAGCTAGTCATGCCAGTTCCTTTGTTTTTCTTTGCCTCTGCCTCTTCCCTGATCTTCTCCTCTTCCTCTAGGCGACGATTCTCTTCTTGCTGCTTTTTGTATGCTGACGTGACAAACTTCTCCTTGTCGGCATACTCATCTCCTTCTGCTTCTCTTTCTCTTGCCAGCTTCTTCTCTTCGGCTATAGTGGCATCACGCTTTCGTACGGCCGCTGCAGCCAGCAGGTTGCTCATATACTTGGGCTTCCTCTCTTTGTCTTCTTGGGTGATCTTCTTTTGTGGTTTCAAAGAATCGTAGACTGCATCATAATCATAGATATTCGCATCCAGTTCCTCTGCAGTCTCTGCATGCTTCTTTGAAGTGAATGCCGAAGAAAGGTCGCCATACATGCTGACAGGGGCTTTCTTGGGATTTGCCTTGAGTGGTGGTTTGGCACCTTTTGAGAGTCCCGAGGAAGCATTCTTTGCTGACTTTGGGGCTGTTGTTTCTTCGAATATGCTACCAATTTCGCCAATTTCTTCAACGCCAACGTTCCGGTTGTTCTCCCCATCTGAATCGTCCTCGGCATCAAAGATTGCTATCCGCTTGCCGGGCTGAGGCCTATTACCTTGAGGTTTCTTGGTGAGGTTGAGACCGTAAGTCAAGCCTGCTCCGGACATCTTGACTGAGCAAATTTCGTGATGAAAGTATGGAATGGTATAGTTTTGTCTTCATGAACGTCAAATATGACGGGGCTGCAAGCGGCCGCTAGTGTGAGGGAGCGATAAGAATTTCTTATCCGCCCAGGTTCCTTCCAACTTGACCGTAAATTCATCAACAAACTCCGGCGATGAGTATTCGACAGATCGGCCTCTTCTTGACTGAGGTAGATGCAGAACAGAATCTAAGCGGTCGGTTTCAACTAGCATGGAGTCAAACGATAACGGAGACCGGGACAGCGCAAGCGCAGATCATAACACGAGAGATGCAGAGCGCGAGCGATCCGAACCCGTGAAGTCGAGATTCAAGTTCAAGTCGAAAAGAAAGTCGAGTCGGCGTGACAGGTCTCGAAGCCCAGTAGAGGAAAGTCATCGCGACAAGGAAAGAGAACGCCATAAACACCGATCAAAGCGGCGGAGACACTCTCCTCAACCAGAATTAGACGACCCCTCATTATACGACGACACTCATCTTCCTAATGCCTCTTCCGGTCAATACTTGGATCCAGATGCAGCCTTCAGAGAAAGTCTGTTCGACGCGATGGCGGACGACGAAGGAGCACAATTTTGGGAGGGCGTTTACGGCCAACCAATACATACGTACCCTGACGTGAAGCAGGGTCCTGACGGAGAACTGGAGCGCATGACAGACGAAGAGTATACGGCCTTCGTACGCGCGAAGATGTACGAGAAGACTCATCAGCATCTGATTGAGGAGAAAGCTCGTCGAGACGGTGCTAAGAAGGAAAGGGAGCGAGCAGCCAAGGAAGGGGCCAAAGAAGCACGAGAAGCAGATAGGTTTAGAAGGAAGGTCGAGGAAAGCCTGCGGAGAGGTGAGGAGAGGAAAGCTAATAAGGCTTGGGCGGAGAAATGGAATGCTTATATTGAGAAATGGGAGAGACTTGAGAAAGGAGTCTTAGGAAGTGTTGCTCTTGCATCTATACCTTGGCCTGTCGAGAGTGGCAAGCGGAAGGATATCGGATCCAAGGAGATTGAACGCTTCTTCTTGTATGGACCAACTGCTGGACAACCTACTGAAGCACAGCTCAGTAAAGTCTTGAAAGCAGAAAGAGTACGATGGCATCCTGATAAGATCCAGCAGAAATTGGGAGGTCAAAGTGTCAGCGAGGAGGTGATGCAAGCAGTAACCGCTGTTTTCCAAGCTATTGATACCCTCTGGGGGGAGATGAGAGACAGCAAGAAGTGATTCATTTGAGACATGACATGGCATAACAACGGCGTTCATAGATAGGTAGATACCCAAAAGTGTGCAGCACGAACAATTCAATAGGAAGATTGTGACAGATTTCATGGCCAAGTCCCTCGGTATAAAATCACACACAGGTAAGTGATTGGTGTGAGAGAAGTTTTCGCCAGGCCCAGACGCAGCAGCGGGGGCCGCGGCGAGTGTAGCCCCCAGGGTGTCCTACCTGCAGCAGTTCGCAGACCAAGTGGTACAAATTTTCTACCTACCTACCTAAGTAGGCATCGGGATGTTTTTGACACTGTTACTGAGCACGTGGTACCTCGGAGCATTAAATCAAGATGGAAGGATTCGATGTCAAGTCTGTCCTTCGAAGAAAGTAGTACAAAGTTATCATCAAAGGGAACATGTAGAGATCGCGCACCTGGAAGTATACAGTCATTCAGAGCTGCATCGTCCTTGCAAACCATGAGAAAGAGGCCATGTACTTAACCTTTAGGCTCCCCACCAGACTTGCTCCTCTGTGTTCTTTACCACTTTTTATATGTATAGGTAGGTATCTTAGATAGCATGGACTTTGTCTTCTTTATGCCACGATCCATAGCAGACCGAAATAGATCGTCACTGGCCGGGTATCCAGATCCGTGATGATCAGATTATCAATGACATGGAATCCATTATGTGGGTGCACCTCTTAAATCTCAAATTCGTTATCAACATGCATCTTAAGTATACCTGCCTGCATCCGAACAGTAAGCTGGTGATGAACTTGGGACAAGGATCAAAAAGACCCATGCGCCTCTTCTCCTCGCCTTTCCCATCTCCCTTTTCATCCTCCTCCTCCTCCTCAAGGGCCGGTCAAGGCACCTTTTGTACCTCTGCGCCCAGAGTCATTATCATCGATGAGTGTATTTGCTTTTTTGGCATCCCAAGAAATGCTCGTCGTCAACTTGTCCTGTTGGTGACGGCACAACACGACGCTAGACCCCTCTCGGGGTGTCCGTTCAATCGCTGCTGTAACCCCTCCATTCTGCGCTCATCCTCTCTTCCCGCAACCTTCTCCTCGTTCACCTCCAACCTGAACCTCCTTCTCCCTCCACTCTACGGCCGACGGGCACTCAATTGATTCACTAATATCGCATCAATTGACAATCCATTGGCAGACCTCCAGATTGCTTCTTTTTGCGACCGCTGTAGTTGTCTGCAGTCCGCCTGCGCCAATTGCGACACTAAGACGACGACTGCACCAAGCCGCATTCCTTCTCGGTCGCTGTTGCTTGTCAGATTTGCACCAGCCAGCAAATTGACCGAGTTAGAGAGAGACATTCCAGAACGTCGAAAGAGCTTCTCTCGTGTCAAACCTTCCGCACAAGCCTCCTAATTCAAAGATCTCCCTCATCCGCCGCAGGTATACGCTCGACTTCTACCCTCCCAGCCTTGATACCGGGCTTCTTGCTGGCCAGTCGACCCTGCCTCGACACAGCACTTTGCCATTGCTTCATATGCCGACATTAGGCTTTCTCAAGAAGAAACGGACGAAGGAGTCGCCGGGTCAAAAAGATCTTGCCTCTCCTACTTCAACTTCTAGTCAAGCTACAAGTCCGGTGACCCCAACATCTTCCAGAGGCTTTGAGAATTCCATAACCACAGTCTCCACGCATTCTACCACACATTCTACCACACCACAAACTCAAAGCACTTCCCAGCCTTCTGCTTCTGCTCAGCAAGAAGCTCCCACCGCTGTGGGTGAGCAACAGCCAATGACGACGCAAGGGGTTAGTTACCAGCAGCAGGCTTATGCTCCGAGCCAGTATCAGGATATAAAATCTGCAACTAACGCGGATCACCAGAATCTACCTACTATCAACAACCTCATCAATCCACCTCAAACCGACGGCGCTACCCAATCGAAGGCAGATCAGACACCATCCGACGCCTCGAATGGTCAAGCCCGACAACCTGAATCACAACAGCTGAAGCCTGCTCAGGCAATGCCTCAAATCACCCAAGTCAGACAAACCAAGGGCAAATACTCATTGGGAGACTTCGAAATTCTGCGGACATTAGGCACGGGCAGCTTCGGAAGAGTACACCTTGTGCAGTCGAAGCACAACTCTCGATTCTATGCGGTCAAGGTTCTGAAGAAGGCGCAGGTGGTCAAGATGAAGCAAGTTGAGCACACAAATGATGAGAGGCGGATGCTGCAAGAAGTCAAGCACCCATTCCTCATCACGCTCTGGGGCACGTTTCAAGACTCCAAGAACTTATACATGGTGATGGATTTCGTAGAAGGAGGAGAGCTCTTCTCGCTCCTGCGGAAGTCGCAAGTAAGTCTCCCATTTACATACAGTGTGGAATCGTACTGACACAAATGTATAGAGGTTTCCTAACCCGGTAGCCAAGTTCTATGCTGCTGAAGTGACCTTGGCGCTGGAATATCTCCATGGCAAGGATATCATATACAGAGATCTAAAGCCCGAAAACTTGTTACTCGATCGCCATGGTCACCTCAAGATCACAGACTTCGGATTCGCAAAAAAGGTCCCAGATATCACTTGGACTTTGTGCGGGACACCAGATTATTTAGCCCCCGAAGTCGTCTCGAGTAAAGGATACAATAAATCGGTGGACTGGTAAGTTTTCCCAACTTTCAGGTTAAGCAGCAATTGATTTTTGTTCAGGTGGTCTCTTGGGATCCTGATTTTCGAAATGCTTTGCGGATTCACACCTTTCTGGGACGGTGGTTCGCCTATGAAGATTTACGAGAATATCCTCAAAGGACGAGTCAAATATCCGCCTTATATCCATCCAGATGCGCAAGACCTCCTCCAGCGTCTCATCACAGCGGATCTCACCAAGCGATTGGGCAATACACATGGAGGCGCCGAGGGCGTTAAAAATCATCAATGGTTCGCTGAAGTCACTTGGGACCGGCTGGCTAAGAAGGACATCGATGCTCCCTATGTGCCACCAGTCAAAGCTGGTGTTGGCGATGCAAGCCAATTTGACAAGTACCCAGAAGAAACGGAGTCTTATGGGCAACACGGTCATGATGAGTATGTTTTCAAGCCTAACAGTGGGAGAGTTTACTAACTGAAGTGTACAGGTACGCGAAGCTCTTCCATGACTTCTAAGCTCCTAAATCTCTGGCTCCTTATACCTTGTCAATACAACACTCTCTTTTACTCTCTTGCGGATCGCACAACGCTGGACATATACTCAGAAACGGTCACCTTATCATGTTTATTGAAAGTCAATGGTGGCGGTGAAAAATGAACGGCGGTGCGAAGGACGGCGGTGGTGTTGTCTTGGGACGAATTGTAGGGGTTTGGGTAGGATGGGCGTCATTATAGTTTACCTGATATATTTTGGAAGAAGAATGATTAGGCTTCGAAGCCTGATAATGATTCAGGACGTTCTTGGACGCCATTCTGGTCGGGTATTGAAATATCACCTAGGCCAACAAGTCCCACACTAATGGAATCATTGAGACGGACATCCATTCTCTGTGTGTTGACGAATGTCTGAGTGATTCCCTACTAATAGTGATTATCGGCACAGTAATAAATACGCTTCTTTCAAACGTATGGGCATTCAAACGAAGGGACTTGACGCCATGATTCTCATAAGGTCTTCATCGCGGATTACTACCATAAACAAATGTCGAGTTCACAATTTAGACAGTAGGAAAAAGGGGTTGCTAACCGAGAGCACAGAACGAGCCCCTGACTCTTTTCAGATCTTCGACTAGATAATTGTTCATCAACTCAACGAATAGGTCCTAAATGAATGGCAACCCGCGATGTATCCCATCCAAGTGGTTGATGTGTGTCTTTATGTGTGACATCTGGCGATTGATGCCATGTTATTACTCATATAATCGTTTTCCTAGATATCACTCCTTGCAGATATGCTCTGATCAGTAATTTTAGGAGAAGCGCTCAGCAACATCGTGCTTAACGCTAATGCAGATTTGAACTTTCTATGTGATTACAATTTTGCGTGTAGATGAGAAGGATAGCAGGTCAAGATTTCTCCGTTCAGTGGATGAGATTGTGCCTGTGAGGCGACCAATTGTTAGGTGTTTGGACGATTTGGGACTAGATGGTTTCAATTATGATTATGTCGAGTAACCAGATTGGGGTCGGCGTTAGTGATTATTCTCCCCTTGTTACTGGGGAGATGACAATCATTGGTGGGATATTGAAATTTCAGGTTAACATGAGGATCGGACAAGACAGGCGAATCGTGTCAAAGAGACCGAATATGATGTGATGAGCTTAGCCCTATGTAAACAGAATTGTTTCTTTTCAAGGCGTCCAAAAACAGGTTTACCAGAACATATCACGTAAATTCGTCAGCTTATGGTAGGACACCTCACACCGAGCGTTGAAGATCATGTAGTACCATGCAAGGCTAGAATTCCAAGAACCCCATGCAAATATTATTTACAACTTTCCAAACAATAACACATATCCCCATTTCCATAACTCAAGTGACCCTTATTACATGTTGGCAACGAGAGCAGCGCCACCGAAGAGAGCGCCGAGGCCAATAGCACCAGTGGGGTAGGCGGCAGCGTTGGAGGAAGAGGAGGAAGCAGCCGATGCCTTGGAAGAGGCAGCAGAGCTGACAGATGAAGCTTTGGAAGAGATTGAGGAGGAGAGAGACGACTCTCGGGATGAGATGGAGGAGCTCAAGGAAGATGCGAGGGACGAGGCGGATGAGCCGGTGGCAGTGATCGAGGTTGAACCTGCAGATGCAGCAGAGCTGATGGAAGAACCCACTGATGAGGCGGCGGAAGAGAGGGAAGATGCATCAGAGGTTGCTCCGGATGCGAGGGAAGATGCGACTGAGGATGCTGCTCCAGTCGCTGTAGACAAGGCACCGCTCAAGTCCGATGTGACAGTGGAAAGTGCGCCTCCTTGACCCTAGAATATTGTCAGTATTTCGGAACAGGCGGTCCAGGAAGATTTATATTAACATACAGCAACGGCAGTGGCAAGAGCCAAAACGACGATGTTCTTGAATTGCATTTTGATAGAGATTGAGGTTAAAGTTCTTGGAAAGAGAAGTCGAATTGGGATAGAGTAATACTGTCAGAAGCTGCGTTGGCGAGAGGGAAAAAACATAAGCAAGGAGATTCCAACTTATATATGCGTAGGCCACTGGTCTAAAGTTGGTCAACAGTCTAGAGACTTCTAGGCGTTGACTGCAGGCTATCGAGTAGTACTACGTCATAAGGTCTGTGAGTGGTCCTGCAATTGGATTGTTTCCGATTTAAGAGCTCGACGACCGATGGACGAGTGGAGTAGCAAAGACGAAGCTCCACAAGCCAGGATGCTCCAGGTATGGAGCCGCACCGCCCCGTCGACGCCACCCCGCCAACAAATCCTGGCAACAGAAAGGTTATGTTGTTGGTGTCTGGCCAATAATCACGCATCTCCGCACCAGAAGAGGAAGATCTTAGGGCATCAAATTTGTCAGACAGGGTATGTTGGGTGGCTTTGACTGGTGAGACGTCGTGTTCGGTGCCAGTTGTAGCTTCGATTCACAACCTCGCAAGTTGCACAACCGCTGAATTAGGACCAAAGCGTCGTAGTGCACTGAAGCCAAGCAGGTTCCGGGATTGCGAAACGAGCGATTTTCCGGAGTGCAGCAAGGATTTGTCCGGCGGGTGGTCCAGACCAGGAGTCAGCATGAGCAGTTGGTTGTATGCATTTAGGACAGACCGCATTGGCTTGTTGTTGTTGTTGTTGTTGTTGTCATTTCCGCACCCGGTTTTCGATCCAGCAAACGTCTTTCTAGAGCCAGAAAGACTGAAGTAGACCGAAAGCTAGTCGTTCACCGGCACGGCTGTGCAGAAGTAGAGCTAACACCAGCCACATCAAAAGCCGAGTAGATTTGCCCAGCCTACAGGACAATGGATATCTTTGGACGTCGTTCATTAGCCAAAAGTGAAATGTGGCGCTCACCATAATGACCACATGGATCGTCGCTAGGATTTTCCCCATACTGTGGCCGCATCCGTATTAGCGTGTGGCGTTACGTTGCGTTCTTCCTGTTGCACTCGCCTCGTGGTGGCACATCATCACATCATTCTCCATTCTTTGTCGTCATAACGTCTGCATAAAATAGTGCACAGAGATACTGCGAAGAAAGCTGTAACCGGGTCCCGCCGTATGCTCCCGCGCTTCTGTGCTGGCAAGGTGGTGTATATTGAGCTTAATAGTCAATGCTGACGGCCTTGGTCGTGTTTCGGGGTCAGAATTGACGAAGGATGTCCCTGTAAGCACCGCCTTCTGCTCCTCTTTTGGCTCTGGCCGTGGCTGGGATGGTCTAGCACGAGGAGGCCAATCCGCAGGGAGCAAGTGTGGAAAAGGATGATGTTGGCAGGCCAAAAAAAATAGCGAATTATAGAACTCAATTCTAGAAAATTCATAACGTCCACCAATCGGTACTTAATCTAAGAGATCCTTGCGGTTGGATCAAGAATACAGCCTCATGAGCAATCAGGACTGGAGCGATGGAAGCATGCAAGCTAATGTAAGGCTGTTTGTTGCGAGGACTTGTCATTTAAGGCTGGTGCTATTGTTGGTCAGCACGACCCAGGCAATACAACAGAGTCGGCACCACTCGAAGTCTGGTAGGCTTGGGCGGTATGTGTCTTTTGTAAGCTTGATATCCTCCTCATGGCACAACCTGCTCCTTTCCTCTATCAGTGGCCCCCCTTCCTTCGTGCTTCTGCGATTGGTGACCTGATAGATAGATCGATCGAGGCCTCTATTCCAGTTCACAGAATCTTGCGTGGCGATGCTTTGTTCTGAAGACTGGGGCTCTACTTCTTACCGGGAGCTTCCCTGATAGCCCTGTTGGAAGTTTTCCGCAAAGCTGTCCGGATAGGGCTGATAGCCTTGTGCAAATTTGTACCGTCCAGATAGGCAGTTGGCCAGAAGGTACGACTCTCAAAAGGCCTTAAAGGTAGTTCTCGACAAGCCGATACAATAAGCTCCCCTGGACCTCGAGATCCCTGTCTTAAGATTGACGGTGATGAAATCTGCCAGAGGATGCTTTCAATAACCAACAAGCACGAGTATACCCCAAAGGGAGTGTTTGCAAGTACACAGAGGCTGGCAAACAGGAAAAATGTCCCGACTCTGAGTATCACAAGGATATGAGCAAAACACAGCTGATGATTCGGTTGTATCGATTGGGAGGTGTTCACATTCACGAAAGATGGAAGAGGCACGGCTTCTTATCAACGAAAGAGGAAGTGTCGGGCCAACAGGGGGAAAAGTCTGATTACGCTGCGTACATGCACTCAAGTGCACATGAGGCACGTTCTGAGTCGGCCTGCTTTCTTCTTTGAGCTCAATATCTATTGTGCCCCATGAAGAACGGGCTTCATGTAGCAGAATATCCGAGCTGTAACGCCCATGATTGGCTGTCCTATCTTTTCGACCCAAAGTTTCTTTTCTGGGCGAATAAAATAGCCACTATATATAGCCTTTCGACATAGTATAGCATGTTGTATTGTGTCCAGTATTGCAGATGTAGGACTGAGGCTATATCTCGGTTGGGCGAGGCTCAATCAAGATGAATTGCCTGGTGGGGCATGCCGGTCCGATGCAAATGATCTCTTGCTGAAGAGCCGCAGATGACGATAATCTGGGGGATGAACGCTGCAGGAATCAGGATTCATACCCAACCATAACGCTTGCCCCACTCGCATATTTTCAGGGACCACCGGGACAATCGACATCATAGCCCATTCGGTACTCTCAAACACTGTGGTAGGGTGAGATGCCTTTCTTGATCTCGAAGACGATCTCTGCAGCTTCATCGGCACTCTTTGCCTCAAAGTCGTAGCGTTTGGTCTCTGTAGTTTTGTATATCACAATCTATTCGCGTTAGTATCCACAAAAGACTAATAATTTTCAACGTACCTTGAAATTTGTTGGGTGTCTTCTCGTTACCTTACACCCAACTACTTTGCTGAAATGTACTGTTGTGGTTTTACCTTGTCCCTCAAACATTGTTTTCCCTGTAGATGCCGGCATGATGTGAAGATATTCGCCATCTATGGCAAGAACCCTCTCATTCAACCCGACAAATCTCATTGGTTGTTTTCGCCAGACCGTATACTTTCTATAATTAGCACTTCCAAGCTCATCTTGCTTGATCGATTCCTGCGCAAGCGGATGCGTTCCCATCATTGGTCCTTTTCTGATTTTCCTAGGGTCGGGTCGTTCCGTCATTAAAGGTATCTTGGGTGAGCTGCTGCTCGGCGAACCAGACATTGTCAGAGGGCCATCTGTAGCAAATCTTCGACGGTATAAATCAAGTTCTGTACAGTTGCCAATAGACTCGACAGTGCGGTCAAGAAGGACTACCGTACCAGAGCCAGTCAGCTTCAAAACGTGGTTGGCTTTGTCTAATTGCCTCTTTTTGCAAACGATGTCAAGCACATCAGCCAAGTATGTATCGGTCGTGACGTCCAAGGTAATCATTTGACCAGGAGCCGCGTCTGCAGAATGAATGTGAATGCGGAGGAACTTCTTGACTCCATTCCTGGCGTTGGCCGTAGTGTTTCCAATCGCCGGTGCGTCTGCTAGAGTTGAATTAAGCCGTAGAGCTGACATTGTTGTCAGAAGAGGATTCTGGCGGGGCTGTGCGGCGGCCAATGTAGACGAAGGTAAGGGCGTGATTTTGGGTGTCAGATCATCATCGGCTGCAGATGCGGCAGCTTCTTGTTTGAATTGTGGAGTGACTTTCTGATTTTGCTCGAATTGTTCTTCTGTGGCTTCTACAAGAGCAAATTCATCGTATGGCTTCGAATTTGATCTTGACCTGGCTGCACGATTGTTGGCTGTGGTGAATGCTGCGACAGGCTTCGTACGCTCCAATGCTGGAAAATCATAATCCACCTCCTCGTCCTCTACCATGCGAAGAGTCCATCGGTTTACATTGAGCTTTTCCGGTGGGATGACTGGTTCAAGCTTTTCTTCGGTATATCGCCACAGACTTAGTCCGATGAGATCAGCGACTGTGACTGCTCGGTCATTTGCCTCATTCTCATGTACGCTTCTCCGAATTAATACTTCAAAGGGCTTGGTAGTAGATGTTGCGAAAGGTGCCCATATTCGTAGATTCAGAGGATTCGATTCGCCTTGTCCTGACAGAGACGCAAATGATTCAAATGGCATTGCAGCCTTCGTTCGTTTAGCTTTGATAGCAGCAGAAAGGAGACTTTTAGGCTGTATTGTGCTGATAGGGCGAGGAGGGGGAAGTGCTTGAAGAACTGGAGGAGCCGGTTTTGACTTCTTCACGGGAGACCTTTGTAGATCTCGCGGTAAAGTTCCTACCACATGACTAGTAGGTGAGGTATTGATGGGTCCGTCCACTCCATCCAAAAGCGAGGCAGAGTCGATGCTCCCTGCGAAATCCGAATCCATGTCTGATCCAGAGCCATCAGAATCCTCTTCCTCTCCCTCAAGCAAATCACTTTGTTGCCGTTTGACTCCAACATTAGGATCCGAGGTATGGCGAAGAAGCGCTTTGCTCGCCTTTGCAGCGTTTCTAGTCGCCTCACGTTGTCTTTGGAAAGCAGATGCATCGAATTCATTCTCGGATGACATCTCGCTACTTGTGACCGTATCTCTTCTAGCTCGTTCCTTCACAGCTTCTAATGCAGATTGAGACCCTCTTCTTGTCTGTCCTCCCGGGGTTCGAGAGGGAGAAGTGACAGTAGACGATTGACGAAGGTTTGACCCGCGAATGGGGGAGGATCCGGAGCGATTCCGTATCGGCATCTTTGAGAACTTGATCTGCTGCGCTGCCCTCTGATCACCATCCTCGTCACTCTCGTCGCTCAGATCACTACTATCCTCCTCCTCCATCTGCTCCCTTCTTCGTCGCCGCTTGGTCGCAATGCCAGGGCCTACCGTGTCTCCTGCCCCTCCTCCAGTGACCAAGCCCCCCTCTTCAATCTCGTCCTCAAGGCCATTCTGTGCCAGACCAGCAGATCTAGGGGGGGCTTGAAAGTATTCCGACGCTATAGCAGTAGGGATTGGTGGAGAGTGGGTTCGTCTAATGTTCGCAGGATTCTGTCGCCAACCAGCAGCTTTGAATCCAGCGGTATTCAAGAAGCCATCATTTATGGTAATCAGACGCTCTCCAACACCATCCGAGATAGTATCCAGGTAGTTTATGCGCAGTTGGTAAGATACCAGACTGAGAGAGTTAGCAATCAGGACGAGTTGAAGATGGTGTCTCCAAAGCAGCTCACTCTTCAACTTGAAGGACCGACATCGTAAATACTCAGAGTGTACCAGACACCTTAGTATCCATGTGTGGTATGATTGTTGTTTGATGCGAGAGTTGGGAGCGACTGTGAAGTTTGGTCGACATACGGCCCAAACGTCAACTTTCAGCCTTGCGACGAAAACTGGGGTCACTAGCGTGTGATTAGTGTGCTCAAAATAAATATCTCAGCCTTTTCGATGCGGAAACCTTTTGCCCAAGCATACAACATGGCACTAGTAGATTATTCAGATTCCGACGCCTCGGATACTGAGCAGCTCTCCACTGCTAAGCCAACTACAGCGAAACCAAGTTTTCAGAAAGTCGTCGACCGCTCGAACCCAGGAAAGATTCGAGTGTCATTGCCACAAGCTACCGCGAAAGAGGACAGACCCAGCGATGAACCTCCAGCCAAACGGACAAAGCTTGGAGGTGGTGCTTTCAGTGGATTCAACTCCTTCTTACCAGCTCCGAAGCGTACGAATGTGACAAATACGACGACCACTGGCGGTACGACAAAGCAGGTTGGGTTAGGAGCAGGTGTAAACTTGAAGACTGGCTCTGCCCCTGGTTTCAGTAGAGAGCCGGAGCCAGAGAGGGAATACACAGAAACCGAGGATGGGGGATCCGCTTTCGAAGGATCGGGGTTGAACCTGCCAGCACCCAAAGGCGCAGACAACTTGGACCAGAAGCCAGCTGGGGAGGTGAAACTGGTCGGCAAGCCTCTGATGTTCAAGCCTCTCTTTGTCTCGAGGAAGCCAACGAAGAAAAAGAAGCAGTCTGTCACACCAAATTCTATAACAACGTCCACTGCAGCCCCTGTAACTCCTGATTCGAAGGCGGAGAAACCTGCACAAAGGCCGAAGGTGTCGTTATTTTCCATGTCCACCGAATCGGAGACGCTTCCGTTGCCTTCGTCAACTGGAGAATATCAGCCGATAATCTATGAGCCCATCGAGAACAGAGAAGCAAGCGATGAACCAGAAGACAACTCCTTCGAGATCGAACCATCATATGAAAACTATACGCCGAATACGACACGCACTGCTCCACCAGCGGTCCCTACACCACCAGTCTCTCAGTCTCTTGACGATATTGCTGGTGACTTAAATCTCACTGAATCACAGAAACGTCAACTTTTTGGCAGACAGAAGGGTGGACGAATGCAATCGGCTACGAAAGTCATCAATTTTAATACGGATCAGGAGTATCTGCATAACGAAGAGCTGCGAGCTGCTGGCGAACAAGTTATGCACAACCCGGTCAGATCCATTGCTCCTGGCAAGCATAGCTTAAAGCAACTTGTGAATGCTGCCCAAACTCAGAAAGATGCCCTTGAAGAGAGCTTTGCAAAGGGAAAGAGTAACAGGGCTGAAGCTAGCAGCAGATATGGATGGTAGTTCTATTTGCCGTTATAGCTTTTTGGCTCAATGATACCCTCCAACACATACTGTTATGAATGTGGCATTTTGTCTTTACTTGTTACTGTATCTTGTTTATTTGAGGACTAAATTTAAGTCACCTTCTTCGCTTCTTCTATCCTCCCACCCCGCCACAACGCTCGCTCCCCACGCTCCCTTGTGTCTCGAAGTCGAGAATTACCCACAAAGTCAAGTTGTACGACATTCACAAGATGCCTTAGGCATTCCACTGGCGTAGCAATGTCCACTGGCGTAGCAATGAACAACAATTGATTCCTGAGCTTTTGAACACATCAGTATTTCTAATGATTTCGATTTTATTGTTGCCTAGCTCTCTGATGCCTTTATTTCGCGGCAAGTCTGAGACTAGTTTCGAAGATTGTGAAGTCTTCGTCGCCTATCTTTACATCTTCATTTCCGGTAGATACAAACCATAACACTCGATTGCATTTTGAGAAGCATGTGTTGGATCTCTCATTGATCGTTGATCCTCCATGTGGTACTTCACGGGTGGGACCACCTTCATTTGACAACGTGACCACTCATGCCACTATAGAGAGCTGTATCGTGTGTTATTTGCCAGTGAATCCACATGATTGTGTGGTCTGAGAAATAGTTATATCGATAATTAATGTGTTTCTGTTACTACTTTTCCGTTTCTGTATCAAACACGTTCAAGACGTTAAATGCCATAAACCACAAACAATTATGGCAACATATGAATTCCTTCCTGATGCCTTCGATATACCTATCGATGTCCTCAGTCCCCTAGATCCTACACGAGCACTCTCCATCCAACTGCCGGCTCCTCTCAAAACCCACCACCCGTCGCACATTCAAGACTTAACACCCCACCTTTCCACCCTCTTCTCCAGGAATCTGGGAATCACCAACGAGCATCTCCTCTCAGCCCACAAAGCAAGCATCATCTTCCCCAAACCGGTAGTCCGCTACACCCTCGAGAAACAAAATTTACTAGGGACCCACCTCGCTATTCTAGATGGTGTGGGAAATGAGATCGCTACTTGGAAAAGCCCTATCTTAAGCTTGGGAATTGGAAGTAGCAAGACGGAAATCAAGTTTCCTGGACAGAGTCAAATGCTCGAGGTTAAGAAGGTGATTGAAACGAAAGAGAACGAGAAGTTGGGATACAATCGTGATCATGGACTTCATCACCGCCATCGGTATGCTGAACGGTTTGTCAAGGATGGTACAACATATTTTTGGGAGGCAGAACCTGAATCGTGTCATCAGTTGGCGTTGATGGAGGTTCGTTCTCACTCCATATTCGACAATGGCCTTGCATTTGCTGAACTTTTGAATAGGTTTTTGCAGATAACAGGGACGGTATTATGAAAAAGGAAGTTGCTAGGTACGCCCAGAAAAGCGCACACGAGAGAGAAGGTTTGCTGGTTTTGAATGGGACAGAGGTTGATGAACTGATAGTGGTTTTGACTTTGTGCGCTCTGCTCGATGGAAAGGATAGCTTCCTGAATTAGACAGGAACAGCAACAGCTTACTTGCTGGCTTGGTACTAGAAACGAATGCAGGAAAGATGGTCTTAGCAATCGCAGCGTTGAGCCTAGACACAGCATTGTTCCATGCCACAGATTCGTCCAACACTGACTCATGAAAGGAAGCACCGCCAAGAATGTCTAAAGTAGGTCAAATTGGGGCGAATCTCTAGACGTGTTCGACCAATTTGAAGCTCTAAGACATTTTTTAATCAACTGAGTTTTCGTTACTAATTACAAATTATCTTATGCCCGTCCATTTTTAACTCCTGTAACCCCCACATGTGCTCAGTAATCCTTACAATGACGTGCTTCATGCAGCAGTACAGGGTTCACTACATAAGTAACAGCATTGTCCGCATTTCCCTGGCCAATTTGAATGCTTTTGAAATCGAGTTTTCATCTCTTGCAGAAGAATAACTCGAATTCCAATCCTGGATGAGGATTCAAGTCCCTCACTGGCTCGCACTTCGGACACAACCTTCACTCTCAAGACCAGGAAACGAATTTGAGCAGGATGTTGTCTTGTCTGGGTTAAAAGTTTATTAATTGTTGCTACTTTTGAAATTCGACTCCTTGGAATTGGAGAGCTGGACTTGTTCTATCCAAAAGAAATGAGGCGTGGTCTTGGACGAAGGAGTCCGAAATAAAGTGCTGACAGGAACGGACCGGACTTGGCGCCGATTTCCTGCAGACGATTTTCCCGAACATGACGATCTAACGATGCCTGTTCTACTTCGTACAGACGATATGGATCTGACCACCCAACTCCTGCTCTGTCTTTTGCCGACCAGCTCTTGCAAGGCAGCATGCGAGGACGTTGTCCTTGTGTTGAACGCACGGCAGCGGCAGATCTCCCCGCCGCCGGAAACTTTTCCCCAGGCCTCGGGACAACTATCTTTCCTTCTGCTTCAAGTTTCAAAATTTGGGAAGTATCTGGCCACAGTCTCTTCACCTTTTTCCACCCTTTTTTCACCACCATTCTTCAAGATTACTTAAGTATCAAGCCCCGCTCTTTCTGTTCCTTTCTACTTCAAAGTATTGAACTTGAAGTGTTTGACAAGCAATAACCGCAAGAATGGCCACTCTCACCATTGATCCGAATTACGGGTAAGTCCCACCTTCCTTCCATCTCTGCGAGCGCAATAGAGATGTCATCCAGAGAGAGTTCCCTGCTTGCCTGTAGTCAACCTCAAGACGTTATAGACAAGCCTGCTTTGCGGAACACAGTAGCTAATATGAATCAAGCTATGTCCTTCTGGCCGCTGCCTCAACTTTCCTCCTCAACTCCGTTCACGCTGCAAATACAGGCAAATACCGCAAAGCCGCGAAAGTTGACTATCCTAGTGCATATGCCCCAGACTCTCGAACAGACACGGCAGCACATCAATTCAACTGCGCCCAAAGAGCTCATGGGAACTTCATCGAGAACCAACCTACAGCACTAGGATCTTTGCTCTTGGCAGGCATCAGATTCCCCGTAACAAGTGCGCTTCTGGGTATTGCATGGACGATCTCGAGATATGTGTACATGGTCGGGTGAGTGAAGTGGCTGGTTGTGAAGAGCATAGGACTGATGAACCACAGATATTCTCAAGGTGGTGCAGGAGGCAAGGGTAGATATAAAGGAATATCGTTCTTCCTGTTTCAAGCAGGCTTAACGGGGCTGGCGATTTACAACGGTGTCGCAATGGTCATGCAATGGTGATACAGGTGTTAAGGCTGGAGCGATTGGACTGGACGATCATAACAACCACAAATGAATGTTGCACAATCTCGAATAAAGAGTTGATTGATGCCGTCTATGACCTTTCCATGGCAGCCTTCCGCCGTTTTTGGTCATCATATGTAAAATACAATCCTACTCGTACAGTGTCATTATTTCCATTCCCAGCGTCCGAATACAACGCTAGAACATTCCTCCACCAGCAGCACCCTTGCTATTCTCCTGCTGTATCCTCGTGATGTATTGCCGACTAACTGTGTTCCAAGCCTGCATATATTTCTCCATACATGAGGTGAAGCATGTGGTCTCGCTGCTCGATAACGAAGAGCCGGGTTTGGGAACGCACTTGTCGAAGCAATGCTCATTGACTTTCTGCGAGATGGGTTAGCAATGAACTATGTGAGTAGCAGCAGCTTCGGTAGCTCACTTCAATCAATTGCCTGGCATTGGCCATCGCTGCTTCTTGTCTGACCTGGTTCATAACCGCTGCCTTGGGATCCGAAGCTCCTCCAAAACCGAGTCCATTGCTGATGCCGTCCATATTCGCGGAAGTTGTGGAGTGAGTTTGAAAGCAATCGGCGGGATGGGAGTAGATGGCAGATCTTGTCGTGAAGCTGAAAAGGCTTGGTCGTGTGAGGTGTTACCGTCCCCGTTGAAGCTCTGTTTCTCCAAACTATTTTTTCGAAGTCGATGATGCTCGGTCTCGCGTAAGGCAGGTACGATAGCGTTCTGAGGCTGCAGTTAGCTGCAGGTTACAGGGGTCCAACAGCCTATCCTCGAAAGGTGCCAATCCCCGGGTGAAAGAGGCCAGGTTGAACTTCCCAGCGGAGCAAGTATTTTACAAAACCGCCCAGTCTCAGTGTCTGTTTTTTCCTTTCTTCAATTCTTCATTGTATTCCGTAACTCGGTATCTGGAGCTGCTCAGCTCTGTCTTGGGATTTTGAGGGGCTCGAGAAAGCTTTGGCAGAGTGACAATGTGGTTTTCCAGAGCGCTGTCGGCTTTGGGGCTGGCAGCATGTGCTCTTGCTGCCGTACACGAGCAGACCACCACAGATGAGAATGGAATCAGGAGTATACCTGTATGACTTCTTCTTCATCCTGAAATAATGCTCCTTCTAACAAAGATATATAGCTGCGCACACATTCCCTGCACCAGGTTCGTGGTTCTACGACGGCAACGGCCCCTTGCATACCTTTAAGCTCACGTACGAGACATAGCCATACCTGGATTCAGACATGCAAAGTCGGTGGTTCGACTTTGGGGGAAATACAATAGTGCGCGCAGATCAGTACGAGCTATAATGCAACTGTATGAAGCTTCGTGAGCTGACTTTAGCAGATACATACGGCTCACCTCAGACCGACCCTCACAAGAAGGATGGATCTTCTCTCGTGTCCCATTGACAGCGACAAATTGGGAAGTCAGTCTTAAGTCTCTAGGCCATACCACAATCACGACTGACACCGGCGATTACAGATCCAAGTCGAGTTCAAGATTCAGGGGAATGGCAACCTTCATGGAGACGGTTTCGCTATGTGGCTAACCAAGCAGAGAGCAACACCCGGCCCAGTCTTTGGTAGCACCGACCGTTTTGAAGGTTTGGGAATCTTCTTCGATACCTACAAGAACAACCGCCCGGGAACTGTCTTCCCGTATGTGATGGCTATGGTGGGAGATGGCACCAAGACCTACGACAAGTCCAACGATGGCAAGGACAACGAATTCATGGGATGTTCTGCTCGAGGAATTCGTGGTGCAAGCATCCCAACAAAGGCCAAGCTCACATATTTCCAAGACAAGAGTTTGAAGTTGGAGTTGCAATACAAGGTCGAAGATCAATGGGAATTATGTTTTGAGACGAATGAGCCACCTACGATTCCCAGCGTTGCGTACTTGGGCTTCTCAGCCGAGACGGGAGAATTGAGCGACAATCATGATATTATCAGTGTTGCCACCAAGAATCTCTATGATACGAAGGGCAGACAGGATACATCATCGAAATCTGGACCTGGTGGCAAGATTGCCTCAACTGGATCTGGAAGAGGGGTCAAGAAGCAGGGTGGTAGCTGGGCATGGTTTTTCGTCAAGATAATGTTCTTCTTCGTCGTGCTAGGTGGTGGCTACGTAGGATACACAGCTTGGAGGTCGCAAAAACGAAGCCACAGATTCTGAATGGAAATCTGTAAATGAGACTGGACAGGAGGTCGAGTTGGCGACACGGGCCTCGAATCACAACCAGAACTGAGAGGAATGGAGACAATTCGATGATTTGATACGAGGAAGGAATGATTGCATATTTGGGCCGGGAGCGTAAATACCACTACAAATTACTCAGGACTCTGGAATACCGGAAAGGCGAAAATGAAAAGCATTTCCTCTTCAGTTACCTTGTTAGTTTCAGCAATTCGATGTTCGTCACGAGTGGATGGTACATCAGGAAGCAACGAGTGTTGGAGCTTGGAAGAGATGATCAATTCAATTTGATACATGGTCTGTCCTTTCTTATTTCTTCCTGCTTTCTATTCAACAAATCATTTCATGACTTGTGAGAAAAAAAAGTCTAGTGCAAGTGATGGAGATTTAACACAGCCGGACCGGAATTTGCAAGAGCTCGGAATTGAATATCCTGTGGACGCTTTCTGTTTGTTTCATTTCAATCAATTAGTTTTGACGACTTTTGAGAAGGAGAAGTCTAGTTCAAGTGACGAAGATTCTATTCTGGAAAGATCAAAGTCGTTTCATTCACAGTCAAGGTCAAGGTAGTTCATGGTTCGCACCCAAAAAGAATTCATTCACCCCCCAATCCAGACACTCCCCACCCCCTAACGTCTCTGTCTTCGTACTGGTCTCTCATCCTCCTCACCCTCCTCTACCTCCCGCGCTCTCTTCCCACCCCTCCTCTCCTCCTCCCCAATCACCCTCTCCATCAATCTCCCCCGGACCGAGTTCACCGAGTGCGCCCAGCCGGCCACCCGCAACTGGTCCCGCCCCTCCCTCACCAACTTCAAATCCACGATTGTCGGTCCCGACGCCGAGATCCGATGCTCCGCCATCTTCCTCACATGGTCTTCGGCCTTGCGCTGAGCGACATTCTCAAGCTCGAAGAAGTCGACGATCCAGCTGATGTGGATGTCCACATGGTCTCTGATCTCTGGGTCTATTTCAATCCGTCAGTCAGTCGAACTCAAAAGAATAGTGGGACCGAGGGAGAGGACTTACGGTAGAAGGCAATGCCAAGGAGGCCCTTGGGCTTTCCAGTCGAGCCGTTGTTCGAGAAGGGGTGAGGAGCCGAAGCGGCGAAGTACTCTGGCCAGAGGTTGGCGCATTGCTGGTAGAGGTCCCTGGCGTCGGTGATGCTGGACATTCGGAGGTAGCGGGCCCTGTGGCCGGGGAACTTGGTGCGGAGGAAGGTACTCTCGTTGGTGTATCGGTATCGGACGCGAGTCCTCTTCTCGTTGGCAGTGTAGCCGGTGTTGTTGTTGGTGGTGGTGGCCATTTCGACGTTGGCTTGGATGTATGAAGTTCTCTGAAGGGTTGCTTGCTTTGGAGTGTGTGGTTGCAGAATTGCGATTGAAGAACAAGGAGTCCGGTCGAGAATTTGTATTTGTGTCGAAGCTTGGAGGTCAGTCCAGAAGGAAATCCTCCTAGATTATATAGTTGATTACGATGTGGACCGGCGTGGACAGACAATGGTAGTCGGGACGTCCCGCCTCCTATTGTGGTTTCGCTTAATTTTTGGCGAGAAAGGAGGGCACAATAGGAACAGAGGTGAATTGTTTGGGAGAAACAATAGTATTTTAGATGTAATCCTTTGTTATCTGGCAGATGATAAGCACATTTAGTATTGTGGGCACAAGATTTTCCACCGTTTCACAAATCATGAATTTTGGTGGTCGAGGGAAAAGATGCGGGAGCTAATGATATGACAACCTTAGTCTCGAGCCTCGAAAAAACTAGTGCACACAATTGCCATAGAATGCATAAATTCTCACGAGCATTTCGCACTGTTAGCGAGCGATCAAGCAGACATGAATACAATCATGGTTGGCTAGCAAAGCCAACAACAGAGCTGTATTCACATTTTAAACCCAACAAGCCATCTAATAATGTACCCGCTATAACGCCAGAGCCTATACCCAATACTCTAGAGGGTCTGAACGCCTCCCAAAGTGCTCATGACTCATGATTCATAATACAGTCACACGTCCAATCCAGCTCCAGCCTTTCCAAACTCAAAGGCTATGTTATGAAGTGAGCGCATTACTCGTGCCCATGATGCCCATTCCAATAAACCCAAATGCAATACACAGGTTACGGTTATGATTCAAACTCAAACCCTCGACAAAGAGTTGGAGGGCAACGCTCGTCATAATGCCAGCCGTGATAGCAAACATCGTTCCGTATACAGCGTGGCCGGGTGCGTGGCCTTCACGGCCGGCGATCTTAAACCATGCTGCTGCAATTCCTGCTCCTAATGGTTGCGAAACCCCTCCTAGCAACGATGCCCAGAACATTGCTCGTAAGCGAGAGTTCAAAGCGAGGAATAGGGGAAGCGCCAAGGCGAAGCCTTCGGTGATGTTGTGGACGAACAAGGCCATGAAGACCGAAAATCCTAGCGATGGGTTCGCATGGTTGGTAGCGTAAGTAATAAACCCTTCTGGCAATTTGTGAAGAGCAATGGCAATGGAAGTCTGAAGACCTATGCTAAGGAACTCGTTTTCCGGTACGTGATGATGATGTTGTGCCTCGAGGTCTTCATCGTCTGATTCGCAAGCTTCGTCGTCTTCCTCGTGCAAGTGTACGTGCGGCTTAGATGTTCTGCTGGCGCTACATGCCGGCACGACTTCTATTTCTGGAGCCGCAGCCAAAGACGTGGAAGATGATATACGGGATGGAATGGTAGACCGCCTCGAATTGACGTTGAACTTAAAACAACCCTGCCCACACGGATCCGTATAACCAAAACATGGGCCAGTAGAATCGCAATTCGGTTTGGTGTCTTTCACAAACGACATAACCCTCTTTTGAACTTCGACCATTGATGGTCTCCGCTTGTCAGATTTCGTGTCATCATCGCCGGACTTCTTGTTCTTTTTATCCTTTGATGCCTTCTTACCTCGACTCTGCGATGCACCATCGCCTCCGAAACCTTGTCCATGTCGGTGTGGGGAGAGCTTCGAACTTGTTTCATTCTGTGCCGATAGTAAAGGTGTTGACTCATGTGCGTGCCCATTGATGCCACCATGGGCTGCATGCGAATGCCCCTTGCCATTAGTATGGCTGTGATCGTGGTCATGGTGACCTTCTTCGTGGGTATGGTCGCATCCCACAGCATGAGAAGGCATGTAATGATGCAGAAACCTCGAGACAATCTGGATTCCTACAAAGCCACCCAAGAACCCAGCAAGTAATATCCATGCAGCAGCTGAAGGAGTGAAACCGCTCAGTATCAAGTACTTCTTCGAGGAGGGTAACATGCTATACAAGGCGGAAAAGAGCTGCCTTGCAATTAGCTTTGGTCGCACGTAGGTATTGTACGGAATGCTTACCATAACGCCAAAACTTAAGCTCATGGACGCAGCAAGGAATGCACCGCTTTCCTGTATTTTGAAATTCCTCATGCTCGGTATATACCGTATTAAGACATCGACGCATATTATGCTGGCTCCCAGGACACATGCTGCAGACCTTAGTCTTGAATCTCGACGGGCAAAAAAGGTCACTACCTGAGTACTTACCGATGCCACTGACGACACACATAATCCAGCCCCGTGTGTCATTGTCAATGTGTTCCACCATATTTGCGAAATATAGAGAGATTATTAGGTCTGCCGCGAAGAGCGCCGGGTGTGAGGATCAGTCGGCGTTGTGCTGGATGCTCGTCTCGTGGGAGCTGCAGGTAGCTTTCGAGCTTCGGACAAGAAGACCTTGAAAGGTCGACGATAGAGATGCAGGTAGGGGAGCAGCAGACTCGAGGTTTTGTAGGAGAGAAAGGGAGTCGGAGAGAAGTTGTATACGGTTGTCTTCCTTTGTCATGGTCAATGTGAATGTCGGTCGGGCTCTTTCTAATCATCGCATTGGGAAGTAGCCATCAAGGTGCTCTTAGTCCAGCCCTGCCACACGCCTCACAGCCCTTTTTTCTTCTGCGAGTCAAGATTCCACGCGCTGATGCAGGGTTCGCCCTAACAAATGCAAATATGACGTCGATGATTGGTTTTCCTTTTCGAGCTGAGTCAGCCGAGCCTTGAGACAGTTTCTCACAGGCCCGCTCCCGCTGCTGCCCGCATTCCTGCAGTACGTTTCTCCCATCAAGGTGGCTATCACGAGGACGAATATTCAACATCACATCACAGATCCACAGATTCTCAACGAGGTGTGCGTACATATTATCTCTCAGTCACGAGTGCAACCTTGTTGGAACGCGATCAAGTGATTCCAATCCCTCAAGTTCGAAGTACGAGTCGACACAAGACGATGTGTTAATCATGCTGAGTTGTATTGGAAAACGTTCCCTCTCTTCTTTGATCAAAACAAAATATACATACTGTACATGGCAACCCATCTGCAGAACTTCAGATCCACCCTCCTTTCTTCAATTCTTCTACCGTCCATTTCTCCAATTTCTCGCGCTCATTTGGATCTCTGGCCGCTGCGTTCTCCTTGGCCACCCTCGCTTTCTCGTCAAAGTACAAACCACACATGTCGGCAGTGAAGGCTGGACTCGCTCCAACAAAGACGTTGCTCACACATCCCTTGCTCCATGGCCGCATGATACCGAAGAATTTCAGCACTGGATGAATCCAGCTCAACTTCCAACTGGCATTATCTCGATTCTTCTCGTTCAGTTGCGTAGCGATGAAACCCGGATGCACCGACGCACACCATATCTCCCCCTTTCCCTGCCTAGCATGTTCGCTTCCTGGTCCATATTGTACATTCAGTGTCTTGGCGTGGAGAACGTTCGCGAGTTTACTCAACCCATATCGACCAAAACTGCCAAAGTTCTCGATCTCCGTCTTGTCATACAGCATCTTCTGCACACTAAAAGGCTTTTCGCGATGGCCGTGGCTAGACACACAAACGATTCTGGCAGCACCAGGTCCTTCTTTTCGAGCAGTCGATTCTATAATCGGAAGTAGATGGTAAGTGAGAAGCCACTGAGAGATATAGTTGACTTGCATTTGGCTCTCGTAGCCGTCTGCAGTGACCTCGTATGGCGGCGCCATGATGCCTGCGTTGAGAATCAAACCGTGGAGTTTGGTTTCCTTGGAAGCGAATGATTTGGCCGCTTCGATCACAGTTGAAAGAGAAGTGAGATCCATGATGAGTATCTGGACGTCGGCTTTGGGATGCTCTTGCTTGATTTGATCAATAGCTTGCGATGCTTTTGTCGGCGATCTAGCACCCAGGTAGACTCGAGCCCCTTTAGCAGCCAAGTTAAGGCATGTTGTATAACCAATTCCCGTGTTCCCTCCTGTCACAATGAACACCTTGCTCTCAAGTGATGGCAGAGACGAGATTGAGAACATGGCACCTGCGGTTCGATGCTTCTGTTTCTGCTTGTTGAATACTTCGAAGAGAAACTATAGTCGGAACTCAATAGAAGAATAAGATCGTTGAAGTCATTAAATGGAATCACTGGACTTCTCCCAGCTTGGAGATATCATGCCATGCCACCATACTTTATATCTCCCATCCCAGGGCAAGATCATGGCACAATGATGCTACACTGAAACTTCAGTCGGGACAACATGATCCCCGGTGAACATCTCGAGTCATGTCCTGGCTGACATTTTTACACGGTTCGAGACACAATTTGTGGCTATAAAGAACGTTCATTGTTGGGCAAATACGAGACTAGCGCGTTGGACAGGGCTGGGCTAAGCGTCCGCCACACGACCCGGCATAATTTTCCTCCGATGCACGACTGACAATTTCTACCGTTTAGAGTTAACTCAGGTGTCTCATTAGCGATTCACCATTTGTTCTCATCAATTTTGGCTTACATTTATTGCCAACCACAACCTGCCCGTTGTGAGCTCATCATCTTGCTCTGCTCCCGCAAACACTCAATTCTTCACTTTTGTGGATATAATCATAATCTCGAATCGAGCAACCATGAGTCAATCAATAATCCGATTTGACAACCCAAAGCTGTCTCACGTATGGAAGGCGGATGATGACTGGACAGGCCTAAAGGAGAAAGAGGAGAGGAAGAAAAGACAGAACAGATTAAATCAACGAGCATATCGAGTAAGAAATGCTCCGAAAGATCAACCGTCTAACAAACGGCGGGCATTTCGCGTTGAGCGCTTTCGTATCACTGACCCTGTTATTACGGCTCTCGAGGAAAGTACAACTACGGAGCCTGTCCAGGCCACAGCGACGTCCGAAGCGCCCCTACTTGATTTGGATTCTACTTCTCTTGATTGCTTGACTGTCCAGGATGCCACAGACGGGTCTTCTGCCGCCGCCACTCATGCAGATGCATTGGCACCCCAGCACTTCATTCCTCGAGAAGCCTTGGCGCTTCTCGCACTCGATCTTGACAACCCAGAATCCTCCGTACTCAGCGCAGCATCTGCACATTATCTTCAGAGCTCTAGAGCGACCAGGGCTTCCCCAGTCATATGCACTGAACCACCTTCTACCAATCTTACAGTCCTCGACAATGCAATTTTTGTTCTGCAAGAAAAGCCGTTTGATTTGCTGAAGACGGAGCCTCTGCCGAATTACTTTGGTTCTAACCTTGCTACATCGATATTCAACGTCGCATATACCGCCTCACAAGCCTTGTCTTCACTGGACCATACATTGATGAACGAAACCTACTTCCCGCTTTCGTCTGATCACCTTCTTCATCTCATCCACTTTAACGTCTTCCGTGCTCTGATCTCCAACAAACTGTTACTGAACGACACCACAGTTCTGCTCCGCGCAGGCGAAGAAATTGTCCTGCCAATCCACCAGAATCTCTGCGAAGGGCTGACTCTTGTCCGAACAAAGAATGAGAAACCCATTCCACGAACCTTGTATCCGACCACGAAACAAATGAGCATCGCTCACTCCTCATGGCTCAACATGTTTCCATACCCTCAAGTCAGAGACAACCTGATACAACATCAGAAGAACTTCAATCACAGAGACTTATGCAACGATTTGTTCGGCGAACTGTTCTTCAAGAACGTGCAAAACTCTCCTTATCCAAACACAACCTCGGCTCCAAATGAAACCGCATCCGAAGTATGGGAAACATGGGAGGATGATGTTACTGCGAGACGAAAAGGCCTTATTGTTTGGGGCGAGCCTTGGGATGTCAATGCCTGGGAAATCACTCCAGGGTTCTTGAAGAAGTGGTCGTGGATTATAGAAGGATGTGAAGAGATTATCACTGCGAGTAATCGGTGGAGGGCACAGAGAGATGAACCTCCATTGACGTATGTGACTTCGTCTGGTCCAGATCCGAATGCTCGTGAGCCTACCTATGAGCTTCCAAAGAATTTGTATTCTTAAAGGACATCTGCCTCAACGAGCCTCTGGCAATTAACCTCGATTGTCTCGAAGAATGGAAATACGGGGATCACGAGGTTGACTTTGTCTGTTCTCGAGACTTTTCCGTCGAGATGACAGACTTTGCTTCTTGCACATAGTTGCAGTGTTGTTGCAAAGATTTCTGCGTCTTTCTCCAAAGAAACACACAGCTGTTAATCACCTTTCTGCTGTGTGACGCTATCCCTGGCATCCATCTTCTCGTTTACCTTCTGCTGACGTCTGAAACAACGTACTGCGAATAAATGAAATTACCAGTGTACTCTTCAACCTACATCATACCCAAGGACAGCATCTCGTGTCACTGGGCTCACGCTTGTCTATGTAATGTCCCCATTCTCTTCGATTTCTCCTTTTTCTCTCTCAGACCTTCACAACTAGAAGTTACACCAATCCTCGACAAACTCCAACACTTCTTGCCGAAAACACACACACAAACCGATCCGACACTATGAACGGGCTCCCCCCTTACTGCAGAGTATGCTAGACTTGCACACCGCTGCATCGAGGATTGACACTATGTTCGCGTTGTCTCGATCCACTCTGGACCGTAGGACAGAATCTGGCTGGACAGAACGGATGGATTATGCTTCGTGATAATAGCGAGCCTTTCAATGCGTATGCCCTTTAGAACTATGGTAAAGAGTCGTGGTTTAATCTTGGGCCGGCGCCTCCGCCTAGGGGGTGGTGAGTGAGGAAATGGTGAGTAGAGAACATGGGCGGGGATAGGGGGAAGAGATGCGGAGTAGAAGGAAAGATAGGAGTGGAAGGAGGAGAGAGGTTTTGAGCTAGTTCTAGAGATAGTTAAATCGATGCTTTAAAAAGTGTATAAATCTCGAGCATAAGATGCATTGTGAATGGTCTCCATGAAGAAGAAATTCGAGGCTTTAGCAATGTCGAATTATGCTAGTGACGTGAGTTTTGAAGACATCAAGTTTAGCATGAAATAGCAGGAGCATGAGCTCTAGATATATGAAGTAAACTAGACTGAGGAAGATATCGGATACTAGGGTCAGCTACCCCTGAGACGAAAGAAGTAACGACGATTTCTTGTGCATAACGCCGTCCTGCAGCGACATGTAAGCCTTCATTAAAGGTTGAAGAAGTTTATACGTAGCTAGGAGACATAAGACATAAGCCTCAGACCAACCTTGTCCTACTATAGATGTAGAGCCAAGAACCAAAATGATAACCATCACTTATCAACTTTAGCTACGTAACAGAGGTAGAATGCGTAATCGCAACACGTCGGATTTCGAGTCCCTAGACTTGATTCGATCTTACTGCGTTGCCATAACAATAACAAAATACAAGCAGAGCAATAAATTCATTCCCACCATTTCTCTGCTTGCAGAGCCATCAACCTCTATGCATATCGACCAACTCCCTCTCCGTTCTCTTTCTAACCAAACTTTCCTAAGGTATTTTGCCACTAGCTCACAGTACCCATGCAACTCGCAAACACGACCTTGACCTTCACCTTCACGCCAACTTAATGTTATGAACGACCTCTACGACCCAAGTATATCCCCACCCTTCCGACCCAAAAATCATACCCTTTCCTTCTCGGCCAATCGACTTCAATCAACTCTACTGCCTGAAACACCGCAGAGCCGTTCATCCTCATGAAGTCGGAGGTGAATATGACTGCTGCATTCCAGTCAGAAAGCTCAAATGCTTTTGGCTTTTGTATCGTGTTATCGAAGTAGTCGACGCGGGAACCAAAAGGGCCAGGTTGGAGTGGAAGGAGGCTCGTCCGGAACCGAATTTGCCCAGGAGATGGAACTCGATGCTTCCTCGACGTAATAGAAGTGAGGGTTGGTAGGAATTATACGATTCGCAAAGGTTTATTACATTTGGTATAACAAAGAGGAATCTTTAGATGAGTCTGACAACTTTCGGGATCATATGGAAGAAGGTAGAATGTACAGATCGAGGAATTTTTGCAGACTTATCTTCTTGGAATCTTTCTAGGGTGGGCATAGACCTGAACCGTTGAGTTGCAGATATACAGTATACATATGACTAGCCCGAAGACATTTCTAAATTTACAGATTGACTCACTTCTAACATAAAGTTGAAGTAATGAAAGATTATATAAAAGGGTCAGAATAGCTTCACCATTGAGTTTAGCACATAACTAAAGGAGACAATACATACGTCGTAATAAAAACGTAAAGTCTACTGTTAATGGTAACTTTGGGCTCGACACTCGAGTTTATTGAATCTTTAAAACACTAGGATTGCTCATACGTTCTTCTCAGTTCTACCATGTCATCACAATCACAATCATTCTCTGTCTCTCATCTCTATGAATCATAAATTCCAGATTCTTCCCTATAAAAGTTCGACCACATTCTTCCACCATACTTCTTCCACTTTTCCAACTATCCAGTATTCTTCTCAAACTCCCAAACCCAAGGGCACAAGTCTCACCTCAAGACACATATCACACAAGAAACTACACCAAAACCACCAAAATGTCCGATTATTACGATACTTACACTCCTCCCAACAAACCTCTGCCATCCGGAAACCAAATACCTCCCAACTACCGCGGCCTAAACATACCCTACTGCTTCAAATGCTTCCAGCATGTCGACCCTCAAGCCGTCGGTCACACTAATACATGCCCAAATGCAGTGGTGGGAGGATCACCAGATTCGCACCCGTTGTGCTGTTGGCCTCTCTATGTCCGCGTCATGGTCGAAAGGCAGCGTGTGACGGAGAATGGAGGAAGAGAATCGTGGAGACAAGTGCTTACGCCGGAATGGAAGCTATTTCGTTCGGGTTTGTTTTGAGTGATGGAATCACTTGATGACGACTTTTGGAGGTGCGAGATATTATCGTTTGTCAAGGGGTCTTGGGAGAGGAGAGTGGAGGAGTGAGTTAGTTAGGGTTGAGAAGTCATTATAGTAGGGCTAAAGTGAGTATTAAAACGTAAGTTCAGCTACGATGCTCTGGTGATTCGATGGGGTTTCTTTTATTCACATCACCAGTGAACCGGGCATCAATTGCTGCCAAAAACTCACACTAACACTTAGAAAGATTTCAAACACATTCTACCAACCATCTCCAAAATAAATAGAGGTTGTAGAAAGATATCGGTAGTTTATAAAACATGCTTCTCTTCCATTTTTGTACAATAAAGGACTTTTATTTACCAAGTTATTTTTCTTATCTTTGGATAGCCATTTCCAGATGGCAATTTGCAACACAAGATAAGAGGATTGCAGAAAATACTAAATTTAAAAAGAGAGAATGTGACTATTGGTGATAGCTTCAAAAGGATATGTTATCACAAACCGCAGCGGCAGTTTGCTTGGAAAACGACTCTTGATTTCTGGTAATAGCTTTACAATAACGTTGTAAAGCTTTGGAACATGGTTTGGTACTACGCTTTGGTTATTATTAATTGATTTCCCCCTTTTGAGAACAGTTGGCTGTGCGGATGCGGTGTTATTTCCTTTGTAGGTACCGTTTTCGGATAAGGGGAAAAAACGAGATGAGATTGTACATCATTATCCTTTGTACAGTACCATAGCTCGACATCGAAGACCAACCAGAATTTCACCTCAAAGGAACCGTAAACATAATCGACAGTTCCCCATGATCATGTATACCCAAAGTAACTTTTTAATCCCATCACCCTCACAATGGGACTCCCTACAAGCTTCCATCGCTTTAGCGACCTATCAACCGCAATCCGAGACCGCATATGGGCCCTCGCGGCCGGCGAACCGCTCTTCCCAACAAGCCGCCGCATGATACCTCTCAGAGTGCAGATGATACCCAGACTAAGCACCGTATCCGAAGAAGACATTCCGGGATTCGATCCAGAACAAGATGAGTTTGACGGCGATGGAGTCTACATCCGCTGGCATTTCCGCGTATTTGGACCCGGCCCAGCTGCTGTAAATGCTGCTCTGTGGCATTCATCTACGGACTCGTATCGATTTTACTTGAGGCGGAATCCGAATTATATACAGATGAGGTGGGGTGGCGGCGGACAATAGATTCGGTTTAATGCTGCCAGGGATCACGTTTTCTGTTCTCCTTGGTCGTTATTCGTATTATGGATGTATGCTCGAGAACGAGATCCCGTATGGTCGAGCTTCGACCCCAACATTGGAGGGTTGGGACCATCAGAGGAGCAGCGGGGAAGAGATTTAGTGGGTTTTGACCGCATTCGAGTCCTGGAAACGAGTCTGCCGAGCAATGTGCAGGGGCTTCGAGATGATATGTTTTTGATCCGGAATATATTCACCTACAGATCGCCGGCTGGAGGAAGGGTACGCGTAGCTGCAGGTACGGCGTTTTCTGTTGCAAGGTTGTATAGGAGGATAGATTGGGTGGATGCGTTTCGAGAGACGATATACCAGCTACTTGCCCCGATGCGGTTTGCCACCCGAACGAGCGATGATCCGGATATGCCCAATTATTATAATTCTGGGTTGCGGGCAGCGGATGGTGCGTTAGAACAAGATGGCCAATCGGCCGAAATGCTGCCTGTTGATGCATGGGACGAATTTGATATGAATGTCAGAGTGTTCTTGGCCTGGTCAGAGGAGGAGGAATCAGGAAACGATACGCAAAGCAATAACGGTTCGAGCAATAGTGGTGACTCCGTAGTAAGCTATAGTGGCGAAATACCTAGCCGGGACGTCATCTGGTTGTTGTTTTCATTTGGAAGATACGTACTTGGAAGCCACTGGGTCGGCAGCTACCCAATCGTGCCCCCTTCAGTCGAAGAGTTATTGAGGAGAGCAGCACTTGATATAGCAATACGTGAACGAGGCGAGGAAGTAAGGTCGGAAGGCGTGGGTGTCAATATGGAAGGTGGTATGATCTAATGAATGTGAGCGATAGGATACTGTTATGGATTGGCAAGTAAAAGAAAGAAACAAAGTTGCGAATAGATTATTATAATGTCTATTATGAAGTTCTTAAGGTGGTGGAGACTCTTCTTATAAACTCGTGGAAAAATGTCGTGCTTGCTCAAGAACGTCATAATTGAAGCCACTAGATGGGCTTTTGTTAATGGCGAAGGCATGGATAGGAGAGTACGAAAACAGGAATTACTAATACCAGTCTTATGAGCATGTACCAAACTCCCACCCACTAGAGCCGTCAACTACAGATCCATCCTCATTTCTTGCCCTTGCCATGCGTCGGGCATTTTAAATTCGAACAAGGAGCCTTCGACCACTTCTGCAAACCCAAAACCCTCAACATGCTCTTCTTTTCCATAAGAGCGACCATAGAAGCTACCTCTCCCGCAGTCAACTTATCGCCCGGAACCATAGCCTTGAGATGCTCTCTCAACGCGTTTAGGGAAGCGACTCCTCTGGTATCCCACTTTGAGACATCCATATCGCGACCGAATAGGAATAGAGTCTTGATCTTCTCCAAGTCGTTTTCATTTGATGGGGCGTGAGGGTGTCGCGAGCCTTCCGGGTAGCCTAGGTTGTGCTTTGCTGCGAGGACGAGTGAGATGGTGATGGACTTTATTCTGAGCATTGCGGCCTCTTCGTCGGTGACCTGGAGGAGACATGTGGTTAGTACATACTATAAATTGGCTTGTGGAAGGTTTACCAGTCGGTGTTCGATGCCTGTATCTGTGTATACGGTCATCATGAATTTTTCGTCGCTCGCCATCGTGAATAGAAGTTGTCTTTGATAGGTGTGGATTCGCGTGTGTATTCAACTATGGTGAGAAGGTGAAACGAGTGAGGATGAAGAGACTAATGGAAAACGGTTTGAGATGGAATTGAATGAGGATTCATAGGTTTTGTATTGGAAGGGAAGGCGTGAGTGATCACGAGATCAGGCGACACGCTCTTTCCTCTCTCACCGGAAATAACGATCGGAAATCTGCTTGGCATGTACTTCGTCTTGAAAAACCAATGTGCAGTCGTGTTTTGTAGCCTGCTGACTTCGGAACTCGTTCAAAAAGCCGAAGGAGTGTTCGATCTTGGCAAAACAACTGTGACCTCGTCCTAGCTGTGACGTTCTAAAGACTGTTCATGTTCTCATACCTCTGCATGGACCAATTATTGCATCTTTGAGCTATAGACATACAGAATAGGACGGTCGAAGGACGAATAGCTCGCGATGCACATGGAACAAGATGCTAGCAACAATAGCCCTCTGAGCAGAAGAAGTAAAGTGCACAACAGATGGCAAGCAGATTGCAAGTTAGTCACGAGCCGATGCCAGTGACCATATCAAGCGGATATCCGTGTCTGGGAATCTGCAAACTACTGCATCTTTGGAAATACAAATGGAGGAGCACGTTCTGGTGCATGGTACCTCCAAAAAGCTGTCCAGAATGCTTGAGAGCCATTGAGTTTTCACTTTTCAACATTCCCCTCATTCGACAAAAGAGCAGAAACGTTGTCGAGCTCAATGCAGGAGAACCTAGAAAGGAATCGACCGGGGAGGGTTTTGAGAACGGCCGAGTAAATAACAATCAAGGATGAGGATGATAAAGAGAAAAGGAGAGCAACGGAGTCTTGGAGCCATAAAGGCAGTGGCATTATGACATGTCCCTCTCTGGACTTTCCATTCACGTGAACTGTTTAAATCTTTGTTGCACGTCTACAAAAGCCATCATTTTGGCCGCCTCGATCACGGAAAATCTATTCAAATCTTTGTTGCACGTTTACAAAAGCTGTCATTTTGGCCGCCTCAATCATGGAAAATCTGTTCCTGCGATAACTACTAATGCGACCTCGGGCCCACTGTTCAGGATCTTTATTTGTATATCGAGTATCGATTGCCGTCTTTATACTGCCTTTTTAAATTTTGTTGGTTGTGTTATTCGGGTTGAGATATGAGGGGTGGCTGCTGGCTGGGAGGGTGAGACGGTATCTGATCTCCAACCATACCATTCACTTTCAATTGCCTAAGGGAAAAGGTCAGAAACAACGGGAAGGTTGGGATGCGGGGCAGGGATGAGACAAATGTGTATCACAGAAAGACATGACAGAAACAAAATGAAAAGCCGTGGCTTTCCAAAACAATATCGTTTCTCAGCTGTTCCGCCCACCTATGTCATGATTTCCAGATGTGTATCGAACGAAACACCCTCCACCAATGATGGAATGAAACGCACGAGAAAGGAATAAATCCATGCAATGCAGGAACATGTGTGCACAACCCGGGTTTCTCACATCTTGTGATACCTACAGTAGCTTACTCGGGCCGACGTTGATGATCACTGCAGAGCTCTCCATCCGATCCTCTCAAGCGTGTCACCGTGCACGGTGACACCGAAGTACCGTTTGCTCAGACCGACCTCAACGGCAGTACGAAGTATGTGCGGGCGCACAGTGCACAGAGGAGAACAGGCTCGCTCGTGGATCTGCCTGATCTCAGGGTCGCGGCGGTCCATGCACAAGGCGGGGGCGGGGATGAGGATTCGAAGTAGCGCGAAGCCAGCTGTTAATTAATTATCATGCTTTTCATGCATTTACATTTACTCACTTCAGATGGAAACGAAATGAAACATAACGGGAGGGAGATGATATATCAGGGCGATCTTATAAACAAATCAAATCCGACACGGAACGCGAAAGCCGGAAGTGAGATGATATTTTCTTTTAGTTCACCGCTTTCCTGCCAGGTTTGCCTGCATTCGCTTAGGGAAGCGACGCCCCTTATTGCTGCTATTGTAAGTCCGTCCCTTTTCATTTTTCTATTTGCGACGGCTTCGTTCTTATCCTTTATCTGGAACCCTACCGTCGCACGCCTAACTCGCACTTGGGGAGCTAATGAGAAAGACTGGAAACGCTTGTAAGAATCCTCGGAATCCGGATCTCTAGAGTGGGTAGGTACGACGTGGATCTTCAAAGATCCAGATGATCGGGTGCACGAACTCACTTACGGTCCTGGCACCGCGAGGTCCTTGATGTGTGTGGTTCGCGTTGGTGGCAGATCAGCCATGCGATCATAGAATGCGCCTCGGTCACCAACCTCACTCAACCTCACTCAACCGCAGCATCAACACGACACTCAACCAAACGCAATCATATCACACACACGAACCGCCCGCCAATCTCCCATCTCTGTACTATCCATGACAGCTCACTTCCCCCACGGACTTCGCTCTGTTGATTGGAGGCCCCCTCTGCCATCTCTATTCCAAATCTGGGCCGTCTCAGCTCGGGTATCTGCACTGGCTCGAGACTGGACCACCAACCCGTCCCAAGCCCCAACATGCCCCAGCTGCACAACAGATCCCGTACTCGATACAGTAGCGCATGCAGATCTCTCCCGCTTTCCCAGCTCGAGGGCTTCGGTGACACCAATCAGAAGAACGTTGGGTGCACAGAACGGGAGATGCCACCAAATACTGTATCGTTGCTTGCTCTCCTCTGGGACCACTCCTGATTGGCATTCCATCTCCCATATCTTGGTGACACCAGCCTGGCGAGGCCGGATCATCGTGTGGATTTGCCGCAACGAGGAAGGTCACCTTGTCACCAACAGGAACTTACATGAATTACCTCACCTTGCACCCCTCAACCTCTGTGCGACGTCAACCCGTTCCAGCGCGCTAGGTTAAACTTGTACTTTGCCCATGTCCATGCTTTCGTTGGCTTGACTTGACTTGGCTTGACTTGGGTACTCGCCGAGGTGAGTCGCGCTTTCTTCTTCCAGAACTAGGTCTGTCCGACTCCAACTGTGCCTCTCCCACGAGCTATCCTCTGCTACTGTACAACGGAAATTTAATGGCGAACGCCTCTTTACTCCTGACCACCTATGATATTCTTTCATTCCTATTCCTCTCCTGGCAGCGGGTCATTCTGGACTGTTGAGCTGCACTTAAGACCTATACATTCCCCCATGTTCCCCATCCTCCTTGGTAGACGTACAACCGTCCCTCGTGTCCATCGATCGCTGTACTCCTGAACGACTCTGATATCCATCCTCGCCTCTCCTTCACACCTCGGATGTCCCCAGAATGGTCCAGAATTATGTCGGTGTCAGTCGCGGAGCTCAGATCACCGGCGTTGCCGTGTGCTCCTTGATGTTAACATGGCTTTCCTTTGGCTTTCGACTCTACGTGCGATGCGGTATATTGAAGTTTTTGGGTAGAGAAGATTGGATCACGGTGGCAGCGATGGTAGGAGACTTGTCTGGATACCAGGAACATTTCTGACGATACCAGATCATTTTCTCCATATTCTGTGCCTTGTGTCTCCAATTAAGTTCCTATGGTCTGGGAGCACATATGGAGAACATTGCCGGATCCGCCTTTGTTCCCGGTTTCAAGGTTGGACTGACCCTTCCATCTGCTGAAACTTGACCACTAATCGTCCACAGATTGTTTTTGTATGCGAACTCCTCTACGTCGTTTCGACCACCGTCACCAAGCTGTCCATCGCGGCATACTTTCTTCGACTCTCAAGTAAAAGATATCAACGTGTCACTATATACCTTACCACAGCAGTCGTGTTAATCCTCAGTACCATGTACTTTTTCTTTCTTATCTTTCAGTGCAACCCTCCGCCAGCATTCTGGAACAGGTATTCCCCGGACGGAGGACGCGCCTACGATGCATATTGCCTGACGGGGGACACATTGGCGGGCATCACATTCGCTCATTGTGCCATGTCAGCTATCACAGATTGGATTTTCGGAATACTCCCTATCTTTTTCGTCTGGAAGATGCAGATGAATCCTCGAACAAAGTGGTCTGTAGTATTAATATTGTCTCTTGGATTCTTGTAAGTCGACTTCCTTTTGTTACTTCCCAGCTGCTGATATCTTCAACAGCGCCAGTACTGCAACAATCGTTCGTATCGCCTACATCCAGAAACTTCGAGAGACCTACGACTACTCATGGGAAGGCATCAACCTGGCCAAATGGTCCATGATCGAGCCAGCTATTGCTATTACGGCTATGAACATCGCCACTCTCCGACCAATGTTCAAGAATGTCTTGAACTTTGCCAGCAAACGGTTCGACAGCGCGGCCGATATCGAGGAGGCGAAGAGACCTTCAGGTGAAAGCCGTACGGCGACCATCCGCACACGAAATAGTGTTAGTGCCAAGGAATACAGCGTTGAGTTTGCCGAATTGCTAGGCTTGGCAAGAGTTGGGGTTACGACCCATATTTCTGCTGGAGGAGGAAATCAGCCAGAGAAGGATTCATTAAGGAAGAGGTTTACATTGAGGAAGTCTCTTACCAAGAGCTCGCAGAAGAATGAGAGTCAGACGGAATTGAATTCTGTGCCAAGTCCGTTGTCGTTTTCGGATGGAATCGATTGGACGGGTGGGATCAAAGCTACGACTGTTGTTACTCATGATGTTTCTTGATGAGTTTGGATGAAATTGGATACGCTCTGGTAAAAGATGAAGAATGATGATCGTCGGTGGGGTATGAACGAAGTCGGAGCCGGATAGGCCAGTACGACAAAAAGTAGTTCAGGATAATGATCCCACCAGATTGGATGAAGAAGAACTCGGGATGATCCCTACTTGGATACCCAATAATGTATAGTGAAGAAGGACAAGAAGTGGTCCAAGATGAGCGTCATGATAGGAGAAGATAATGAAATTAATTAATTCTCAAACTTGCCCAGAGAAAGACTTATATGAATGATGGTAGATATCTTCCTTTATCTCAACTCTCTGATGTGTACCTCTGTCATTAGCTTCGCTCAGAAGATACTGATATCCCCATTCCTTGCCCAGACTTGCACGTCAGCACCACCACCTTCTTTGACGCCCAACAGAATCTTTCCGTCTCCCACCTGTCTGAATTTTTAACCTACCCCACACCTCCGCGGGTATATATACCGGCTGGACATCCTGACTCTGAAAAGTCGTATCATGGCGGGGTGTTGACGCCTTAGGCGAATATTCACAAAGCATATATATAAACGTCGCAGCACGGCCAAGAATTTTCTCTTCTGTATCTGCACAAGAACGAGTTCCCGTTATTGTCGAGGTGGTGTGAGTCGGGTGGCTGTGTTTGGGCTTTGAGAGAGGTTTGTGTGAGAGGTTCGTGTTGGAAAGTGGGTGGGTTGGGAAGACGGGGTGGGTGGTAAGGGGTTTGATGATATTAATTTAGTGAGTGTGGTGTTGGTGATGATGCAGGAGGTGTTGACAATGATGGGAGGGTGGGAATTATGAAGTGGATGTTGGATAAGTGGACGGAAATCAAATGAGTAAGTGAGGGTGGGCGTAGTAGGGCAGGAGGTTTCGGGAGAAGACGGATATTGAGGTGAATGAGAGAGGGTAAGAAGAGTAGGACAAGCAGGACCCATTCATTCACTTCCTTCAACGTGAAGCTCCTCCAAGTTAGAGAGTTGCTAGTGAATGACCGGAGCGCAAAGTCCGTTCTCTGATACTATTCATGGTATCGTTTGGGATTTTTGCGGAATTGTGTCTGGTGGGAGTAAGTTGTTGTTGGTGGTTGTGTTGTTGGTGGCGTTGGTGGTGTTGTTAGTAGTGTTGTTAGTAGTGTTGTTAGTAGTGTTGTTAGTAGTGTTGTTGGTGGTGGTGTTGGTGGTGATGTTGTTGGCGTTGGCGTTGTTATCAATATTGTTATTAATGTTGTTGTTAGTATTGGTGTTGTTTGAGGGGGGAAATTGCTGTTGTTACTGAATGTTTTTCTACTAAAGATCTTGTGAAAGTGGACCCCCAACTTTTGGCTCGCTCACTGCACTACAATGCTGGTGTTTCCGTTGCATGTCTGTCTGTGTCTCAAAAGTTCTTCAGCTCCGGAAAGCAGGGGAAAGAGTTGGGGTCGGAAAGTCAGTCGAATTAGTCGAACTTGAGACCACTCTCAAACAGGTAGAAAAAGACTATTGCAAAGAAAGCGGGATAAAACACTACCCCATTAACGATTGAAATGGCGCAGACCTGAGTACTCCTAACACCCAAAAGAGTTGAAAGACAAGAATCTGGGAACCCAAGTCGGACACTGAGGGCTCAGCAAACTCTAATGGACCTCCCTATCCAATTCATTGAAATCCATTTGCTGTTTTGGGAATAGTCGTTGCTTTCGTGTCTTGCAGGCCATGAAGCCATGCGCAATACGCGCAATTCGCGCGAAAAGCGAGAAACGCGCAGAATGCGCAACATGCGGGAAATGCGCAGAACGCGCAAGAGAGTGCTGAGACCTTCTCTTGACACATTGGAAAGTTGGGCAATATCAACTACCAAAGAATCGATACGATCCTCAGATGATTGAGGATAAGATAGATAGTTGTAATGTTGAGGAAATGTCCTTGCTGCAAGATGTTTGAGGTGGGGTGGCTACGCTTGACTCTTTTCTTGTAAAACTATTCGATTGTAGTAGGATTTGAGCCTCGGCCACTGCTTATGCTTCCTGGCTAGAAGCTGTAATTAGAGAGTCGAATTGTCAATCTGTGTCATTCTCTCAGTCAGGAAAGTTCTTGAAAAGAATAATCACACTGTACAAGGATTCATACACCCTCATTCCTTCGCCAACCTCGCTTCCGCTGCCGCCTCTTCGATCGCTTGAACTATAGCGCCCATCGGATCATAACTATCCATCTCACGCTCAATCGCCTTCGCTTTTTCTCTGTATTCAGAATTTCCCAGAATTTTGTCCACTGCTTCCCTCACAGCCAACGGCGCTGGAGATTCAACATCCAAGTTCACGCCAACTCCAGCCCATTCAGCACGCACTGCATTCTCAGGCTTGTCTGTCTGTACACCCGAGAACACCATTGGCAGTCCATGACTGAGAGCATGGTTAAGTCCTCCGTATCCGCCATTCGTGACAAAGACGTCACTAAGTGGAAAAAGCTCATCGAACGGGATGAAGTCTCCTATTCGGGCGTTGGAAGGCACAACATAGTCTTCAGGTAATGTAGCCCCTTTTCTCCCAAGAGCTGCGACAACAATGATACCGGGCAGATCCTTCAAACCTTCCAGTGTGGGGATGATGAGTTGCGTAAAATCGAGCGAGAGCAATGTCCCTTGAGAGACCACGACTATTTTGTCTTTTCCATGAGTAATATCATCCCACCACTCTGGAAGTGAGGGAGATGCATCGCGGTGCCCTTTGGGAAGCCCACCTGCGAATCGAAAGTTCTTTGGTAGATCCACGCGCGGCCATTCAATGCTCGGAACGCACATCTGCAGAAACTTGTCGGGTAAAGTGTACTCTAGATCCATAATATGGGCATCTTCCCTTAGGTGCTTCACTCCTATCTTTTTCAAATTCCGAATGAACTCGTTCTGGGTCGTAGCATAATCCTCCCCATAAACTTTCTTCGTCAAACCCGCAAACTTCTCGGTACTTTGCCCACTCGAGTCGGGCTTGAGAGAGAGTCCAAACGGAGGGACATCTTTCCCACTCAATCCCACAGGGATGATACCAATCCCCACAATTCCAGATGGCTTCAGACCCGGAGCTCCCAACCGAGTAGGCAAAGCACCCCACCAACTCTGATCAAACACCACCACCACCTCCCTCCCCTTCTCCCTCTCCTCCACCTCCTCCAACACGCTCTGCAGCGTATTATAATGCTCAACCAACGGCCCAGCAAAAAACCACCTCAGAATAAAATTCAAAAATTGCGGACCGCGTAAAATTTCCGGAGGAGGCGGGACGAGAGCCCAGCCAGTCGTTTCCGAGAAGTCGGCGTTTCCCTGGAAAGGCACGAATTGAGCGCCGATGGCTTCGATTTCTTTCTTGAAGTGGGAGCCGGTCAAGAATATTACTTCGTAGCCTTGTTCGATTAGGTTTTTGGCGATGGCGCGGAGGGGCATGGTGTGCCCGTAGATGGGGGTGGTGCCGAAGACGAGGAGGGGTTTTTGTGTTGACGCCATGATTTTTGGGTGATATGTTTGGGCTTCTTTGTTTTTGTTATGATGATTGGAGGGAATGAGAAAATTGTTGTCAAGTTTGGTGCTATCAAGTAGATATTGAGCAGGATGTGAGGAGTGTCTAACGTAAGCTCTTGCTGCTGACTTGCTCTAGAAAAAAGGCTGTTTAGGTTGATCTGCATTAAATTGTGAGCTTGTACTTGGAAGGTGACGACAGACAGGCAAATTCCAAAGGATTGCGGTTCCTGATTGTTATTGGATGCGAGTTGCGATGAAGTCCGATTGCTTCTGCATGGACCGCTACTGTAATCAGTCATCCAGGTTCGTGCCGTTTTTCCACCTTGCACTACTTACACCTTCCGTCAATGTATATCACTCTTCTACATCATCCTCATCAGCAACGCATCGCTACAAGGTCCAAATGGTTTTATCGTCCATCGTTCATACGATCAAAAGCCTCACCGACTAGAACTCCTCACGTGATTACCTGCACCTCACTCAGCCACGATAATCGGGCAGCTCGACCGCTTCATAATGCAGTCTTCCTCTCCTTACAATATGGCGACTCATGTGAGGATGCAACATGCGAAGCCCATTCTTCGACTTGACGGCTTTATTCTGGGCTAAGAATCCACCTGAGATCTCCAACTCTTCTCCACTACCACAAGCAACCATCTACCGAACCCTGGACAAGGCAAAACGCGAGATCCGAATATGTGATTTAATTCCTTCCTCAAAGCTCTCGGCGCCGTTGCAATGTTCTCTACGAACCGTTCCAATAGCTCAGGCCGGAAACTTCGTCGCCATGTCCTATGTATGGGGGAAGAAAGCTGCCTCGATTGAATCCATCTTGATCGATGGAGTCAAGCATCCAATCAGACCGAATCTTGCTGCCGGCCTTCGACGATTCCGTGCCACGTTTTCTGAGCAACGGCACACAATATCAGTATGGGCTGATGCCATTTGTATCAACCAAGATAGTATCGAAGAGCGGAATCACCAAGTTCCTCTGATGCGAGCCATTTTCTCCGAGTGCGAATCCGCGTTTGCGTGGCTGGGAGAAGAAGACGAGACTAGTGATCTAGCAATGGAGTGTATTGTCAGAATGGATAAATTCCTGCAAAGAGACATGGTCGGAACAGCCTCTTTTCCGTGGATGCTCGTCCAAGAGAAGTTCTTTTGGGAGAGTGAACCTTGGATTGCACTTTCGAATCTTCTGCAGCGGGAGTTTTGGCATCGCGTCTGGATATACCAAGAAGTTGTACTGCCTAAAAGTATACTCATCGCTTGTGGTTCTAGGGTCCTCCCTTGGGAAAGCTTTCAGGCGTTGAATGGGATGCGGATCTTTCGAGGTGGCTCGGACAAAAGTAAGAAGCTTCTGCGAAGGCACTTTGCTCATTTGGACACATCTGTCCGAGATAATATTACAGCGTTTTGCAACACGCTTCATCCGATATTTGAGCACAAGGTCAACTTTGACAACGGGAAGCGACTCACTCTCTTTGAGCTCCTGGCAGAAACGGTGCACCTGCGATCAACAGATCCTCGGGACAAGATCTATGGACTGTTGGCTTTGGATCAAAGTTCAACAATCTCACCGGACTATTCCAAGACCGTACCAGAAGTCTATACCGACTTCGCTCAAACGATGCTACTCGACAATCTCGCATATCTTCGATTTGGTGGGCTATGTACCCGTGAATCGAGCAAGGATATGCCAGCCTTCCCTTCGTGGGTACCGCATTGGGAATCCATGTCACGGACGACGACAACAGCTGCATTACAAGAGGGCAATTGCTTCGAGTTTCCACGACCAGGTCAGAGCGAAATGGACTTCTACCAACACCATGGTACGACAACGCTGTGTATCCGCGGGGAGATAAGCAGCAAAATCGCTTCAGTGCAGATTTATTCGAATTTTCTAGACACGGAAAGTTTTCGGTCAATGATATCTGCTGTGAACGGCACAGATTATACAACGACCATCGAGTATCCCAAAACTCCAACACGAAGATTACTCGCACTTTGCTGCACCCTGGTCCGACTCCTCCTTCGAAAAGACGAACTAGAAGACATGGCGCTCGCAGCTGGATTCTGCCACACCGTATACGCCCGACTAGACGCAAATCAGGCCTGGACAACATGTCTCCTCCGCGCCGAACTGCTGACGCCGTTTGGGGAATACTTCGGCTGGATACCGTAGACGCAGGCTTTCAGCCAAGCAGAGAGATCGCAGGAGGACTATCTACTGAGAGAAAAAGAGGCTTTGGAAAGAAGAGTTCTCTTCGAGACCGACAACGGCTATTTTGGCCTCGGGCCACCTGGTGTAAGGCGTGGGATTGTCTTTGTCAGATCTTTGGGTACCGCGATCCGGTGATCCTGCGCGAGGTTGGGACTTCGTATGTTCTCGTTGGATCGTGCTGGACTCTTGACTACACGGATCACTATGGAGAGCGGTTGCCACGGAGTGTCACGCTCGAGATATTGTGACGAGGGGGGGATTTGGACTTGGTGTGTGTCTTGCAAATGTGCATCGTATCTTCGGCTCTACTCTTCGTCTCACACAAGCTACTGGCCGGCGGCTTTCTCGAGTGTCACATCGTGGGTGCTGTCCATACGAGAGTACCGGTCCTCAAACAAAGTAAAATGTCTAGGCTCTACGGCGATTCCGAGGATTGCTTGCTAACTATTTCTCAGGTCATTGGTCCATTAAAGCAGACTAGCTTTTCAATTCAACGTCAGCTCATGCTTGAAACTTGTCCACTACACGCCTCATCGTGGATTATTCTTTTCGAGAACTTTCCTGGCAAAGAGAATGATACAGATTGACAATTCGACTTTAATGGAAAGAGTTTGATTTAGAGAGTTAGGTCAACTTTCGCTAGCAAGTGCAAGATGTATTATCCATCTAGAGGTGTGCATATTTGCTAAAGTGGCCCCAACTAGGATAGTAAGAAGGGACATAACAAAAGATCTAGCGTTACAACACTTGTTTATCTCCCCCCTCTCCCTTCCTCTTACCAACCAATCTTTTCTTATACAGGCATAATAGCACGTAATAGCACACAAAGCCATTATTTAAAGCTCTCAAAACTATTAAAAGTATCAAAGCAATCTTTATAAGGGTTCGAGCAATTAGAACCTAGCCCCCCATCCAGTATCATTTTGAAAAGTAAACATGCAGAAACAAAGCAAGCAAAAGGGGGCGAATGTATAAACACATGATCCACTCTCCCCCAAACACACCCCAAAACCTACACACCCTGTTCACCCCCAAATCACAAACCTATACCTTTCCACTTCTTCCCACCCTTAAATTCTCACACCGTACAGTACCTAAACACCTTAACGATTCAAAAATCACCTGACCCCCTTCCCACCCCCCTTTTCACCCGGCCCAGAAATAGCCGCCAACCGGCCGGGAAATCCCATCTGCAACGCAAAAAGGAAGGGAAGCGAACCAGTCCGAGCGCGAACACAGAAGATCTGCGGAGTGACGTACCCCTGGCTAAGATCGCAATCGTGGACAAGGATGAGCTTATTATTATGCATGTGAAGGCGGGGCTGAGAACTTTTGCTGCTGTACGATTAGGTGGGGAAAGGGTTTGGTTTGGATAGGTTCAGCTGTCAAGATCTTATGATTTTTAACTTCTGCACATGGGTGGTAGAACGAAAGTTGAGTTGTTTGAAAAGCCATGCATGCATTATTGTAAAGCATCGTAAGGACGAGCTGAAAAGCTACCTGTCCACGTTATCCCAGTCCCACCGAGTTCCCTGATTTGAAAAAGCCATCGCATCGTACAGTCATGATCCTCCCCCGCCAGAACAACGAAACTATCTAGTAGTTGTTGTCGTTGTTGTTGTTGTTTCCGCTTCCGTAAGAGCCAGTGTTGCCACCGGAAGAGTACTCATCGTTACCAGCGGCAGCACGCTTAGCAGCTCCCTTCTCTTGGAGACCCTCATTCTTCATCATACCACCAGCCTTCTCCATGAGCTTGCCCATGGTGCTGTCACCCTTCTTGTTGCCAGAGGTGTTGGAGGTGTCGTTGTCTCCGTATCCACCTGAGGTGTTACCGCTGCCGTAGGTATCTGAGCCACCAGTCGTTGAAGAGCCGTAGTTGCCAGATGAGGTATTGCCTGAGCCGTAGGTATCACTGCCACCAATACCTGACTGACCAGTGGTTCCTGATGAACCATAGGTATCGCTGCCGCCCATACCACCTTGGGTTCCTGAGCTGCCATATGTATCGGAGCCGCCGAGTCCTGATTGACCAGTAGATCCGTAAGAATCATCAGTGCCGCTGGTACCGAAACCTGATTGACCGGTTCGTCCAGAGGAGCCGTAGTTGTCACCACCCAAGCCACCAGCTTGACCAGTCTCACCAGCTCGGCCGGCGCCGTATGAATCGGTACCTCCGCTCAAGTTTGACTGACCAGTCTGGCCAGCGCCGAAGCTGTCATTACCGCCGAGACCTTGGTTTCCTGAGCTGCCGTAGCTGTCTGTGTTGCCGGACTGTGAAGGAGAATGTTAGTATAAGATTTTTAATACCAGTTGGTGATGTTTCCAAGCAAAGGTGAAATGCAATGTACTTACGCCGTAGGTGTCATTGCCTCCCATACCTGAGTTACCTCCCATGCCTCCTTGTTGGCGACCAGATGACTGTCGAGTTGTTAGTAGGTGAGACTCTGGTTGTGCTTCAAAGCTCCTCCTCGAGCTGAAGTGAAGCTCAGAAATGACGTACGCCGTAAGAATCATCTCCATAGGAGCCCTGAGAAGCAGGTGGTGAGCCTCGAACTTGACATTGAGAAATACTTTGGACTTGACAGTGACGAGAGGAAACTTACGGTGTTACCGCTGTCGTAATTAGACATGATTGCTGTTGTTTGTTTGATTTGGTTTGGTTTGGGGTTGAGTTGAGTTTGTAGATGTGTGTGAAAGTGTGAGAAGCTTGATGTTGTATGGAAGGGAAAAAGAAGAGGAGTAGTGACGGGAAGGCTATCTTTTATATCAAGCGGGGTCAAGAGCTTCTGATGACTTCGTCCTCCCCTCGGCTACGTAGGAGCTTGCCTTGCTCCTTCCTTCCATTCACTTCGTGTAGCTCGAAACCAGTGACGAAAGAAAGCTACCCCTCGCTACCTCGCTACGCTTCTTCACTCTCACACCCTTGACAACCTGGGAAAAGAAATTGCCTCCCCCGTGCCCATGCCCATGCCCCATCCCAGCTCCAATGAAAGACACTTTCCCGCAAAAAGCACGTTGCGTCATCCCCCTATCCTGCCTGCTTCCAAAAGTAGCCATTCCGCACGTCTGCATCCTGCAAATCATTGGTTCCAGCCTGAGCACAGATCATATCGAAGATCTCTCTTTTTTTTTCTTCCCCCATCTCGGACCTACATTTCTCGCGAGGCAGCTACCCACCGCTCATGAAACAGGGTAATCCGTCCCACCAACGCATCTATGCCAAGCTCGAAAAAGCAACGCTCCAAAGCAAGGCCAAGGCAATTGGGTCACAATGGCCCGATCATGGCACAATTACTTAGGTACAGGAACAAACACCATTGGAGGCTAAACTCCCGCAGGTTGGAAGTCTCTCTCTCAATCAGGATTCAGCTTGGTTGACATGGCTTGGCGACCGGCGGGTTCATGGCAGCACAGCATGGCATGGCATGGATGGTTCGTGGGTGGCTGCAAGGACGCCGGTCTGGGCCAATTTGCGGGTCAGCGCATCGGGTGAGGCTATGGATGGTCTGCAGGTGCAGGCGGGTGCAGGTGCAGGTGCAACTTGCTGTCAACCCCGCTTTGATCTTTGGTCTGGATCGAGAACGACCATCATTTTATTGGTACTGTACTGCGTGAGATTGGGATCTTTCCGAATCCGAAGGGAAGGGCACGGAAATCAAAGAGGCAGGAAGGGATTGGAAGGAGTTGGAAGGCGTGCTCGGTGAAGAGCTCGTTATTCGACTGCCCCTCCAAGCCCGCCAAAATTCCATGCTTCTCGTCTGCCCCGCGTCATGATCGGCATCCCCGTCAACGCAAGCGAGATAGATGGATCCCTCCCTGTCTTGGAGCTGTGGCGGCGTGGCTATCCAATCCACCAATCATCGCGCCCGAGTGAGACTTGCCCCGCATCGAAGTACTGAAACCTTACCGTCGTCATAATGAGGTACTTTCGGGAGCACAGGAATCCTTTGAGAGCACAATCTGGTGTGAGACTTCGATATGGGTTTGCATTATTCTATGCAGATGCAAATGCAACTGCAGAGTAATTTCGACTGTTCAGCTGATCCAGTATCAGATTGAATTCTTCTGCAAGCCATGCTGAAAATGACCTGGATCCACCTCCCAGATTCATCTAAGCTTTGAATTCAGCTGGAGGTGAAGCTTTAGGGTCCAACGCCAAACAACAAACCTTCCCCACTAAACCTCTCCGGCTGACCCAGATCAACGCCGCTCGACGGAACCAAGATCTCTCTATCTGCTGCTCATCTGACGTACTTGCTGTGCCACAATTAGCCACACGCTCCGTTTCACAGACATTAAGTCTCAAGGAAAGCTTGATTTTAGACTTACCTCATGAACCGCTTGTGGAAATCTGATCGAAGGAGATCCTAAGGGATGGTGGTTAGCACAGTCTCGTTAATCAGATCCGCAGAAGATCACGACTCACATTGACGAATTCCTTCTTCTTGCCTTTATCTTCCGTCCCGCGAGCCTGGTTCTTGAAGATCACATCGTCATCCCATCTGGATAAGCTGTCAATGCATGATCGTGGCGGAAAGGTTGTCCCAAACTCACCTCCGCTTCACATTGAAATCGGCTTTGGGGTTCAGTAAAGGGTTGCCGAGAGCAATGTCTTTCTCCCGTTCAGCCTCTTCTGCTGCCGCCTTCTCTCGTTCCTGCAGACCTCCCGTCAGTAATGCAGACCAGCAATTGTGTTGGGAAAGCTTGTTCTAACCTCTTGCTCCCGCTTCTCTGCTCTCTCGCGCTTGATCTTCTCTAGTTCTCGCTGCAGCTCGGCTGTTTCATCTTCATCGTCACTAAAGCCATCAGCAAAGGTCCAATTTGACCATTAGGGTAGATTCTACCTGTCATCCTCACTGCTATCCTCTTCTTCATCCTCTTCCGAATCTGCATCAATATCCCTCGACTCCTCTAATATTCGTCTCCGCTTCGCCTCGGGATCCTCTTCCTCGGCATCTCCATTCTCTAGCTGTCTCTTGGATGAATTCGTCGCAGGCTCTGGAGTATCTGCCACTAGAGCAGGTCCACCTCTAACCTTTGCGAAATGTGCAGCTTCAGCCTGCAGTAACTCTGCTCGTAGGTCGCGGACTTGATGATCTGCGTCTCCTCCTTGTCCTGGTTGTCTGTAATCCCGTTAGAAAATAGCTTGTGTACATATCGTAAATCTCTTACCGGACTTTGAGTTGAGTATGAGCTGGTAAGAGACGCTGATGATATGCTGGTCCTCGATTTGCTTCCTTTCCCTTGGCCTATTGATTGTTAGTTGCGCCTTGGAATAGGAGTCGCGAGATTCTTACGGGATCGAACGTGGGTCTGTGGGCTTTAGAACATTAGTATAATTCATGCCACTTAGAAAGAGGCATAGGACGTACCGGTTGTCATGATTAATGCAGCAAATTGTCAAGTTCGTAATATTGTGTCTATTCTCATGGGCCTTCCAATCTCCCAAAGATTTCGATATCAGCCACACTACTATAATACGCTAGCTCATATCGGGCACACCGCCTTGGCAGTATTCAAGCCTTGTCCAAAAACTGCCCGCATTTTCTTCTGAATCGTGCAATAAACACATTACACTTTTCAAGATGCCAAAAGAAGTAGAACCCTCTCTCAACGAGAGGCAATTCTTCGCCAAAGCTCTACAAGAAGATGTCCGTCTAGACGGCCGAAGCCTCGACCAATTCCGAGCTTTAGAGCTCGACTTTGGAGATGAATACGGAGTCTCCGATGTAAGGTTAGGAAAAACAAGGTACGAATACCTCCAAACATATATTTGCTATTCTCCCCATGAATAAATAAACAGAGCTAACCCTCCCTCCCTCCCCAGAATCCTAACCAAAATCACCGCCGAAGTAACAACCCCCTACCCCGAACGCCCCTTCGAAGGCCTCTTCACCATCACCACCGAGCTCTCCCCCATGGCGCTCCCGTCCTTCGAAGTCTCGCGCCCCTCCACAACCGAGACGCTCCTCTCGCGCCTCCTCGAAAAGACCCTCCGCCGCAGCGGCGCCATCGACCTCGAATCGCTCTGCTTGATATCCGCGCAGAAATGCTGGTCGATCCGCGCAGACGTGCACGTCCTGAGCCACGACGGGAACCTGGTGGATGCGGCGTGCGTCGGGATCGTGGCCGCGCTGCGGCATTTCAGGAGGCCGGATACGAGTACGGAGGGCGAGGGCGTGACGGTGTATACGGTGCGGGAGAGGGAGCCCGTGCCGTTGAGCTTGCTGCATCATCCGCTGTGTGTGACGTTTAGTGTGTATGGGGAGGGGGTGCTGGGGAAGGAGGCGGAGGCGGAGGAGAAGGTGGTTGTGGATGCGTGTTTGTTGGAGGAGCAGTTGAGGGAGGGGGCGTTGACGGTGGGGATGAATAGACATGGGGAGGTGTGCCAGATTGCGAAGTTGGGGGGAGTACCGGTTGATGCGTTGACGGTGTTGCATTGTGTTAATGTTGCGAATGTTAAGGTTAAGGAGATTTCGAAGTTTATTGATTCGAGGTTACAGTTGGATGCGAAGAAGAGGGACAAAGGAGGGTTGATGGCGGAACTTAGTGCAGAAAATGATAGAGTATCATGAATCAAGATAATATCCAAAGAATAATCGTATTGTACGGTTTATCAACGAGTATCTACGTCTTTACAATCTTACTTACAGAGCCGTACTTTGCTTGCCAGGCGAAGAAATACAGCAAAGCGGCCAGGGGCTGGCCAATAAGGGTAAAAGAGACCCAAAATATACAATTTCCAATGATGCGGCCATTGATTCCTTTCATCTTTTCCAAAGGTGCCGTGATAGCAATCAGCGGCAGCTGAGCGAGCATGCCAATGAAAGCGACGCCTGAACCTATGTCAGCTATGATCAGGAATTATGGCTAGGAGACTTACCTATTATATTATGAGTCGGCACCCCAACCAGCAATTCATGGAGAACCGCTGAGAACAGAAACACAAAAACGCTAGCAGCACCTGAACTCCACCCTCTGCCGACAAGAGGTGAGAAAACGTGCCGTTTCATGAATTGGTAGACAGGCTTATTCCAAGTCCTCCAATAAACTCCAACGCTAGGACTGTTCCACCAATCCGAATAGAACTCACGGTCTCCAAATTTCATGACCTCTGCCAAAGCATTCAAGAACGATTGAAACAAGGCGAAGAATCCCGCGAGCCAGATGACTAGGCTGATAGTTGATAGCTTCATGAGTCTTTCCAAGATGGAAGGCAGGTCAAGAGTGGCGATCTTGTCCAAAGAGTTTCGTAGCACGGGAGCAGCGTATTGCGCGCTTGCTATCCACATGAATGCGTTCAGTCCAAAGACTTCAGCCATACGTTTTGCCACAAAGACCCATCTGATCTTGGTGGTCCTCGGATATACCGGTTGGTAGACCAATGTTGGAGCCCACCAGAAGTAAGTCAAATTTCCCAGAGTGATGTTGTGTGGATATGGGCATTGCTGGTATATCTCAGGTAAAATATCCTCTTCTCGGTTCGAGGGGTGGAGGTAGGAGTGTCGAAGGTCTCGGTTCGTGAATGCATATGAAGCCGTCTTCAACCACACAATGATTGCATGAACTTCGCTCAATGTCCCAATCAAAGGATGGTGTATGAAGAAGTAGACAATGACCGAGGTTATGAGCAAGCATAGCGTTGCATTGATGCCGTGGACCCAGGCAATCAAAACCCATGTAGAATGGAAGTTTTGTTTCTCCTCATCGGATGGTACATAACTTCCTCCTGGTGTTGCTGTTCCTGATCGCTTCTTGCCTCCTCTTAACGATCTTCTGGCTTGCTGTGCAGCAACTAATTCGACTACATAGGCAAGGAAGAGGTGACACGGTATGATGAAGAATAGAGCCGCACCGAGAATAAGGTCTTGTCGCTGGTAATCGTGGCATCGTATGCAAATAAGAACTCCATACTGGCACCTGTTAGCTTTGACATCTGGCGAGTTGACTTGTGGACTTACCTTCTTGAAGTTCTCAATCATCAATCGCAAGTTGCCAACAACTATCGCGTACGTCAGAGCTGTAATTCCATCCCAGGATTGCAATCCAAGACGTACTTAGAACGATGACCATTAAATTCCTGAAACCCAAGAAGCTTGGAGTCGAATCGGCATCGTGACTGAGACATGAAGTCCGTGGCTTTGAATGAACAGCTGCAACATGTCTGTATTTCTTTTTTGTATGTGTGCGTATTGGGGCGAGAGGTTGTGGCGTAGAGAAGCCATTGAGATTCACATGAGAATTGCCTGATCTTTTGATTGGGCCCGCAGCGCGAACTTCTGCACTCGTAACGGTCGCAGTATCGATTCTCGTGGCCATTGTTGTAGGACTGCGATGTGAAACATTAATGAATAATAGAGGTAAGAATCCTCGAGGGCAACACTGCTGGTGGCAGCAATGCCAGAGCCAGGAGGGGTTGTAACAAGGAAAGAATGAGCTCCTGAAAGCGCGGGACACTGGCGGGGCACTAGGCGAGAAGAATGATGAAACAGCAGCAGTATTCCAACCTGTGGATTGGACTGAAGAGTGAGAGAAGTATGAAAGAGAATAATATATAGTGGGAGAAGAAAGTTACATGCGCGTTCTCTCAAATCCAATTGGATAGATCTGGAGATGTGAATTAATGCCTCCCAATGGATTGAATTGCCATCTCTGATTGTTGAGAAGCGTGAGGAGAAATCGGGGCAGGGATGGAAACTCAATCGCCGCTATGAATGCCACTAGGAGAAAGGTTCTGCCGAACCTCCGACCACCCTTGCTAAACTGAACCTTCGAAGCGATTGTAGAGACGAAGCGTGATACCTTGAGCAGATGACTTTCGACACTGGAATTATTTCGAGTCAAGACCTCTTGTGACAATACTACTGCTCGCTTTCTTACGTCACCATTTCGATCATTTCAAGAACGTTCTTCGTCTGACATAGACTCACCGAGAAGAATGACACGGTAGTCGAAATGGCATACGAGCAACGCGGCGACCGCGACTATGGAGGCCAGGGCGGTGGAGGAGGCGGAGGAGGCTATGAAGGCGTATTCATTCGAGGAAGAGCAAAGCGTGAGTTTAATTCAGTTTTGCAGGCTTGAGGCATGGGGGCGCCACGGCTTCTTGGAGATATTTGCTTGAATACACAGTCCAAGATATACAATGTCGCGCAGGCAAGCACTTCGGCTTTATGATTCCTCTGAGAGTCTAGTTGAATTTTGATACCCGCAACACATGCTCTTGTACAGTATTCAATTAGGTTTCTATTGAAGCCGAACTTATCACGTGATGGGATGCTTCTCCGAATGGCACACGGTTAAAGGCATCAAACAGTGCTAATACTATTCCTCTATAGGACCTGTCACTGATTATGGAGCTACTATTGTTCACTGGATGCGAAATAGACAGCCGAGGTTTAAGGGAGGTTATCAAGGCGAGATGGAGAGACCAAGTGCAAGCTATATCGTTGATGTAAGTCTTCGTGACCACTCGAAAAGAACCTTCTGACGAAACGCAGATGCTCCCCCCGTTAGCAAGGTTAAATAATCCAGCAGATACGATACCTTCACGCTTCCTACACGCTTCGTTAAACAAGAACAAACATCCTGTTAATGTTGTATGCTGGACACCAGAAGGCCGAAGATTACTTACGGGCTCCAGTAGTGGAGAATTTACTCTCTGGAATGGAACGGGTTTTAACTTTGAGACGATCATGCAAGCACATGATGTTGCCATCAGAGCTCTGTCATATTCTCACAGTGACGACTGGCTTGTGTCAGCTGATCAAGACGGCCTGATCAAGTACTGGCAACCTAATTTTAATAACGTCAAAGTCATTCAAGGCCATAATGATGCTATCAGAGATCTTGCTTTCAGTCCAACAGATTCAAAATTCGTCACGGCTTCGGATGATTCGACATTGAAGATATTTGATTTTGCGGGAGGAAATGAAGAGTCCATTTTGACTGGTCACGGATGGGATGCAAAATCTGTCGATTGGCATCCTACAAAGGGCCTGATTGTATCTGGATCAAAAGACCATTTGGTCAAATTATGGGATCCTCGCACTGGCCGTTGCTTGACCACACTCCACGGCCATAAAAACACCATAACCAAGACTTCGTTCGAGAAAGTCAGAGGACAGTGTCTAGCATCATCCTCACGAGGCGAAATAGCACGTGTATTTGACCTCCGAATGATGCGTGATATCGTTATTCTGAAAGGTCACGAGAAAGACATCTCAACACTAGCATGGCATCCAATCCACTCCTCGATGCTCAGCACTGGTAGTGCTGACGGGTCAATGTGCCACTACCTCCTCGACGAACCCAATACTCCGCCAGGAATCACTTCGACCTTGTCACCATACGATTCTCCAGACCCTTCAGTCGCACCCATCCAGACCATCTATCCAGCTCATAAGATTAACCACGCCCATGAGTTTCCAGTCTGGAGTCTCGATTGGCATCCTCTCGGTCACATCCTAGCATCAGGATCCAATGATCGTACTACTAAGTTCTGGACACGAGCTCGTCCAGGCGATACAGATATTCCTAATGACAGGCACCATATTGGCGAAGCAGCAGCCGAGGCCCAAGGAACCTGGGACCGCCGTGGTGGTCGTAAACAAAGGCAAGAAGAGGAGGAGCAGGAGATGGAAGACGAGACAGAAGGACTTGTCGACCAAAAAATGCCACCAAAGTTACCTGGCTTCCCTGGTATCCCTGGATTACCACTTCCGCAATTCGGCAGAGATGGAACAAGTCAAGGCGGAGCACAGCCTCTGATTCCAGGTATGGGAGGTGCTCATGCTCCACCACCGCCTGTTTTTGGAAATGGCCTTCCTCCTCCATTGCCAGGAATGGATCCAAACAACCCGCCAGACTTTGCGAAACTGGCGGAGATGATGCAGAAAGCCGGCTTACCTCCTCCACCCCCACCGGTTGGTGGACAAATGCCTCTTCCACCAGGCATGTTACCTCCCGGCTTATTACCTCCGCCAGGATTTCCAAACGGATTTCCTCCGCCTCCACCTGGAATGGGTGCTCCTCCTTTCCAGATCCCCGGTATGGGAGGTGGTGGCGAGAGAGACAATACGCCTCCGACAGCTGCTGGTACTGTGAGAAGAAGAGGTCCGTTGCCAAGTCAAGAGGAGAGTTTGAGGATGGAACAAAGGCAGGGGAAGTACACGAAAGCTAGGTAGGGATCTAGAAGAATCACCAAAATAGGTCATGTACAACAGCAAGGAATACCTCAGGCGTTACGTCGTAGCAGAACTGAAAGGCTTCTGACTGAAAATGAGATTGTGAAGTTGTGTCTCGTGAGATTTTCATGTAATTGTGTCGTGTATTGAGTTTATGCTATGCTATCTAAGTTCTGGTATCAAGTACAAATACAACAAGTCAAAAAGACAAAACTCCATGCTATGCGTTCGCTCTCCCCAATGCAAATGCAGATGCTATATGCTATGCCAAATCAAACATAAAACAACAGAAAACGCCCTCGCGAGCTAATCCTCCTCTGTAAACCATTCCTCAGACATTATCCACCCAACATCAATCATAGATTAGAAGCCGGAGTCAGATTCCTAGGACTCGTCCTCGTCGGTACCGCAGCGACCTTATCCTCCTTCACAAACGCCCTCTGCCTATCTGCATACTCCTTGATAACAAGAGCACACACCGTATCCGTACAAAGCCTCTTCCTCCTCTGCGCCGGCAACTTCGTCGCAAATTCCAACCCACTTGCCCTCTCCACCGCTTCAACCGGTACCTCAAAGTCCGTAATCGGCTTGGTATTCGGAATCGCTGCATTCGGCAACACAAAAGCCCCCACCGCAACAGGCCCCGTCGTCGTCCCATCCTCCGCGAAAATCACCTTGTAGAAATGCGTAGGGACAGCGATATTCGGCGGATTCCCAATCATCTCATACGACACCCTCCACTTCCCATCCACAGCATCTCGCTTGGGTAGATATAACGGCCCCGTAACGATCCTCACCGACGGATATCTCAACGTCAACCTCCGGCAGAAATCCTCGAAGTGCGCCCAGTAATCTCGATTAAAGCCCTCCCCAACCTGCGGACACATGTTCGTCAAGAAGAAAGTATCGTTCATAGCTTCCTGACTCCATTTCGCGTCTGCGGCTGGCACCTGGTGTCCGCGGTCGTAGCCAGAGCGGAAGTAATCCTTCAGCTTGCCTCTGAACTTCTCGGGGACGGAGGGGTCTTCGACGAAAACGCTGTGTTTGCGGTCTCCGTTCGAGGTCGCGAGGGATTGTGGGGTTATGTGTTCTGCTACCCAAGACGGGTTTCGCAGGCGGCGGTCGAAGGAGGAGACGAGGGCATTTCGAGTCGCGAGGTCGGATACTGGGCCTGGGAAGCCATATTGGAAGAGCCCTGCTGGGTCGACGGGCGGCAGGATATCTTTCGCAGATATAGGGAACGCTCCTGGTACGGGAGCTGGAACTGATGTTGTGGATGTAGCTGAGACGGACGTCGAGGATGCAACGGCTTGGATTTTCTTCTCTGAGCGCGTAGAGTACATTGCTGCTGTAACGCTTGCGCCTGCTGCAGCGCTCACGGCGGCGATAATAGCTATAGTAGTCTTTGACATCGTGAGAGGCTCAGACGTGTACGGGGCTGGCCTGGTATTTATTGTCGTCGAAGGGGGGAATTCGGCGCGTATGGTCACGATGAAGACATAGACGCGCGTGAGAAGGGGTCGTGGTGTTGATTGTACAAGTCACGGGTGAGGTTTGTAGTCACTGACCTTTTTTTAGAGACCCCTGTCTTGGGGCGGGAGCGCTAGCCTGATGAGGCTACCTAGGGATTCAGGGAGCCGAAGGATAACCAGACGACAACTCTTGGTCACGTCTACGGGTGTTAAGGCTCATAGTATTGTGTGACCTCTGTACAGCCTCATTTTGTGCCAAGAACTATTGTATTAATGCCATCAAATGCCCTAGAAGCCCTCTGGACTGCTCGTCCACCAGTCATACCAGGCTCCACTGACCAGCCGTCCGGGGCTCACCGTCTGATCACTAACTATAGCCTGCGAGGACATTTGCACTTCTTTGACACTCAACATCTCGCCACCAACTTTGTCTCGAAGCAAGTCCACGTTGCTTGTAAATCGGGCTTCTTGAAGGACTTCTCCCGCCTGGCTCTGGTTAACTCCGAAAGTACATCCTACATCTTTTTGCCTCGGATTTCAGGAGAAGGTACGATTTTGAGTTCGCATACTTCGAGTGCATATCAACCCTCTTGGAGCTGAGGGTGCTTCTTCTGACCCATGTTAATGTCAACGAAGACGGAGAATAACTTGTAAGGCTTTTGAGATTGACAGTTTTGGAACTTATTTATTGCGCAACATCAAGAATCTTTACATCACACTACCCAAATCCTTGTCGAACTAAAGTTACTTTCAACTCAAAAGTGTCATCAATCATGAAGAAGGTGAAGGAGAGATGGATCCTCTAAGCATCTCCAAAGTCAGAATATTCCAACTAGTGAAAGTTCCTTCATGGATATCGACGTGCGAATCAGAGAGGCATAGAGGCCGCAGACCCACCAGATTCGGATTGTTATTCCCATTGGAGTGCTGCCAAGAAGAGTAAGAAGAGGAAAGATGATGAAGAAGAGGATGAGGACGATATCTAACGATGTGGACTTCTTGGACGATGAAGACATGATCTAAGGGGGGAGAAGTTCCAAACTGGGCTTGGGAGATTCGAGTGAAGTATTCACTGAGTCTATAACGGACAATGCTGAAATGCTTTGAGAAACGTATTCACGTGAACACGCGCCATGAAATCTCGCTTCCTCGTCGTCTCCCAAGTTCCTTCCTCAAAATCTCCACCAACGCCAGTGACACAATACTGTACCGAAAGCAACAGTATCTCCGCATTCCGAAGATATCTTGCGCTTTCGCTGCCTTGTCTTGTGACCTGCGCAGTGCCCACAACTGTCTCGATTCTCGCGAGGATTACCTGAAGCACTTCATCTTCCAAGTCTCCTCGACACAAGTTACGCGAATATTGAGGATTAATCCAAGCAGGCCTAGCAGCGCGTTGACCTTTAGAGCGCGTCTCTTGAAAGTAAGCACCATCGTGCATTCTTCTTCGCGCAGATGAATCTAGCCTTGCTAACAGAACATAGAGCTACGCGCATTACGGTGAATTTGACAGATACATCTCTCCAAAACCAGAAACGGATCTCCAAAGACCACCATTGAATCCTCACGAGCCACCTAAATGCCTCTTCGTGATATCAACATGACTCCACAAGCTCCCGATATGCCCGTTCACAGCACCGTCAACTCTCTTGAGACTGCAATGGAAGCCGTCCAGATCACCGATAAAGGCCCTCACGATACCGATGAGACTCTCCAGGATTTTAATGCACCTCCCCAGACATTCGATAAATTCACCAAGTTCCCTGATCTTCCTATCGAGCTTCGTCTAGCCATTGTAAGTAGCAGTCTATATAGCATTTGTCCTCGTGTCTAATTCGTGGTAGTGGTCTTTCGTACCAGAGACTCGTATCGTCGAAGTCGAGTTCTCAAAGGAGAAGAAAACCTGGTTCGCTCCCATCGAGAGTGCTTGCCAACCTGTCCTCCTTTCTGTCTGCGGAGAGTCTCGCAAAGTCATGCTAGAGGGATGGTTGCCGCTTCTGCCTCACTTCTCATCAGACCCTTCTCGACAATCCCGAATGGCTTCTAAAATTGCACGTGGTTTCCCTTACTCAATCAGCTATTTCAATCCTAAGCTTGATACTCTCTACATCGACGATTCAGTGAGGAGTATATTACCTGAAAAATGCCTCAAAAAACTCGGCCAGTTGGTCAAGCTTCCTGCATTAAAGAATTTGCGTCATCTCGCATGCAGTGAAAGTCTACTCCCATATAGTTTTCATGCCCAAGAACGGACGGACGAAATCCTTGAAATTATGCTCAAGTTCAAGCACTTGCGGAGATTTTCCTACATTATCGGCGATCCCTGGTTATCTCTCGATCATGAGAGCTGGAAAAAAATGTGCAAGGGAGTTATCGAGTTCCGCCATACTGGGTTCAGGCCCGGGCTTGATCCAGTAAGATTCAAGAGTCCATTAGAGAAGTACAAAAAGCAGTCTGTTTTGGTGGACGAAAAGGAAATCTGGAGAGGAGACAAGGATATGTGGAAGGAAAGCCTTCGAATGATAGAGAGGAGAATTCGAGGCCTTCGGCCGTCTGGCGAACACTGGGCTCAATAAACAACAAATCTTTGAATGCCCTTTTCCATTCGATCCGCGCAGAATGATCACCATTCTGCTCATACCCTGCGAACTCACCGTGATCTCCCTGGGAGTATCGCAGATGTCTATTCTACAGTAGCTTGTGTAAGCAAGAGTCACTACTGTGCTAAGCTGGTTGAAGCTCGGCCGGACCAGGAGGTGGACTTTCAACGAAAAGTTTGCGTGGAGACCAGGGAAGGAGGCAATGAAATAGGGTTTCGGAAAAGCTTTTGAGTTCTTCATATGAGTTAATTTTTTGCTTCACCGTTAATGAACGATAGAGAATGAAACTTTGCAATGAAATTATGGAGATTGAGATAAGTGTGATTAACAGTATTATATATGATAGTACTGGCTTTCGTTTTTATCTTACGCCAGCGTTGAATAGTTTCTAAAGCACCGAAAATAACTGGAATTGCTCTGCATTTTACTGAACCAAGTTACGAATCATTCTGGAAAAGTCAGCCCTGTGTTCGAGATTAGACTTTAGTACCTCACAAGCAAAGAATCGTGTTTTAATAAGTCACATTGAAATTCCAACTAATGTTTGGGCGAGAAAGGATGTGTATCAGAGACTGCTTGTTGTGGCACTAATTGTGTTAAGCTCACCTACTCACACCTCAACAATGTTGATAAACTCCTTGTGCCATTCTATGTTCAATTGCTTTTCTGTGATTGAGTCTAATGAAAGTGAACCTCCACACATCATCATCTAAACGCCAGTGAGACTCCTCCATGTCACTGAGCTCTCAACCCATATCCTCACCCTGAATTTTTGCAGATGACCTCCATATAAAAGAGACCGCACCCAAACTCATGATCTCAGCACGCCGCCAGAGATTTCTGGTTGGATGATATCTCCGCTCTGACCTTGCTCGTCGAAGAATCGAGCCCATTCACCCATATGCTTGCCACCTCTCCAAATGCCCGCTTCCACTACCTTGATATGACTCTTCGACAGAGCAGCTTCTAAACCAGAACTTGCTCGAGAGGGAATGTAAGTTCTAGAGAACGTTGAGCGTTCTCGCAACTCAATTGCCCCTCTACAGTGTCTTTTCCAAGATTTGTAGCGCACAGGACCATTATTGTCTACTATGGTGACCGTGTCCAAATCCTTGAGCTCTCGAGTCATCTTGGTAAGGTTGTCTAAAGCGCTTCTACCAATTTGACGCCATCCTCTGTGAATGTCCATCGTGATCCGTAGGGCCATTAAGCGAACAATGGCCAAGTGACGCAACCCAAAGATCAATGGGAAGGCTTCAACTGCAGCATCTGGTAGACGGCCCGAATTGCTGTGCGCATAGATAGTATCAATGCTTGGATTGAAATAAACGACTGGAAATTTGATGTTGGCGGCGAGGTGAGAGCGCATGAGGGAATGATGTGGAGAATCGGATCCGAAGTCAGTAGCAAGTGGAATCCAATCGCGAAGATAGTATTCCCTGGACTCTTTGCATGTCTCGAGGAAAGAATTTGGTTTGTGTGCGCTCTCCGTGGGACAGAACCAGGATTGGGTTCGACTGGACCACTCAATCTCAACGACTTGAGCTTCAGGTAAGGCGAAACCCCAAACCATCCACCTCAGCTCCAATGATAACTTCGGGAATTTGTGGAAGGTATTCGGTGTCATGAGAACGGTTGCCGGCAGCGTGGAAGTTGTACCGTTTTGCTCGAGCGCGAACCGGATCTCTTTGTCGGAGGCGGTCTTTGGTGGAATCGGAGTAGGAGACCTGGTGTGCTAAGTGCTGAAGATGATCCGCAGAGGCTGCAGATAGTTTTAAATTGCCTTAGCGCAAAAATGATGATTTATTTGAAGATGAAACTGGCGCCGAAGTATCTGTTTTTTGTGGTCGAAGGAGACAACGCTATGGAAGGTTCCGTCTGCGCAGAAGGATGCGAAGCTCGAACTCTTTGTTCTGTTGTAAAGAATTAGAGGTGAGGTGATGGTGGTTGTTGAGACTAAGTAGTAGATACAGAGTTGAGTCATGCAATAAGAAGAGCCAACTGTTAGCGAGAGTGGTAAATTGCACGCTAGTTAAATGGGAAACTGTATGCATTTTCGAATATAAAAGGCAACACATTCCTTTGTTCTCCACCATTTGACCTACATTACAAACTGAACCTCTTCACAATTTTTCACAAGAAATAATCCAGAACTTCCTCTTACCAAAGATACGATCACCTAATATCACAGGTATCCCTCTCGCGAACTGGATTCCCTTGAGCACTTGAGCGCGTTGTCGTCTACCAGCTTTCTGCTACGTCGGTACTCTCATCTTTACATATTCCACCCGTATCTCGCGCCTTGTGGCTTGCTACATCGTGCTCGGATATCCGAATCCTTGTGATTAGTACGTGAGTCTTGCGCAAATAGTGTTCCGAGATCCAATTGTCTTTTGGGAGCAGGAGACGAGTTACAATACTTCTCCGTATCTTTGCGTCTCACCTTCGAGCTCCAAATTTTCCTCTGTGCTAAAGCTGATAGCGTATCGATAGATTCACTACGTACTTCATCAAAGTCCCAAGCTATCAGTCATCCATCAGAGAACCAAAAGTCCAGCGCTTATCATCTTCACACATCCTAACAATGTCGGACATCCCAGATACATCGATCATTGCACCTGATCCCGGCGATAAACCGAAGGCCGAGCAAGAGAAGAGCAATATGGTCCCTCTAACCTCTTTCGAGAAGTTCCCCGAATTACCGACCGAACTGAGACTGCAAATCTTAAGCAGCATATCTTTTTGTTCTTAATCGTCGCTAATTATTCATGTTGGCGCATTGCATTTCCCAAGACCCTTTCATCTTCCGCAGTTCGTTTCCCAAGACAAGGCGATTACTGACTTGAAATAGTGGAAGGAAGCTTTGCCTGATCCACGAGTTGTCGAAATCAATTGGTGCCACTGTGCGAATCAATGGCTTTGCCGCAAAGAAAGCCAATCAACAGCAAGCGGACTCTTGAGGGCAAATCAGGAGAGCCGGGAAGTCATCCTAGAGAACTATGTTCCATTCTTCCGGCAAATACCAAGAAATATTCCACACCGTGGTAGGCATTCTTTCGAGGAGAACCCTTTCGCCTACGTTGGTAGCCAGATAGATACGTTGTATATAGGATGCAGCTCAAACAGTAGCTTCTCCGTCGACGAAGACGCTGTGGAGAGTCTAAGAGAGACTGTGGGAGAAGCTGCTCTAGGGCAATTTCGATCCCTTGCATTTTTGGACCTGGAGTGGGCCTCATGTCACGACTCTCGAGGGGAGTTGTCGATCTGCCAGTTTTTGGCAATGTTTCGGTCTCTCGAAAAAGTCATCATCACCTACGGAGATGTTTTCAGTTTCGAAGACCTGGATATGTGGCAAGGAGAGATCCAGTTTGAGGAGTGTCTAGGAGATGAGTTCGAAAGTCGTGGATCGCTTTGGATTCAGCTGGTCTCAGTTGGGAATGACGAGTTTCTGAGAGGGTTAATACCTTCCACTCTAACACCATCTATCACACTCATGAGGATCAGTAGAGGAGGTTTGCTCACGGCACACTGACAAGCTGCATTTCACAACGAGAGACGGCTCTGCAAGGGTTTTGTCTCGAGACAGAAGTAGCCGTAGTAGACTGGATTAAGGGATTGTCTTTAGGTTGCTAGGTGCTGAGAGATTAAGACCCAAGCATAATGGACACCTGATTTGCTATAATCGGCCCTGTATTGCAGACCTAATCAATCAGAAAAACAGAACATGGTCATCACCTTTGAGGGCGTACATAGTGTGTGGCCATTCTTCATTTCTCTATCTTTGATATCTTTCCGTTAGCACTTCTCGTTATATGCGATTTACTGACACAGAAGTCCTGGGTCCCAGCTGGACAATCGTGCACCAAAAATACATCCTAAATACTTCAAAACTTTTCAACCATATTATAGCTAATTTTCTACCAGGTACATGATATTTACAGAAAGGTATTCACAGTTTGCAAGGCATGCTTTTATATACCTTTGTGCATAGTGAAAAATCTTTATCTTTCAAGTGTTCCCCCCCTGCACACCATCATCGCTTAGGATGGGACACAAGATTTTTATTCGATTTTGTTTTGCTTACTTCATTGATTTATTTTCCACACTTTTTAAAACACTATTTATTCCATCTTAAATTGATGGGTAATTTACTCGTCGACTTTTCGAAGGAATCATGCTGTGGCCGACCTCTTCCAACAACTCAGCCCAACTTTAGAATAGCCGACGAGTAATACTAAAAGTAAGTTCTGTTTATTTCCAATCTTTAATGAAATTGAACGATTAAATTCGAGGTCGACGCGATCATTAACTTCTGATTGCTTCTGAGATGCCCAAAAAGATTTTCCCGTACTCAGAAATACAATTGGTGACCTCGAGTCCCGTTCCCTATGTGGTTCGAACTACAGCTAGCTTCCACAAAACTCCGTTTAACATCTCTATGGCCAACGGCAACCCGCAACATCCCAAAAATTCAACATTAAATTCATATTCTCTTTAATATCAGATACAAGAACAACTCTCGTTACGACCATGAGTCCTCAAGAAGTCTGTTCAAAGATTGCGAACAGTGAAGCAGACCATTCCTGTTCCGAAACCGACCTTCCGTCGAGACAACTCTAGCATATGCCTTCAGAGATCCTTCTCCTGGTCGCTACGTATCTACCTCCATCATCTGCTGCTTGTCTATCTCTATGCAATCGCTATTTAAAACAATGCATAGGCTCTGGGGCTATGCGAGACTTGCGTGGCGCTGGCAAGGAGTGCCGGATATCTTTCTTGGAGTTGCTGGCCCGAGATTTATCTAAAAATTATGCATGCCACACTTGCGTGCGCTTGCATAAAACCACTTTGGTTGAATGGCCACGTACTTTGGCTCGCTACCAAATGCTTCCATGCATCGTATTCGACCAGAAGTACCGCTTTGACTTCCACTCTCGATACAAAATCAATTTCGCACATGTACAGCTGGCGCTGAAAAACCATCGACGTGGGCCTTTGCATGGAATACCTCTTGAAGCCTTTTCACATACAGAGTTCTGGATTAAACGAGGTTATGCCAACAACCTCCTATCCGTCGAAGCTAGGATCGATTCCGACGAACTCCTTGTACGCTCACAACGATGGATTTTGATCCCCCGATATCGAAGAGAGGAGCTGCTCACCACGTGGCATGTGCATGGATTGTGTCCACATATATGGATGCGGAGACCTGTAGAGCCCGTTCAGGACATCTTCACTCAAATAGTGATGGAACAGCTGGACGGTCAGGAACGTCGCTTGGTCTACAAATGTGATTGGTGTCACATGGACTTCTCTGTTGATATTTTTGATGAGGAAGGAGATACTGGCATGGTCGTGACACGATGGGTCAATTTGGGTAATGGTTCCTCAAACTCAAGTCTAGATTGGGAATGCCATATTCCTGTAACATATGCACACACACCTGGACACCAAGCTGGAGCCATCAAGGCAAGATTTGAAACCCAACAAGGTCAATCATTCGAGGAAATCAATCTGCTCAATTTCAAGCGTTTGCTGTCGGGTCAGAGGCAGGAATTTAAAGATGGAAACAAAGAAGCCCTGGGTTCTCCGGGATGCATCTGGATACAACTTTCCATGGAGACCCCTTGGTGGTATATCAATCCTCGTGCGGACCGAGAAGTTGAGTCATTGACAACGACACTCTGGAGTATCTTGCTCGAAGGCGCTCCATCACGGTTCTGTCTCTGTCTTGTGTGTTTCCTGATTTGGTATTATGAAGACGTCCTTGACTCATTGTAGTGTATTATGTTGAAAAATATGAAGCTTGATGCTACTACCTCGTCTTCGTGGACACATACGATCTAGCTGTGTCTGAAAAATTTCAATCCATATGGTTTGCTTGTTCTTCCTTTTTGATCTCTTCGTTAGCACCTTCCTCAATGCTGTGAGCCACTCAAAGAACTGCGGCATCGCACCTTCCTCTATAAATATATGCAATTTCCATATCCTTCTGTCTTTCAACACCTGCTCCCGACTTCTCATCCACCATCTTCAACCAATCAACATGGTTACGATGACACAGCCAAGCTTCCATCTTTTCCCAAAACTTCCAATCGAACTCAGACAACATATTTGGTATCATGCTCTGCCAGCAGCTGCAGTAGTCGAAATCGAATTCTGTACAATCGCCACACAATGGTTCTGCCCCGTAGCATCGCTACCGCCTCCTTGTGGTTTGTCAAACGCCTGCGCCGAATCGAGGAACATGTATGTCAAGTATTACAATACCAAACTCTATGCTGGGGGTCGGGAACATGAAGAAGTGACACAGCTGGGTTCCTGCAATCACAACTTGCTCGACGAGACCAACTCTGCAGATACGGGAGATGAGATCATCAGAAGAGTGGTGCGCGTTGACTTGAACATCGACACGATCTACATCGGACCCAATACTCAAGGAGAGCTTTGCTTCACGTATTCGTCGCTCCAGACTTTGCTGGCTATTCCTATGATAGAAAATCTGAGACGCCTGGCTGTCGAGGATTTGGAATGGAGCAATGATTTGACGACCGATCCAGGAGAGCTCGACGCGCTGGCATTCTTCAAGAAATTGGAAAAAGTGTCTGTTTTGGTAGGGGATATCAGCTGGATCTCGTTTGTGCATCGCTCCAAGGGTCCAAGTGAGAGAACGAAAGATGTTATAGAAATCGAGGATTGTAGGAATACCGAGTGGTTGAAGAGGTCGGTTAAGAGGATCGAGAGAAAATGGAATCAGATTCTTGAGGGGCCGGATGTCGAGGTTGGCTTTGAATTTGATGTAAAGATGATCCGGAGAGGTAGCGAGAAGTGAAGAAGAACTTCGGATGAGGTATGATGAGATAAGATGAGAGATGCTGGATTGAGATGAACATAGATAAACAGATGGTAGCAATCATTTGATAATGCTGGCGAGCATGAATACAAAAGTCAATACCAAATGTATAATTTCATTCATGAACTGCAAGAATTTGGTACCTGAGCAAGACGAGATGCTCAACTCTGATGAACGCTCTATCATCTCATGCTGTTCCCTTTGGAGTCGAGGCTCTTGTTAACAAAGGCATGCAGCTTTCTTTCAAGGTAAAGATTGCAACACCAAACTCCAAGTCATATAAAACCATGAACGATCTTGAGCTTGCTTCGCAATTCAATAATTTATAATGATTATGAGGCTGGGGCTATTTATTTCGCCTCCATGATGAAAGAAGACACGCTCCCATTTACCGATGGTGGTTTTTCTTGAGTAGAGGCTTGTTCACAGTGAGCGTTGTCATGCACAGAGCTTATTGGCGTGTCCTTCCTTTCCGCGACTGGCGGGAAACCTACAACAAACTTTCAGATGGCTTCGAAAGTGAAGTAGTATTTACAATCGCTCTCCAAAAGCGTCACAAAGCAAAACAATATTCGAATAAAACACTGGGTATCATGAATTCAAGGTGGTGGTACATCTTCTGGTGGCTGATCTCCTCCTCTACCGCTATGCCGTTTCGGCTTCACAAGCAATAGAATGAACATCCCCACCACTAGGATGATTAGTAGGAAGATTATCCTTCTCTTCGTACCTTTCCTTTGGTATCCACTCGCAACTTTCAGTTCCTTCTCCGCACCCTTGACATCTGTAGCCATTCGCTCAACGTTGTAGTCTATTCGATCCAACATCGTGCCTTGATCGATAATCATGCTTTGTAGCTCCTTGAAAATGTCGGCTAGCTCAATGATGCCTTGTGCTATGTCTGTTATTTCTCGTTCTCGTTGCATTATTGCTGAGTCGTTGGAGGTCAGTTGTTTCTGTGATGTTTGTTGTAGTGTTGATTGCGAGTACGACTTATCAGCGTCGGATTCCATTAATGAAGGGTCGTTGTAATTGCTGTACAGGGGTGTGGAAGCTCGATCGATTGGGGCAGACATGCCGCTGAGGCCGCGAAGTTCTACCAAAGTCAGTATGATGTTTCTAGAGTCCGAAGGGAAACATACTTTTCAGGTATGCGCTCTGCTTTTTCCTGAACCCTGCGCTGGCCTCTTGTACTCTTCCTGCTAAGGATATCTGAATGTTTCTGGCCATGGTCTCTTCTCCCTTGCTAATGCCACCTTGCTGTTGGCTTTCCCTGACCATTTGCTCTACCCTCTGTATTGCTTTCTGACATTGGTGGAAGCCCCTCGTGATGTCTTGAGTCAACCGTTCAATCTCCCCTTCTTCGTTCCGCTTGACTTCCTCATCGTCGAATCCCGGTAACACATGCTTCTGGTGCAGCTTGTCTAGCTTCACGCTCTTCGCCGCAATATCGGTGAGATATTCTGTCACTTCATCTGAGATATCGGCCCACCGTGGGGGTAATAGATCCATCTCTATGACTGCATCACCATCGTCCTCAAATGCGCCAGCGGACATGAGACCCTGGCGCTCTGAGGACCCTGAGGGAATGGAGGAGCTGTAGCCATTGCCGGAGGAGGAGTATTTCGGTTTCTTGGCTGGGTGATGTGCGTAGGATTGGCGGTAGGAAATGTAGCTATACGAACATCAGCATCAGAGGTGTACGTGGAGGCTGGTAACGAACAGATTTGTACGATCTCGCCACATGGCGGCGTGGGATGAAGAGGAGAGGGAGAATAGGTGACTGCTTTAACTCCTCATCTACCCAATAAAGGAGTCATAAATCGGAGTGTCCGTGGCGTTGTGAGCGGTGATGGCATGTTGTCTGTCTTTAAAGTCACTCGAGTTCGGAGCTCTCCCCAGCTGGATCCGGCTGCGCTAAGGCTGGATTTCTGCACAATGTCACCCTCCCGGCCGCCGTATTAATGCCAAACCAAACTCTCACTCGAGCATCGCAATCAACAGCCGTTTCTTCTCTCGTCTGCCCACAACAACAACTTCCCTTGACTCCAACTATTTAAATTGTGAGCGGCGCACTACCTACGCTCCGACCGAACAATCTTCCACCCTTTCGAGCACTCTCGACCCTACAAGATGGTACGAAATTCTGGTTCCTGCATTCTCGCACGACCCCGCGATCTAGTTTCGTCGCACGCGGGGAGGCTCAACAGCTTGGTAGAAGATGGGAAGCTAATGTCTTGCTGCGTTACAGGCTGATTCTCTTACTGAAGAGCAAGTCTCCGAGTTCAAGGAGGCTTTCTCCCTCTTTGTAAGTCCTTTCTCCACCTCCCCTTTTCAGCCGCACTTGGAGTGGGAACACTGGCGTACGAACTTGGTCGCTGACAGAATCTTGTACTACAGGACAAAGATGGCGATGGTCAGTTCTTGTTATTTCTTTTCAAGATCTGTGTCAATTCCCTGCGAGTTGTCCTATACGAAAGCTCGAAATATGCAGGACGGTTGCCTATATGGAATTAAAAGGGGATGATGCATTCCAGGAGAATGAAGACTGACGGACATAATGCAGGACAAATCACTACCAAGGAGCTTGGAACTGTGATGAGATCTCTCGGACAAAACCCTTCGGAGTCTGAGCTCCAGGATATGATCAACGAGGTGGATGCTGATAACAACGGCACCATTGACTTCCCTGGTACGCACCTTCTAGAGTGTGGAGTCATTAGGCTGATAAGGGAACAGAATTTCTCACAATGATGGCAAGAAAGATGAAGGATACCGATTCTGAGGAGGAGATCAGAGAGGCTTTCAAGGTTGGTACCTCTATCGACAAACTACAGTCATAAGTGCTAATAAATTCTTGATAGGTTTTCGACCGTGACAACAACGGATTCATCTCCGCAGCAGAACTCCGTCATGTCATGACATCCATTGGTGAGAAGTTGACAGATGATGAGGTTGACGAGATGATTCGCGAGGCTGATCAGGATGGTGATGGACGAATTGACTGTAAGGACTAGGCCAAAATTGCGAACCCAGAGACTAACATGGCCACAGACAACGAATTCGTTCAACTCATGATGCAGAAGTAGACCCTCTCTTCTTTCGTGCTTTTCTATCTGCGTGGCAAGCGAGCAGGCATCGATTCTTGCATGGATTCATGGACATCAGGACTTTGGTGATGCGTGGAGATGGTCTTTAAGAAAATGGTAGATTGGCCGAAATGGCTGGACGTGCGATGATTACCCTTCAGAAATACAATCGAAACCTGGAATGGAAATTTGTTGGCTATTTACGCGTAGATCTTCTCTGTGCCTTCTGTTGAACCCTTTTGTCCTTGAACAGCCTTGAAAGACTAGCTTTAGAAACGTGAAAGACAAAGTCAAACTGTTTCTTAAACTGCGACCCCTTGAATCTCACAATATAAATAGTTAAGGCCAGAATTAATTCCTCACGTGCGGACAGTGGATTGCCATCCTGCAAGCGCGCAGACCCCTGAATAATAGCCCTACCGAGTTCCATCTTAATTGCAGATCCCTGCCAAGGCGGTCATCTATCGTCAACCAACGTCCAAAGCTCACTCAGCGACATTCACCACATCCATTGTCCGTTCTGAACTCTCCTTCGAGCGAGTCCTTGAGAGTAGAGATATGTCTGTCCTCTGAATAATCTTCAGCTCACTTTGATTCTAATTTCAGTCACTCCTTGCTTTTTATCTTGCTAATACGGAAGCAACATTTCCATTTCCACATTCGGACGATTCCTAGAGGCATGTGTGGCAACATTTACATCAACTCTTCTTCGACACTCTTTCCATCCCCCTCCTAAACGACTATCAAGATGCCTGCGGTACGAAGATGGCGCGTCGCTGCCCTGACGATAGTCTTCACAGTTACCTGCCTCTATTACCTGACCCACGAGCGCAATGTCTGGAATTATGGCTACACTCCCTACATCCCCGCTCTTCCAAAACCATTTGCTGATGACGGGCATGTACATTGGTCGAAACTGCCTGAGCGATACCCAGTCACTTCATATATTGCCTTGCCATCAGGCAGGCCGAAGACAATTCCCCCCATTCAAGTCAAACAACCAGCAGAAGATGTCAAAGCCAAGGAAGTACGTCTGCAAAGAAGAGAGGCTGTGAAAGAAAGCTTTACGCATAGCTGGAAAGGTTACAAAGACCACGCCTGGTTGCGAGATGAAGTTGGTCCTATGTCTGGAAACTACAAGGACACATTCGGAGGATGGGCAGCTACGCTGGTCGATGCGCTCGATACATTATGGATTATGGGCATGAAGGAAGATTTCGAAACCGCTGTGAATGCTGCGCAGGAGATCGATTTTACCACTACAGAGTCGAAGGATGTAAATGTGTTTGAAACGACAATCAGATATTTGGGAGGCTTCTTGGCAGCTTATGATATCAGCGAGGGGAAATATCCGCTATTACTTGCTAAAGCTGTGGAGGTTGGCGAATTGCTGATGAGCTGTTTTGATACTCCCAATCGGATGCCAATTACAAGATGGGATTGGCAGAAGTAAGTGTCCTTGGTATTGTAATGAAGAAGCTCTGACATTTTTAGATATATGAAAGGAACAGCTCAGACTGCTCCTCAGAGGATGCTTGTCTCCGAACTTGGTTCTTTGAGTTTGGAATTCACCCGACTTTCCCAATTGACAGGAGATCCAAAATACTACGATGCGGTCCAACGAATAGGTGATGAGTTCGAAAAGTCTCAGAACTCTACCCAGTTGCCAGGTCTTTGGCCGATTAGCATTGATGCTTCCAAGCCATCATTTAGTGAAGATACCATGTTTACACTTGGTGGCATGTCTGACTCGCTTTACGAGTACTTTCCAAAACAGTACCTGATTCTTGGCGGGCTACTGTCCCAGCCAAAGACTTTGTACGAAAACTTTATCGAGGTCGCCAAGAGCAAGATGTTTACCCGAATTTACAATCCCAAGAATGAGAATCTTACCATATCAGGTGATATACGTACGAAAAACAAGGAGCCTGAGCTTCAGCCTCGCACTCAACATCTTACATGTTTTGTAGGAGGAATGGTTGGACTGGGTTCGAAAATCTTCAATCGCCCAGCAGACCTGTCCATCGCCGAAGAGATTACACAAGGTTGTATTTGGGCATACGATAGCAGTCCAAACGGTATCATGCCAGAGATTTTCAGTGTACTTCCTTGCAAGAAGAACTATGATTGCTCCTGGGATGAACAGTATTATCAGGATGCACTCAACGACCACTATCCTTCTGCCAGCACGACGAACGCCGAGGACAAACAAACCCATGTTCAGAAAGTCATCGCTGACAGACGTTTACCGAAAGGTTTCACGAGTATTGATGACCGACGTTACATCCTCCGACCTGAAGCAATCGAGTCCGTCTTTCTCATGTATCGAATGACTGGCAAACAAATATATGCGGAAGCAGCATGGCGCATGTTTCAAGCAATCGAGAAGGTCTCTCGGACTTCCATCGCTGCAGCTGCGATCATGGACATCACTCAACCACCTGGAGGCAGCGGCAAAGACGACGCAAACGAGGTAGGCATTGAGGGCCAGAAAATGGATAGCATGGAGAGTTTCTGGCTGGCAGAGACATTGAAATATTTCTATTTGTGTTTCGAAGAGTGGAATGTGGTGAGCTTGGATACATTTGTATTGAATACGGAAGCCCATCCATTGAGAAGACCTCACGCATAAGAGGCTGGTTCGGGAGCGGGCGCTGGACACGAGAGCAATATTTTATACCCGTCATTGAAAAGGGCAAGGATTTGAGAACCCATATTTCAGTCGTACAAATTATTTAGTTTTGCTTGCTTGCCAGTATATTGGGGGATCTACCCACTCTTGACCGTCTTCTCCCGTTGCAGCTGGTACGGCGCTAGTGCGCTTCGTCTCCGTCATTTCCGCCATCTTTATTTTTCATCAATGAAGTCTTTTCTTTCGTTTAATGCACAATTTAGCAGTAAAACGACAGTTGTCTTGGATCCTGATCGATATGTCTGCCTTGAGCTCAGAAATACTTCTAAAGGAAAGATGGCTTAAGTATTTAGGGCCTTCACACTGTTGGATCAGTGATTGTTGTGGTGTCAGATCATGAGATAAGATAATAACATCATAGAACCTTTTTCGAACGTTCTAAAGCAGGACCGGCAATGTGTTCTTACTTCAAAGAGTATAAGTCTCATGTCACAACGTTCCTTGTGGGTTCTTAAGGCCTACGCGACCTCGTTACCGTATCTCGACAAGCATCATTTACTACCTAGCGGTAAACCCTACTTTCGAGTGTTTCACAAGGAATGTATATGAGAACTCGTCCAGACCCTCGAAAATTCTTAGTTCTGCAATATCCCTGATCAGAACGCGCGAAGAATGTCTCATCCCGAAGATCCCACTTCCTCGCCAACGCGGAGGCGAGCCGTGGAAGGTTTGTGAAACACTTTTACTAGCTGGCTTATGAATGATGTTAATTGCGAGTATAGATTATTACTGCGACCACGATGCCAACTATCCTTGTCCACCGCCGCCATACGCGCCAGGTGCTGAAGCTGTAACAAAGACACCAGGTGTAGATGCATCTCACCCCGCGAAAACACCACCGCTGCAAATCCGTAACATAGTGCCCGACACAAGATCACAGACACAATTTTCCCTACAGACCGACTCTCCACCACAATATCAGTCTCGCCCTCCGCCTCCATACGGAATTGTCACCAACAGCCAACGCACCTTAGTCGAAGGAATGTGCAGGAACAAAGAAGTCTTGAAGCTTAAGAAGCAACAAGCGAAGCAAGCCAGGGAAGTGAGAATGGAAACCCAAGCTCAAAGCGCTCAAATCGAGGCAATGCGCAAGAACAGGGCAGGAACAGAAACCTGGAAGCTTAGAGAGGCAATAGAGTGGGAAGACGAGAAACGGAGAATAGATGCTGAAGCTCGAAGAGCAAGTGTCGAAGCAGCACGACAAGAACGTAGGCGAGGGGACAGAATCCAGTAGTCGTATCGTTCGAGGAAATGAGAGCGAACCTGGAGAAAGAGGCTTAATCCTGGACAAGTGCATCGTCGTGTTGTTCGGGGACCACTAAATCAGCCAGCTTTCGAAGTTCCTATCATCTCAAGGAATTGAGTCCATTCTCACCTTGCAAGATTAGACCCGTCTCCAATGCCACGACGATTTTGAGCTTGCGAATCGCCAACCATGTCGCATGCATGTTTAGCTAAATATGGCAATTGGGGGCCACGCCGCTTGATTGATGCTGCCACTGAGGGACTGGTTCTTCTCAGCTGGGTGATACTCGCATATGCATGGATGGCGTAGCCTTGAAGGAAATTCTCAGCGGCGCTGTAAAGTGTGGCACATTGCTGAAGCAATCTTGTCCCCAGAGCCTCGATCTCTTGACCGGAGTAATTGTACAGGGGGATAATCGTATCAAAGCCTCGGGCTGCATTGCATGTATGCAAGAGGCATAAACAGCTGAGTGCGATAATCAGCTGACCTCCCAGCCTTCCTTCTGTACTTTAGTTAGTCATAATTCATCCCAGCTTAAAAGTACTTTCTACTTTTTCTCCTGTTTCCGCAACGTATCAATGGCAAAAACCTTCTTTCTTAGCATAAATCGGTATTTGAATTTACGCTTGCTACAGTCTCGCGCAGCGTTTACAGAATATCATGGAAGAAATTTCCGGATATATATCGAGGCCGGTCTCGCCGATCTCAGATGGTGGTGAGGGAGTCTCGGTAACCTGGGAGAACCTAAAAGTAGATGAGGGAGGTATGTCTCAGCCGGATCGCGGCTCTCTCGCTCTACAACTCAACAAGTCACTCAAGTATAATCCAGGAGATCCCCAACATGTTCGTCAAAAATCCGCCACATCTTCAGTTGCGCCGTTGCTGCCTGCGCAGGATCTTTCCGGCCATTGCCTGGCTTATCAGTACAGCTAGGCTTTTGGAACATATCTATCATTGCGTTTGGCAGTTTGTACGTTATCTTTCTACTGGGTTTCTTATGGTTCCTATGGGGTGGACATGAGGACATTCCGTTTTGGCGATGGCTGGTTGTGCAAGGCTACGTTCAAAGAGCCGTAACGTTATGTGCGACTATTTTACGAATAGTCGTTGCGGCACAGTCGAGTCTGGGAGTATCTATGCTTGCCGCTCTGGTCATAGAGTCGGCTGGGTCTGCACTAAAACGTTCCACCGCTTTGTCCCTACAGCGATTTCTGGGCGGGACTCCATTCACTTTGATGGAACTTCGTCTTTTGACTGGTATAGGAAAAGTCATATCTGCGCTCATAGTACTGCTATCATCTACGACAATTGGAGCTTATTTTACCTCCACTGCACTTATTTCCGACTTCGCTTTACTATCCATCTTAGGCTATCCGGTCCAAAACGAGTTTTTGTATTCTCTCAACAATGTCAGTACTCTAGGCAGCGAGCCAATCTATAGCAACAATCGACCAACATCCTATCCAGCATTCGCGGAGTTTTCGACATCCGTAGAAGTCAACCAGTCTGACTCCACCCAAGAGTTCGTCGATGATACGGGTCCTACCTTACGTGCCTTTCTCCCATTAAGTGCCGATATTCGACAGAACGTGGGGTCATACAATGGCATTGGAACACTCCTCAACAGTCACGTCGTCTGCGTTAGGCCTGTTATTCAAAACCTTACATATACCATGCAACGGACTGATGTGTCTAATGACTTCAAATCATTCATCAGTGGTAGCATCTCGCTCGAGTCCATGCCAGAGGGGCTAGACTTTGATCAGCTGGAAGGGGAAAATAATTTGCAAGATTTTCCCTACGAAGGCTATGGCTGGGGTCCCACGCTATCTCTTAATTTTAGCTGTCAGATGACGCTTCCATCCATTATGGCTACAGGAGAATGGCCAATTTCTATGTGCGTTGCGGGGAATATGCTAAATAGCACGGGAGCAACGCTATCTGATATGGGACGATTACCAACTCTTGGCTTGCGAGCAACGTCGCTTCTCAATGACAACGTTCTGTTTGATCCTCTGTCTTATGTCCTAGTTAATTACTGCGGCCTTCTTCCAAATGTCTATGACGTTGCAGCTCCCCCCAAAATCGAACCAGCAAACTGGACCGAGATTGCGAGTAGCTCACCAACATGGAGGACGTTCACACAAAAGCTTTACGGGAATTTCACCTACGTCTCTCTTAGCTATTGTTTCTCTCACTTCGCTGCAATTGACGCACAGATCTCCGTGAATAGCTCAACTCCGCGCGCCGAGCCCATGCTTAGCAAAAGCAACACCAGTAATACACCGTTCGACGCAACTGATGTCCTTCGTCAGCTCGGAGCAGATGGTGTCAACAGATCATTGAATGATCGTGGTATTTTGAGTCTTTCCAAGGATGAAAAATGGCCGTCTTACACTGATACTAAAACATCTCTCGCTCTGGATGGCTCATATGGCTTCGGAATGCAGAGAAATGCTTTCTCTCCGCCACATAGTGGGAAATGTGAGTTCCTTCTTCTGTTTCTTACCCATCTCCCCCATTGCATATTGCATGCACTGCAGGCCTTAAGCTACAAAATGTATGCTAACTTTCTTTGCTCTAGTGGATAGTGAGTACCTTATCGCATATGGTGATGCTATATCTGGCACCTGGGGACTTTGTAGTGGTTGCTTGCAAGATGAAAACGATGGAGTAACTTTGGGATTCATTTGACTCTGTCATCGATCTTCCAGTCATCTCTCAAAGCATCTGGCCGCGTCGCAATCGCTCTTCAAGCTTTGTTCACTGTTGTCAACATGATGCAGTATTATGATCGGTGAGCTGTTTTCCGCCATCAACACTTATGGGGGTAATTGTCAAAATACCCTCTTTGTTACTGACTTTTACACTACAGACTACCTCAATTCGACCTAGAGGCTCCAATATCAATCAGCACCTTCTCCCCAAAGATCCAACCAAAGCATCGCATGGGTCTTCTATTCGTCACCATCGGCCTACTCATCCACATCGCTACCATGATAGCGATCACGACGATATTTCACTTCCGAACCAAGAACCCTTTCATTGGCCAGAGCTGGCACACAGTTGCTCAGTTGCAGAATGAGAACATGATTCCTATCTTGGAAAAAGCGAGCTTGATGAGAGATAATGAGGTGGAATCTATGATGCGGGAGGAAGGGATGAATGGAGACGAGGTGTTTTACATGGATAGTGTAGTAGAGGTTGGTGGTGAAAAATAGGAAAGGATATCAATGCAGGAATAAATATACGAGTGTGGTGATATATTGTGAAGCGGTGTCAGCTGATGCACTGCTGCCAAGGAGGACTGAGGTTAAGTAAGACTACTCTGGCACTCTGGGATTGTGTTCCGGTGGAAGTTTAACTCACTCCTCCCTTAATGCAATGTCATGAAGGCACTCAGCAAGGAGTTCCAAAATATGAAATCGGCTACAAAATCATCAACGAAGCATGTTGAGAGTTCAGAGCAGGATTGAAGCCGATTGCGTGGAAGGTCGGGTAAGCGACACCCTCGATGGGGAAAAAGTATATCTTCATTAAAATACATCATGCTAACGTGCTTAAGCGCATTGCGACCCGTGAGAGTCACGAGCTTACCGAATCCATCGGATTCTCCTGGTTTTGAGCTTGCATAAAACTCCTCAAATAACATCTAAAATTTATCAAATTGCATAATGAATAACATAGGGATGCCGGGTAGGTGCAAACAGCTTGAGCAAGAGGTTGGGGTTCCACAATAGGGGAGAATGCATGGACTAAAACTCTACAACGGGAGGCTGCCATTCTCCGTCCGCCCTCTGTTCCATCAATTGATTGTTGTTACTTTCAAGGTTAGATCAGAACTCATTCATGAATTGTGATAGCTCATGAAATAAATCACAACCTGTTGGATACGCCAGCCAGTGTGACGGGAAGTTGAAGGTTCATATATCCTTGCTAGTCAGTCCAATGATCGCGCGACAGACCCACAAATGGCTCTACAAACGCAAATGTCCGGCGCGTCTCACCGCCTTGTGAAGAGCTCTGATTTCAACATCCCGTCTATCGTCTGTTGTTGCTTGGTTCAATATTTGTGAAACAGATATTGATAATTTTGCGGTACTGAATACAATTTTAATATCTCCACGAAACCAAATATCAAAATGCCTCCGCCTGTACCAGACTGGGCAACGGACCTGCAGAACGGCAAGATGCCCACAAATGAAGCTGATCTCTTAGAGATGATGAAGCAGATGGATGATATGGGCTAAAAAGGAGCGTACAATCCTACGAATCTATTTCCGGGATCGCCATTTACCCCAAGGGAATTTCCAGAGCCAGCAGAAGTGCAGCGAAGAGCCAAGGCCGGATCGGAGAAAGTCTTATCAGATTGGAATACTTTACGAAAGATTGTTGAGAGACATGCTGAAGTTCTTGAAAAGCGATGGGTCAAGAAGACGAAAAAGAAGCAGAGAGACATGCTTTTACAAGCCTGGCCAAACATGTCTGCTACTCATCGGCCTGATTATGAAGCTTTTCGGCAAGAGAATACAGGACGACACTGGATTGGCCTTTCCAATTTTCAAGAAGCATACAAATGGCCGTACATCAACCAACAAGATCTTTGCAGCAGATCTCTTATCATCTTCATCACCAGCCGTGGCCGTAATCCTCCCAGCAGCTTTGCCAGAGCAGACGTCGAGGCCACTCGCCTAGGTACTGTTGGTCATTTCATCCCAGAGCCAGCCTTCCTCCAAGGCTTCACGCTCTTCATGGATGGAGAGACACCAGAGACTTACGGAAAATTGGTTTCGTGGGACGAAAACAGGGAAGCCGCTGATTTGATGTTCAGCCAAAGACAATTTACTCCCGGACATGGTTTGCGTGTGTTCGAACTTCAGGAGAAGGTCTACCCTTTTCTCATCAAGTGTTGCGAGCTCATTTTACATGATCTCGTGCAGTCCGGATCGCTTCTAGATGACAAGTTCCCGATCGTCCCAGAAGCTGTATCTGCTTCCGACCCCACAGATACTGAGATGTTGCCCAGCTTGACTTTGCTATCCGCTGAAGCACCATATCGTCTGCCAGCAAACCTGGATCTTGATCGCTTACATGCTATCCTTGCTGCTAGACTTTCTGCAGCAGAAGACCATCTTTGGGCATTGAGAGAAGATCCGGGTTATTTTGCAGAGACTGTGAGAGACTGGAGCGAACACAGAAATGACGCCCTACCAGATACGTGGGGCAATCCGCACCCGACTGGGCCACATACGACCGAGTTCTGGACACGAGTGATTCGAAATGTCATTGCTGATGGATACACCGGGTTTGAGACCTGGAATCTTCTTCACAGACAGGTGAATCGTCTTCGTGCTTTGAGAGACAAATATCAAGATGAGATCACTTACGACAAGCAACTCCCCGAGGAGTATCTGCTTGAAATCCTCAAGTTTCAACAAATGTGAGCTGACATTTCTAAGGGAGTTTCAATCAAACAACTGACTCTCATCTATAGGCTGAAGGTCAGTTCTGAGTATCCACTACACAACCTGAAGAACATACAATCATCACCCCCTTTACGCCATTGGTTTATTCGCGAGCCTCAGGACCCAAACACAATCAACATGCATATCAGGTCTATCAACGAATATGATCCGCATTTCTACAAGCTATGGGGTCTTCTGTTCATACTTTGGAGTGAACCCTAAAGAGAGCTGTTTGGATTGATAAATGTAATTGATGCCTTTGAACAAATCATGCAAGATCCTGCAGAGAAGAGAAACCTGTCTCCTTATATTGCGAATCTATTCTCTGATCTTGCCATATTCTCGAGAGCTTTGCGAGAAATTGAAATCTACCAGCCATGGGCAGCTACATTTGAAGAGGAACAAAAAGTGAGTGTCCTCATGACGAGTTGAAATCACATCGCTCGCTGCCTCCCCGAGGAGATACTAACCTTCACGGACAGAAACACACCAAAGCAATGCTCAAAATGTACGAAGAAGCTACCTTTCAGCTCTACTACCTGGAACATATGGACCACGTCCTGAACGGCATCACACATTTGGCCATGCCTGGAGATCGCAAATTCGACTATCCAGTGAACAAGAAACGCACGCAGCAGACCACGGAAAAGATGATAGCAGCCGAAAAGAATCTTGATTACTTCTGGAGTCGATTTGATGCCAATTGGAAAAAGTTGGCTAAGAAAAGTATCAATGATTGCATGGGAGATCATACTCCGAGGCAAAGAGAAAGCGGGCAGCAGATAGAGCGCACGGCGCCTTGGGTAGAGCCGATGAAGGAGCCCAAGATGGCATCGGTATCCCGAGAGCCGAAATCTTGGACCGGATCAGATGCCAAGGACGACAGGATCTCAGTCAAATCCAAGCAGAAGGTCAAGACGAAAGGAGTCGGAGTCGAAGAAGCTACAGCCCCTGAGCCTGAAGCTCCCGCACGCGACCAACACGACAAACAACCAACCTTCAAAGTCGACAAATCCGCTCTGAAAGTCTTTAACGCTCTCTTCTTCACACCAGGCCAGACCTCGACACCAGGAGAGTTACCCTGGATCGACTTCGTACGAGCAATGGCAAGCACTGGATTCGCTGCACAAAAGCTCTACGGTTCCATCTGGCAATTCACACCTACGACGTTGGATGTCGAGCGAAGCATCCAGTTCCATGAGCCGCATCCTGCCGTGAAGATTAGATTTCCTGTTGCGAGGCGGATGGGGAGACGGTTGACGAGGACTTATGGGTGGTATGGCGGGATGTTTGAGCTGGAGGAGACGAAGGAGACGAGGGCGGCGATCTTGGATGGATGATATCTGAATTCCTTAGAGGATAGTACTGTGATACCTTGGTTGTTTGATATTTGAATGTCTTGAATAAGGCAGCTGACAGCGAGTTTGATACTCCAAAAGCGTAAAGTAGCATCGAAGGAGCAGATCTTAAAGCTTTCGCTGTCAAGTGAAAGACAACCATATCAAATTCTTATATCGAATCTGAAATCACTAAGGTTACCTGTCATCATAAGTGCATCTTCGAAAGGGAAGTGACGAACGCGTTCTCGCTTAATGATCTCCCCATTTTACAACGAATACACGGCTCTTTTTCGTACCTCGCTCTTCAAGATTAGGATCTTTAGCTGCCTAGGAAGTAATACTAAGCAATAAACTATTTCAAAACAAAATTTGATTTCAAATGCACAAGTACAGGAAAATATCCGCGCAATTCGCGGCAGGAGACCTAGAGATACGTCCGTCCATGGGGGTATAAAAAATAGGTAGGAGCGGAGATACTTTGTTCTAGATGAGGTGAATAGAACCATGGTCAAATTTCCCAGCTTTCAAGTAATCATAAATTGCAAATCATGGTATCATCAACCCAACACCTTGCTTTACGCCCCTCCTCCTCCACCTCCACCACCACCACCACCTCCACCATCTCCTCCTCCCCCTCCTCCGCCGCCGCCTCCCCCTCCTCCATCTCCTCCACCCCCACCTCCGCCTCCGCCGTCCCCTCCAAACCACCCTCCTCCTCCATCTCCCCCGCCTGCATTCCCCGAATCACCTCCAACATAAACCGGCACCCCCGCACTCCCACCATTCCCATACCGATTTTTACGTTTACTATCATCGTCAATAAAGCCATCCAACCTAGTGAGTGGCGGGTATGACAAACATACTTTACTTTGCGCGAATTATAAGGATCATAGCTCGCATCTCCTTTGGTGCTGCCGAAACACATTTTGACTTTTCTTTCCTTTTCTTGTTTTCGCGAAACAGAAAAGGGTTATGAAGAAAAGGAATTTTTTGAAAACGGTGTTGTTAGATATAACTAGATGTCAGATGACGAAGGCAGACATGCACATACTCGTAAAGCAAGGAGGGAGGATTCGATCAGCCTGCCCTAGTGACGTTCGCCAAGGCGGATCACCGTAAGGCTGAGTCGGATTAGGCGGTTCACTTGTGCAATTGGAGCGGCGATTGGACGATCAAGAATGCAAGCAACGGCTGCGGCTAAGGCTGCGCCTTGTTGTGATCGGTTTGGGATGGGTTGTGATTGGGTGTGCCGCCTATGTCATATTCTGTGAGATCGCCTTGTGTGGGGGCGGGAGCTATTCCTTAATAGTACATTTGCGAACTATTGCGACAACACAATCGAAGGGTGTAGATGGTGATATTGTATGCATAGTACATGCTTGAAGAATAGGTTTGAAAGGCAAGATATATGTATTTATATTACTAGCAATGACCCTTGAGATTTCCAGACTTGGAGCTCATTGCAACTGCAGAAAGCCTATCCCATAATTGCAGCAAATGATAACAAGTATCGCAAAGCAATTCGGCCAAAGGAGTAGAGAAATTGTTCTGTGAACCAAGATGTTCTCGTCGATAGCCGTATATGTTCTCCTTCGCAAAAATTACCCAGAATTTCGCTACTCATGAAAGCAGAAGACACGCAGTACTGTGTAGCCTTGAATTCGATCGTGATGAGGGTCTGAAACGCAATAGAAACATAGCCTTGCGTGAGCTAGTAAATAATAATCGCACCTTGTGACAACTTATCCCGGAAGAGATTCGTTATTTCGCTCGTGTCTTTGCCCTAGCATTGCTGCGTGCAACTGTTGGAGTGGAGTTCATTTCCCAAACTTGAACCATCCACGCAATAAAGCGTGGAAAACAATATAGTCGTCGATAATCGACTCGTAATAGACGGCTCTTAGCCATGAAAACGTGATGGTTGTTGTCCGTAGCCTTGACAGCCCGGAACGTATCAGTATACCTCGAAATTCGAGTATTCGTAGTATACAACGATAAGGACCCCGGATACCGTGGGTCGACTAGCAAACGCGACTCAGTTTCTGCGTCTATTCCTATTTCTATCCCGGTTACGGTCCTGTTCTCGATCCCGTTCCGGTTCTCTCTCTCTGTCTCCACGCCTACGTCTACGCCTCTCACCGGAGCCGGTGGGGCTTTGAGGTTGAGCAACATTTCCTGGGAGTATGATATCTTCATCCTCTGGTGCAATTGGACCTGAAAGTGGTTGTGAAGTGTCATCAACGGGTGGAAAGTATCCGACGTCGCTGCTTGGGCCAGGCAATTGCTCGGGTACATTGTCATCTTGGTGCTCATCTATGTGATACCCCTCGTAGGAGGCCACACCAGCATCCTCGGGGGTCGGTTGAGAGGTCACCTCGTCTTCTGAGTAGTATTGCTCCTGGTCAGCGTAATGTTCATTATACTCCGTTGCAGCGGGGTCGAACTGCGTGCTTGGACCCGCATCATCACCACCTGCGTAGTAACTATCTGGTCGTCGACGCTCGGTTCGCGTCTCTGCTTCTTCAGAATAGTCTGCCACGCCTGCACCCACACCCATGAGCGTATCTTGCATCTGTGGATTTCGTCTGAGGATGGGACCACTTTGATCGTCATCGGTGGCAAGAATGGTCTGGTTGAAATATTGGCGAAGCAGTGATCTGGACTCGCTATCGAGTATGCCAAGGTCTTTGACCTTGACATGGCAGTCGACACTGTAAGTGCGACCATAGTTGATGTACGAAGTTTTGTTAAGTCTTTCGCCACCTTGACCAGGCGGTCTGAGCCGAAGTGGTATCTTGGTAATACCTCTTACATTTGTCGGTCGCCTGTCGCCAATATATATCAAGCCGTGCTCATTAAGACGGATGCCCCTCTTCTCATATCCCTTCCCATCATATGTAGTGATGGGGAGGCATTGACAGCTCCTGTCTCTCAAGCTGACGACCACAAAGCGTCTGACCTTGGAGTATACGTATTGTCCAAGTGCAACCTGGAAAACGACCTCGCTTTTAAATTGACTATGGTCGCTGGCATCCCTCGCAGACTCATTATAAGGATCTGTCCACAAAGTCTTGAAGACACGACCGCACTTAAAGAAAGTCTTCCAGTCTCTGTTTCTTTTCTGAAAGCTGTTGTCAAGCGACTCATACGAGCCGGGCGTTGAATCTATGCGACGTTCGGCAAAGGGGTTCTCCTCGGCTCCGGCCGCTGCTGCCACACCCGCATTTTGAACGACATTGACGGTGTATCCACGAGATTGGGTTGGGACGGCAGAGTACCGATTCGTCGTCCCAGCACTGGGGCGCATGACTGGGCCAGGAACAACACTGGTATATTCTTGGGACGGCGAAGTCACATAATTGGGACTTGAGGAGAAGTCTGGTGGTCCCATCGTCATCTGTGCCATGCCAGTCGCTATATCGGTACCGGAAGCGGTTGAGACTTCTTCATAGACAGTCTCGCCCTGGCTTTCGGTGGTGGGGTCTTGACGTGGAAGGTTGGGATCTTCATAGTCTCCAGCTTCCACTGCTCTGTCTCTAGATCTACCACCCCGAGGCTCATTGTACCCGCGAGACTCATGATATACTCTGTCTCGCCTTTCGCGGCGACTGGGAACAGTCTGCCTTTGACCACGAGTGGTATTGGTAGAGAATGATTGTCTGCGGTTTCGGGGAATTGCCTCTGAAGTATGGGTCGGACGACGCGAATGCGAGCGAGGTGTGCGTTGAGTATTACTGCGAACACACTTAGCATCCTTTCTGTTAATGATCATTTGGGTAAGCTTACGACGATGACGCTGGAGCTACCGATCCTTGTTGGTATGGCTGTTGATATGCTTCTGTGTAATCTTCACCAGCGGCTTGTTGCCCTGTCTGATATGCAGATGCATTCTCTTGCGTATGCAATTCGTCCTCATACCTGCGAATAATCTGGCCATCTGCATAAGTTGTCAGTATCTCGAAGATAGAGATGTTGTTTGTGAGAACTTACTTTGGTCCGCCCAGTTCATGTACCACCGCCCTGTTCCATGCTCTTTGAGCCAGTCTGTAGCCATGGCCGAGGCAGACTCGCAAGAGTTGGAAGGCTGCAGAATGCCTCACCACCCCGCGATTTGCCCATCTTTTATCCTGGGGACTGGCTAAGATTGGCTGCGGCTCTGCGAGAGTCTCCATGAGAACCATAGTGGGGTACGATCGATTGCGACTTGATGCACCACGTATTTCCTGCACATCTGCACATGTGTGTTGTGGGTTTGCGGGGATGTGCTCTGTTTCCGGTGGTGGGAATCTTCGAGGTGGATGCCAGTGATAGCCATCTGGCTCAGAGATGCATATCATGCGAAAACCAAGCCCAGGTCTGATAGGTCCATGGTCACACGGAAGACCTCTCAGGCAACATGCTATGGAAAAGCGGCGCGGGATGACATGTGGAAAGCCAGAAGAGGGCCGACCCACGGGTAAAGCTGTGTGGTACATCGCCAGGTCTGTCCATGGAGTCATCCGGGAGATGCATCTTCTCGGAGGACAGAGCAGCTTGAGTGGTCTCTGCAGTGCTTAGGCTCCTGTACTGTATTGTCGTGTCATCGTGAAGGCAGCCGTGGGAAGTGGTAGTATTCTTGGGAGTGCAAGCAGGAAAGGTGCATCGAATGTGTAGCAGAAAAGAGAGTGAAGACTGTGAGGGCTTCCAAGCGCCAATTGTCTTCCTCGGACATTTCAGCCCTGGACAACTTACAGCCACTACTTGCCCCCGAAAGATAGCCCGCCGCCACTAACCTTCAATACCCTGAAGTGTGTGACACCTGGTGCACCCCCTGTTGGTGTCCCCTGCTCCTCCGTTCGCACATCCCTGTAGTATGTGCAGGTGAACCCCCGTAAGCCCCCCAAGTTCCTTTGGAATTTGGGTGTCCGACGACCCACACCTTTCCTACCGCTTCATTTTCCTGCAGCTCTCTTTCCCACTCGTCGAAATTTGAAATATGAGGCTCTGCTCCCGCGAGCCCCGTCCCCATCGTATTGAAGTTGTGCCCTTTAATGTCGCCGGCGGCGAAGTGTGGCACAAGGTAATCTCGCCTCCGACCAGAAATATCCATCACATCCGGGGATGTACCCGATATCCACTGTAGATCTGTCCCTCACGGTAGTCAGGTACCCGTCCCGCCACCTCGACGTGACTTTAGTACATGATCCCGATGAAAGCGAGGCTTCAGCTTTATGGCCATTGGCACATCAGACAGAAGTACTGGGACAGAGACGTGTCAGGCCCCAGCATCAGAAAACGGAGACAGACAGCTGTCGCTGCCCATGTTGGGGCCACGTTCGTCCTCCCAGATCGACCACTCAATATCAGCATATGCACGGAACGAGACAGGCCATGTCGTTAATCAGAGGGTGCTTTTGTCAAACAGACCCAACCCAGCCACTACCGAGCAACTTGACTTTGGATTACAATCGCTGAATGTTCGTGACCAAAACCATGATTCTGTGTTGGGAAGAAATGAAGCCACCGCGATGGTTGAATCACCAGCAGGAAGTTTACTAAGACCTCCAAGCCCAGAGGCGAAGACACCAAATAGGCCTCGGGAGGTTACATATGCTTCTTCCGTTGCAGGAAGCTCGAACAGAGAGACAAGACCGCCAAGACAAGACTCAGCGTATTTTTCGGCCAGAGGCTTGGAAGATAATGGGTCTGAGGTCGATTTCGATGCCCAAGCTCGACAGTTGAGAGCTCGAGAGCGAATAATCATCCGTCGTGAAAGAGTACGAAGGACGAGGCGTTTGTTCCGAAACTGTAGAGACAAAGTGCAAGCATATCGGGACGCGGTTCGAGACGCTGTTGATAAGTTGACAAGGAACATCAACGAGCAGAGAGCTTTGAATCTGGATGTTCGAGAAAGTATCGATCCGTACTACGACAAGCTTCGCATCGCTCAAGACCAACTCGGCCCTGCTGAAGATGAATACGATGCCTTGGAGAGAAGGTTGGACGAAGAAGAAGATGACTTCGAGGAAGAAGAGGACCATTTCTATCGTCACTACGATCTTTTCAATATATCTGTACCCGAAGCCGACATCGATGCCCCACTCTCGCCACTGGCAGAGCCATGCCAACCTACCGGCTCAGAACCAGCGGAAATCATGTTGGAAAACAGTCTGGTGCGAGAATATTTGGACAAGATGGAAGAAGCAGAACGCTTAAAAGACGACGTAGAGGATTTGGAAAATGAGTACTTACAGGTCTCAGGAGAAGCTACCTTTCGTCGACGACATGATCTCCCCCTTTCTGAAGACTCCTCCAAATTCCTCCTCGACTATCCAAAACTGCATGCCGAAGCTCTCAATGACCTGCACGATGCCGAAGATGCCCTCTTCGATACGCGAGACAAATGCATTGAGCAAGGCGTTTTCACGGAATCTGAGTATGCGTACGAACCAAGAGACGCGCTTCGAGACGAGGTTATGGATTACGTGTTTGATGCGGAAGATAGATCATCTATACGCAATGCGGTCCACCACCTCCACTACAACGAGAAAAGCACAGATTTTGGAGACAAAAAGGACTATGTCAATAAGTGGCTGCTGCAATGGGTTGAAGAAAGCGCTGTCGGTGCTTTGCTCCTCCGAGCTTTTATATACTTCGAATACCCAGATGATACAAACAAGCTAGGAGAGGAGAAGTGGTCGGAGTTGGCTGTGCAGAATTGGGATAAGGATCAAGCGGGCGACTCTGCGAACAAAAACAACAGGGAAAGCAGACTCGACACAATTGCCGGAATTGATCCAGGAGCGGTTGGCAAGAAGCATGCTACAAGTACTGCTAGATCTGGCTTTTCAAGCAGCTTTGGAACATTGGAGGTGGAGGTCGTTGCTGACGACGAAGCTCTGACCTCAAGAAGTGAATCCGTTGCTACTCGCTCGACCCAACACGCTAAATCTCCAACTACTCCTAAGCGACAAATCTTTTCAAGTACAGACTCACAGCACAATGACTCCACGCCAATTGCAGCCTCTCAAGCTCAAGGCACTGGATCTAATAGTTTTGAGCTTGTTATTCACGCTGCTCCAATTCAACCAGATATCTCTTTTGGAAATGTCAACTTTTCCGCTTCTTTCCAAAGCATCAACAGCATTGCCACATCAGGAGGAGCTCTATCTCCCCATACATCATGTACTGACACAGCAACATTCTCAACCGAAAACGATGATAGCCGCCTCGATGCTGCCCCGGTAGACAACAGTAAAGACTCGACATGTAAAGGCAGCAATTCATCTGCCATACAAGAGGGCATTGCTACAATCCACCCAAGCAATGTATGTCTTCCGGATATTGAGAAGTCAGAAACTCATGTTTTGGCACCATCACTATTGGAAGAATCACAGACATTCCATCCCAGCCGACAGAATGATACAACATCTACCCCGAAGGCACGACCTATTCTTGATAACACAGAGAACATCAACATGGCAACCCTAAATTTGTACGAGACTGCCATGAACGAGACTCCGAAAGCACCAGCTACGAACCTAGAAGCCGTAGAACTTGATCCACCACCCCTCCTTTCCACCCACAATGATTTCTCTTCCACCGAACACCTTTCGACAGACTCTAATACAGACACCAACCTCAACCCCCCACTGCCATCACCTTCAACACCAATCCTCACCATCCCACCCGATCCTCCAGATCTCAGCAAACACCAGAGAGCCAAAAGCGACGACATCATTCCTGCCTTACGAACGAGCAGCGATCCGGTCCGGAGCCAAAGATTCCTGGACAGTCTGCAAGTCTCAACCGATACCCAGAAAAAACGTCGCCGCAGCGTCTCGCCGACATCATTCATGTTTGTCGCTTCACACACTTTGCGGAAGATGTCCAGCTTCAGCACATTGCCTCACCATGTGGATGCCGAGTCGCCAATATAGAGAAAAATTGCAAAACCCGTTTCCAGATACTAGCTGGAGTATCTGGGCGGGATGAAGAGATTCGGTATACCACGGTATACCACAGTATACACCGAGAAGTGGTTGAGTATATCTTGGTAGGAAGCAATAACTTAATCAACTATTCTCGGGCTTAACTAGTAGGCCGCCCTACTTCTCATTCCACGACTCTCTCTGATCCTTAGCTAGCCAAAGATATGCTTATTGAAATTTACATGTTTTATAGGCGAATGTCACCCGAACGGGATTGTCGTCAGGCGGCATTCAGCTCCGAATATGAATGGAAGGGCTAGAAGCCGGGTCTCGCAGACGTATCATTTCCTTTGTCATTTTTATACGATTCAACTCACACTTTTATTGTTCTTCCGCTCCTTTAATATTCTTATCACATAGCGGAGGAACACGTTTTAGACATGGTTTATAGCGAATATTGTTTTCTTTTCCCCTTCATGACGCTACTGGCTAGCTACGAATCTTTTAACATATATGCTTATAATCTTATCTCTCTACTTCAGACTGCAATACTCGGGGCAAGAACATCCATCGGCGTTGGATTTGGGACGGGTTGCTGGACTATACATTTATGTTTTACTTCATGGATTTTGTTGGAAACGGAAAGGGAAAGGTTGTTAGTGTGCATTGGCTAGAGTATTCTATTGTTGTATATGTGATACCCTAGATAAGCGCGCATGATATATTTTACTCCTCCCAAATCTACGTTCTTCGCTTGAAAGTATGTCTGTCCTCTTTCAAAGCTCAACCAGCCCGTAACCATCAGCCATAACTGCCGAGTGTTCACAACACAAGGGATCCCAGCCCTCACGCCCAGATACACATCCCCAACCCAAAAGATCTTCATCTCCATCCCCTTTCCCACCTGACATAAAACCCCTCGCCCGAGCTCACCAAAACTCGGCACATTGAAATAATCATCTCGCTTGCTTGCTTCCTTCCTTCCCTCAGCTCAGCCTCGCCGTTCCGCCTCATTTCCGGCACCCAATCCCGACTACCTACCTGGCTAGGTTCAAGGAACCAATTTTCGGTCAACGAACGTTTGATTGAAATGCCGGTTACGAATGAATCTCTTCATGAAGCTGCATGAAACTTTTGGGATTTTTCGGAGCTAAAGCGGACAGTTGAGCTGCAAGCATGAAAGCCTCACTTCACAGTAAGCACCGAAATCCCCGAACGCCCAAACACGCGTCTCCTTATTAAGATTGGATCTCGGATGTGGTGCCGTGAGCGAATGCATCGGAGGATCCCGCGGTGAGACAATACATGTTAGGGCACAAGGATCGACCGTCAGAGCGGCGACGAGGCTGAGAAAAGGAAAGGGAGGCTGTGGGATTTGCTTTTTTCTGGCGGAGAGGAGAGCGTTAGGTGCTTGTTGGGTATGGTGGCATGAAGGGTGAGGTGCGGGGAAGCTGAGTTGGGCAGCGAGGTGGAAGAGGTGCGAGTCAGGTTGGGAGATGGAGGGAGCGGTGTGCTGATTGATGTCTTTGACGTGGTTGAGGCTCTGTTTATGCGGGAAGTTATGAATGTGGGTTGAAGAAGCTGAAATCAAACGCAGCCGTGATGCATTTATGACTATGCTAGATAGACGAACGAAAAAGCTGGACTAGGAACCTTCTCCTATCGATATCAATTCTTCAAGCCGCGTGCTGCGCAGCCATGAATCCAAGATGTATGCCAATGCTCCGCTGAAACCCAAAGAAATAAACGAGGAATATAAACAGCAGTTTTCCCTTCCTCGTCCCTTAAAACAAGACATTCGTTATCATTACTCATTCAGACTGAACCTAAAAGTTCATTGTACTGTATATGCAGGACAGAATAGTAAACAATTGGGAGGAAAGTCTCGGTGGTTAATCGAGACAACCAACATCCAATAGCGTTTTGAGTGAAGAGATGCGATATCTCAACGTAATTTCGATCATCGAAATGCAATTTTGTAAAGAAAACTCCCTGTTCATATTGTCAGCTTTAGGCTTTTTGGGTTGTCGGTGGTGCTGTTACCATTTTCTCATTCCACCTCGCCATGCTCAGCGTAATGAGCCTCTTCGTGATGCTCCTGATACTCGTCGTGGTGTGCAGGTTGAGTATATTCTTCCGTCTCTGCTGGATATTCGTACGCTGCCTGTGCTTGGTACTCAGTAGTATCGTGATGCTGATCCGGCTCTTGCAGAGTATCCTCAACAACCTCGCTCTGAGCAGCAGGTCCGTACTCGTGTGATGCATAACTGTCATCCTGATGTCCGGCTTGACCGTACTCATCATATTGAGAAGGATAAGCTGGATCGGCAGCATCTTCGTAAGGAGCCTTCCCATAGACAGGTTCTTCCTCTTCAGAGTCCTCATAGATATCATCTTGAGGTATACCATCTGTCTCGACGCCGCCTTTTCTTCTCCCTACCAAGACTGATGGGCATCTCTCACTGTGGGCAGATGCAGAGCGACTTGAGGGATATGATTTGGGGGCTGCGTCTGTGCTTGGCTGGAGATAGGCATCCTCTCGCTCTTCACCCTCAATAATGTCTTCTGCCGGTACATCGTCTCTTTGGACATTTTTGCCCTTTCCTCTTGATCTGGATGGCCGACTTTCGTTGTATGAAGAGGCTGGTTGGCTTGTGGGGTATGTTCCTGCGGCTGTATAGCTAGAGTATGAGGATTGAGGTTGGTCATGTGATCCAGAGTAGTATGTGGACGACTGCTGCTGTTGGGGCCAAGTTTGCGGGTCGTTCACATGTGATGATGTTGCCCATGTTGATTTGCCGGCTCCATATGTCGGAATAGGTGCAACGTAAGTGGTTGGTTGTTCTTCCATGCCCCCATCAGCATACGATGTCTCTCCATCTTGGTAAGGAGAAGGTTCTGAAAGACCTTGAGTTCCTAAAGGAGGATGGACTTGGTTGAAATCTGTGATCAGGTGCCACATTGAATCTTTGTGTACGTTCCCGATGAACCACACCTTCACGTTGTACTCCACCGTGTAGGTTTTGGCGTAATTGAGACGAGAAGTATCGGCAAGCTTGTGACGAGGATTCTTCGCCACGATTTTGAGCGGCTTCTTTGTGAGACCTTTAGCCTTTTCGCCTTTGAAGTAGACTGGCTTGCCGCCGCTGTATGCAATAGTATGGTCTCCAGCATGGACTCCATTTTTGGTGACTCCTTGCCTTGAGTACGTGTTGATGGGTCTGTTTAGGTCAATAAATGGAATTTCTGGCTGCGATGTCGAGTTTCCCACTCACAAACAAATGCAATGGCCAGCAAGTGGTCTGATGATGACAAAACGTCGTACTTTTTGGAAAGAAGGTTCGCCAAATTTGTTGACTCCTTCTGTGTAGGTTTCCTTCTTGGAATCAGTACCTCTGTTGAAGAGCGTAGAAAGAAGCATAGGCTGATAGCAATCAAAGTCTAGGGAAGAAGGGATGATGAAAAGTGTCATTTACAGGATTGCTACTACCATCTCCTCGACCTTGACCTCCGGTGCCCTGAGGTTCGGACCAGAGGACTTTGAATACCTTCTGAAATCAGCAGAATGCACTGAAGGGGTTCATAAGATCTCATACCCGTCCTTGTTTGAATTCAAATGTTTTATGGACCTTGTAATCTGTTCGGGGTCAGCCATGTGACAGTGCAAAGTAGGAAATCTAGCTCACTAGGATCGAATTCTTCTTTGTCCGTATGGGGATTGATTGTTGTGATGTGAGTCAAATCACTCCCACCCACTGGAGTCGGGTTTCTCAGAGGAACTGAGGTAACGGTAACGCTTGCATCCAATGTTGTTCTTGCCAATCCTCGAGTGATTGCTTCTGCGGATGCTCCGGTGGAGAGGGCATAATTCGCTGAAGCTGAATACGACCCTTCCTGAATGGGATCTAATGAAGCCTGGGGTGTCCTGGGCTCTGCAGGGTCAGCCGCCGTGGCTGTCTTTTCATATTCGAACTCATATTCGCCTATAGTGACATAGTCAGAGGCCGCTCCTGCACTTGCTTTTTTGTCATACCGGGGGCTTTCAAGCGATAACGCTTCCAATCACTCCGTTCGACATCCCATTCCCAATTACTCCATTGGGTTGGATAGTAGGACGAAGATTGTGATGAGGATGATCGCTTTGAGCGATGTTTTGAGCGAGAAGAGGATGACATTGTGGCATTGTATTACCAGCAATGGGAAAGAAACGCATTTTCTTCCATGAACAGCAAAGACGTTTCCCAACGGCCACACGTCTTTATCAGCGATTCGGCGGCAAAATTGGCAAGACGAGAGCCGCAACTTGCAGCAAAAGAGATGAGCTTCTGGTCCACAGAAGACCACACCTCAGCAAAACCGATGTCCACGATTCTCGAATCGACGTGTACATGCAGCCTAAGGACGACATTACTGGACGCAGTGGGCAACTTTGTCCAGTCTGAGAGCGGTGCAGACGCCTACTGCAAGGCTCGAACAACATCCGGTATTTAATTCGTGGGATGATAATGCGTATATATGGAGAGCTTGTGACGAGGAGGACGCTGCTTTTATATGAGAGGAGGAACCAGTGAGGGAGAGCGAGGAATGAGTGAGGCGAGGTTATTTGCTCGCTTCGCGCTGTAAGCAGACTTCACTCCCCCCACGCCTCCTCAGCCCTGTCATCTGTCCATATGAATCCCAGCTGAGCCCGCCCCCACGCCTAGGACCTCAATGAAACATACATGGCAACCTTCTCGAAAGCATGAGTGCGGCTCTGCGGTGCTCCATCCATATCATCGCTCCCTGACCGTCCGCCAGCCTTGCGATAACACGGTCGTGCCTTTGATACTCCCTCCATATCATGCAGCGGCACGACGGTCACCAACACCACCCGCGGTCAGACTGATATGTCTCATCGCAACGCGTCTCATCGCAACGCGTCTCATCGTGCGAGATCTAGTTCGGGAAGTCAGGTGCTTGAAGCCAACCCTGAACGTCGTCACACGACTGGCTCGTCGAGAAATATATCTATGTCGAGGCAAGAAGAGAGGCTACAGTTGAGGTTGTCCAGCAACAAACATGCGCCTGGGGCGGCGACTGGGGAATTGATTGTCGAAGAGGGGCAAACGTCGTCAAATCGGAGATTGGCTCCAAGAACAGATGCCTCTCCAAGAAAGGAAATCGAGCAAGCTGTGAAGCCACTGCAGACTTCCATGCGCCAAAAAGATGCCCAGCAAACACCGAACCCAATTCCGGATGAAAACTCCTCCAAACTACCTAGGGCTAGACCTTCGGCACCAAGCAACTCCCTATCACCGCAAAGTTACTCTAATTCAAGTCAAAAGGATCTAGTAAAGCAGAAACCTGTACTGGACCTACAAGGACGGCGCTCCGTAACCTTTCAACTTCCGACTTCGAGTCCAGAACTCGTGACAATTCCCAACACTCCCCTCGGACGACCATCATCTCAAGACACGCAAAAGTCACAATCCAGACAAGAATGGCAGCAGATACATATGCTGGCAGCTTCCGTATTGCGAGCGGACGTCTGGGATCTCCGTTCACAGGTACATCAGATGCGAGCTAGTTTGAGGGAGAAGCAGCATGCAAAAGCTGCTGCTGACGATATATTGTTTCGACGCATATCTTATATGACAGCTCGAGGGCTGAATCTTACAGACTCGGGTGATAGTAGTCCACTGTCAGGTCAAAAGAGTCTAACTCAGCTGATGGATGATTGCCAGCAAGCCAGGAATGAGTATGGGCCTCTGGAAGACGATTGTACAATTCTCGAGGACCGACTTTCTCAACAAGAATTCAAGCTTACTCGACTTGAGGAACAAATTTATGCTCGCAATAATGAGCCTCAGCAGAACCCAAACTCTCCTCAGTCACCATATCAGGATGACGAACCTTCTCTATCACCATCCATTTGTTCTGATGACGACAATCTTGAAGCATCAGGATATCATCCCTTGGTCAATGAATATCTGTCAAAATTAGGAGATCTTGATCTAATGCAAGAGCGACTTGACGAATTTCGAGATGAGAAGGCAGCTTTGGAGGGAGAAAAACAGTCACGGCAGCGATTTGGACTTGTTCTCGATGCAATTGACCAGGAATGGTTAGATGATGCGGAAGCAGAGTATAGTGAAATCATTGGGAAAATCCGAGCGTTGGAAAAGGATTTGGAGAGACTGAAGCAAATCTGCTTGTCTAAGAACCTGATCGACGAAGGTGGAGATCCCACGGATTTCCAGAGCCAGGAAGGGTCATATTTCGAGAAGGAGGAAGACTTGAGTTCAAGTGATCACGTATCAGAGTATGTCAAGTACCCCTTACTACTTCCTCACCCGGGAAAGAAACACCAAGACACTCAGATCTACGAGCCACAACCTGACTTGGCGTCAGAGACAGCAATGACTCGGATAAATGAGTGGCTACTAGATAAATTACGAATCTCCCCTCTCGATGTTAGTCTCCTGGCTAGCACTTTCGAGAGTCTATATGGGACGATGTCCAGAGACTGGCAATTTCTCGTTCTCAATGCTTGGTACGAAGATGACACCGCTCGCATGATGTCAGATCTAGACGAGACAATACGCTCCTCTGAATTATCACAAGAAAATCCCAGAGGATCCGTTCATGTTCTTTTGGCGCCATCAACTCGGCCTCCATCCGTTCTGTCAAACGATACGGAGCACTCATTTCCCTTGACCAAATTTGGATCATCAAAAAGTATTACCGAAAAGATTGTTACTCCATTCGGAGCCATTCCTCAGACTCCGACATAACGCCAGTATCCGACAGAGCCCTGAAAATTCGTTCTGCGAACGAACTAGACTAACATCATCCATCTTCAAACAACAATATTCATTTTGTCACCAGGCTCATAGATAAAGATTTGTTTTCTTCCTTGCGCTATTTGAGCGATTTGAGCGACTTTCAGCACGGTGTTCGGACGGGACAAGGGTGCAAAAATACAACAAATATTTTGGTAGCCTCGTTGGACACGAGCGCAATCTGTAGGACTAGGATAGAATCCGATTTGCTTATCTGGCGGCTTGAAGATACCCTTTGTTTCTCCTCTAATATCGCATGGCGCTTCTGTTAGTTCTTGATAGGCGCAATGCTCTTTGCTTTTCGGGATCTCAGACCAATACTTTTGTTTTCCTCATAATACCACGTCTTCACTCGTTGATCCAATCATAACTTTTACCTTCCAGCTTTTCAATCACTATCTGCCTAGCACTTCTAACTGGCTACCAAGAGCCTCATCGGGCGCGCGCGTATCCCAAAACATTTCATCGATACCAGAAATGATCGATTAAGGCAGCCAATCGAGCCAGGGGGAGGCGTAAAGCAGCACCAATACAAGCATTTCGCATCCAGCCTAGTACTCTGCACCCCATGGTTTGGTCGTCCACGTGTGGAACGCGACTTCGATTTCCCTCTTTGAGATTCTTTTGTAAGATCGGGAGTCAGGATCTGTCATGCGCTATTTATAGCACGGTATGTTTCGTCATCATCGCTTTGAGAGAAAAAAAGGATGCGTGGGATGTAATGGACTCGTAACATCCTCTTTAGGTAACCAGATGCCTGGGAACGAAACGGTGGGTGCTTATCGTGAGAAAATAACCCGACACACGGGTTAGACCTGAGTCATTATAAGCGAGGCAGACTCGAAGACTGACGGGAATTGTGGCATTCACGAGTAGATGCCCCAGGTGGGTCTGATGACGGGCCGCTTCTTAGGGGTTTCTGGGCCGGGCCGTGGCGTCCAGTAATATGCAGAGGGCTTGCTGACGAGGCTGTGTGGTAGGACGGTTGTGAATTCGTAACATGGAGTTGTGAATTTTGGTGAATGATCGTCGGTGTCTGGCCCTTTAGATCTGAAGAAGCAACGTCTATTCATGATGTGTCGATAAGAGGACTTGGAGTAATTGGTCAAAGTTGGTTTGAGGTTCGATGCAAGAGATGAGTAAGGCAGCAAAGCGCAAGCTTAGGTGCTCTCACACCCTACCGAATAACACGGAACAGCGAATTGATACCAAGCCTTTGCAGCAAATGCGAATGGCCTATGGTGGCTTGGGAAATTTGCACTTCAGGCAGCGGTGAGGAGTCAGAAACAAGTGGCGGTGACTCGAAGCTTCTGAACTCAGGGGTCGAATCTTCAAGCGAGAAGGCAACTGCTAGGTTTACTCTGACATCAATAGAGACACATGCTGGGCAATGCTGAGTTCAAAGCGGCAAGTTAATAGATGTCGGGCAGGGGAAGTGGGTTTTTGAAATGGGAAATCGGCTATTCTTTGATCGAAATCCGACTAAATCGTGGTACTAGCAACGGGATCATTCAAATCAACCGCAGTTTTCTGATGAATGTCAACCTAAGGCACAATTAGGGACAGCTGAAATCTAAAAGCACTGTTTTTGTCTCGAATGCCGTCTCTTCCAGGCAGCCCTCCTAGCACTTCTCGAAATCATGAGCAAGAGCAGGGTAATTGGAATTTCTAAGACTATTCATTACATTGTTCAAAGCCAGATTCAACTTCTGAAAAGATCTATTTTCTATCCCTTCCAACACATTAGCAGAAGCCTTTTGGGAGTTTGTTTCAATTGTTGAAGTTTAATAGATCCTCAGGTAGGATAAGATGATAGCTGCTTGGAGGCTTGAAGTTATGGAACAGCAGAAGTTTCTTGGTGGTCTTGCAGAGCCATTGAACAACCTTCATGATCTGAGACCTTTGCATTTCAACCTTCTTCTTTGGTCAAATATTTTCCGGCACATTTGTTAAAGCCTCTTGGCATGGTTCAAGTTAATGGCAGTTGCTCGCTCGCATCCAGTGGTGTGGTTGGATCATACCTATAGTTGACCAAGTCGAAGCCGCATGCATACCAGAAAAACTCAACGGAATGCGGTATTCTCCTCAAATATTTTCCTCGCCTCATAATTTCACGTCCATTGGAGTTCCTAGTGAGCTGCATTCTTCATGGCATCGTCTTAGACAACGCAACGGGTCGCATGCCAGTCGGCACTTGCCCGTGGAATTGTGGCTGAGGCGGGGTTACTTCCGAATGAGGACGATCGAGATCCAACGCTCTTGGCATTTTAAGATTGGATCTAAGTTTGACTTTGAGTTCAGACATAAGCTTTTTAAGTCGCTGTTCAGGCGAGTGTCAAGTCGAGTCTCTTTGTATCATATCCAGATATACAGAGAGCAAGCGTTTCGCGTTTATGCTCGCCACCTCGAGAAGCCATCAGTAGTAATTGTACAATGTCATATATGCCATGAATACAACCACCGTCCCCTTCTCTTTGTACGACTCAGAAGAGTCCCCACATTCCTAATCACGAATGGAGGAGAGTGAGATGACCAAAACAGTATTCACCGAGCCACGTACCATACTCACAATCATTCCATTGTCTGGAAGAGAGTTTAACACCGAAGTAAGGAGGAATTCAAATTCTCAGCGAGTAAGCATTCAATTGCTGGTGGCAGTGTCGATGCGGGCTGGTCTTTCTATAAAGTTGCCTGCGTTTCCCAGCCAAACTTCAAAATTCTCTCATTCAAATCAAACAACATTTTAGCACAACGATACACTTAACTGCCAGTACAAATTTTTCTTCAACAACATGTCATCCCCTGCAGTCAATCAGATCTCTTTCAGTACGTATCCAGTGCAAAACTTGCTTTGAAAACGAATAGAAGTAACAAACCTTCACAGGGACTCCTTTAGGGGCTGTCAACAATGGTTCCAGCATTCGAGTTTACTCTCAGGCTGTCGACAGTGGGATACGAGAAAGTGCCTATGAAGGTGTATGGACTGGTGGCAAGAATCCACTAGTAACTGCGAAGCTGAATTCGCCCATCGCCGCAACATCCGTTGGTTTGACAAATGTAACTGCTACTGCAGTAAGATCTTCTTGAAGCATGACTAATTCGTTTAATGCAGATCAGTGTCTATTACCTCTTGCCGGATAATACGCTCGGCGAGCAATGCTATGACCAGGGCAAGGGATGGTACAATGGTGCGCTTACAGGAGCCAAATTTCCAGTTGCTGCATATACCAGCATTGCTGCATGTTACTTGCCTGGCTCTGGCACCGATGCTCGAATACGTGTATATGCTCAGGTTGAAGATAACACGATTCAAGAGTTTGGCATTGACAGTAAGTCTCCCTACCAGCATAGCATTGACAAAGTTGACTTTAGCTAGATCCAAACAAAGGCTGGTTCAAGATGACCAACTTAGGTGCAGCTCTGCCCGGTGCTGGCATTGCTACATGTGCGTATGCTTTGAAGAATTCTGCTATCAGTATCAGGTACATACAGCTTTGCCTCCCATGCTTCGCGAAATCCCTAGGGGCAAAGCTAGGACTAACCAATTCTCAGGACTTACACCCAAGACAACAACTTGACCCTCGTAGAGCACGCCTATGACACTGGTAAAGGCTGGTTCATGGGTTCATTTTCAGTCCCCGACGCTGTCACTCGTGCTTCGATTGCTGTCTATGCATTCAATACAGGAGCTACCAGCAGCAACGTCTCCCTTCGCGTTTACTATTCTGGTAAAGATGGTTTAATGCTCGAGAAAGGGTTTGATGGACTGTGGTACCAAGGCGCGTTTAGCGTACCCAGCATTCCTGGTTCTGCGGTCGGTTGCATCCAAGCCAGGATTTATCGCCAGAACGGAACGGACGTTAGTGCCGTAAGTGAGTGGATGTGGACTGGTAAATGGATTGCTGGCCAGGCAGCTTTACCTCCAGCGTAGGAGTATTCCCGAGGTCATGACATGGGCATGAAGAAGGATAGGAGATGTTTTTGAAGGCAATTTAAAAAGTGTTGTGTTTCACTTCTTACACTCGTTGCACTCGCTTTTGGTTAATGCTTTTTTTTTTCAATAAGCAACAATTCTTTTAGCACAAATTCTCAAGTCGCGTCCATTGGGTGAAGTTATCGAAACAAAGAACGCAAACATACTACATAGCCCACCATCAAATCTGAAACGCCGAAGCTCTAATGTGCAAAATTTCGACCTCTTCTCTGAAGACGCAAAGCCCCAGTCTAGAGTTTAGATGAGATGATGGTTTGAAGCCACTCAGCATGCTCTACACTGCGGTGCCAATTTGATTACTGCAAAAAATATACAGAAGCCACAAAGAGTGAGAAAGGGAGTTTAGAGGCTCTTCCAATTGACGGGTCACTTAGCGAGTGGAGCTTTCGGCTATTTAGGGGTATTGGTGGGGTAGGTAAATCTACCTAGATACTCGTCCTCATCTCAATAATTTATACCCAGAAGTATTCAGAAAGGAGGAATGCAGCAGTTTACTTAGACTGGTATCCCCTCATTTGTGTTTCCAAGAGCCAGCACCTCCCCCAATAAAGAAACAATCAGCCCAGTCTACCGTCTACCATTCTCCTTTCCATCATCCAACTACCCCTAATAATACCAGCAGCGATAAGTGACAAGACTTTTTCGTCCGAAGGTTTGGCGCTGGGACCAAGCACGTACGTGGCAGATCAGCCCCTGAGTGGGGTCCCGATCAACTGCGCTGAAGTCTGAAACCGCCGATTGTGGGGTTTTCGCGATGATTTCGACATTTCTCACCCCACCTCTCCATTGAAAATGTGGCGGTACGAGCAGGTTCATTCCCACCTCCCCTCTCTTTTGGTTTCGAAACATCGTCGTCAAACCAGCGTTCGTCCCGTCTTGAAATATTAAAATTTGATGTTTCGTTCTTGGGAAAACTTCGCTATGCACGAAGCATCATCTCAGTGGAGCAGTAATCTGGTCCGAGAAGTCCAACGGCCTACATAAACACATCACAGTAAGCCATGGCGAGTTCACCAGACCAAGCAAGTCTTAACCATTCATTTCTATTCTGCCTTGTCTTTACTTTTCTTCCTCACAACACATTCATTCTGCGATCTGTGATCTGCGTACCTTCTTTTCAAAATGCTCCCCCACATCATGCTCGCCTCATTCGCTACCCTTGCAGCCGCGGCAACTGTCCCTTACGCCAATAGCACTGTGTCATCTACTTCAGAATCAGCTTGTAAGTCCAAGCCAAAATCTTTACAGTGATTGCAAGTCTAACCGCAAGTCCTATAGCTGCGAACGCAGGGTAAGTCTCCTTTCAGAAGAGTTGAGGCAAGCATCCTAACTTCTGTCGTTTAAGTGTGACATCTACTTCTGCTTCAACTGGCCAGACCACACTTACAGTCTACGCTACCTCCATCCATACAGTCACTGCATGTGCCGCATCCATCACAGACTGCCCGGCTCGTGCATCCGAGTCCACCAGTGAAATCGTGGTTACTGATACCGTAAGTCACAATCTTCACTCAAAGTATTCTACTCGCTTTGTCAAAGAAACGTGCTGATGTCGAGACCAGATCGAGATCTACACAACTGTTTGCCCAGTTGCGGAAGCTGAGAGTGCAAGCTCGAAGATCCTTTCTAGCTACACATCATCCGTTGCATCGGCTTCATCTGTTTCCTCCGTCTCATCTGCCGCTTCTGCATCATCTGCCTCTTTGGTTGCTGGCTTTGCTGTAACACCGACATCTTCGCTCGCCTCCTCTACAGATGTTCCATCACTTAATGGAACATCTCCTCCCTTGAACGAAACATCCCCAGGCCCGAATGGACCTTCTCCTTCGCAAAACGAAACAACTCCGGGTCAAAATGGATCTTCTCCTTCATTCAATGGAACCGCTCCTCCATTGAACGAGACATCCCCATCAGATCTTACTGGAGCTGCTCCCACAAATGCGACTCTTCCCTCCCAAAACGAGACGTCTCCCCCACAGAACGGAACCGCCCCTCCATTCAATGAAACTGCTCCTGCACTAAACGGCACTGCTCCTCCATTCAATGGAACAACTCTCGCTCAAAATGGCACAGCTCCGGATTCTAGCAACGCAAACTCGAATTCATCTGCTAGCGCGGGCGACACAACGCTGATTGTCTATGTCACCTCAATTCATACCATCACCTCTTGTGCTGCTTCGGTCACAAACTGCCCAGCTCGGTCCTCGACCGTTGAACAAGTAGTCACGGATACTATTGAGATCTACACCACCGTCTGCCCCGTCGCAGAAGCAGAAAGCGCAAGCTCAAAGATTCTTTCAAGCTACACCTCTTCCGTAGCCCGTGTGGCCTCAGCCGCCTCTTCACTTGCCAGTGCATCAAGCACGAGCACCGCTGCTGGTGTCTTGGTCACTTCTGCTGAGTCTGAGGTTATCACGACTGTAGTGGTCGAAGAAAGCACTACTGTCTGCCCTGTTATTCTTACACACGTCTCTGGAGGATCCACAAGCCTGCAAACTAGCACAATCACTGGGTCAGGCAGTGCCGCTAATGAGGTCTCAACAATTGCTCATATAGTGGGAGGAACGACTTCTCTGGAAACAAGCAGTACGATTTCCACCCTCAGCTTGACCTCTACTGTTCTTTCAACCATCACGAAAGCTGCATCTGTCCAGGCTTCGGTGACTTCGGGAACAGCCACCAGCGCTGAATTAGCTGCTGGCGAGGTATCCAGCCAGGTAACCACCATCATGCAGGCATCCACAGTATACACAACCTTCGTTTCGACAATTACCTCCTGCGCCGCCTCTATCACGAACTGCCCGGCCCGCTCAACAATCCTGTCAACAGTCTCTAGTGCTCTTTCCACCACCTTGGTGCCACTTGTGACCAACGTTGCTGTTTCTGGAGAAGCATCATCAGCAGCTGGTGATTCTGGCTCGGCTGGATCCGTCCAAACCATTACCGAGTCAGGAACTGTTGTAACAATCACTCAGTCAGCGTCCTCTACATCAACAGCGGCTGGTGTCCTCGGAAATGCTGCTGATTCCGGCAGCTGCGCACCTGTTACCGTCACAGTCGCTCTTTCCACCGTCACTGTGGTATTTAGACCCTGTTCTTCCTCATTATGTTACTAATCAAAGTCCTAGACCGAGACAGCATCTGCCGCCATCTCTTCAGCGGCAGGCCAAGACCTCGCAGCTGATGCATCTGAAACAAGCACTCTCACCACCACAACAGCCCTTCCGGTCCTCTCATCCGCTGTCCCATTCGGGAACGGAACTGTGCCTTCGTCGAAGAGGAAGTGCGCTTCTGTTTTCCCGTCTAGTGGGTTTTTCACGAGTAGGATGACTGGTACTGCACCGTTTGCTAGGGCTACTGGGCATTAAGTGTTTGAATTGCTTGTGATACTAGCTATGATGGATGATATCTTGGGCATTGGCAATGCTTTTGCTTCGAGAATGGCGCTGTGTCTGGCTTCAGCGGGGAAAAGTCGTCATGAAAGGATGGAAGAGGTCGCAAGTGGGCGTTGATGACAACTTCGTGGCGCAGACGGCTGTTCTTGTTTCTTGTATACATTTGTCCCTTTCAATATACATTGTTATGGAGTATCTTCATGTTACCCTGTCACATGTGTCTGTGTTGAAGCTTTTGGTGTGATATATATTGCAAAACAACATCCTTGAAGGGAAATATCGCTGGCTTAGTGGCCATGTGCGGTGAAGCTTGACATTATTAAAGACATATATTGATATACGACAAGTAAATAAGATATGTATGGGAAGGAAGCGTGTATGTTAAGACTGTTGCCTCTGAATAGGCCCCTTATATTGACCAAACCCATACTTGAGACAATCTTCCATGCGACATTTTCGCGCTGTCATCATTGTTAGCTAAACGAGTAGAGTATCAATAGCATCAACCTTGTCAACCCCTCCTATACAGAAGACCTAGAAGCCTTCAGGGGTATCATTGCAATCATATATGAAACGACCCGTGCAAAGAAGCTTCGTGAATTTCGTAACCTATTGCAGAACAGAATGCAAGTGCGGTAAGCAAAGACAAGAACGTGAAAAGTACTATCGTGGTATCGTAACGAAGGTCCTCTTCCGAAGGTGGAAGACCTTTAGCGTATAAGTGGCCCATGGAGATTTTGTTGGCCGGTAGAGACACTTCGACGAAAATATTGCGTCGAAGTGCAACGTAAATTTGCAGATGGACAAGGCCATGTCTGAACGTGTTGAGGAGGAGAGCCAGTCAGTGTCCTAGCATATATTATCATTTTCTCCTGTGGTGGTGCTGGCCGCCGGAGCTCGAACTCTGCCCTCGCTTGTTGCTGTCTCTCTCATCGCGGGGTTCCTCTTTCCTCTCGCGATTGTCTCTGGGCTTGTGTGCAGACCTTCGAGGACCTTGGACGGGTTGATCCTTTGGCCTTGCGAAGAAAGAACTGGCCAGCAGTGCATCCATAGAGCTCTCATGCACTCTGCCAATATTTAAAACCCGGACATATTTCTCCACGGTGTATATCTTAGCATAGTTGATCCGAGAGCAATCCCCCAGGTCTCCGTCTGCGTGGTTAAGCTCTTGTATAACGCGTATGGGCACTTTGCTGAGTTGTTCTTGAGCTATGATATATCCCGCAGCGTCGTACTCGCAGCGTCCAGCTGGTGCTTCCGAACTTGTGTGAATTATTGCGTGTTGTTCGAGGTCGGGTAAATTTTCTTTGAGCGTCGCTTGCCCACCGTAGCTATGGATGGGACTTTGCCTTGTTAGAGACCAACTTGCTGTTCATATGAAGCCAAGGAGACTTACGAACAGATTACGTTTCCATGGCCCTCTCCTATGACAACGAAGCGGCGGATCTCGCTGAAAGCAGTCTCTCCAAGCCAAACGGTGCTGAGCTGAGAACTTCGCTTCGCATTGGATCTCGCAGGTTCCGTCCACAGCACTTGGAAAGTCAGGATGACGTGAAGTAGTTTGGGTGTTGAGCGAACATTGATTGGGTGATTTGCATCCCACACGTGTAGAGGGAGAGTAGCGAACATGACATGGAATTGTAGAAAATAGTTCACCTACTCATGAACACACGACCTTGTTTCCAAAACTTCTTGCTTTTGTGATCATCAATTACAACATAACCTAGAGAGACTTAGCACATAGACATCCCGCAGAGAATAGCTACACACGTTTGTCGAGGTGTTTGTTTGCATTATCGCCGTTGCTATTGATTTGCTTTGCCATTTTCGTCCGACCCTCTGGTCCTTGGATTGGTATCATAGGTAGGTTTTCTACGATATTGTCAGGACTATACCTCCGCATTGTACGAGTGAGGAATACCTGCTAGACTCTCAAGGGGCGTGAAACTCGCAGCCTTGGATGTACGCGAGGGGGGCGATCCAACAGGAACTTGCGAGGAATATCCGGTAGGCACTTTGTATGTTGGTTTTGAGTAGCTAGACGAGCTACTGTTCGATGGTAGAAGTGAAGTAGTGTAGCCTTGGGATCCCGTGGCAGCATTTGCATCTTGGTTGACATCGGCTTGTAATGGCCACTCTGGACTGTACATTAATATAGTCAAGTCAGTACTCTTCCATAGATAATTAGGGAGCGTGGAGGGAGTTATCTGCCGTATTGAACTCTTGCAAGGACAAAACTCACAAAACTACACAAAAGAGAATTTTAGTCCCGGAAAGTTACTTACATGTGCCGAGGTGTTTCCTGCTCCTCTTCAGGGGGATGGAGATAATCATACTCGAGTTCACCGTCAGGTCCATAACGCTGAGCATACTTGCAGCCATATTCTTCGCTCCATATCCAGTCCGACCATGGGGTCGAGAGGTCAGGTTGCTTGCCAGACATCGTGCATTCCTTTGGGATGGGTTCTCCTGCATGCTGACATTATTCCCTCGAGGGCCGATAAGTTCTTTTATGGGTGCCATCCACCACGCTCCGACATCACACGCAGAGCCGCACTATGTCTAAATTAGCCAGAATGCTGCGATGTCTGTGTGTGTGTTGGAACTCAAGCCATGAATGTGGAGTGTTCTTCCGCGGGATCCTCTCTTGCTCCAAAGAGACTGCATTGCTGCAGCAGTCTTGTGGCTCGACAGCCAACCTGTCGATCAGCGAAGTAATGGTTGCCGCTGCAAGATCAACAAACGTTTATCCTATGGTTGCGTACTGGCGTCCTCATTGTCGGGTAGCATGCCGTTTCGCAAATGAGAATCCCTGGTGGCATTCTAGATATAGGCGCCGCTTTTAGAAGGCACCAATGCCGCTGCCCTTTCCCTCGGGATCAATGTCTTACTCTCGTATAATATATGGGCACCCCACGCCCCGTTTGTGATTCGTAAGTACAGCCCATTTCTTCCCGCCACATTTGATGCGGATTGCTATAACAAGGGGCTTAGATCCGATCTGTCAGCCCGTTGGGCCGTCGTGCACCTGCACGTTTCAATTCACATCGATATTTTCAGAGGTCCCATGAAGTCGACGTTACAACAATACCACTTCTGTGAATGTGTGCCCAAAAGGTGATGTAACCTTGTGTCAGGTTTGTATTGGATAACATGCTAATGATACCAGATCTGTAGCTCCTCATCTCACAAGTTAGCGGCGTTGCTACGTGTTTACCAACGATGTGATTCTCTGAGTCAACTGACAACTTGTGGTACAGGCCATACCTTGAGTGTGTTGTCGAATCGGTCGAGTCGTATCTCAAGATCTTGCTATCGCTTTCAATTGAGGCCAAACCCTCGCAATGGGTGTACCTACCTCGACAATGGAAACGGGACTTTTGGAGCAAGGCGAAACTGGCCACAAGGAACCATCTGAGACTGATTCTCATAACCAACCAACAATGGAGGGCTCTCACACTATTGACAAGCTTCGCTGGGCCGATTTGATGCACGCGCTACAAAGCATCGAAATACTACAGACAGCAGCTACCATGGCACGAATCGAGGCTCGTCAGAAGACCCGCGAAGCCTCATTCAAACGACAGGACGTATGGGTTTGGGACGCCAAATTCATGGGGGAGATCCAAAGACTCAATGCTCAGGGCAATCTCAAAGGATTCGAAGAATTATCACGACTTGCTACTCAATGCCAGACTGCACGCGATCTTCTAGGCCCGGTTGAGCAAGACAATATTGAGGCTGAATCTTATTGGCTAGGGCAAGTATGGAAGCTGAAAGAAGCCGAGAAAGATTTTTACACCGAATTCAAAGATGAGTTCAGGGATGCCGCCGAATATGTCACAACTCATGGCGGCGAATCAGTCAGCTCTTACCACCCATATTCAGACTCTGACAGTCAGATTGCCGATGGCCCAGTGATGGAAGACGACGATGCGCAAACGGAAGATGCCACAGTCCCATTGACCGAGCTCGACCACGCGGAGGTCGAAGAGCAAATACCACTTAATCTTGAGGATGCAAACGCCCAGGAGTTTGAGAACACTGCTGTTTTATCTGATTTGGACTCGGGCTTTGGAGATATCGAGTCGATTCTAAGCACGTCGCCACCTTTTGATATCAACAAGTATGGTCAACCCAGAACGGTTCCGGAAGCGGGACACACTGGTATCGAATTATATCACGATTTACTGGTAGACTTCTCAACCAGAAGAGCAAGGATCAACAAATGGTTGAAGAATATTGTATTGGAGTCTCGCCTTGAGGGACTTTCAGTATACTCTATTCTGCAAGATCTGCTTGCAGTGGAGAATCAAGAGGTCCCGTCGAATTGGGCTCAACTAGTTATTGCTTGGTGGGAATTCGATGAAGCTTCGGCGCCGGTACCAGTTGAAAAGGGGACTGGCAATACTGCAGCTGAAGAAACAGATCCTGTCAGAGATTCAAGCAAAGACCGTGCCAAGAACAAGACATCAACGATACCGGACATCCAGAGTCGTGTATTATCAGATCTACTGTCGGAATCCCACATTGAGCCTCCCAAATCTGATGGGGACCGAGGTAACAACAGTTTCAATGGCAAGGGCTTAGCGCCGCCTACCCCAATTCCACCTTCTCCACCGTTCTCACATCCCAATTCTCGCTCAGCCTCGCGTGATACACGAGAAGCAGAGACCTCAACACTGTGAATCATGGATGGTGTCTGTCTTGGCTTACAATAAAGGTACTTCTTACTGCTTGTGGATATGTTCCTAGAGAACGTGGTATTTGGAACGACAGTTCATGTACAAGATCAAAAGTTTGTAAACTTAATAGACTGGTAACATCGCAATGGAGAGGAAGATTTTTTTGGGATTTGGTTCAAATAGGTACAGCAGTGTAGCGGAGAGGTTGTGGATGGTCTGCATTAATAACACAAAGTCAAATGGAAAGACTTTCAAAAGATACTTCATTCAATAGTCTTGTTGCCATGATCGAATGCCATTCTCTTACTCTCTATAGATTAAACTCAATTTTCGCATCCTTTGGTAAAGGCAATCCAAGCTAGACAGCCTTGTTTTGATGATACGTTGCGCATCGGGAAAAAATGGCGCATAAAGAAATAAAAGCAGCGCAATATCGATTTTGCAGCAGCTAATTGGCGAAGAGCTCCCACATGCATGCAGCACAACCTTGTCCCCCGCACTCTTACATGCGAGTGGGTCAGATGCTCAATTTCTGAGACAAATCGTCCCGATGGAAAGGTTGCTGCCGCAGCCACAAAATACATTCCCATTTTATCTGCTGCTTTAGGAAAGATGACTTTGAAAGCCTTCTTTCGAAGCTAGAAAGATGACGTCTATCGATGTGATATATCACTTGAAGAATTATTACACAAGAAACGGTCCGGTCCGCTCGCTCGGAATATCAGATTTCAGAATTCACAAACTGCTCCTGACGAAACTCGCTGGGCTTCACTTGTGTAACCACACTTCTAAGAATCGACTGATCATCAGACAACATAAGCGGTTATGTGCACAAAGGAAGAGGCTCAAGGTGACCAATCAATAACGAAGCAAACAAACCAGACACCATGATTCGACACCTCGCATGATATTCCCGCAGAAACCGGCTTTTCCCACTGCTTTTCGCAATGTCTGCCACGTGTAGATTAGCCAGGACATCCCGTGCAAGACATACACTCTTCTGGCACCATTTCTGCAGCCTCACCTCCTCGTTCACTTTATCGGTGTGAAGGTAAGGTAGTGCAATTGACTTTTTGTGAAACCCAACTCTGCGATCCTGGTAGACCACCCCGCATTGCATAGCGGCTGCATGTTGATTGTTGGTGGATGCGAGATGTGACGGCTCATGGGCGACACGATTGCATGCATAGGGGCAAGAAAAGGCTCCAGGTCGATTCCCAAGCCACTGGGCTCGGGAAAGGGAATTTTCAGCCTTATTCGTCGCAGCTGATATTCTCGCATTTGGGTGGCGTGCAGCACCAATGAAGCTAAGGCTTCGCAGCCTTGCGACTTGTCTTCCATCCTGACAATTCTTCCTCTTCCTTTTCCATTTTAGAAGCAAAGACGAAGTATCGTCATCATCAACACCATATGCTACTCATAGTAAGGATGGATTACACCTTTCTTGTTAGTAAGCATGACCTCAGAGCTCTTCCTGTTTGCATCCTTCTGAGCCTCGTCAGCACATTTGTTTCGGATACCCTGATTTCTCTCTGTCTGGGCACTCACATCGATGGCAACATGGTAAAGTGTTCGATGCCCTATCGCGTTTGCTCTTCACGATGGTTTTGGTGAGGAGTTTTCGGAGGAGTTTCTGACATTGAAGTGTAATATCAAACGCTAAATTTAGCAAAACATCGCTCTTGAACAAGCTTAAAATTATAGATGAAGCTTGACGGTCAAGATGAGCTTTATGCTTCTTAATTGGCTCTCAATCTTTTGGAATCACGGGAACTCTTGGCGTGCAGCATTTTCGCGTCTCATCGCGTTCCCCCTTAAATGAGCTTGAATTAGATCCAACACTCAAGTAGTGTGCGGCGCAGCCCGTTGGTGCGTGCTGATCGCGAACTTCAAAACAGCGGATCTTTCCCTTTCATCACCAGCCTCGTCTCTTATGATTTGCTCACTCGCTGATTATGTGGATATAAAACGTCATAAGTTCTGTACTTCTATTTTGGCAGCTAATTCGGCGGTTCTCATTGGCTGGAGATTGAGCTTAGTCTTAAGAATCTGCACTTTGATGGGATGGTTCCTGGAATCCTGGAGCCTTATCCTCCAACGTTGGTATTTTACGTACGGAGGAGTCAGCACATGAGTGCTTATGCCTAGCTTGGACAACCTCTGCGATGAACTTGTTTCCATTCCGCTGAACATCCTTCCGTATATACCGTGCCTTTGGAAATTTTGACGTAGAAGTCGTTGCGCGAAAATGCGTCATGGCTGGAGAGAGAAACAGCGACCGATTGCATCTCCTTGAGCATAGCTCGAGCATGCCGAAAAATTCCCCGACTGATGGAGACTCAAGTTGGATTCATGAGATGGTGGATTTCGACAGTTCGGATATAGGCATCCAGAAGAGTCCAGTCGTAACACAATATCCACCAGCATATTCTTCGACCTGGGAACAGGATACTGAAAATGACAGCCAGAGGGATCTAAAGTCCTTCAATCGGTGAGAAGGGTTCTATCTCTAGAAAGGTTTGTCGCAAACTGACTGCGTTAGATATTCCTCGAGTCTGCAAGACCGATCCCCAACCTTCACTACAATTCCCACAACAAAACCAGCTTCCACAAATGGCTTCCTCAAATTCCTCGCATTCGTCCGTCGATCAGGTCGATATGCCTCACACGTCTCATACGAGGACACAAATCCCAAAGGCAACCCACCTAAGTTCAGTGGCTGGCGTGGAGGTGCTCTGGCGGCAGCCATCAGTGCAGGGACTATGCTGCTAATCAACCTGATATTCACAATCTGGGCTGCGGCCAAATCTCGCAGCGGGACACAAGTTGGAACTATATATGCAGGAGATTGTGGAAAAGTAAGAAATGTCGATGCTGGGTTGCATGTTGCCATCAACGTCATGGGCACGCTTCTTCTTGGAGCTTCGAACTACACGATGCAATGCCTGAGCTCTCCGACTCGGAAAGAAGTGGATGCTGCTCATTCCCGGGGAAGATATCTTGATATCGGGCTTCCGAGCCCGAAAAACCTGAACGGATGGAAGAAGAAGATTGTGTTTACGTTGCTAGTGCTATCCACGGTACCATTGCACTTCCTGTGGAACTCCGCGGTCTTCACTACCACCCAGCAACTCGACTACAATGTATTTGTAGTGTCACCCAACTTTCTCAGCAGCTCGAATGTTGATTGTTCTCAAAATGTGTCCGTGCATTACGATGGCTCTACTACCACTACTGGTCCAGAGTACGTATTCCTGCTGTTGTTTTTGATACCTTTTAGGAGCAAGATCGTCGGGATTATTCCCGGGAGCCACCCATCAAAGAAGATGTGTTTCAACTCCTCGGATGAGCTCCTCGGCCCGTAACTGTTATGTCAAATGCGTATACTGATTTTGTCATAGTGCCAGAGATTATAGCTACAGAACACCTCTCAACTATACCTCACTTAACAATCAGTCATACACCAGCGCAGCGCTGTGGTACCAAGAGAACGTCTGCACTATCTCCAGAGCTCTTTTGGACAACTCCACCCAAGGACTACTTACTCGTTTAAGCAACGAGGACTGCATCAAAACTTATGGTCCTGGCGACAATCTTCTGAAAGGATACGGGGAACTTCTAGTCGTCACAAAAGAACAACCCGCAAGCACCAATACCTCTATCCTGATGCAATTCACTTACGAGATGTTTGTATCGAATTACACGGGGAACGGGTGGGTGTGTGATGCCGAACAGCTGATTGACAACGATTACCACTGCAAATACAAGGACATTGCTGCAAATGCAGACGACTGGACACTAGGACCGCTCACGCCCGACCCGAGCAACAGATTTCGGCTCACCACATCAAATCAGTGGCCGATCGACTATTGTCTCGCTCAACCAACCAACTTGAGTGGTTCATGTCAGCTTCAATATAGTCTGGTTATCATGATCATTGTCCTGATTGCAAACTCTATCAAGTTCTCCTGCATTGTCTTCCTGCTTTGGACGCATCTTGAACCTGTTTTGGCAACGATCGGAGATGGCATTGCTACATTCTTGGAGCGTCCAGACGTTGTTACTGCTTACCGGCCGTTCCTAGACCGACATCATGCTAGGAGGTTCAATTTGGCGGCAAAGAGGGTACCAGTACGATGGTACCCACCCAAACATTCGTTACGTTGGTGGCGCGCGCCCAGCAAGACTCGGTGGTTCTTAACCTTGGTACTGTACGTTTTCTCACGACCCTTTCCCGCTCAGATACTAACGCTGAAAGATGTACGTTGGCAATAATCGTCGTATCGATCCTACTTGGGAGTGGAAACTCCAATGTCATGAGCTCTGACAATGGCTATTCGACTCCGTACGCCCTTGGTTTTGGGACTTACAACGCGGACGCAACACTCAACATATTCCCCACGTCTAACAATCAAGATCTTACAGCTTCAGATTTCAGCTCGAACGGTATCCTTATTGGCATGGTTGCAGTTGCAAACTTGCCGCAGGTAATTGTCTCCTGCCTATATTTCGCATATAACACCGTGTATACCAGCATGGTATCCGCAGACGAGTGGTCGAGGTTCACTTCTCACAGGAAAGCTCTCAGGACGACGGACCGAAAAGGTGACCAGCGAAGTACCTATTGGCTCAGCTTACCATGGACCTATGCGCTGCCGTTGGCTATCGCCAGTTCGGTGTTGCATTGGCTCATCTCTCAATCTCTATTCGTCGCGCGTACCGAAATTATGAACACGTACGGAGAGCCCGAGCCAAATTCGTACATGGAAGTGGGATATTCGCCACTTGCCATTCTGATAGCCCTGCTTTTTGGGACGGGGATGGTGTTGGCTATGATTTTGAATGGATTCAGGAAATTAAAAGGGGGGATATTGGTTGGGAATAATTCTCTGGCGATAAGTGCTGCTTGTCACCGGAGTACGGATGATGTGGGCGCTGAATTGAAAAGAGTCCAGTGGGGCGCACTCCATCATCAGCTTCCGGATGGGACGCCGGGTCATTGTTGTTTCTCAAGTGAAAACGTTGAACCTCCTAAATATGGAGACTTGTATATATAGAAATCTAGACATGAAAGTTATGATAAGCATCTTAGAGCACCTACCCTTTGCTTTGATTTACGAATTCAATTCAGAGTCTAGCACAACATAACCCTCAAAATATATGTCGTTCCTAAATGAAGCCCTACGACTTGGTATATCCTCAAGTTGAGGGCGTTGAAGTGTCTGAACAGTCAATCTGGCTGGAGTGTGCATGGCACTAACTGGAAACGATTTAGTATGCGTATTTAGCGTGGACCCTTAATTTAACCTCAGGCTGCACCTGCCCCGCGATGCCTGTGCTAGATCTTCATTCATTCCTCGTGGCTTCACAACAATTCCATTCTCGATGCACATGTACTGTGCTTCTTTGCAAAGAATATCTTCTAGTTTGATATGTCAAGATCTGCCATCCTCTCACGTTCTCTTCTTCGCCACAGCACACCTGGATCTCCATAGCCACAGCAAGGTTGTGGCTGTACTCAGCTCTGCAGGGTAGGTGCGTCGGGGTCCAATGGAGTCTGGCTCTTTCGACTCCCGCATCGTATGTTCAGCAATTGCATTCTCTCAACCGACCGCCGTTGTCTTTGCCATCACTTTGTGCTTGGCATGATTTGAACTCGGAATGTCACTGTTCTCATCGTTGAGCTAGACAACTGATCTCTTAGGTCATGGCATCTACTGCAGAGACGTTTCGCGCGCGGGAGGTTTACAGGTCAGTAGTCTTAATGCGCCTCGAGTTACTATCTCATGAACAATAGGTATTACCAGCCAAAGAACTCTAAGGACGTACCGGAAGCAGCTTCGACGAAACCCCATTCGCCGCGTGCCCGATTGCCAAAGGTCACCAATTTCACCACCCAGCAATCCTTCTCCGATACTGCGCTCACTGCCTTCGCACAACTCATTGCTCTCCGATTATCTGCTCAAAGAGCCATCGTCTCTCTCATCGATCATGAGAATGAGTTCTTTCTCGCAGAATCGACGTCCACACTGAGTCTCATCGACGATGATTCGAATGCCTTGTTATCAATCAGTGGGGCGAGAGTCCCTCGTGGAAAATCATTGTGCGAACAAACGTTGCAGCTCGTCCCAAACCAAGATACGACCGCGGAGAAGACTCCCGTATTCTTAGTCCCTGACTTGCTTCTCGATGAGAAGATGAGTAAGCTTGATTGTGTCAAAGGCGCGCCGCACTTGAGGTTCTACTGCGGGGTGGCCCTTACAAATAAGACTGGCATAAACATTGGGGCTGTATATATTGTGGACGACCGCCCTCGCACCGATTTCAGTCTCGAACAAGCACAATTCTTGACTAGAATGGCTGCTACGGTAATGGATCACCTGGAAAACATCAGAGCGAAAGAGGATGTAGTCAGGATGACAAGAATGAGCCAAGCACTGCATGCTTTTATTGAAGGAGAGGGAACAATGGATGGCGATTGGCAGCGCTTAAAGAGATACAATCTTCCCGCCAACGCTGGAGTCGGATTTTCATGGGAGAGCAACACAAACGACGGGGCCAGAGGCTTTATGAAGAGCAAAAGAGAATATGTTGCATCGAAGTCCATCGAACCCGGTTCGGCTCCTGGAGGACTCGAAGTACCGTTCAATCCTGGACAATCCCCACTGCAGCACTCGGGCATTAGTCCAGACGCTCGCTTTAACTTCAACAATTCTCCTTGGAGTTCGACGTCGGAAGTGCCACAGATTCCCACCTTGAAATCCGTTTTTGAAGGCTTCGATGACGCTGCTGCAAAACTCAACAATGGGAAAGATGCTCAATTTGCCAACGATGATTTCTCAAATCTCTTACACGATACATTCTCTCGGGCATCGAATCTTGTCATGGAGGGCATGGAGGTTGACGGAGCTGTGTTTTTCGATGCTCCTTTTAGGTTTTATCAAGGGCGGAGCACACTCGAGACAGATCCGCGCCGTATAGAAGAAAAGGGTTCCGAAGGCTCGAGCGACAGTGAATTTGATGATCATGAGGCCAGGCCAGGGCCTCGACCCCGTGTCCTCCGCTCCGACACTCATACTAAACATCTAGATGTTGCCAACAACGGAGTCAGCATAGCCGTAAAATCGGATGTCCTAGGATACTCCACTCATGGCCATTCGTCATGGGATAACCAAGACATGGGAACCACTGCAAATTTTACTGCAATCGACCAGAGCCTTCTCACTTCTCTTGTGAGGCGATACCCACAGGGCGAGCTTTTTGTCTCTGACAAAGATGGGCCCATTTCCCCTCTTACACATAATCCTCTTGCAGGCTCGCAAGGCATCAACACGTATAAATTGGCACGCCACAGGGCTCGGAAAAGAGCGGAGATCTTACGACTACTGATTGCTTTCCCTGGAGCCCGCCAGATATTCTTTGTCCCGTTATACGATTCAACATCAGGGTGTTTCATCGGATCATTCACTTGGTCGACCTCAACGACGCGAATATTTTCCTCTGAAAATCATTTGTCATATCTAATTGCCTTTGGACACAGTGTCATGTCGGAAGTCAGTCGACTGAATACACTTAGTGCAGATCGAGCAAAGGGCGATTTCATCTCCAACGTTAGTCACGAATTGAGAAGTCCTCTTCATGGAATTCTAGCAAGTGTAGAATTCTTGGCGGATACTGCTCTGGATGGATTTCAAAGAAATCTAGTCGACACCGTAGATGTTTGTGGAAGAACTCTACTGGACACGATTGAACATGTTCTGGATTTCTCCAAAATTAAGAAGTATAAATTCGGAGTTGAAAGTTCGCAGCCAATGGGTGTTGTTGCAGATCTCGATGTCTCTGCCGTCATTGAAGAAGTACTAGAAGGCGTGTTCGCAGGTTTTGAATTCAATGGTCTCTCGTCACAAGGCCTCGCAGATACAACGCAGAGCCATGCCAGGGAAATACCAAAGGCCACACAGACGTTACAAGCAAACGATGTATCACGATCTGATCATGCCAAGCTACAGAATAACCCTACAGTGATCCTTGACATAGATTTCAGGGAGAAGTGGACATTTCCCACAGTACCCGGCAGTAAACTTGCCTATTTCCTTCCACTGCTTCTATCTTGCTGTATTTGAGACAGAATTACCTTTCAACTTCGGGGATCAATAGTCTGCAGAAAGTAACTTACTAATTGGAAGCAGCTTGGCGAAGATTAACGATGAATTTGTTTGGCAATTCGTTGAAATATACCCAAAATGGGTACATTAAAATCAAGCTCGCAGCTCAAAGCATGTCTGCTGTGAACTCCTCCGCGAAGCACGACACGGTGAAAAAGACCATGGTGACCTTGACCATATCAGATACTGGAAGAGGAATGTCAACCGATTTCATGAAGACGAAGTTGTTCATTCCTTTCTCACAGGTTTGATTCTTACTCCAACCTATACATTCTAGGTTTTTTATATCACTACTAACTATCCATCAAGGAGGATGAAACAGCTCCAGGCACGGGCTTAGGTTAGTAGATACTCTCATCAGGGCAATGCCAATGACGCTGACCAGGCTAGGAATGAGTATGGTGAAGCAGATTGTAGATTTGTCTGGTGGGACAATTGACGTCCGCAGTGAGTTGGGCATGGGTACGGAGGTTAAACTCAGCCTTCCCTTGGAAGATTGTCTCGAAGACTTCGACAAGTTGTCCAACAATCCACCAGAGATTTCAGATCCACTTTACTCGGAAAATGTCCTAGACGCCATCCGTAGAAGAAGCCGAAATCGGACAGTCTCCATTCACGGATTCGACAGCACATCTGGGAAATCCAACCTTCAAATAGCTGCAACCGAGGGTCTGAAAGCCTCGATAAAGAAGTATATCACAGAATGGTTCGGTTTGACCATTGCGTCTAGTAGCGACGTCGTTGATATTGTTATATCTGATGAATCTGCTTTTCTTAACTCGACCCAGATGCCCAAGACCAAACCTCGGTTACTGCTCATCCTTTGTAGCAATGGAACACGAAGAGATCTCTACAAGGCTCGATCTGGTTTTGCTCAGCATGTTGAATTTGTCAGCAAGCCTTGCGGACCTCACCGACTGGCTAAAGCACTGCTCAACTGCCTTGACAAAGAAGACGCGGGCCAAAAGAAGGCCGATACAGAAAGGGTAAGTCAAAAAGCCGAAGATTCAGATGGTGCGGGCCGAATTTCAGATGATACCAAGGTGGCTGCAGGTAGAAGTAACATGAAACTGATCGATCTGCAGTCATCAATCGGGTTCTCGCCAACAACAACTAATCTCAACAAATTACCGGGCCAGCAAACCAAGATTCAGGGAGGTCTCAATCATGGCCGAAGACCATCATTGACTCACAGAATGTCAAGCGGGAACGACGTCCCAAGATCTGAAGGCGTAAGTAGAAATACCACACCACTGGCAAGTCCATCATCTTCAGCCACTTCCGTCATTAGTCCAAGCAGTTTTGACGATGGAGTTACCCATGATGTGCTACGCTTTGATCCGATCCTGGAAGGCTCTCCACCACTCAAAATGCTGCTAGTTGAGGTGAGTGTACAAGTTTACGACAACGAACAGAATACTAACTGGTTTTCAGGATAATCCGATCAACATGATGCTACTTGCGACTTACATGAAGAAGAAGAATTGGGACTATGAAACTGCTGCCAATGGTCTGATAGCTTTGCAAGCTTTCCAAAACAGGCCGCAAGGTTTTGATATTATCTTCATGGGTGAGTGTCTTTTCCTCTATCTCTGGAAACCCCATACTGGGACTCTGGTCACGTCGATACTAACGAATACAGACGTCTCAATGCCTATAATGACGGGTTATGAGGCCACTCTCGCAATTCGGAATGTGGAGACCGAACGCCGATTAGCTGACGAATTACAACGACAGCCACAATCACCAGTCGCAGTACCACATCAAGTCCCCAGTTCTTACCCCTTTCCTGACGCTGCTGGTATATCGGTCTCATCGCCGACCAATGGTATCAACCCTCATGGTCCGACTACGCATCGCTTTCGTCCTGCTCTAATTATCGCCCTCACGGGATTCAGCAGCAAACAGGACCAGGAAATGGCATTCGAGAGCGGGGTCGATGTGTTTATGACCAAGCCGTAAGTAGCTCTTCTTCTTCTTCCACAGACGAGATGGTACTGATATTTTAAGTGTCCGGTTCAGAGAAGTGGGGCGGATACTTGACGGCTGGATGAAGAATCACGAGATGGAGCAAGCGAATGATACAACTGGGATAGGCCAAAATGAGAGAAGGGAGCTGGACGAGGAGAAAACTGGCGCCAAGAGGAGTGGTTAGTGACCGTATGGGTGGGTCTCAGACAGGGTACGTGACATACTGAAGCAAGCGAGCCTCGGCTTTGATTGAATAGGTAGGTGTTATATGGTTGGTATATCAGACTTGTCATTTTTGATTAGCTATTTCTCATTCTACAGTTTCCTTCTTTTCGTGCTCTCCTATATATCCTGCTCTGAAATATCTTCGAAACAAGATTTCCATTATCTTCCGGCTCCAACAATCCAGCTGGCGGCACCTAAGATGGCGTAGCAAGATCCAGTATGGATAAAATCCGAAAAAAAGGCAAATTGGTGGAGATGGGTGTTCCACATCTTGACATGCAGGGTCTTCCCAATGACGACGTGGCGTCTTTGCGAGAGAAGTTGTTCTCTGGCTCCCGCAATGGTTTTCCCCATGGGACCGAGAAATAAAGAGATGGGCAAATAATACGGCGATCGAGATGGGAAAGTCCATAAGATTGTGGAATGGTTACCGTTGTGGTGTGTTGTCGTGGTCTGACTTTGTGAGCTGTTATCGTACCCCTCACCAAGCGCATCCATAGGATGAAGGTCAATTTACGGGACAACTTCAGGGTCTTTTCGGGGTCCTCTCCCTTTATGCACCATGACGCAGCCAACTTGCCGCCAACCTTGGCAATTTCCCCCCCGCATATTTATGTCTGGCACGGCGACATGCTGCAGATGGAACAGGACACTGTGATAGCCATACAGAAGGACCACAGCTATCCTTGATGGATCTCTGGCCGTTTGTATGGATAGACCACTGAGGGTGTTCAGTACCACATTTGATGTATCCCTCGCATGTTCCATGTGCAGATCGCCGGGCTGGGCTCTCAGAAAGACCAACCGAATCTGTCTGCATCGTCTCCAATCAAGGTTCAGAGGTCTAGCCACGGTCTTATGGCAGGGACCCAAAAGGCTAGCCTTCAATCGCCAGAGACATGTTGTGAGACCCTGGTGGCTTTTCTGAGATTCCGATCCACCTGGGATATCAGGTTAGGTTAAGTATAGCTGCAGCCCCTCTTTCTTTGACAAGATACCATCATCGCATTTCACTCTCCTATCGTCGATCAAGGCACATACCAGCCATAATTATCTTGGCATCAGCAGTACCTATCGATCTTAAACCACTACTGCATCCTCATTATCAATCACCTTGCAAGCTTTACCGTTGATCTCCACACGTCAATCACTTTGCAAGCCGCCCCGTTACAGCAATAGCCATCTCATCTCAGCTACAGTCATTATGCCAAATAGAAATTTGTCCTTTCAATCTTCAGTCAGTGGTTCAGACTTGCTCAAACTTAGAGATCTGAGCTGCCAGGAAGGCAATGTATTCGATAAAGAATTTCATGCCGATTTGGACATGAAAGATTGGAACGAGTGGATGCAATGTGAAGGCACCATCAATCAGTTAGAATCTCCTATGATAGACCGCACACAAAGCATCGCCAGCACTGTATCCTGGCTAGAAGGCACCTCGTCTGCCAACATTGATCGCGCCGTCGAGAAAGACGCAGCAGTCTTCTCCTCGTTCTTGAATGATAATGAATTCTCCTTTGAAGATGCCCTGCTTGAGTTCGATGAAGTACCACCTCCTCCACCACCCTGCTACAACCTGCCCATGGGAATCCCCACCAAAGACAACAACAGAGCATCCCAAGACGTCCCGCGAAAATTCCGCGGCTTCTCCTCCCTCACAGAGGCCGAAGAGAGAAGTCTAACAGACATCGCAATGCCCTACCACATCCTCGCCAAAAACACCACCACCAAACGCAAGAGTCCCTCCTCCGAGGAACCCACCTCCCCTTCCGCAGCATCAGCTTCCTTCTCGTCACCCGCCCCGTCTCCCTCGCCCGAGCCCGTGACGACGCGCAAGAGCCGCACGAACAAGAAACGCAAATCCCTCGTCGTCGTCGACGACGCCGAGTCCCGCAACGCGCTCTGTCAGTCCCGCAAAAACGGGCATAACATGATCGAGAAACGGTATCGGACCAATCTCAACGAGAAGATTGACTGTCTCCGGCAATCTGTGCCAGCGTTTCCCAGACGCTCGAGCTCGGGGGCGAAGTCTGATGGAGAGGAGGAGGAGGATGAGGAGGGGCAGGAGGATAGTAAGATTGGGAGGCAGAAGTATGGGAAGGCTGCTATTTTGACAAGGGCGCTGGAGTATATCAAGCATCTGGAGAATACGACGGAGAGGCTTGGGGGCGAGGTTGATTTGTTGAAGAATCGGGCTGGGGCTTTTGAGAAGTTGGCTATGAGTGGGAGTATTGTGCTTAGTGATCGGGTGGGGTTGGTTGCTGGGGGGTTGTTGGTTGTTAAGAGTGAGACGTTGGAGAGTGTTAGGGCTGGTATGTTTTCCAGTTTCTATCTTTGTGGATGATCATGGGCTAATGGTTTGAGTCCAGATTTCAAGCAGGTGGGATTGAAGTATAGACCATTGCCGGGACCGAATACCCGGAGAAGAAACTCGAGGCAGGTGAAGGTTGATCTGTTATGAAATCAGGAAAAAGTGCGTGTGTGATGAAGGAGTGCATAATGGGCGTCACGGTGGAAAAGCATGCATTGGCGCATTCTTCAAGGAAAACTGCGGCCTCCTTGAATGCCATAATAATTTGTAATGTCATCACTGAGATATCAATGTATTCAAGGAATGATACCAGATATTCCACGATGTGATGTGATGTGAAGTGCTTTTGGAAGAGGTTGACATCAGTGAGCCTCGTACCCGGTACTTTGGGTCAGCAGCCCACATGACTACTATGAATGGAAAGCGAATCAAGAGTTGGACGAAAGCTGAGGACTTTGTATGTAAAAGACGTGGATTGTAGTCAAACTGGCTGGGTATCGATCCATGATTTATCGTCTATTGTACTGTACAAGACAATATACATTTTTCATACAACAACAGCCTGTGACGCTGCTTTCCAATACAAAGGAGCAGTGGTATTTCCATCGACTTCTGGCAATACTACCAATCCCTGTACTCCAGCTTCATCAAGCCAGTGAATCTCCTTTGCAGAAAGCGGGGGTGGTCCAAAGGGAGCCTTGTAACCACGAACAAGAAATTTCTCGAATGTATCTAGGAATTGCCAAGGATCTTCCGGTATATTTTCCTGGAAATCTTTCAAAGCGTTCGAAAGGCTTTCGCCTGGACGTACATTATGGTACCGGTAATGATTTCTCAGAATCATGAGCAGCAGCTTTCGAATATTTGGTGGCAGGTTATTTTCAATTTCGCTAGTCTCGTCGTTTCCATCTGATTGTTGCTCAGAAAGCTGACCAAGCTCAACGGGAATTGGTTCCCCAGGGACTTCGAGAGCCGGTAATAGAATAGACAGGGCGTAGTCCCTATCACCAGCAATCTGAAAGGCAAGGGCATAAGCTTGGGCTTTCAACCTCGGGTTTTGTGCCCAGTAACTTTGACCGATTGCATATTTCTCATCGGCTTCCCACTCTGCTACCAGTATATCCTTCAACCCCATCTCAGCTAACCCCACGAGATAGCTAGCATAGAAGTTCAACGTCTCGACTTGATAGAAGATAGACATGAAGGAAGTATCTCTGCGTCTATTTGCAACTGGGGACTCATCCCGATCCCAGCCAGTAATGAGCTTCACGGCCGCGGCGCCCATAGGACCAGCTGTCATTTCCGGTTCGAACACGAGCCGTAGCATAAGAGTGGAAAGAGCTTTTACCGTGGGCCTTGCTCCTTGAGGGGCTTCGGACAAAAGTTCCAGATACCTGCGAAGAGAAGGTAGGTTCCACGACTTTGCAGCATAGTGCAGACCAGCTTCACAAAGTAGTGAGCTCACTTTGACTCCCTTAGCTGCCAGACTGATACACAAGTTGTTGAGGAGAATGACTATCGCATTGGAGGATACTAGTGTGTGTTGGAATTCCTGCGTCTGAGTCTTCCTGCATTGTCGAATAGCTTTCCTCACTGTCTCCGCCCTCGCAGCCAAAAACGCACACCCTTCCTGAGTGGTAGAAAGCATTGATATTAAGCGCGACAGTTCGAGGAAGCCTCCTCTTTCAGAGCAGCTCATTAACTGCCAAACGTAGGCATCGTCACGCCGTTTGATGTACCCAGCTTCATCAAGGCGTTCCACCGGGTCATAAATAAATTCGGACGAGAGCTGGATCGCTTTAGACCTGATGCCGTCCGTCGGTTGAATCTTTCGATAGCGAAATATATTACGTAAATTCTGTGTCTTCCGATTCCAAGGACCTGGATCTCCCATGAGTGCGAAAGTAAGTAAGTCTGGCGGAGTGACTTGAATTGTCTTCAATGGAAAATGGATTTGCTGATATTTCCGCCTCTCCCCCTTGTCTGCGCTCGCACTGGCATGTGGTTTCGTTGAAGATGCGGGATACCATTCATCCAATTCCTCGATCTTTCGTACATATTTGCTGTCTGCAGCATCGAGGTCGATAACAAGACGAGGGAGCACATATGGTTCTCGTTGACGGGTGGAAGCAAATCTCTTTGCACTGCGAGCGGAGCTGCGTAAGCTGAGGGCATGTCGACAGAAGAGACAGATATTCTCACTGCCTCGCATGATGTCGGAGTCAAGGGCATCTGAGCTCCATGTTGCTGTTGCGAGTACAAGATATTGGGACGAATTTCCCCAGATATTCTTTTAGACTACGACCGATCAAGCTTAGCGCGATTTGACTTCAGAATCGCCCCTTCTCATTCTCAGCCTTTCGCATGCAACACCATCACAGCATACAACTACCATACAAATCAACATGCCTCCAGCAAAGAAACGCAAGACCAAAGCGACAGTGGATGTAGCAGAAGAACCTGCCCAGGTCACGATTGCAGAAGCGGAACCAGCGAGTGAGCAACCAGAGCCTGCGCAGAAACAAATAGAGAATGAGCTACCCGGGGCTTCAAGCTCAGATGCCGCAACCAAGGCGAAAGAGCGAATGGAAAGATTCAAAGCGCTTCAAGCACGAGCAAAGACAGGTGCTCAAAAGAACTTGAAAGAGGCAACCCTGGAATCGCAACGATTAGCCACAGATCCAAATCTCCTCACATCCTTGAATCGCAAGTCTGCAGTCGCGTCGCATAACCTTCTCAAGGCAGATGTAGAAGCCGCAGGTGGAGACTTTGAGCGGAAGAGAGCCTGGGACTGGACCATCGAGGAGAGCGAAAGATGGGATAAGCGGTTGAAGAAGAAAGATGCCCACAGAGATGACCAGGCTTTCCAGGATTACAGACAGGATAGTAGGAAGGTTTACAAGCGACAGATACGAGATCTGAAGCCTGATATGGACCACTACGAGAAAGAGAAGATGGCTGCCGTCGAGAAAGCTGCTGCAAGCGGAGGCCTTGAGATTGTGGAGATAGATGATGGAGAACTGGTTGCTGTGGATAAGGATGGCACATTCTACTCTACAGCAGACTCGACAGGATTTGTTGAGCATAAACCGCCGAAAGACGCTGTTGATAGGTTGGTCAAGGATTTGCAACAGGCAGAGGAAGCAAGACTGAAGAAGAGGAAGGAGAGAATGGGACAGAACGGCGAGGATGGAGATGTTACGTACATCAACGAGAAGAACAAGCAGTTCAACCAGAAGCTCTCAAGATTTTACAATAAGGTATGTCGAGCCCTAATGCTACTTTTCTCGTATCTACGCTAACATTTTGCAGTACACAGCAGAGATTCGGGACAGCTTTGAACGTGGTACCATGATATAGGCATGGTAGCTGATCGGGAGGAGTGGTCTCCAAGACTAGATAGACTACAATACAAGGCTTGAGCCGAGATTTTACCTCTCACTGTCCATATACTTTACAACATTCCTTTCCTCCAAGACTTCTGAGCCAGCTCCTCAATTTCTTTCGTCTCCACTGGCCCTTTCACGCTTTCGTCGCTCAAAGCCTCGACCACAGCTTCAGCAACAATATCTGCTTTTAGAGGCTTCACTCCAGCCGCGCCCATGAAACCTCCAAAGATACCCCCAGTGACGCTATTGAACACAGCACCCATGCCAGTCATAGCAGCCATTGGTACTGTGAATGCCCTCGAGCTATCGTATAAGAATCCTGGCCTTATGAAGATTCCTCGCATGGTTGGAAATTCGCTACTGATGGTGCTCTCTGCTTGCCGTTTGGTTTCAATGTACCTCTTCGGCAGTACAGGAGCACCTCCTGCTGCTGAGATGTAGACAAACGCTGGGACCTTCTCATTATTCGCTTCTTGTGCCAGAGTGATTGCAGAATCTCGGTTCATTAGTTCGTAAGTCAATTGTCCATCTTTTTCTTGGGGCTTGAGGTCCTCTCCAGATTTTCGAGTCAATGGGTTCTGTGATCCGGCTTTTGTAGAAGAGAATGCCCTCTGTAGACCTGCTATTGGTGATTCCTTTCCGGATATAACACCTTTGTAGTCGGCTTCGAGGAGAATTCCCATGCTGTGAACTACGTAATCGGCGTTCTTGAGCAGAGGGGCATATGTTGTGGGCTTTAGGATGTCTGCTCGTTCCCAGGTGACTTTATGTGCCCATGGCGGTGAAGTGGAGGATGCAGTGACCGAGGACCAAGTCGGCTCTCCTGATCGGCTGTATGTACATTAACAAGATCCCCTGGCGAATGTCGATGCTTCACTGAGCTGTTGAGCTAAGCATACCTGATTGAAGTGACATCCCAACCTCTTGCTACAGCAGACTTGCATATCCGCGAGCCCAGAAATCCATTTCCACCACAAACAACTAACCTCTTGGTCGCAGACATGTTGAAGTACTTGTTGAGAGCATTTCATGGAACTTTCGTAAAAACCATCTGATGAGGTCAATCCTCTAAGAAGCATGGACCCTCCTGCAGCGCTAGCTGCAGCCACTAAACTTTAAATTCTGCCCTGCGCTGATCTGATTCAAAATCGCGTCCGCCATCCGTTTCAATCTTTACCAACATACAAAATGGCACCTCCCAACAATCAAAAGCGTGTCAAGGGCGTACAGATCCACCGACCTTTCATTTATGGATCAACGGCGAAGCTGTTCAGCGAGGACAATCCCAAACCACCAGGAACTCCACCGGATCACACGCACTCATGGACTGTGTTCGTCAAGGGCGTGGATGATACGGACATCACTTACTGGTGCAAGAAGGTGCAATTTAAACTACACGAGTCTATTCCGAACCCTATGCGAAGTATGTGACTCCTATTATATCTTCACCTCGAAGCGTACCTAAGTTCTGCATCTGCTAACACAATTGACAGTGATCGATGATGTCCAACCCGGTGGCGCATTCGAAGTTCACGAAACAGGATGGGGAGAATTCGAAATCACAATCAAGATTTATTATGTCCCCGAATCCCTCGAGAAACCGCAAACCCTATACCACCACCTGCGTCTACACCCGTATGGACAAACAGAAGAGGAGAAGGAGGTTATGAGGAAAGGACCAGACATCAGAAGTTGGATTTATGAAGAGCAACTCTTTAATGAACCATACAATGAGTTCTATGACATATTGACGAGTCCGATGGATCGAGGGAAGGGTGGCGGAAAAGGCACCAGAGTCATGAAGGGCGGTATGGTTGGTAGTGTTGGTGAACGAACAGCATCGATACCTTTGACGACGAGGCCGGATCAACCCTTCAGTCGAGAAACTGAGAAGATAGAGATCAACAGGCTGGAGGAAGCGCAGGTCAAGGTCAAGGAACTAATGGAAAAGTTTGGTGACGAGCTGAGGGAGAAAGAGACCGAGCTTGCCAGATTGAAAGCAAAGTACCCCGATGTTCAACTCAAACGATGAGCAACTCGAGGACTTGTATTGGAATGGTAGAGCTAGTTCCTGAACTACGACAGGCGACAGCTTTGTGTTAAGTTTGTATGGAATGGAGGGTTGCATTGGGAAGCCAAGACTTCTGCTTGCCAATCATGGAGGCAAGCTTCAGACAGCAGAACAGCTGAGCTCAAGAACGAAGATACCATCGACAATGGCTACCCCGCCAACAGCAAAATGGAGACGAGCCTGGCTTGAGCAAATGCATGAACCACAGAGCCCTTAGCTTAGGAGTGTACAATACAGCATCACGAAAGAAATTCAACAAAGCCAAGCAGCCTATTGCCTTCTAAAGTACACTGCAAGTGCATGCATGTCTGACTTTGCGTATTGACTTTATGATGCCCTGATTCTCTGTCCTCTTAGTGGACAATGTCATCCCATTCACTCTCTTGTTCCACAATTGTCTAGCTTGCCATTCTTGCTGTCAACATTCCTTCCATTGCCAATTTCTTTTCCGCTACCGCAGACAAAATTGTCTCGACACAATCCAGTTAATTTCTATTTCCTTTATTCAATCTCATTGCATTTCAGACTCCTCACTAGAGGTTGCCCTGGTGCACCTGGCTCATATGCGCCCGGCTGATGGAGAGCCTGCCTTGCGGCCAGAGGAAGTGTTGAAGAAGAAGTTTACAGGAAAGAACCCCGCGATTTATGTGTTTCCACTAGCGTCGTTTTCGAGGACAGCTGCCGGGAGTGCGTCTTGACCTTATGTTTCGATAACTTGTTTTAGATCTGATTCGGTGACTTGCTGTAGGCGATGTTGCGTTTGGGATGTTGGACGAGGATGTCGTTACGATTTTTGCATTATAGTTGGTACAATTCTAGTAAGCATTTTGGGGTTTTAGAATTTCGTTCATCAGTTGTAGACCACCGCCAGTGCATTATGGTAACTAGTGTTAGGTCTGGTAGCTTTGTGGAAATCTGGAGGAGAGTATTGCTGTAGGTTCTGGATTGGGGTCAGTACTTTTGATCAGGAAATGCCAGACCTGAAGGATTTTGAAAGTGCGAAGGAGAATGTTTTATAAGTTGTCAATTTGGATTAATGTATTTTATATGGGCTAGTGGGACTCGCAGCTTTTCTGGAAATTGGGGAGAGAATATTCAAGGCTACTTTGTTGACGGATGGAGGCAGAAGTGGTGGGTTGCAGTTGACACATAGGAAATGGGCTAAGTGTATTCCTGTCCTCTAAGAACGTTGCAGATTGCAGGTCAAATGGGGATTTCAAGACTTTAATTCCTTGCAAGAACCTTTTCCTCGCCATCTATCTCAGGAACTCAGCGTTGAACAGCAACTAAAACCTAGTTGCGTCCCAAATAATCAGCCTTTCCGACTGGAACACCCTCTTTTCTCAACAACGCGTACGCAGTGACGACATGGAAGAAGAAGTTGGGAATGGCGAAAGTGAGTGCGTAGTCTGTACTCATGTCAGTCCCTAATTTCCATTTGCGAAGAAAGGATTAAACTCACCCTTTCCCTTCCACTTCGTCTCACCAGACCGAGTCTTCATCACAACCTCCGCTTCTTCTTGAGCGTTGATGTGCTCGGGCTATTTGTCCCAACCGTTAGACCCTTCTTCCAGCCAAATGTAAGGCAGAAAAACATAAAGGAAAACTCACCTTCACACCCTCAAGAACCTCGATAGTCTTCTGGATCCTGGTAAACAGGTCTGGGAACGTCTTCTCATTATCCTCCAAGACAACGGGTTCAACGCCACCAATACGCTGAGCTAGACCCTTTGCGGTGTCCGATACACGTTGAACTGCTACTGTTAGCTCTTCCTTCTCTCTCCTCATGACCATCAAAACAGAAAAGAAGAAAACTCACTCTGGTAAACCAAGTTCCCCATATCCTCAATCAACCTACTCTCCGCCAACCCCGCCTCACTAATCTTCGCACCATCATCTTTCGTAAACGCAACGCCCTTCTCGAGACACTTCGACAGAGTCTTCAGGTTCTTGATGAAGACCGGGACGGTGATTTCATAGAGCGTGATTGCCATTTTTGCGGTAGATTTTGTTCTGATCAAGAAGTTGGAAAAGAGTTGAAGAAGTCAAGATGAAGTAAGAATCAAAATTAAATAATCTAACCTCTATCGATCTCCAGACAAAGTGGGAAAGAGCCACCTCTTTAACCTCACCCTCCATTCCTACCTAGGCAGTCAGGAAAATGGACATCAGCCTACACGCATCTGAAACATCCGAAACTTTTGTATTTGTAATGTTGGATTGTTAAGCAGGCAAGCAAGGGCGAGGCTGTAATGCAAGGTCCCGGCTCGGCATTGGGTCGTTGAAGGCTCGAAGGCTCACCGCTGTTTTGGGAGCTGTCACGTGTTTGGTGGTTGCTTTTGCGAGGAGTCGAGAGGACTCGGATGATGGTGCTTGGTGATGGTGATGATGGTGATGGTGGTGATGCTATTTGTTACTGGTGTTGTTGAGACCGAGTAGAAGAGGCGTTCGGAGCAACCTCATGAGATGCTTACTTCTCACGTTACTCTGTATGCTGACCGTCGATTTTCCATTTCAGGACTCACGAATTGTCACGAACAAACACCATTGATTGGGGTAGTATGCAGATTTTCCCCTGTGATGCTCTCCCGGATGCGTAGGTATCGATATCACTGACACAATGTCTTGTGTCCTTAGAAGCTGAGTCTCTGAACGATGCAACCCGCAAGAGTCACGGATCCATTCATCCACAATTTGCGATTCAATGGATGCCTATCATACTCCGCCGTACTGGCTCCCCTGTCGACAGGTCTCGAATATGGCGCTTTGCGACTCCTCGATACACATCACAATCATCTCCTTTTTATGCCATCCAATCTCTTGCGTGAAGTGCGTACGGTTCCCCGTGTTTGAGGTTAGTATTTGCATCTTCGAGAAAGAAACCCCCCAGAAATACACGCCATTATAAGGAGAATAGTTTGAATGATTAGATCTAAGATTGAACGCAGAGAGCTTCTCTATTTGAAATGTTAGTTGTCGATGAATCTCCATCATTACTTCATATGTTCCATGCTATCAGACCCCCTTTTTCTCTCGCTTCGCAATGTGACGTATGTAGCCGCGGTGAGGGGCAGAATCGCGTCGACGCGTCAACCTCACGCCTGCAAAGATTGTCTGGAAATCCAATTTGCATGCAATATCACCATGACGGCGCACGTCTCGGCGGCCGGGGAACTTCTCCAGTTTCTCGATCAGGTAAGCTGCCAAAGTCATATCGATGAGCATGAAGAAGAAATCGAACAGCTTCGACATCTGATCCAATTGCAAGGCGACGATGCATTTGCATGGCCTCTCCACAAACATTTCACGGACGAAGGATTATTGGCGGGCCCAGAGCTCGATCGAGGAGAGCAAGCTGTTTTGACTCGTATTCAAAGTGCTTGCAAAGAATTGGACTATTATGTCTGCTTGGCAAATATCGAAAGGATCACGGAAGTCAACAAAGAGATCACGTACTCGAGATACTGGCTTGACTTCGATTACGATGAGAGGCCAGAGGAGACTTATAAGTGTACAGCCAAAACCTTTGTTGATTCGGAGAAATTCAGTTTATTTGGCTCGGTCAAATTGCCTTTTGACAATCTTCTGGACGAGGATTATTTCAGCAACGAGGATCCTGACCATACCAAAGCTGATGATGACCATGATGAGCGATTCAAGTATACTTTCAACCGGACAGTGAGTGTTCTGAAATCATTCTGGTTCCACACTTTCTTCATGCTGACGCAATATGGGCCATCATTGTCGTTCCTTTGCCTAGGATGTCTTTCTTCCTCCAACACTGGGATATTGAAAACCATGCAAGCATTCTACGACGATTCAATGAGCAAGCAGTCCTTGTTGTACGATGTCGATGATAGCTTAGGTAAAGAAATATTGTCAGTGTGCAAGGCTATGGTCGCAAAGTACATTGAGGAGCCTCGTCATGCTCTCGGAGGTGTTGAGAACGAAACTGTTTTGGTAGCAAGTATTTGTCGCTTAAATGAGGAGGATTTGTTCGAATCTATTCTTCCATTGGTCTTTTCTTACGACGAGAATTATGCAACTGCAAAACGCATGATCCTTCGCCATGATCATGATCGGCTCCACAAGATGTAAGCTCATTCTTTATGTGCACTTCCCGTATTCTTCAATGACTGACAACAGTCCAGGTTGAACAGATGGCTAGGCAATATTGCCAGCGCGAACTCGCGCCTACACAAAATCGATCAGGTCGCTCTGTTATTGGCGGATCAGGATTAGGTATCTGACCAATACCAACGCTGTCTGACTTATTCGGACTTTGTTTCTCTCGAAGATGGCCAAGCTCTCGCGAGGTTGGCTGCAAGATGGTCGACAGACAGTGATTTGATATGCAGTGTGTAAGATATCCCTCGTTTACACGCTCATACCCAGATAGCTCATCAAGCACAGGCTTCTGCCAGCTATTCAAAAGCACTCGCATCAAGCTGAAAGTCTCATGGAATTCCTTGCGATGATCTCTACCATGCTGCAAGTTCCTAACCACATTTTCCAGGACCTGGTTCCAGCAGCATTACACCGTTTCAATCCCCAGATCCCATCTCACCACAAGCAAATGGCAACTATACTCTGCTATTTGAACAATCCCAGTCTTGGGAATAATCTCTCCGAGTTCACAACGAATATTACGCTGGATGCACTTTCTGCGACGCACGAAGCTTTGACAAGGCAATATCTACCATTTTTGAGTGAACTGGCACTCCACTTGGACAACGCTGGTTTTCTCCGCGTATTACCCTTCCAGATGATGTATCGATATATCATCAATGCTTATGTCTTGAAAGTATCTGTTGTTGGAAAGCACGTCAACAGTTTGAACAAAAGGGAGGCATCATACAAGCCAAAGCTTGAGGCATGGCGTGAGCTGAAGAGCACGACCAAGAGAACTTTGAAACTGTTCAACCAAGGGCAACTTCAAATTTTGCTCGGCGATCTTCACAAACCACTTCTTGACCTGGTTTCGGTTGAACTGCCTAGAGTCCCAACTGCTGCATTATCGAAGGCTATCACTTCAACTTCTTCAAACCATGGAAAGCCTGGAGACAGAAAACCAACTAATGTTTCTGATCCAGCCAACAAGTCGCAGGGCCAGCCGCTTGAACAACCTACTCTCCCCACCTACACAGACGAAACGCCTATTTCTGATCCCGCCAAGAAGTTTCAAGTCACAATACTTGCACAACCTCGTCTCGTTACAAACAAAGAGCCAATAATCAACAGTCCTGATTCCGCCACGATGTTGCAAGGTATTTCACTTCAACAACCTGTTTTCCCCTCCCGGTTTTCGGCTGCCGTCGGAAAGCTCAACAAATCATACCAACACGACCGTTTCGAAGGAATGATGGTCTTATGTACGACGGATCCTCGGACGAAATCGAAGGCCTACATATCCAGCGGCCAGCCCGTACCTAGTCATGACACCATAGCCTACGAAACCCATATGCGATGCCTAGACTGTGTGGAGCCATCGTTTCATTGTATGTATGCAGGCTTGCTAGGCTTCAAGGTGCATTTGAATTCGGCGCTGCATAAATTGAACGCCAAGACACGAATCGATAAAGATAAAACTTTGGTGGAGGAGAGAGAAAGGATGAAGGCGGATAGGAAAAGAGCAAGGGAGATCCAACGCAGCCCGTCCGGCAAGCCACCGGCTAAGCTGACCCGCACATCCCGACGAGCCGGCTTGAGAGAGATTGTATAAAGAAGCATAAGTATGTGTGAGATGGGGTGCTTAGTTGCTAGCTGGGGTTAGGGAAAGCTAAGATGTTGGTATATCTTAGAGGTGTAGTGTAGCATTTCGCGTCATCCTTACCTAGGTAATCTTGTACACTAGAGACTAGGACATCTGATTAGCGCATGCTTCTGAGAATATGTTTGAAGTATTTAGATAATACGGTAGAATTTCTCAGGAGCAAGTATGGTGAAGATCACCCATTCCGTCTAGATGGTTCGCTTTGTGAAAGTCCACTTAGGTTTTCTCGCCATGAAGATCGCGATTTTCACGCTGCTCTGAGACATTGAGACAGAGCTGTCCAGGTGCAAGCTAATATTGTCCCGCAGACTCAAATCATGATCCTTTCGCTTATAAAGGGGAAAGCGCGAGGGGCACGTGGAAAGGCGGTGGGAGGGGCAGAAACACGACTTCTTGACGCGTTGCATCGTTGGCAGTTCAAGGTGATACTAAAATCCAAGGTGAAATTTGTGGCCATTAGATCTTGGACATCGAGACCAGTTTGTTGCTTCTGGTCCACCCGAGGGCGAGTTTCTTGCTGACAATCATACTCAGAAACACAATGGCTGCTTCGCCATCATTCCACGTGCAGCTATTGGTATGGTCATGCCAGATCACGACACTGTCTTTACTACCTCGACATCTGACGCGATTGAGTTGAACGAAGGACATCTGTCGCAAGACCACGAAGCCCGGCCTACCACAGAGATCATCGAGCCTACTGTCGATTGTAGGGCCCTAGTAAAAGCAGCAAGAGAAATGCCACTATCTCCACCAGCAAAAGTCGAGGCTCTCGCACCTCCCGGCGAGATCAAGCGCCGACTTGGGCTACATTTCAATAAGGTCACTCAAGAAATGCCTATTGCCTGCAACCAGGAACTCAAAGACGCCCCCAATCCTTTCCTGTCAATCACTGGCTTTGGCAAAGTTGGCTTTCCGCTAGGTCCGGAGGACATCAACAGAATCAAAGCTGCGAGCGGCCAGTCTGATTCAGAGTCTCTTCAGGATGCCATAAACGTTGACCTCGCGGCTCCTGGACCACACAGGTCTTGGGAAGTGCCTGGTACTCTCTGGGAGGCAAGGAACCCGGCCTGGGAGATCTTTCTCCAGTCTATATGTGACAAGGTCGAAGACGGGCTGAGAATACAACATCTCAACAAAGGAGTAGCACTAAAGCCATCTTGCATGATCTTGTACGAGCCGGGAAGCAGGGTCGCTCCAAGCAGCAACCCTTCGTAAGCATGACTTTAAAAGTTTGTACGTGGTTGAATCTTTCACTGACATGTCGATAGATGTTTTTCGGCCCTGACATTTGGGACACTAGACATTGCCCTTCTAACGGAAGGCGGCGATGTCTCCCACCAATTCATGCATGACGAAACAACGCTAGGGTTTCCAAGACTCGAAACCTCAGAATTTGATTGTTCACTCACGGCATGGGACCGTTGTCTTCCTCGGTCCATATTTTCATGATGTTAACAACAGCGATTATAGTTTTCCGCGGTGCGAATCACGAGTTCCCAGATCGAATCGGGCTCCCGGCTCGTACTTCGATATCATCTTGAACACAAAGCGTCCGGACCAGTCTGTTTTGTTCCAACGAAAACCGTGCGGATACAGCGTCTTCAATATATCATGAAAAGCTGGTCGCAGCAGGCTGAAGAGGTTCCTCATCGCGCTCTAGGCTACATCTTAGATGATGCATATGATAATGATGAACTTTTGGATCATGATGGGCTCCGCGATGGGGATCAAGCCATTGTCCTGCAGCTACAAGAAGTGTGTCATAACGCTGAGATATACATGTGCTTTGCAAATGCTCGGCTGGTGACAGAAGAGACGGCAGAATGTTCGGATGATGACGAGGAGGAGCAGGACTATTATACTGCCGAGGGAGAAGGAGCGGCTATGGCCGCTATGGAGGCTACGGCTACTACGACGATTGTCCAGCTGATACTCGCGAAATTACGATTAGCAATTTCGTCGAGATTGGTGACAAACCATGTCTTTTCAAGGACCATGAACAGACTTTCCAGGAAGATGAACTAGTTCGAAATTGTTTTGAGGAAGCAGACCCGGACGAAGAAGAAGATGAAGAGTATGAGAACAGGTGTCGAAAAACTTACAACAGAACTGTCAGAAACCACGACTCCACTCTCGCTTTTGTTAAGTACTAATAACCATTCGTAGATGATTCTTCTCATGCCTGAGAAATTCAAAATATCGTTCTTCGCGGATGCAGAACCAGAAGCCCTTTATTTGATTCTGGAAAGCTTCAACAAAGCTGACTCTTCAGAGTTAGTAAGTCATTGGTCGTCTGATATAAAGGCCATCTGCGAAAAAGTGATTGACCGCGTTGCTTGGTTAAAAGTCCCAGCCCACGCTAGTGTAGAGAATTGCTCTATACTCCTAGAAACCATCTCTCGCCTTGATGACCTTGACCTACTCAAGCATGCTTTGCCAGTGGTGTTTACGAGCGCTGAAGCTTACGCGGTGGCACTGCGGATGGTCAAAAGACAGCCTGCTACATGGCTTCAATCAAAGTAGGTATCTTTTCCAAAAACCTTTTGGTCAATAAACTGCTGACTCGCATAGCCTTGATGAGGATCTGAAGAAGATAAACGTCTTTGCCACTCGAAGCCAGATCATTGAACTGGTAGCTCCATTACTGTCTGACCCGACTTGGCGCTTCAGACAATATCAGTCAGCGCTGGATTCGCTCGAAGTGTCTACGCCTGATGATTTCACAAGCTTCAGCAAGCTTATCGGGTTGTGGGCAAATGATCCTCTCCTCCATACTTCGTAAGTGTTGTCCTTACCTGCCACGAATTGAGAGACTCTGATAATTATCAGATTGATGCCTGTTCTCCAAAAATTGGCCCAAAATCCAGACCAGATTTTTGAATTCCTTTACAAGTCGTTGCAGCATCCACGGACTCTTCCCGATGCTATCTTCTTGCAGCTTGTCCCGACGATCAGACCTCTCATGGATCCAACGCGGCAACGAAGAGCTCACGGAATATCTGTCGTTCTTTGCCACATGCAAGAACTTGGACTCACCGAGCAAGTCCGAGAGATCACAGTCGAGATCACCAAAGCAGCAGCTTCCACGTCAGATACCTCCGCTCGGGAATATCTGCCTTTCCTTAGAGTGATGGTTGGTCCCCTGTCCTCGCGAAAACTTTTAGACTGTCTTGCTTTTCGTATGATGTACCTTCATATTCTCAATACTTACATAAGGAGCTTCAGCAAGAAAAAGCCCACTTCGAATATGAAAAGACAGAAGTGTGGCTGCGGGTGCTTTCCATGCAAGGACCTAGACAAGTTCATGGAGTCACTGGACCGCAAAGTCCTAAAGAGATATCGAACCGATAAGGAACGAAAGCACATACGGCAAAGAGTGCACGCCTTTGAGACCAGAGGCTTGTTGAGAACCACTGTCATGGTTCCTGTGTCTCTGGAGATGATTAAGACAAGTCCAGAGTTGGAAAAATGGGACAAATCGTGTGCTTCGATTGTCCAATACATCAGCAAAATAGGGCATTCAAGTTTGAAGGTTTTGCTCGGAGTTTGCTACACATCTATTATGGCTCTGGAACCAATCCCCGTTGCCGATGCCCCTGCGTCCGTGTTATCTCAAGTCATCGACTTGACTGATGCCGGGGCTGGAACCCCATCTCAACCTGCTAAAAATCCAAGCCCTATTCATAGATTTGGCGTTCCAGCATTCTCCCAGATTCAATCTTCTCTATCGGGACCAAGTCGGACACCAGAGTCGAATACATCGTGCTCGGAAACTGCGAGTAAGCGATCCGAGACGCGAATCAGCCCTCCCCTTCAAGCGACAAGCATCAACAAAGTCACAGCTTTGAACACTTTGAAACGCATACATTCCCCGCCCGCATCTCCCACTCGTGTTACAGTACCTGTACCCGCAACTGATCGCGTCGTTCCCCAAGCTCCTCCGCCTCCAGCATGGCTGACTACAAGTGTCGCCTCTCTTTCGGCCCAATTTCCGACGCACATTTTTGCCGACTTCATGCAACCTGTCAGTGTAGATATTGCAACAGGCCAGCGTGTATCAGTACCTTCAGAAGGTCATTCGTTACTTGGAAATACCAATCTCACTTTCTTTCCGAGGATAGCTTGCGCAGATTGTCACACGTCGCATGCTCCTGGGCCTGGGCAGACTGCTGAAACCTTCAGGATACATATCACCAGTTCTCAGCACAGGAATCGGGTAGCAGCTAGGATAGCGAGAGCTCAGAATGAGACGGGAGGTCAGCCACAGGACGTACCTGTTAATCTGGAAGCAGAGCCACCAGCAAAAAAAGTTCGCTGTGAATGAGGTGCTATGGTATGCCCAATCTTTTGGTGGACTCGCTGGGATTCGCTTGATGATAGATGCTATCGCAACAAAAACGCACACTAAGATACATGTGACCGTGTCCTTAGCTCGATCCATGGCCTGTTGAATACTGTGCAAGAAAAGTCTTCTGTGGAAGATGCGAATGAATTTTGAGCCTGCATGAAGCTCTTCTTATACTAGGAAGCTTGAGTAAGCTGAATCTCAGAGCTCTACTGGTCAATGATCTCACAAGCCATGGTTTACTTGAAACTCATCCGGGTGTGGTGATTTCAGAAAATCATCGGCCTAATGAAGGCGGCCGAGTGCAGTAGTTTGGTAAGCCAAGATGTTAAGCTTAAGCTTCTTGTCCAGGCTTGGATATGACAGGCGAAGTCAAGTTTGAGTTTAGCCCTTCCAGCACGGTCCAATTTTTGAGAATGAACCCGTGCCGTGCAGCTGAGCTGAGAAAGCTGGAGGTAAAAATCGTCATCGACATGATCGATTTAGTTCAGGTGGACTCGGAGTTGTTGAATACTGCTAGGCTGACTTTCTGTAGCTCTAGGGTCGTGATTTTCCTCGACAAGGAAAGGAAAACTATATGTCTAGCTCGAGTGCTGAAAGTTGTGGGTACAGCTTCGAACACTGCATCTAAGCCAACGTCCCGCGACAGCGTGCGTGCTTTTTGTACCGTTCTGCCACAACCTCTAATACTAACGTAGATTTCGATCATTTCACGTCTTCCGTAACTGTATACTTTCCGACCCTTAAGATAAGCAAGAAAGTTCAGGTACCATTGGTCAGTATCCCATTGTCGTCCGTGACGGCACACCAAATTTGAGATCTGGGGAAGACAATTCCTGAATGGTTGTCTGCCAAGTGGTGTTTTGATGTAAGGCTAAGTCTAGCCTTACCGTGTTTGTAGAGAGCAGCGTGATTCTCTCCGAACCAAGAAACAGAAATGGTCGTTTCAATGATTTCTGCACGAAGCTGGATGATGCTGCTTTGATCATTTGCATCCGCGACAAGGCAGCTGATCGGGAATATATCCATTATTAAAAGCGGTGACTCTTTCTTCTTCTTCATGCAATTCCTCCTTCTTCCCTCGGCAACTGATTACAGCCTTTCTTTCCTGCTCCACTTGGTAGATCACTGGGTAGCACAAGCGAGAATGGAGTCGCTCCAAACCCAAAAATGCCCAAAAAAAAAAAAAAAAAAAAACATACAACAGCAGGGATTCGCTAATGGTCACCCACTTAACTACTGATCTGCCGATCTGAGGCTTATAGATGGCAGAGCGGACGGGATGCCTAGTTCTCCTCAGTCTATGGTCGTATGTGGCAGAGTTTTGGTTGTTCAGTCCTATTATACTAGGATCGGAGTCTCGATAGTCCTCCAAAAATTTTTTTTTTTTGGCGCACGGACAGATTTCGTTGCGGACTCGCCCCACTCCCGCAAACTTGAAGGGGAAGAGATTGTTGTTCGTCCTTGATTGACGTCTTCCTTCAATTCTTACTGAATAGTGTGGGGAATGCAAGAAAGTTCGCCCCGAATATGAGGCTCTAGGCAAGCTCTATGCATCTGAAAATATCCTAAAATCCTAGATCACTGTTGCAACATTCGACCTAGAACAGAACGATTTCCCAGATCGAGATATTGGATGAGTGCCATCGTCCAAGCTTTCCCCGTTAGAAGCAAGGCCAACCCTATGCAATTCTTTGGGCCGGTAATGATGGAAAATATGGGTTAGAGATCATTAGAGTGATACAGCTTTTCCGAAGCCTAGAGCACTGACTTACAGAGAGAGGGTGATCAAACTAATCCCAGAGATTTTCGATATCTCTGAGTAGCACTATTTCAAATCCAGCTCGCTGACAGAGAATAGTTCTTGCTGCAATTACTCTGTTTCGTTGCTATTTAATGCATTCTATCTTATGGTGATATTGACGTTCAATTGGAAAAGCCGGAGACACCATTTGCTCTGTTCTGTCCGACACTTCCAAGTGAACATCTGATTTCATCAACAGCCCTAACTTAATTCAGCTGTCCTGCCACCTCTTCGAGCTCAGACGTGGAAATATGTTTCGTTGGCAGCCGCTCAGCGACCATCAAATCCAAGCCTTCAAATGTTCGACCCTCAGTTTCAGGCTGACGAAAAACCAACGTGAGGTGAGAAGCATGGGGCAAATTGCTTGGTTCTTACTCATGTGGGAAACGCTCAGTATTTATAGACAGAATAAACAATGAGAGTGGATACCCTTCCAACACGGACAACGCCATGAAGCATCACACAATGATGCATGGAAGAGTAACGACAAAGAAAACAAATGCAAACTTTCCACATAGATTTGAAATCCTTGGTCTGGGTTAGTAGCATGAGGAATAACCGACAGCACAAGCAATGTTGATCAAAGCATCAATGACAGTCGAAATCGACATCGCAATTGTCTTTTCCCCGAAGCTTAGCAGAGGAAACTTCGTAGATGATGACAATACGTAGAGGCTTGATAGTCATGTCGTAGAAAAAGTTGTATGTCACCATTATGGATGATTGAGCCCTCTAAGGCCCTCTTCACACTCGAATCGGTACTGTAGTTGGGTATAATATTCTCCTTTCTCATCCCAGTGCTTAAGAGATGGAGAACCGTCGTCCAAGACATAGATTAGCAAGGATAGTTACTGCCTCGGCTGGACTAAAGTAGGAGAGCTCGAGCATTCGGGTTCGTGTTCGAACAACCTAGGTAGGTTGAGTAAGATCCATGAGATCAAGCTGGATGAGATTCAAATTTGTCCATTGGATTGGATGATTGCGGTACACTACTATTACAGTACAGTGCTCCCTCTTCTCTTCCCTCGTCCTCTCTATTCGATCTTTCAGGGGTATCGAAACCCATCTCGTCCTTCTTGACCCATGACAAAAGAAAGGTTTTGTTTCTCGACGTGATGCATCTCAGCATCCGTCTGTATTGCGCAAGATTTGGCGCTATATGCTAGGCTTCCACCATTCCAGCAAAAAGCCCAACCATCATTTTACACAGTTCTTGATTAGAGTCTGGCCCATCCATTACCACCGGAACCCAACTCAGACCAGCCAGCCAGACCCGCCAGCTCTACCCACGACCAAACGAATTACCATGGAAGCGAGGGAATTGAGAATCTCCCAAAGGAAACACGCTAAATTGCAGCAAATAACAGCAAGAGGGGAGTCATTGTTCAAAGTTGCCCTTCTCCGGAACGCCATGCACCGGATCCCATTTTTTGTAACAGACAAAGGAAAGAATCTATGAGCGCAGAGATCTATAGGAGAGTGATCTTTTTAGTTGGCCTTTGGAGCATATGCTGGCGGTGGAGTTTCTTCTCGTTCGTCTCGAGACCAGAAGCCTTGACTTGTTGCCTTCTCGTCCTGAGCACGACGAGCAATTTCACTAGCCATCTTCATAACCCAGGCTTGTTCAATGATGCTTCCTGCTGCAGAGGATGTATCGGAAAGAACTGGAGCTGGCGTGTAATGTAACGGTGCTGAATTCGAGAACTTCTCTTGAGTATAAGTAGAGAAGCTAGTATACGCTGGTCGTTGTTCTCGGATTGGAACAGATGGCTCCTCAACAGGTAGGTGGTCAACGATGGCTTGTTCAGGTAGAGCAGCAGAGCTAAGTTTGAGAGATGGACGCTCTGACGTTGAAAGGCGAAGCTTTCTAGGCGAGTCACCAAGATCAATGCTGCTAGTCCGGAATCGTACTCTTTGAGATGGAGAGTGTGGGGGTGTAATGATATTGTCCTCTGGTTCCTCTTCAATGTGTGTAGGGGCGACTGGCTCGGACACTGCGACGATAGAAGCAGTCTCACTTTCGCCAGACTCACTAGTGAGGTCATCAGTGGTCTTTGTTCTGCGCAAGTTGACGACTCGAGTCTTCTTCTTGCGCATATGTGATCGTGAGTGTCGTCCAGCACCAAGTCCTAGTCCTGTAGTAGCCGAATGCATGCTCACGAGTGATGGTCGAGACGGAATGTGACCCTGTCCATCATCAGATGATCTGTTGAAAGTGTATGTTGTACTAGTGCTTCCAACCGAAGAATGTGACCGCATCAGACTTGGGGTTGCTGGTGTACTGCTTCCGGCAGAGTCGCTTCTTTCTGATGGTCCTGCCCAGGCTCTAAAAACAGCATCCCGGATGGAAGGAGTAAAGAGTGAGAGTGTACGTTGAGAATCAGTCAATGTGGCCAATCGGAGAAGGTTCTTTTGAGAGAAAAGCGAATGAATCTCTGAGCCACCGTCGAGGGTCATGGACGAAATTTCGCTCGCATCCAACACGTTTCCTCTGGCATCCACGGCATCTTGTGGAGGACTTCCAAATGGATCCACAACCACCTCGTCCTCTTCCGGCTTTTTGGCTTCCATCTCTTGATCTTCCTTGGCGCTGTGTTCCGGGCACCATAATCTTAGTGAAAGTCTGTGAATGATCGCGGGTAATTCGTCCATCATCAATGTCCGCAGCTGCATTTCAATCTCCTTCTGCAAATAGTCTCGAACGAAAGGTATGGAGTCAAAGGTCGAAGAGACCTTAAGTGATTCAAGCGGATCATTTCGAAAAACCAGGGTCAAGCCTTTCTGTCGCGAGAACACCAGTATGATGAAGGCCGACAACTTGATCTCCGATAAGGTAATTTGCAATGGTATCGTCAATCCAGATGACGCTGCTAGAGGCTGCGGCGAGGTAAAGGATGGTTTTGAAAATAGGTAAGTGTTCAAGGGGTTCGCCTGGATTGTTGATATATTAGCATCTGATATAACACGCTCAGGGATCATATCTTGCGCGCGTATCCTTGTGCGAAAACATTGCACCCAGCACAACAGCATTGTAAGGGGCGGCCTTAATACCGCAAAGGTGGGAGGTGTATTGGACGTACTTGGACTCGAGTCTTGAGGGTGAGAAAAGCGTCTCCAGAATAGCACATCTTGAAGATTCCTCTGAACCTATCCTCTGCCAAATCCCCAATCTCTAGTATTTCCAACTCGGGAGGCACGCTCCCTAGATTCAGCTCGTTGACTAAAATGTCATCGACGATTATCGGTGGTTTTGGAGATTTATTGAGGGCAGTCGTGAGCATCTCTTGAGCTCTTTTGTAAAAGTCCGCATCTGCCGTCAGCGGCGACCAGTTGAAATTGAACGCCATGTTGGGATCGCATCGGTCTTCTCAAAGGTATATGTTTTATCTTGTTGCAGACGTGGTGGAACTTCCGGTGTTGAGTGTTGGATCCTCTTGGTCGCGTGAAGAATCTGCGGACCTGACCTGGTGATAAGGTTATTCCACCGAACGCAGGGGCGCTGATCTTTATCACTCCCTCCCGTCTGCTCGTATCAATGAAGATACAAGTTGTCGACGGCAACGATGGGAATTCTTCTGCAGAGAAGTCGGGGTCGACGGGGTGATTGTCGTGGTGGATGGATCGATTGTTATGGGTGAGCGGAATCCCTTTTCCTTGCTTGTGATGATCCCAAAGAAGCAGAGTGACCACTGAGATTTACCTTTGCACTAAAGCTGTTAAGCGTCATCACCCGACTTATGCATGCGGAGAAACACAATGCACAATTTTGTTCCGAATTATTCCTGCCTGTGCCGCCGATAAAGATGACTAAGCGGTAATGTCGCGGTCTAACGCGGAAAATGGTTTCTCCGTGTCTTTGCATTTGCCTGAATTGCCCAACTGCAATGCTTCTTCCCGTTTGTTACAATTCCGAGTGGGAAGCTTAAGTGTTCTAGATGCGCACATGGCACGAACCCTTTTTTGAGGAGACAGCGTTCACGTGTGTATACAGTCCGCTTGTGTCGTCCATAAGCTTGGGACGAGAAAAAAAAATCAGACTGATCCATCCATCCATAGCACACACATCGTTCCGTCAGCAACGGAATTCTCACAAGGTCAGCGTCAAGGTCAATGCAAGTCTGCATCTGCAATAGTACCCTTCACTCCATGTATCGTTATTTCTTAAAACCACGTCTGATCGGTTTTGAGAAAGTATTAGCTCTTAGTTTCTTTGTCAAAGGCGTGCATGGGGTGCAGGACAAAGCCCGACCACCTTACTGAGGTGGTATTTTTAACCACAAGATATCGCCGTTCTACAAGTCCATGTCTCTTCCATCATCACCACATCATTAGCTGAAGTACCACTTCTGAAATAGTTGCAATTCGTCATTCTTTCCGGTTCATTTGTGGTTAATATTCATGCCTTTTAATCAGGCGTGAACTGTCTTCTGACTTTGAGTTAATTCACCAAGGATGTCATGTCAAGAAGCTGTGCAAGGCTTCGCCAAATCCCTATTGTCGATAGGACTCCTGTTACTCCTTAGCGGCCGCGCTTATTCCTTCCAGCTGCTGGGCGTAAAGAGATCGAGGATGGCTTCATTTGGCAGGTGACATCATCATTTCATTTCCTTCTTCCTGAAAAGCAAATCTCATTTTATAATGTTCATGTATACATAGCACTTGTTTCATCCTAGCAACATTCTTGCCATTATCGATGTTCATGCAATTTCATATCTTTAGTTGTCGAATTTCCATTCCTCACCAGAAGTCGGTGTTTCTGTGGAAATGCTAGTTAGTGTCTGACATAGAGTCTGCAAGACAGCCGCAAGTTTTGATGTTAGCTGAAATTTTGCTTGCTTTTGGTGAGAAGTTGCCCTTGGACATCGGATATCTGATGAAAAGAGTCTACCAGTCAGAAATGGAAGCAACGATTAACAGCACCTGCTTACTGTACAAGAAATATTCTAGTGCTACTCTCCGGTACTCTTGGGCCAGCCTATGGTTATCGATAGTCATCGGGGGGGAAATATCGACAACGACAGCTTACCGTCTCTCACCACCCTACCAGTATACCTACCTAGGTAAGTACCTAGGTAGTTATCGATACTTATCGGCGGCTATTGTCGGCTATTGGCCGATGTCTTATCGTCTATCACCACGTGGTCGCTTAACGTTTCACTGCTGAGGCTGGAAGTAAACACCTCCAGAGATCGAGGATAGCTTCGTCTTACATTTTCCCATCATTACAGACAACCACGTTCGAGACTCCCAACTCGTGGGGCACAACGTTACCAAGATGGAGCCCAAGACCGCAAAGATCCCCTTCGTTCCCGAAAACTGCTATCTCCATTACCTGGCGGAGGGAGCCGCGAACATTGTCTACAGGATCAGCGTCAGGCCCCCTACGCCCGACCCTTCCATCCTTGAGGAGTACTCCGGTACCACACCCCCACCTACAATCATCGAGACAGACGATGGAGAAGAGGTCGACCTGGCAATCTTCGATGGTAAGTCATTCCAATTCCAACTCCAAACATCCAGATGGCCATTTTCTCCACTCTGAAATCGAACCGACCAATCGCGTCAAGTCGCGTCAAGGCTCACTCGCTTTCATCACTCACCCTAACCCCTTTCCTCAGATCTTCCTCCCGCAAAATTGCACTTGATTGACTCTAACATATTTGATAGCCAAGCTTCTTCGTGTCCGAAAGGATGTTCCTACCACCATTCCGGTTGCTGTTGCTCAAGAACAATATGTCAGATTGATCGTGCCACTGTTCGATAAGGAGGATCTCGTTCAACAAGAGCTCGTCAAGCTTGGCCCAATGGATATTGTCGAGAAACTAAACATCGAACTGAATAAGCTCGAACTCGACTCGGCTAAGGATATGAAACGACCAGCTAGACGTGAAGGTATCTACTTGGCGGAAGATAAGTTTGGTCTGTTGGTCACCGATATGAGTGCAAGTTAGTATACCCACATTCTTACCACTAAGACATACTAACAGTTTAAGATTACTTGAGAGAAGTCATTGAGTTCAAACCCAAGTGGTTGAGTCAATCTCCATCTGCTCCCAAAGATTCGGTGCGCTGCAGAAACTGTGCGGTCACTGCAAGACGCAACCAAGAGCGCCATACCGCCAACCCCCCTGAGAAGCTCCTGGAAGGATTTTGCCCACTAGACCTTGTCTCTCGCAGCACGGATGATGTCCTCTACGTTGCCAGTGTCCTCCTCCGACCCAAGACTAACTTCGCTTCTGTCGAGCGCTTGGCTAAGTGGATTTACAACAATTCGCTACTCGTCCGACTCCGTGATGCTCAGGTGTATCTCGACAAGAAAGGACCCATGAAGGCAAACCCAAGTAACGAAGACTATCGTGTTGCCATGACCCTCCGTGATTGCACCTTGTACATCCGGTTGCCTAACAACAAGGAGGATGACGAGACAGGAATCGAAGCTCGACTTGGTGATCTGGACGTCAAGTCGGCAGCAAAGGGGCCATACTGGAAGGAAACCGAGAGGCAACTGATCAACGAGGGTTGGTACAATGGCAACGAGAGATGGACTACCCCGGAGCAGCAGGAGATCACTTGCGCCCTCGGCCGTAAATTCCGCACCAGAGACCGTATCTAAGTGTGTCATCGCTTCATTCTCTCTGTGTCTGCTTTGCATTGCGGCGTGGAGTTACAGGCGAATTAGGCGAGTTAAGGGAACCAGGCGTATTTGCAGAGATACCAATTTGCTTCTAAGATGCCTTTGAGCGTTCGGGAGTAATGGCGAATTGCGGAGGAACATATTTGCTTCTAGGATGCCTTGAGCGTTCGGTGTTGCAGAAATTGATTCCTCGATCATCAACAGAATGTGCTTTCAAAACCGTGATGTCTTCACTGTAGAACATTCACCTCTGTGTGCATCTTCTCACAAACTTTGCCAATATCCTCAACGTCTAGCTTCCCATCACAGCCCTCAATCCTCGCCCCCCTTCACACTCTTAAACTTACATTTACCCTCCTCGAATACACCTCCGCACCCACTCTCGGTACACTTCGTCTCGGGGAAGTAAATCCAAGTAGCACACTACTTTCATTAGCCTCGTCATCATTCTCTCGTTCTATTCTGTTCCTCTATCGTTCCCTCTTATTTCAATTTCCCTTCTACCACAGCTGTTCGAAGCGATGTACAATCACCAAGTCTAGCACATTCAGCGCAATATGCGCGATTCCCGCGTTCAGCGCAACCAGCGCACTCTGCGCGTTTTGCGCGATATGCACCATTTGTGCGTACAAATCATCCACTCCCTCTAAAGCAAAGAGAGAAAACTCACCAAGAAACTAGGAAGTGACTACATGGAGTCAATTCTCGTGTCAAGCATGGGAATCACAGATAGACCATCTCGCAGGTTGTTGCATTTCCATGCTAGGAGAGGGTAGTGAGGGCTTGTTTCTAAGGAGGGGGTCTTGGTCATAGTTTCTGGTTGATTGACTGGTTTTGATAATGATTTGGGTGTTTGTGTGTTGAGGATGGTGATGTTGGGAAGGAAAAGGGGGGTAGGGAATTTGAAGTAGTTAGGGTAGAATCGGGGATGATTCACATGCGTAGGAATTCAAGTCACATTGCCAATTTACCTGGCTTGATGAGTGTTTCGAGACCCGTATCATACATATCACATTCTCATGTCACAATCACACAAACTCAGCAGGATGCAAAGACAACGATTGAATTCCGCAAATCTCGAAGACAGAGCACGAAGCCTCCCGTCAGTCAAATCTAGCTAAAAACAACGTCGTAACGCAACGCAACGCAAAAAGCAGTGCAAGTCCATCGGGAGAAGCCCGATCATCTCGCTGACGTGTGGTAGAATCGTAAATACAAGTCCGCCAGCTAGACCTCAGAAGGATCCCCTGCTCGAACTAAATCGAGAGTCGAAACCAAGAGAAGTGTAAGTGCTGACAGCCAGGGAAATGAGTGTTGTGCAAGACAACGCAAGAATCGAAGAAGGAAAAACCATCACTGCCACAAACCACCAACGGTATGCACTCCGAAAGTGTCCCCCACGAACTGAAGAAGGAAAAACAGTGCAGAAAGCAATGCGGAAAGCAAAGCAATGAAGAAAGAGTAACCACCAGACACTTAATCATCTCCGTAGATATCATCCTCCTCGCCATCAAAACCTCCGTCCTCGTCCTCCTCTGGCTCAAAATCAGCCTCAGGATCAGCCTCAGCCTCGGCCTCAGCTGCACCCTTGTTGCCATTGTATTGAGTCATCTCGTTCCACTCATCCAAGTCCTTCTTGGTCTTCTCTGCCTCACGAGCCGTCTCCTCTGCCTTCTTGAGAGCTTCATCGTGGTCCTTGTTGCGACCAGTAGAGCCCTCAATTCGGCTACGCTTGCCATTGGTGTTGATGCGAGTCTTCTCCTCCAAGTCATCTAACTCCTTCTTAGCCTTCTCTGCCTCCAGCGCAGCCTCCTCTGCCTTCTTAACAGCTCTGAGATAGTCTCGCTCACGGCCAGTGCGTCCCTTCTTCTGGTAGAGATCCTTCTTGTTCTTATTCTCGGTCTTCCACTGGTATTTTCTCTTCGGCTTGGCCTCAGCTGTGCGGCGACGGACCATCTTCTTGGCTGCGAGAGAGGCCTTGCGACCCGGGTGCAACTTCTCATTCTCCACGTCGTGCATCTCTTCGGCCTTTCGGATGATCCAGGACATGTTGGGCGTGGATGGGTCGTCGAAAAAGTTCATCGGGACCTCCTTCATTGGGGCGGGAGACTTGCGGGCGAGGATGCTCTTTGGCTTGGAGTCTGACGCACTGGGGGGAGGAGGGAAGTTCATCAGGCTGTCGAAGTCGAAGCCGGGATAGACAGCTCCGCGGGGTTCAGGCTCTAGGCCGTCGCTGTTGTCGGGGTTGTTGTCGTAGTATTTTCGGGGATCACTATCTGCTGCCGCACGCTTCAAGCGTTTGGGAAGTACGGGCTCATCATCGTCATCGGACGAGGAGGAAGAGGTATTGAAATCCTGTGATGAACTTATGTTAGCATGATTGTCTGTTCAAAGATCCGTGACGGAAAAACGAAGAGTGACGGAAAAATATGAGAAGACATAAGATTGGGAAATGATGCAGCTGAGTTTGAGTGAGGAAATGACTGAAAATCACGGACTTGGATTCCGTAACTGAAGTGCAAATTGTAGAGTGCATTGTGCGGGCAAAAAGACATTGTTCAACTGAAAGACCGCCATAGTGGCAGTGAAATGTTCGCAAACAAAGATGTCATGTCCAAATGAACGGACAGCCACGAATGTTCGTCATGAACGAAGTAGCGGTGATGTTGGCAACGGTGATGTGAAACATCGGACGGCGTGCTAGTGAATGTAGATAGATGGGGTAGGAGAATGATTTGTAGATGTGGAATGACATTGTGGGTGAAAACATAATCGGAAAACATCAAACAGCATCGATGAACGAAATTGAAAAGAAAATTCAAACGTACCTCTTCATCATCGGACCATGGTAGATTCTTGCTTGGAAGGGGTCGGCGAATGGGACGCAAGTCAGGCTCATTCATTGTCTGCTCAAAGAGCGCGAGCTTGGCGTAGGCGCGGGCACCCATAGGCTTTTGTGGTTGAGCGCTGGTCTTGGATTGAGCACCGGTCTTGGTCTTGGGAGTGGCTCTGGCGCGAGGTGTAGTAATACGTCTCTTGGCCGGAAGACGAGTAGCAGACGAGCTGGATGGGGCCTACGAAACGTTAGTTCAAATAATTCTTGATGTAAACGAAAGGTTGCAAGGATGCTTACCACCGGAGAGGTAAATCGATCATGGTTTGGTCTGAAGACGAACAGAGGAGGAGAATCAGAAGCGTTTCCATCTCGCGCACCATCTTGACGAGGGTTGTCAAAGAGAGAGTCAGATTGAAGCAAGCTGGAGCCGCGATCGTTCTTGTCCTGTGTAGCATCCATCATTGGTGAGTCGGAAGAGTCTCGAACTTGAGCACCACCTTGACGAGAGTTGCCAAAGAGAGAATCAGGTTGACGGAAGATGGAGCCGCTATCGTTCTTGCCCTGCGTGACATCCATCGTTGGTGATGTAGGAGAGTCTCGAAGTTGCGCACCACTTTGACGAGAGTTGCTGAAGAGAGAAGCGGATCGACGGAAGATGGAGAGGCTATCGTTCTTGCCTTGTTTGCCAACCATAACTGGTGAATCTGGAGAGTCCCGAGCTTGCGCACCACTTTGGCGAGCGCTAAGAGAGACTCGAGCTGATTGGGTTAGTCCAGAGTTGATAGCGTCCTTGTCGAGTGGAAGACCCAGCAAGGCTGTATCGGAAAGCTGTCGAACTTGTGTGTCACTTTGATGAGCGCCAACAGAAGCTCGAGCTGAGTGAAATGGTGTGGGAGTGGTCTCGTTGTTGTCTTGAGTAAGATCGAACATTGGTACTACGGGAGCCCGTTGAACTTGCGCACCCTTACGAGAGTTATTGGAGACTCGAGCTCGAGGTGGTGGAAAGATGTCAGAGTCGCTATCGTCCTTGCCAGATATAAGATCCATCATCGGTGAATCAGGAGACTGTTGAACTTGCACAGCGCCCTTGCCCTTGCGAGAGCTAGAGACGCGAGCTCGAGGTGGTGGAAAGATATCGGAGTCGGTATCGTCCTTACTAGATGTAAGATCCATCATCGGGGAATCGAAAGACTGTGGAACTTGTGCACCACTCTTGCGAGAGCTATTGGAGACTCGAGCTCGAGCTGGTTGTGCAACGCCCTTACGAAAGCTATTAGAGACTCGAGCTCGAGGTGGTGCAAGTAGTCCGGAGGCGGCATCGTTGTTGCCCTGTGTACGACCCATAATCGGGGAACCGAAGAGTCCGTCTTGTGCATCACCTTCGCCGGAGTTGCCAGAGGCTCCAGCTAATTCTCGCGATCTGCCACTGCTCTTGTTACTGATACGTCTGCGATCCATCATGGGCGAGCTGTTGATGTCTCCAATGGGCTGAGCTCTTGCGAATGGTCGTTCTTTGTGATGAGTGGGAAGCAACTGTGGTCAGCAAAGTTGTTGTAAAATGGAAATGTGCGGAGACGAAACGCGCGTAGATATTTTCAATTAGCGCCTTCTCGTTCAAGCCGTGTCTGAGGACGAGGCGGCCGCAAATACAAGGCTATGGATAAGGGTAGTATGAGGTGGAATCAGTACCTACGTAGGTAGACAAGACTCGAACGGAAAGACTTAGTTATCGATAAGAAGAGAGTTGAATATGAACAGACAGGGCTCGACCAATACCACAAAGAGACCAGACTATCAATTGGGAAAGTGTGAGCATTATATTCTACGTTGCAGAGTATCTGAGTCGACAACCGTCAGGGAGACATATTTGATGATCGTCCGCATCCGGGCTTGGATAATTTTCCACAATATGCCGTGGGAACTCATTGTCCGAGTGGCAGACATTTCTGCTGCCTGGAACAGGGCAGAGCAAATCATTAGCAGCCATTGTTAAGCAGGTTGTATTGTCTCTCGAAGGGCAAGTGATGTAAAGGAAGCTCAGGTATGGGGAGGAGAGGAATAGGGTAGAGCTGGAAATGTAGGACGTCAAGAGCAGACGAAGATATGGCCAAAGATATTATTTCCGAATGACGGTGTGGACGTTGGACTTCGGCAGAGTAGTGTAAGGAACTGTTAAGTATTGGGTATTGACATCAGAGTTTTGCTGTGCTTGATGAGTATAGTGATTTTGTGACAAAGAAAGATCGTTCTGCGTACGGTCACGGACTTGAGGATGTTGTACGAACAATGTTTTTGGGCAAGATTTGTAGATATTCCAGTACGGTAATTTTGTCGTCGGTAGTGACTTGAGGTAGGAAATGTTGTCTGGACCGAAGAAGGTAACATTGCGGATGCGGGACTTTCAAGGCAAGTGATGCAGTGAGGTTATAAGTCTGCTGACGAAAATTGTGGCTCTTGAGGTTGAGGTATTGCATGTCGTTGTATTGTATGGTTGCAACGCATGCAAATGTAGGAACAAGGGACAAACACGGGCAAGTGAGGCTGTGATACCGATCTTCAAGAGAGAAGATAGAGGCGAAGATGACCGCTATGTCGTGCACTTTCTGTAAGATCGACACTTGGCAAATATTTGTTTGATTTTGTTGTTTGAATGTCGGTGTGGGTTACGGAGCTGTTGAGGTGGAGGAAGTCGGAGCTAGCAGCTGAGACTTTGAAGCTGCTAAGCAAGACAATAGCACGCCTCAACCAAGAGAAGGGGGGCGGAATCAACTCACTCTTAACAAAAACAGTTGTTAATAGTTTATGCTTATGTAGCGTCTCGATGCATGTACTGCGAGGAGTTTTGTAACAGACTTCTTCTTTATTGCTAACTACTAGCGAGATTGTCATAGTTTGAATTGATACAGCAGATCCGGGCTACCTGGGAAGAGGTTGCATGCCGATGTTGAAATTATCGATTCTGATCTCAAAATAAACGTAGATGATCAATCAGGCTTCACTTGTACTTCACAAAGCCCCTATCATCACGTGCAGATCCATCTCCCCCTTTCTGAACGGGCTAAATTAACGACAGACGAAGCCGAAGTTCAGCCTAAGTGAGAGTCGTGAATGGCTTTGTAAAATGGCGATCACTGTACTTTCAGAAGATGTGATTGGCTTACAAACCTCAGGTTACATAAACCGAGAACTGTATGTGCTGTCAGATCATGCAAATGCAATAGAAGTTGACTGTGAAAACAAAGCTTGTCTTAGGCTCTTTGGGAGATCTTCGTTTGATGTCGCAACTTTATTCTAAACTCATACCAACAGCACTTGTTGGATCAATACTGAAGTTCAAAGCGAGATCATTGCGCATATCCCGTCAAGTTCCATGCTGTAGAATGCTCGTGTGTTGCCAAACATGAACGCCCATCCAATGCACAACTCCAAGCAATAATGACAAAACAATGATCATGATATACCGGCCACAGAGAAACTTAACAAAGATCCTGTGGTCAATCCTGCAACAAGCATAAGTACCAGGAAACCTCCTGCAGCTTCGCGCTCGCCTTCCTCTACATAGTCTTCAGCTTGCATCATGCATGAGCTTGCAAGCCAACCATTGGTAGCACCATATCCAAATTGTAGAACGAACAAGTAAAAGACATCGCTCTTAATGACAGCTCCATGACCTTGGATATTACAAAGCAAGTACATAGGGACGAACCCAATTCGAAGGATCGAGAGAATGAAAAGAACGAGAGGGTGCTGGCGCATTCTGAATGGAGTCAGGGTTATCAATCGGCCAGCTAAATCACCACAATTCCATGTAAGGAAGCCGATCGGAATGAAGGCCGATGCACGAAGAAATCGAGGAGCCCTGTCTTCGGGAACCACCGAGACCACCTTCTGCGTCAAGACAGGGAAGAACATCGTGACTGCAAAGCACATGAATAAAGACGTAGCCAGCCAGCGAGTCTTCTTCCAAAGAGTCCACATAGAAACTACCTTCCGCGAAGCCTGCTCGGCCTCTTCGACGCTGGTCATGGAGTTCATCATTGAGGCCTCCATAAGACGATTGTGCTTGCGTACCAGGGGTACGAATGCAAAGATCGTGAGGCCACTGACAACCGTAGCAGTCAGGAAGTATGCAAACGCCGAAGTTGTATTCTCCTTGCTCGAGACTTGATCTAATTCGGCTGTCGTATCCCATGCATTTGGAGCAGGAACTGCCAAAACGGAGACAATTTGGGCCACTGATGGAAGCACGCCCGCCACTGCATTTCCTGTCAGAATAGCATTGATGTATTCTGGTTGTCCAAAGCCAGATGCGAATGCAAATGCTCCATTTTGACACAATCCGGTTGCCGTAGATGTACAGAAGACCATAATCAAGGTAAAGACAAGATATCCTGCAGAAGATATGTCGCGGAAGTGCGAGGTCGATATAGCCAAGAGAGTGAACACCACAATGTTGATGACCAGAGCAGACAGAATTCGATGTGGGTAAGAAGCTTTCTTCTGTATGTTGGACAAGATGGTCATCGAACCCAGGTTGGTAACACATGCGACGGAGGTAATCGCAGATTGGAAGGAGGCAAGAATACTCTCGTTGTCGGCAAATCGAGTTTGGAAGTATGGGGCTGCTGCCAAGAACATGTTCCTGCAGAAATTAGTGAGAGAAGACTTGCAGAAGACAGAAGAAGCTCTTACCAAGCCCATAGCATAGCTACTCCGAGAAGCATGAACACGAAGTACTCTATCCAAGAGAATGGACTAGCAGGAGCTGCTACCTGGCCCGCTCCAACCCCATCGTCCTCATCATCGATGCTCAACACGGGTCTTCGGATTAAAGAGTCAACTGATTCGGAGCCGCTGTGAATAGGTGCGTATTCTTGCTCGTTGTCCTTTGCGAAGATGGCTCGCATCCGATCGACGGCATTCCGTTCGGCCATTGTTGGAGTCGAATTGAATTTGCAGAAGGATAGAAGTTGTGCTATCGGACTTGCATTTGTCGAGAAGTAGTGGGTGAGGGAGAATAAGAGAATTTCAAATTTTCATGTTTAGCGTGGTAGTCGAGATTCAACTTTCCACCTCTGCCTGCCTTCAAGTCTCACGAGGCATCTTGATGTTCCTGACTGCAGATTAGAGATTAGCGGTTGAACGTTTTCCCGACCCGAGACGGTGTTGGCGTTACATCACCCACATCTATAATAGCACGACTGAAATGCCCTCATGCCGCATCAGGGGTTATTGAAAACTCATTAGCGGGCCGCCTTTTCTCATACAAATTTTGGTGGAAGAGAGTGACCGCATAACATGACCGAATTCTCCTGCGATGCAAGTATGTTATGCATATTTCGTACCGCATGCCATTCTTAGTACGATGGTCATGCCAGAATGATCAGATGAGCGACAACAAAGCCCTTCCACCCATTTCCATTACGGAGTATGTTGTGGCCAAGTGGTCCGATGATGGTTGCATGGTCGCATGACAGATGTTCAAAGCCATTTGATTCCTCGAGTACCTGTGAACATTCTTCAATTTGCAATTGCACCTACGAACACACAACTCTTAGTGAGCATCTACAGAATTAACAAGTTATGGTTTTGCTGCGAAAGTTGTCGTGGGACAAGATCTCATTCTCGAGTCTTGCGTGGCATTCTATCCACGGCAGTAACTACGGTCGAGTATGCCATCTTTGGGTGGTTCGGTTATACCCACTTCTATTGTCATTTTCAGCAATACTCAATCGCCAGGCCGGAGTCGTTAGATCTACTATTCCTCGATTCTGGCGTTCAAATTGCTGAAAGCCCCTACTCGATACGTTTCTATTCTAGGTAGCTAGCGGTAGTTCCGGGTTGAAGATATTGCTATCTTGAAGAATGGATGGACATTTATTGTACTTGTTGCCTTTCCAAGTCAGAAAGACCGTTGTGAAGTTCTTATTAGCCTGTACAGCAACTTGGTTGTTGCTTGGCCACTTGCACGAGACACTTGAGGAAATGTCCATCTATCTTGGAAGATCATGCGCGACTCTGGAAATAGACCATGCATGGAATTATCTTCTTTATCGGTTGTTGATAGTACTGCGCTTAAACGCTGCCAGCCAGTTTATTCTTTCAGGAGTCCTGTGATCAATGAATTAGTTGCATATGAGGAGTACAAAGAGGTTCAGGTATTTCAGAGCTTCCCTCCCATCTTCACGTTGGGACAACTCGGCTCTTATGATGCCAGCCGTTGAGTTTAATTACAAAGCTCCCGTGGCTCGTGCGGGCGGAGGCATTCGAATTGCGCCAAATTTCCCTACGGACACTGGACCTATCAACATGGCTTTAGCTACTGCGCGCAACTCCGAAGTCCCAAGACTTCTCAAGAAATCTGGAGAGCTGACAAAGGAAGATGATAGTATCCTATACTACCACCTTCAGAGCAACGAGCCAGTGTACGTAGGTAAAGACGAGTCTGATGAGATCTTCAATGGGGTCTGGCTGAATGAGAGCGCGATTCAAAAGCTACCAACGGCCTGGAACAATATGTTGAAACTACGCGAAATGCTCTTGAAACGGGGAGAAGGGGAATATCGAGACCGAAGTGCTTTCGAAATGATTTTGGCTGGTCGTGACACTCGGAATGATTCTTTCAAATCACCACGATGCTACAAGATTGGCTTCACGGTCTTTCCACTTGAACCAGAGACCGATATGCTGGAGTGCGGTATGGTGGAGCCCAACAAAGTCATGATCGAGCACCAAGAACTGATTGTGGACGCAAGTCGTCTGGCTGCTGCCATTACTACCGAAATAGTGGAAGCCAACGCACCACCCGAAGTCTTGAAAATGCTCGCCCGACGTGCGGCCATTGATGTTCCAATGATGATAGGTTCTGAAAAGAACATATATTCCAGTATGTTATTACGATCTCCGTACCTTTCAATCAACCGTGCACTAACTTCTTCAGCCACTTGCCAACTCAACTTCTCCGATGGTGACGAGGCATCTCTGGAGATAGCATTAGGAGATGATGGAACACTCCACGTCGATGTTCACGACGATATCAGACAGTGGACCACTTTGATATCACTCAGCAACAATGTCACTGGATACTGGCCGGGAAGAACTCTCATTACATCCCACCGTATTTATGCTGTAATGGCACCTTTCACTGTCCTCCTCTGCAAAGCAGCCAATCCACACCTAAGCATTAGGCCCGAACTTATGGTGGGGTCTGATCGTGCTCCATACCTTCCATCGGTTTCATCTGTCCCCACACTCGATCCTGAAGAACACATCTCAGCACGTGTCACGGCGGTCAACTATTCAAACGAAGCGATCATGAACAGATCTCCACTCCTTGCACGCGAACATTCTTCAATCCTTCTACAGAAATTCGAAACGAATGGCGAGCTCCCCAGATCACCCCACGCACTGCCTTCTGCACTCATGGCCTTCGGCACACGGAAGAACCAGTTTGAATGGCTCGCCTGTGCTACTGCTTGGGAAAAGGCTCTTCTTGCTCGCATGAATGATTCTTACGTTCTTCCTTCTACCATAGAAATTTCCAGACTCTTTCGATGGCGAGAAGCTGGTGTTACTCACATGCCCGATGTGCAACGTATCCAAAAGGTTCTAGATGGGAACGAGGACACGCCAGAGAACCGGCAACAAGACGAAGAAGACGAAGAATTCGCTGAGAGATGCAGGGAGCAGTTGTCTCAGGGATGCTTCGAGGATGCCGAGACATGAAGAGGGGTAAACTATCATATGTTGGAATGGAACATCTGGGATGCAGCTTCAACTCGATGAATCCGCAGCTATGTAATTGATGGCACTACGGAAAAATACGACAGCAGTACAAGAGAGACTGACTGTGCAGGATGGGGTTGGCTTGCAAACAATGCATATCGAGATTTTATTTGCCAGAAAGAAATAAGTGTTGCTGTTTGTATTGTTAGTGGATACAAATGCACGTAAAACCCCCAATTTAGAAAAATATGTCACAGCATTCACCCCGGTTTGATTTGATGACTTTTGCATTCGTCTCTGTCTACTGTCTCTGATTTAGTCAGCAAGACAATAGAGCCTCAAGTTGAGATTATCAACCTGATCATAAAGTAACGCCTCTGGCTATGCATGCCGCTTCTTTCCCCTCAACGCCAGAATCATCATATGTGCAGGTGTCCCATGTTCATGTACCATCGCAATGCCATGTCGAAAATCAGAATACGCCCTCCATATGCAGACCTCGCGGATTAATCGGCACTGTACAAGTCCTCCTCGGCGTCTTCTTCACCATCTTCTTCGCCATCTTCCTCGGCGTCTTCCTCAACATTTTCCTCGGCATTGTCTCCACTGGCATTGTCTCCCTCGACCTCAGCCTCGGTCTCGGGTTCACCCATAGTCAGAAAGCTCGTACCATCCTCCCCAGAAATCTGCTCCTCAGTAACCCATCCTGCACCAACCAACCAAACCAGAACATCTTGCGCGGTGCTAAAAGCTCCATTCTCGACCTTGGTCATAGGTTCGAATTGTCGCTTCAGCTCCTTAGCCTCAGCTTCTACATTCTTAGCCAGACTGGGATGCTTGTCCTTGAGCTTGCGGATCAGCATCAGGAGCAAGTAGCGAAGCCAGAGGACATTGGTGTAGGGAAGGAATTCGGACCAGGAACGTGGGGTTTTGACGTCGCGGAAGCGAAAGTCCTTCTGCCAGCCGGCTTGTTTTACGGTGCGGGTTCCTAGGATGAGGTAGGTACGCATACTGGGGAATCGTTAGTTGTTATTGTACGTTGATGTACGGTCAAGGAGAAGAAGGAAATGGGCGTTGAACTTGGATGAGTAGTGAGGGATACGTACCGACGATAAGTCTCATATTGCACACGAGCGATACCGAATCCCTGACTACCGAAGAGACGTAGATCATCCTCAAGGTTGTTGAAAGCAATCTCGCCATTGGGAAGCTGAGTACGAGACAGTCCGTAATCGATGAGAGTGATCTCCCAGCCCGTAGAACCGTACTTGGGGCCATTGGCATCGTCATGATTATCATCGCCTACTGGTCTCTTCGGACCAAGCTTGACGCAGATATTGTTCTCATGAAGATCACGGTGCTATGAAAAGTCAGTAGTTTTCCCCATAGATACAGGGAAGAAGACTTACCTCGAACTCGTTGGTGACCTCGGCACGAGCGAGAGCAATAGTAACACCAATGAAGACATCCCAAACCTGCTCTTTAGTATCAAGGCCAACCTCGTCCAGGACGTCACCAGCATCACCAAGCTCGATAACCAAGTAGATAGTCTCTTCAGGCAATGTGTGCGGAACCGGAAAGTGGCTCCAACCTCCATCACGCTTGAGGGCCTTAACATGCTTACGATAAGCCTTCGTAATGCAAGGAGGAATCATGCCTTGAACCAAATGTGCATCCTTGTAGGTAACGAAGCCAGGGACGGTAGTAAGAGCGTTCATGATGCGGATCTCGGAAATAATGGCCTTGACATCGCTTGCTGTGTAGCATCGCATAGACTCGGGTTGCTCTTCCATTCTGATTCTCATGACCTTGAGGATGGACGAACCGGCAGCAGTGTTGACTCGGTAGACCTCTGCATACGATGCCTCGGCGATCTTGGTGACATCTGCGTGGTCGTCAAGGATATCGTTCCAGTCCTGAACAAGCAGCGGTCTTCCAATGTCGGTCTTGTATGCGGTGACGAGCGGAAGGAGAGACGCGGGGACGGGTATGATGCTTGCGTTCTCTATAAGTACAAGTAAGCTTATGTTCTAGAGAAGTGTATGTGATTGTCCGGAGAGGGTGAGGGCATATCATGAACAAAAGTTCGGTAAAGAATATAACTTACCCAAAGTCAACTCCTCCTCTTCCTCCGGTTGGAGGGAGAGGGAGCCAACGGCGTACGCCAAATCCTCCTCGGCCTGGCCGAACATTGCAGCGGCGGTAGCGCGGGCGGATGCGGAGCGTTTGCTGCCATATGTGCGCAGCGGAGGCATGGCGGGGGTGGGGCGGCGGGGCGGGGAGTCGTCGCTGTATCTCAAATGATTAGTATGATTCAGACAATAGAACGTAAAGCAATGCCTGATACAATAAAGGACATCCAAATATGAATCCAAAAGTACTATACAATACTCGCTTCAGGACCCCAAAAAGGGTGAGCTCGCTTGAAGTGAAGAAAAGGGGCACACGTGACCCAGTGTCATCAAAGCAAACTTTTGCAAAATGCATCTGGAGCCGAAAGCTAATTTGATTGTCCGTCCTGTTCTGAGGACTCATAGCCGGCCATATGTGGTACAAAGGAACGGACATTGAGGAAAGAGTGCAAAACGTTGAAAAACAACGTACCGGGAGAGGAGGGGGCGGAGGAAGGAGATGGTGCTGCTGGGAGAGGAGTCAATTGATGTTCGTGCTCAACATCGACTTCGTCGCGGAGGATAAGTACTAACCTGGTGTCGTTGTCGCTGTCTCCGTGCCCAAAGCACGAAAACGACGACACACACTCCAAACAAGAGCAAAGCTTTGAGAGCAGATGGGTTGCCATGGTGTTGCTGTTTCGAAGCGTTGATTGGTTCACGAACCGAAGGCGGTGAAAAAAAAAAGATCTGAAAAGGGTAGCCGTGGCCTGAGAGGGCGGCCTGGCTTTAGCCTATGGCAGCAATGAGGTTGAGAATAACGCTAGTGATTTTTAGCATGCGAGCGACTTGGGTCTTCGACAATCTCCCAACTTCCATCGGACATTCACAGTTGTCACCACTTGTGAACACCGACGAGATGGCACAACTCTTCAACAGTCTCTTTGGAGGCTCCAAGCCATCTGCATCTCCAATTCCAGCAGGCGATTCTGGTAAGTGCACACATGCGACTCAATTCGCACAGCTACTGATGCAATAACAGATTTCGCGGATTTTGCTGGAGCTCCTGATCCTTCACCAGCTTCCTTCTCTGCTATTCCAACAGCAGCCAGCTTCGCAGGAGGAAGTGCGCTCCCTACTGGCAGAGCTGTTCCATATACGAAATGGTACAACATTCACGAACGCTACTCTTTGAGCGACTTCAAGCAGGAGGGAGTGATCCTTGGTTTGATTCTGGTTATTATGGCTATTCATTTGTTTGGAACAAGCACAAACAAGAAGAAGGCAAAGCAATGGATTTCTGCACATGCGCCGGTATTACAGAAAGAGTTTGCGCTGGTTGGATTTGGTGGTCCCAACAGCCCTACTGCAGAAGATGTCGAGAGCGAGGGCCTGGCTAAGAGCATGGCTGATGAGAACCTCGAGCTTCCTGGAGATATCCTGAAGGAGAAGTCGCCGCAAGAGTTCACAACCTATGCGACTGGCAGACAGAATGTCGCATTCCTCGATGTCAAGCTCACCTTGTTGAAGCGCTACAGCCCTCTGAGCTTGTTGGCCGAGTATGGCATGAGCCTATTCTTCGACAGCATGCCAGCACCATTCGAGCAGATGGAAGCTATTCTGTATCCATTCGATGGCAGGGAAGCTTTGACGGTCCCCGGCCAGATTCCCGGCGCACACGAGCTCCGAAAGGATACCAAGAGTAGCTACGATGGATTTGTCTGGGCAATTGTGAACAAGGAGACCATGAAGCAGCTTCGTGATGACAGATATGATGTCTCGATCACCAGCACCAAGGACACTCCTAAGCTCCCAGCGTGGGCTACGGTTATGAGCGAGAGCGCCGAAATCACTGATTTCCTGCTCACTTCCGAGTTGATTAAGGCTGTTGAGGATGCAGGAGATCTATTGAACCATCTCATCATCACGGATCAACCTATTGATCAACCCCTCAAGTACGTTCCTCTCCAACCCTCTCCTATTCTGAGACTGACAATTGTAGGCTCGATGACACTGTTCCCAAGAAGCGAATTTACCTCTCCATGCGAATTCCTTCCTCCGGCGATTACTCCAAAGTCATACCTCTCTTCCACTACTTCGTACGCCTGGCAGATCTTTTGGTCCAAGGCGCCCACTTCAGACCAGAAGTTCTGCGAAAAGTACGCACCACTCGCGACGATACCGTCCGCAGACTACAAAAAGCCGATGAGGAAGAAAAGGCAGAAGAGCGAAATATCGAACGAGAGAAGGCCAAGAAATTGAAAAGAGATCTTGAGTTGAAAGGCCTCGATGCCAAGGGACAGAAGAAATACCTCGAGAAGGAGAAGGAGCGCGAAATGAAGAAGAGTCAAAAGAAGATGACTACACGTGGATAAGCAGGGGCGATTGTATACATCTGTATAGTGTATAATGGGTCATAATCTGAGGTGTTTGGTGGTTTACGTGTAACATATTATTTTCATGTAGCCACTTATCTCCACCATACTCTTAACGACGATCACCCATAAATCCACGGAAGCACATCGCAGTTGCACCTCTCGCTCTTGATTGAAAACAAACAAGAGGCAAGCCTGGCTTAGGATACCAGCCACATGCGAGCCTGACATTGCCTCTAGTGAGGAAGTCACGACCTGCATCATCACCATTTCAAATGGCTATCACAATTTGCATCCTCAGCATCCTCTCTTTTTCCCCCTCCTAAATATTTCACAGCCCCAGTGGGTTTGCCACTGTTGTCATGAACCGTGCGAATCACAATGCCATTCGTGCAGCCACCATGCAGGCAGTCCACAAGGCTTCTTCCGGGCGTACAAGCTTCGCCATCATCTATCTTTTGATCTCTCTACACCGCGACTGCCTCGACGCATTCTTCTCATCGTTTTACGTTCTATGTCCGATCTCCGCAATATCCAAAAACTTTCCTAGCAATTGTTGCCAAAACAAACCACGACTAGGTAGTTCCAAGTCAGCTCTGGAGCGCGAGGCTACGGCACGTGACAAGGTGTCCTGGCTCCTTGGTTGAGGACACAACTTCGTTAGCTCTCTGTGGTTGGGGTCATCTACTAGAATAATGACTACCCCGTGGTTGAAAGAGGAGGAGACTGGGAAATGGTATAGGAATCTGGTAGATCCTAGTAAGCTTTTGACTACCCTGGCTTCCTTCTAGCTTGTTAGTAAGAATTATACAGAGGGCCAGATTACTCGACGGTATGAGACTGAATTACATGCGCCGATGAATGGGTTTGAATATCAGCCATTGGATGAAGCCTACCAAGAACTTTATCAACAGGATTACATCTACCAGGTAGCAGCCTCGGAAACAATAAGGAGAAAGGAAAACAAACGTGGCAATCCGAAGTTTCATTTACGGGGAGCCACTCTCAAGAGCTGAATCCTCCGCGCACACCGAGACGCCGGTAAGTCTACTACTCGATTCACTTAGTGCGTGGCTGATATTAGGAATTGGCAGTTCACGAGTTCCAATGTCTAGCTCCAACGTCTCTAGTACGAGTTCACGAGTTTCAATGTCTAGTTCCAGCATCTCAAGCATAAATTCAAGAGGTCCAATGTCTAGCTCAAGCATCTCAAGTACCAGTTCACGAATCCCAGTGCTTTGGTCAACCCATCTTGGGCGTCTAGAACAAGACCGAGTGGCTAGCACACAACAGCCTAAAGCAAGAGAACCACATGTTTCTTTGGAAGATGCAGCACCGCAAAGCCATGACCAGCAATATAAACCTTTGGATACTCAAACCGAAGTACCAAAACGACCGCGATTCATCGCCTCAACTGAGGGTAATATTGAAGAGCTCGACCCTAGCTTTAGGATGAGGAATACCGATTGGGAGACATTTTTCACATGCGGGCGAGTCTTCAAAACTTTATGGACGGATCCTGCAGGCCCGAGAATTCATGCAAACGACACCAACCAATTTACAAGTCAGGGCAAGTTCAAAGTTGCCCATGGCCAATACGTCCTGTCAAAAATTCGCAGGTTCATTGTAGTCAGTAGCAACAGCAGCTCAAGTTCGTGTCAGTGCTTGCCAATAACCATATATGGTGGCAAAGGGTATCAGAAGCGGGCCATCGATCTAGCCGAGCACGGTCAAATATATTATGTTGACGAGGTAGATGGTACAGCTCCAGGAATTTCCAAGTTAGCTCTACGAGTGAAGCCTTCTAGGAATGGAGAAAAATTGGGTCCTAACTCTCTTGTCAACTACGGGCGTGCTTATTGTGTCTATAAAAACGTCAAAGTTAGAGACCTGGGTCAGCTCGATTCGACATCCCAGAAATTGCTGCGTCGGTACTACAAGGAGATCCACTTTCCTGTGGATGATGACTCTGATCCGGCTCCTCCACAGGGTTCGGAGCAGTATCGGGGGATGCAGGGCGTACGTTCAAGTTTGGACAGCAGTTATGAATCAGAACCAAGGCCTTCTTTCCAGTATCAACCCTTTGATTCGCACTACTCAGATGAGAATCCACTGCCACTTGGGTACAACGCTTCAGGTTACGAAATTCCCGAACAAACTGATAAACGCCCTGGTTCTCCTCCGGGAAATAGGAATCTCCCGCCTGGTTCCGACATGGTCGAGGAGCAGATATACCAAGTCTCAGAAGACTGGAACTCCAGAGACAGTCACGAGGGTGGCAGTAATTCTACCCAGTCTCGCCTGAGCGGCAAGAAAGAGAGGAGTGTCGAGGAGAGCGATTTAGCCCCCGAAATACAGGAATTGATGGCTAGAATTGAGCGATTGGAGCAAGGAATTACCACGCAAAGACATTCACTGTCTCGCACGTCTTCAGAGTCGAGTCTCAATTCCATCTCGAGCGGAGGGTTCTCCGTCGCCGAAAGTGCTCCATCTTCCGCATCTTCTTCGACCCCCAATCCATTACATTTGCAAAGATTTGTAGATCTCTTGTTCAATGATTTCGAACTGAATGATTTACTCGAAACTGCAAAACACCGAATATCTTTTGACAAATTCGAGATCAATTTTAAGCGATGTTTACGATTATTCTCAGAACATCTTCGGGCGGAGTCTGCTCCTTCTCTTCCCAGATATCTTCCTAAGTTGATTCGCAGATTAGTGACTAATGCTGCGTACACCGTTCGTCGCTCCCTCGAGCTGTCACTCCAGACAGAAGTACAAACGAAGGATGAGGCACAGCAACGAACAGTTCCTCTCGCAAAGCCACATGTAGAGGACATTAATGAGGCTGATGAGGATGACATAGGCGATCTAGACATTGAATTCGAAGAACAAGAACAAGAACACGAGAATGAGAATGAGAATGAGAATGAGGGCGTCCAACCAAACCTCGAGGCCATGATAGTGACCACCTCATCCTTCATGAAGCTTCGTGAGAATTTCAGGATTTTTCTCTCAGCCGACCACAGTCGGAGAGCCATTTTTGATTGCTGGCCGGCTGCACTGCCCGAATCAGAAACAACGGAACTTGTCTATTTCGTCCTCCCCGGTCTTGAAGATTACCTCAAATATCGTCTACCTGGAGATTGTCAGCTGGGGAGTTTTCTGGTTTTCATTGGGACTGACGAAGCCGCAGAGGCAATAAGCTGTGAGGAATACTTGTTGAGAGAATGGCCTGAGGTTGGGCGATGTGTCGTGGATTTCATCAATGGGCTGCTTCTGAATACTCAGCAAGGTATGATACACTGTTATATTGTCAAGAGAAGACATTGATTCAATATGTAAAACTAATCTTCGACATGTGCCAGATGCCCAAGAAGATACAGCTAAAATTAGCATGCGTCTATGCGCTATCGAAAATGCTAGGAGCCAAGCAGGCATTCTTATGATGGTTCAGACATCTTATTGCCGACATGGTCAAGTAGCTGATGCTTTGTCTTGGCTGAGTGCTGTTCTTCGAGTGTCCCCTCACCAGGAAGTCTGCACGTCGCGTGTTTCTGTACAAGCAAGGAACACAGATGCGTACTTGAAACGAAAACTTCAGAATTGTCCAAACAAAATCATTCAAGTCACTTTGAATGGCCTTGAACGACTGAAGCATCCGTCAACGTGTTGGCACTCATTGTTCCCTCACATCGTCATGGCACAAGGCTTTCCCGTTCGACCAAGAATGGAAGGTATTGGGCTCGAAATATCTTTTGCTAACGCTCTACATGCAAGCAAATGTCTAAGCTTCGTGGAATATGATAACGGATTGATTGCTCATGGATTGAAGTCTGTTTTGATCCCGATGGCTGAGTTGAACGAAGACGATGCCATTCAATGGCACTTTGAAAATAAGACTAAGGTGAGAATGCGAAGAATTTCCTCAATAGGTCAAATACTGCGCATACTCGCGGTTGAGGATTGGTACAAAGTTGCGGATCCAGGTTTATTAATGAAAAGACGGTGCTTCCTGGGATGGGTTGAGGAGGCAAATGTTGTCTTGGGCACGTCGTTGTACACGCCACACTTTCGACCATCTCGGGCTCCGTTGTGTCCGCGTCTTGCACATATCCAAAGATTTGAAATTACAGCTAGTGTGTCTGCAATGTCTTGGGCTACATTGCAAGGCACATTTATTCGAGAGCCTGTGGCAATATCGAGTTCTGTATCGACGTCTCAGATAGCCGATCTCCTCGATCTTCTCAATATGGCAGAAGATGAGCATGGCATAGTCTTTGAGCATGATGCCAGAACGGGATGGTGGGTCTCTCGTGCCAGCATTGTACTGCAAATGGCGCACTCGACTATTCAGACTTGCCATTATGATCTCTACAATGGAGATAATCAAGTGTCGAAGGATGATCAGCAATACTTTGCTCAAAAATTTTCGGATGGAGCTTCAAGCGCAGTTGCCGCTCTTAAGCAATGTCTTCATCTCAAGATTCGGAAACCAACAGGAGGCTCTGAGTTATTCGTAGTGGAAAACTTCTCCGAAACGATTGCAAGAATCTGGCACACGTTGAGTGACATTGCAGAAAGTCTCGAATCAACATCAAATGAGCTATATTTAGTCGGGCAATCTGTCCCTAGATGGCTTCTTGGTGTTGATCTGATAGATGCGATTAACAACAAACGACCGATGGCCATAAGACGTGTCGAGGTTAATCAACCTTGGACACATCTGACAACTGAGAGACCCTTGGTACTCTTTTGCAAGGATATCCCTCCACCGATTGTGGCTGTCTCTAATTCCTGCAAGTCTTGCTCTAACGTTCCTCCGCAGCAAAATCTGCTAGTAGCTACAGCTTCCACGGTCCACTCTTTGCTTGACTACCAGGACTATGGACTTGCTGAGGGCTTGAACTGGTGTGCATCAAAGAATCTTATAGACCGACATGAGAGTACCAGCAACGCGCCTGTTCAATATATCCAGAAGCTCCAGTCGAAGAAGAAGCCTTCATCTAATACAAAGATACGAGCTGCGGTTCAGTCATGTCTCCGCGGAGCTTTTATATTTGGCAATGGGACAGAGAAAAAGTGTAATGTGCTTTCGACAGTTCACCCCATCAGGACAACTCAGACAAGAGATAGTGCTGGCTCGGATAACTTTAGGAGGTCCGTATCTCAAATATCTAGCACGGCCAGCGCTACCTCCTCCGAGTTAACAAACACCTCAATTACATCTACTCAAGAGAATAGCGATCCTTCAGACGAGTCCGAGGCCGACGTCTCCAGCCCTGGCCTTGAAAACCCTTCGGCTGTAGCTCAGGATCTCGAAACACGATCGGAAAGGATCTCAAATACAGAGGTGGAAGTAGAACCGAAAGTAGCGTCAAGTAATAGTCCCTCGGATATGAGTGAGAAGGGCGGGGTTATGAAGACGGCTAGGTTATCCTCAATGTTCGCAAAAATTCGCAAAGATCGGTAAGAATGAAACCCACGACACAATCTGTTAGGTATACATATCGAAGGCATATCCGAAGATGAAGTCAAGGCCAAAATTTAACAACCTCAAGATGATTATATGTATACCTTGGGGCATAAAGATACATAGATCCGTCACCGTTCTCTTTCGTAGCATAATCACAGCCCTCAAATTGCCTTTTGTTGCACATGGGATTTATTTCGTTTTCCGGTCACAGATATTGTCGTATTTCAATTCTCAAAATATTTGCTTAGAGATGCACGAGTTTATGACTACTCCAAACTCCTAACAGACCACACTAGTCTAAGGAAAGCTTCCCTTCTCCGGCCCAAAATATCCTCGGGTGGGAAGAGCCCAAATGCCCTTCCCAGCACCATCCACTCCTGCTCCAGACACCGTATTTCCCCACCACTTCAAACTAATCGGGTTGTACCCAATAGCAAAGAACATCACCAATCCACTCACGGCCACACCCGCTGTCAGCGCCGCCGAAAGCACATAATTATACTTCTCCCACCACGCCAATCGATGTCTGGGCAACCAATACATAAAAACAAACGACAGTATCATGCCTGGAGTTTTATACGACAAATTGGACGGTGCCCAGTGCTGCACTCCTTGAATCACCAAGATAGGGTTAAGCCAGAGCAGAGAAGCGATGAAGGGGAATAGTGTTCGGTCCAGGATCTCGAAAGTGCGGGGTCGGAGCTTGAGTCGGAGGTTTTCTTTCACGCCGGGCAGGTATTTGGGCCCGTAGCCTTGGCCGACCAGGAAGATGAGGGAGATGCCGAAGCCGATTAGGAAGCACCATTTGAAGAGCGGGTAGAGGGAGTTGAACATTCGGTCGGAGCCGAGGAGGCCCCACATTAGGGAGCTGGCGTAGAGGGGGAAGCCGTCGTTTGCCTGGGATTGATGTTAGCGTTCGTGCAATGTCTTGATAAGAGAGGAACATATAAGTGAGAGATGGATTCGTGAAAAGATAGACTTACACATGTGAATCTGCTGGGCTGATCTGCTGTACAAAGTCCCTTGACGTTCGTAAGGATGAAATCCTGAGTGCCGACTGCAACGAAGCACGTGATAATAATAGTCCCAATCTGACTCCTGAACACAGCTCGAGGTGCTATCTTACAGTAGTGAGCCATTTTCTGATCCTGAACGTAGTTGTCTCCATAACCAGCCAATGCCCATGACCCCAGGGTCTGAGCGAAGAGAAAGGCGTTGGGGTTGTTGGGTAGGACGAAACCTGTGATGACTTGGATCAAAGCACCCAATCCTAAGTTCGTGCCAGTGGTGGCAGACAGGAATGACAACGGTACGGCGAAGACGAGATTGATACCAATCATCAAGAACACAAGCCACACCGGAGTATCGACGGGATAAATCTTAGTCCAGATAATCGAAACCACAATAGCGCACACAAGGATCAAAAGAAACCACCAATCGGGTACTTCCTTGTACTTGGACATCAGCCGGCTGTGGACGTCCATAGCGCCTTCGTAGTTTTTCTTCCCGTATCTTAGGCCTTTGTAGAAGTCTACGTATGCGGTTCCTACCGTCTTCCACTGGTTCACCATGATGTAGAGGAAGTAGACGGGGTAGAAGACGAAGTTTGCGCCAACTGTGAGGATGTAACCGGCGGAGTAGAAGGGCGGGGAGTAGGCTTGATAGAGGGTTTCGTCGAGTTTGTTGTTAACGACTACTTTCTGAGAGTAAAACACGTTAGCATGAATTGGTGGGGATTTTGACAGGGTCCTAGATGTACCAGGACATTCGGGGATAATAAATTGGAGAAAGAGACATACCTGTACATTGTAGGTGGTAGCATCGTTTGCGAACGCCGAAGAAGAATTGATGGGCAGGTAAGCCGTGTTGTACATATTCGAGTAGAAGATTCCAAGAATGATGAAAGCACCAAGGATGCTGCCGAAGTACATTGTGCAAGTAGCGAAGAAGGGCTGGGCGAGTGCAGCGTACGAAGATGTAGCAACGTTCCAATCAAACGTAGTAACTGGGTTGAACAAGCCCAACCCCGACTCAGATCCTGTGAGGATGGCCAGGGGTACATTCTTTGGGCTGATCCATGTCATCCAGTTAAATGTTGACATGGCGGTGAACAGGTAACCAGGAAGCCAGTAATAGAAGAACATGCTACCAGCACAAACATAAAAGAATCTATATCGAGAGATTGTCCATCCATTGATATTCTCTTTCGGTTCTGGTCGAGTCAAAGCTCTGTTCATGGCAATGGTCGGAAGAATCGTTGGCCAAAGTGCTTTCACGGGATAAACACTGAATCTTCTGAGATACCCAGCAAATCCCATGCCCATGAGCTGGACGAACAATGTAAGCATAAGCTGGTATCCGAATGTGACGAATTTCTCGCCATAGAACACATCGGACTTTTGGACCAGAATCATTCCATAACTGTTCGTGGTGTAGATCGCGATATTGTAAGTAATGGTTGCGAACATCTGTTCTTTGAACGTCCATCCACCAGGGTTCAGTGAATGACGGGTACCGAAAGCCGTGAAGCCCCAGTCGGGCAGGACGAGGGCGAGGAATTTGCCGCATGGGAACAAGAGAATTTGGATGACAGAGCCTCCCAAAGCTAAGATGTGTAAGTAAATGGGCTCATTCTCGGTGTCTTTTCCTTCTAGATTTGCACTTACTGATGGAAGGGAATCTGCTGTTAAAGAATGTAGCCATAAATGTACCTATTACCGCCCATCCGATCCCTAGAAAGTACGCTCGGAAAGTTTCAATTGGAACATCGACGTTGTCTAGAGGCTCTGCAACAGCGCGGACTCCTAATTACCCAATCTCTCAAAGTCAGCATATCTCGTTTACATAGCTGAGGAGAAAAGAGTTTCCTAGGATTTGAGACAATGAGATGGGTTTGCTCACCTGGATATGGAGAAGAATATCTCATCATTGTGGCATCTATCCTCAGATCGCGGTCATAGAAGTCCCCATACAGTTTTCGGCCTTGAAGCAATCGGACCATACGCTCTCGCATTTCGGACGGAAAATTCCAGTCGCTGAAAATAGCTGGGTCAGTAATTGACAATGAATACCGGAAGACATGGAACAGCAAAAGAGGATTTTGCCTTGTAATTGAGGCGTGTAGCTTTTCGAATGTGTAACAAAATTTGACAAATGAAAGTCCTTACTCGGCATGGAACTTGACAGACTCGTCGATGATCGCGTAGGCTTCCTCCTCAGTCATATTGTTTATGATGTCTAATATGTACTCTCCTTCTCCATTTGGAGCCAGAATCTCGAGCATTTCATGAGTGATTTGATCCCCCCATGCCTCATGCGTGTCTTCCCCAGCAGATTTAGGATGCTTCTCCGGGTCAGACGAGTATGGCTCGACGCCATCGTCAATGATTTCGACCGTGCCAGACATAGCTGCAGAACCAAAGAAGAGGAAATTCTGCGACCTCAGGATATATAAAACCTATATATGAAAGAGTCTGGTGAAAATCGTTGCTTTAAACAGGACGGCAAAAATTCCAAGATGGGAATCAGCGAAATATATGTTTACTGCATATCGGATCTATATGCGGACACTTATCCGGAAAGTGGGACGAATCCCTATCTCACTTGAGATGCAGCTCTGATCGACTCCCTAACTCCCATGCTTGCAGCAAGCAACGCGTATCGCTCGACCATGGCCTCGGATCCAATGCTACGAGTATCAAATCATTTGATAGCTTCATAGCGCACGATTGGTGGTCGTCTCTGACTATCGGATAACATTGCGACGAGGATTCATTATTGCGGGGAACTGAAGCGGGTCTCTCGACCTTGGAGAACAAAGAAGATCCCCAAGCCGACAAGTCGAGGCGCGTCCCACCTTTGAAGGTTTCCCAAAGCTTTCTCGACATACGACTAAAGCATTCTTGGCGTAACGTTACAGTCTTTGGGCCGACGATACTTGTGGCAAAGTGGAGTGCACTGCAAATACAGATGTACCTCGGGAGATAATGATTGCAACGTCAAAGCGCGGTTGCAGGTATCCTGTTCGAATGCTTCCGCAGTATGAATCAATATCAGATCAAGATAAGAGCAAGGAGACGAAAGAGGTGGGGTTCAAGACGCTAATAGGTCACGTGCATTACTAGCCTTGCATCCGGCTAAAGCTCGGAACAAAACCTGGGGCTGGAAAAAAGTTCAGATTCGAGATTTCCAACTTCTCAGCCAAACCCTACATTACCACCGCCGACATGAAACGAAAACTCGACGAGAACGATGTACCGGTCGTGGTGCAACAAGTTGAAGGGAAGAAGGAAGATGCTGGATTTTCTGCCCTAGGTCTGGATACTCGATTGCTTCAGGGCATCGCGAAGCAAAACTTCAAGATCCCCACGCCGGTTCAGAGCAAAGCCATTCCTTTGGCATTGGATGGCTGTGATGTGTTGGCGAGAGCGAAAACCGGATCAGGGAAAACAGCTGCATATCTACTGCCCATAATTCATTCTATCCTGAAGCGGAAACAGGTATGTCTCATTGTGCTCCGCAGGGTATTCATAGCTAATCAATTTAGACGTCTTCGACTCCATGCACATCCGCCTTAATCCTTGTACCTACCCGCGAACTGGCTGAACAAGTATTCAAAGTGGTCGAGTCCTTCTCGACATTCTGCGCAAAAGATATTCGAGCGATCAATCTTACACAAAAGGTCTCTGATGCTGTCCAACGATCGCTACTGGCGGACTCTCCAGACATCGTCATTGCGACACCAGCTCGAGCATCAGTGAACGCGAATTCAGGTGCTTTTTCCCTTGACAATCTCGCACATTTGGTTATTGATGAGGCGGACTTGGTTTTGTCATATGGCTATGATGAGGATCTCCAGAATGTGGCTAAGGTTATGCCGAAGGGAGTACAGACCATCTTGATGAGCGCAACTTTGACCAGTGAGGTCGAGACTCTGAAAGGGTTGTTTTGCAGGAATCCCGAGATTTTGACATTGGAAGAAACCGAAGAAGCTGGTGAAGGAGTGAGCCAATATGTTGTCAAGTGAGTAGTACAGTGGAATGCGTGTTGCAAGCTTTACTAATAAGTTACAGATGTGCCGAGGACGAGAAGTTCTTGCTAGTATATGTCATATTCAAGCTGAAGCTGATCAAGGGGAAATGCATCATATTTGTGGGCGATATCGACAGATGCTACAGACTGAAGCTCTTTCTGGAGCAATTTGGAACGAGGAGTTGCATTCTCAATTCAGAACTGCCGGTCAATTCGAGAATTCATGTTGTGGAAGAATTCAACAAAAATATCTACGATATCATAATCGCATCAGATGAGCACGAGGTACTTGGAGATGAAGATGCGGAGAAGGTGGGCGATGGAGATGAATATGCCCCAACTACGAATGGAAAAGACCCAGCTACGGAGAGTGAAGCGCCAACAAAGAAGAAACGGAAGACTGTAAAAAAGGACAAGGAATATGGAGTGTCACGGGGCATCGACTTCAAGAACGTTGCTTGCGTACTGAATTTCGACCTCCCCACATCGTCCAAATCATATACCCACCGGATTGGACGAACAGCACGAGCCGGCCAAACCGGAATGGCCCTATCATTTGTCATTCCAGCCGAGCAGTACCGAAAACACAAGCCAACCAGCATCGAGTCAGCAAAGGATGACGAGAAAGTCCTCGCCAAGATCGTCAAGCATCAATCGAAGAAGGGGAAGGAGGTCAAGCCATACAACTTTGACATGAAGCAAGTAGAATCCTTCAGATATAGAATGAATGATGCCTTGCGAGCCGTCACCGGGATAGCCGTCCGCGAAGCCCGGACGACAGAACTCAGACAGGAATTAGTCAAGAGCGAAAAATTGAAGCGGCATTTCGAAGAGAATCCCGAGGATCTGTACCATCTTCGACATGATGGCGAACTTCGGCCAGCTAGGGTCCAATCGCATTTGAAGCATGTGCCTGATTACTTGCTGCCGAAGGAAGGCAAGAAGGGTCTTACTGGCGATGTTGGGTTTGTGAGTTTGAGGAAGACGACGGAAAATCGGATTAGGAAGGCCAGGATGGCTAATAAGGGGAGGGCGAAGAAGAAGAATGGAAGGAAGGTTGATCCTTTGAAGACGTTCAAGGGGAAATCTCGAAAGTGAGAGATGCATTAGCTGTTGTGGATACCAATGAATGAACTTTGAGAGCAGCATGAATGTTTGACTGTCACTTGTGACTTAACCTGCTTACATTGTCCTACAAAGTCTGGGACATGGATATTCTATGTCCCAATTTCCACAGCATTAACTCCAAAGGGAAGACACATCTCGCTAGATCTCGTGTGCTCTGAACAAGAAAAAGAAAAAGAAGTGAGTAAACAAAAAGATAGGAGCCACCCACCACTTGTGCCACCCGGTGGGAGGCAACCATTCATCGCTCTAAGGGAGGATAGCAATAGTGCGTATTTAACGCCATACGACACATGTGAGAGTTGTGTGAGATTGTGCACAGGAAGTTTGCCCTCATAGAAGATTTTGAATGTTGGTCTTTGAGTTGGATGTCCGAGTATGAGTGAGTGTTTGGTTCCGCTTTGGAGAATGTAATATATTTTCTTTTCAATATGATTTACAGACATTATGGGTGACAAAATGTGTCATGAGCATAAGAGCATAGAGCTTCTCACTTCTTTGATATACGTTGCTAATATTTACTTGCACAAGCAATATCGGCGTTCACTAGCATCGCTGAGCCAATGGGTCAAACTAAAAAGACCCTTACCCCTGCTCGATAGCCTTCAACATCCTCGGAGTCGTGTCTTCATCAAGAAGCTTGAGGTAACGCTCTTTACAAACTTCGGTCAGCTAATTTAACAGCTTTCGGGACCAACTTACCACAACTCAACCACCGCTTTCCCACAATCCGCAAGAACTTCCTCAGAGTCCTCAACCTTGCCATTCCGTCGTCATTTGCTGCATCGAGTCCCCTCGATAGCCGCTCCGTTGTGATCATTGCCGCTTTGTACACCAAGAAGGTGACGAGCGGCGGGAAGGAGTTGAAATCAATGGAGCGTGTTCCTACTGTGAAAGGTTCGACTGTACTGGTTATGGTGGAGAGGATGGAGAGGAGAGACGTTGTGGCGAGGGAATTCCAATTCTCAGTTGCGTTGCTGGCTGAGAAGGATATCTTGGTGCCGTTCTCGAATGCTAGGAGGAGCGCACTGCCTAAACATCAGCATCGACGAGATTACCGCACAAACATACGGCTCAATCTGCGAGGGCTGGCTGGCATCTTACTTACATATGACATAACCCCAAAGTGCCGGAGTAGAGGTGATCCTCTGCCAGGATCTCCTCGGTCAGAAGCGTCTGAAGGGTAGTTGACGTTTTGACCGTCAACATCACCTCTTCCAAGTTGAATATCTGCTCGGACGTGGGGCTGTTTATGGTGGTGTGGATCTTGTCCAGCATAGCGGAAGCTTCCACCAGGCGCGCGAAGCGGGCCCTAGGGCTGTTTTTATCTTGATTGGGCTCGTGTGTTGGGCAAAGGGCTGGCTTCAGGAGGTTATGAAGCCATGCGGTTCGAGAGCGGGTTAGTGATGAGCGTGGGCCCGATTCCGTGGCGATGTATCTGGACGCAATCATGAGATGGAGCTTCCAGCTGGGCTTCGTTTCTGGAAACTCTGAGGATGAAAACTCACCTATCCAGGACCAGAATGCCGCACCAAGTCAAAATTGTCTCTTCCTCACTGACTGCTCCAGCTGAACCGTGAGGTTGCAAGACATCTCCCGTAGGATGATCTTCAAGTGCGTCTACAGCTCTCACCGTGGCTCCAATAGAGATATAAGCAGCTGGGTAAAAGCCATGGCTGACTTCGAAAAGAGTGATCAAAATTCTTGATTGAACGATGGGAAAAGAATTCAATCCAAGTCCTTCGGCCAAAGCGAGGCTACTCTTGGTTTGAAGATACAGGGTTTCGAGTTCAGAAGTTTTGCCGTCACTGTTGACATTCATAGAAGGGCTGGTGGTGAGAAGTAAAATGGAAAGGCAGAGTAAAGCAACATCCAGAGAAGTCTCGTCCCATGTCGGATGGAGTCGGTCCTGTAATCGGTATGCAATCGGAAACCACGGCTCGACTGCCCGGCGATACGCTGCAACGGCACTTTCTGGCGTCAAGGGCTCGAGTTTCTGAATGGTGGCGTTCTTGAGCTGGTTTGGTGCAGTTGGTTCTGAGACCAGAAACGTCCCTGGTCCTGGCGATTGCGAAGGGGGTGGGCTCAAGCGCGACGTCTTGGAGACCTCATACTCGCATCTTCGACGGATTCTGCACGTCGTCTCGGTCAGCAACATTGTACTGTACACAACGAGTTCAACTTAATAATGGTTCGAATCCTGTACCTTGTACAGCGTCCACAACCGGGGACTGCGCGGTCGCATCCTCTCTTCGATTGGCTACATCGGGTACAAGCTTTGTCTGCAATCATCGCACGGCCCTGGGTGCTCATGTTTCGTGATCGGGTGAGGAAGAATGCTTATCACTGTACAGAAAGTTTTTCTCAGAGTTGACGATGGAAGGAGTCGGTGCCGTTGCGAATGTGAGGCGGGAAATGTTACCTATGTAAGGGCGGATGCCCGCCAAGAAGCGTTCTGCAGGTGCGGGGGATGTGCGGACTCGGATCGGGACTTTGGTCGGGGTATGGCGGATCTTGGTCGGGACGCCGTCGGGAGGACCTTCAGATGTCTTGATTCATCAGGCCGGAGCGGCGGAAGTCATAAACCAATCTACCACTCAGTCAGACACGCAAATATGTATAAAGGACATCTACTCGCTCCAACAATGACGGACACTTCATCAGCATTTCTTATTAGCACAGCAAAACCATCTACGCCAACACCAATTTGAGTAGAAGAACTGCAATACTCCTGTCTTACGCAATCTTCATCATTTCAATAATCAACTCGGTTGCAATTGCCGGTGTACGTATCAATTCCACCAAGAAAATGTTCACGGAGAATAATGACTGACTGACAACTGGACCAGGCGTCCGGCGCTCTTGGACCTCATGTCCTCAAAGGCCTGATCGACACCAAATTCCAGGTCAAAATCCTCACCAGATCCAAGAAGCCTGGAGAATTCGATGCATGCCCAGGTGTTGAAGTAGCGGAAGTGGACTTCACATCCGTGGAGTCTTTGACTGCTGCACTCAAAGGCATCGATGCAGTGGTTTCCACCGTGGCCGGAACAGCCATCAAGTACCAGACCGTGTTGATTGACGCAGCTGCCGCTGCAGGAGTGAAGCGCTTCATTCCCTCCGAGTATGGCTCCGTCACCACGAACCCCAAGCTAGAAAAGTTCCCGCTCTATGAGAATGTGTTCATGATCAGACGCCACCTGCAAGAAAAGGCAGACGCAGGACTAATGAGCTGGACGGTGCTCGCATGCGGCGCCTTCATGGAATCCCTGCTCGTGCCAGGCGCAGCGGGCCTGCTTGATTTCGCAGAGCGCAAAGCGCTCTTGCTCGACGAGGGTGACAACCGACTCAGTTGCAATTCCCTTGCGACGTCCGGCAAGGCCATCGCTGCAATCTTGAAGAACACGAAGGCCACCAAAAATCGGGTCGTGAAGATTTCCGAGGTCATCTTGACACCGAATCAGCTGTTGAACATGGCGCAGAGAATGAGGCCCCAGGACAAATGAGAGGTTACCAAGGTAGCTGCGAGTAAGGTCTTGAAAGAGGGTCTGGATGGAATCAGCGCGGGCGACTTTAGCCCGGCGACCATTTATAAGATCATCCAGGGTACGGGACTTGCAGGTGAAACGTACGGTAGTGCGTATGATGAGACTGACAACGAGCTTCTGGGAGTCAAGGAGTTGACGGAGGAAGATTTGAAGAAGATTGTGGCTGAGAAGCTTGCGTAGAGTTGGACTGTCAGGAAGAGGATACGACGCACACTTAGAGTCGCAACTTAAGAATATAAAGATCTCTACTCTCTCTAGCCATAGAGTTCTCAAAGCAGCTGTGAGATGACTGATCTTAAATAAAGGAATTGTAGACAACTACCAGTATGGGATGTCAAATAATAAATGTTTCAGATCGAAAGAATTCAACTTAAGTGCTAAGCTGTTTTTGGTTGCTAAGATTTACTAGACGGGTTGAGGTTTGACCTATTGTCAGAGACCTCTGACTTGCCCAGGGCTAGTTTCGCTCATCTTTGAGGTGAAATCAGTCTAGCTTGGGCTCTAATTGGGCTTGTTCAGGTTGCACAAGAACACGATCAGACTTACTTTGCCGTACCTCAGAATATTCCCTTAGCACTCATGCTGCACCCTACGTAATTTAGTTTCGAGTCAAGGAAGAACTTTACAGGAGGATGAACTTTGCTTTATTATCTACTAACGGCTACACTTTGGCACAAACATGAAGTTATAGACTTTTGTTTAGTAGCAAACCAAAATTGTGTTTCGTTTAGCAATTAATATTAACTCACCTTAATTACCGTCTCACTTCCCGTAGCTCCTCATTTTGCACAACCTTTAATTCCACCTAACTTCTTCTTTCAAGGCTATATATACTTATTCCTACTCGTGTGCTTCGATATTGGAGTTAGTGAGTGGGTTAGTGAGTGAGAGGAGTAAGAGTAGAGCAAGAAAACAAACATTCCCTTATCATGGAAAAATTTAGACGAAGTTGAAATGCCTTCCCGTTCATAATTCTCCAAAACTCACTCGCTTTCTTTTACGCAATTTCTCCACTGATTAATTCTCATTCATACTTGTACACTGCTGAAAGAGTAGGCATAAACCGTTATCAGTAAGTAATGCTAAAGTGCGAGCAGTGCTAAGGCGCGGAGCGGACAGTGCTAATGTGCAAGTAATATTTAAGTGCAGGTGTTGAGTGGGTTAATACGTTTGGTAACAGCGTAAGTTGAGTTGATCTTCATGCTAGACGATTCTTATTTGCTAAGCAATTCACTCTTTCTCCAGTTACCCGATGACATTCTGCAATTTGACCTTACGAGTAGCGGTCAGCCGTATACCGGCATTGTCATTAATACAGATTCTTGCTTTATTCTAAAAGAAAGCATAGAATTTCTCATGCTTTTCTATTACGCTGTACTAACATCGCCGCTATTGCTATCGATAGAGATTTTTTGCATTGCCATAGCAGAAAGTCTACTTAGGTCCGTTTTCTCACGGTTCCTCCTATCTTCTCGCCTAAATCTTAACGCTATTGTTATCGATAACTATTTCATTTCACTCTAGAAGAAAGCGTACACTTTCTCACGGCTTTTCTATGTCTTTTCTTTTCCAATGTATTTATAGCTAATAACTAATCTAACTTAGTTGCCGGCGTTCGATCATCTCGGGAGTCCTTCGCTTCCCGGCTCTTTAGATTTCAGAGGCTTATTCCGGCTATCGCCTCAGATTGAATATTAAAACTGTTGTTATCAATAAAAGTTCTTACTTCACTTTAGAGATCATATATTTTCTCACGCTCTTCCCTTCCCATTACATTGTCTAAACGTCTACTTTCCTGACCCGTATCATAACGTTAGTCTCAAACGCTCTTGGATTTAAGCAATACAACGTGCTTGAACTTCTTTAGTCTAGAACTAACATGTATAGGAAACTAACATATCTCTTAGGAAGTCTGTCAAGCTTGTGAATCCTACTGGTCTCTGGTGCTATTTTTCGAGCATGAAATTACTAGCAGTCAGTCTCATACCACAAACGAGCTTGTAGCTCTTTCAAATCAAAATACAAGGAGGAGGCAAAGAGAGGATTTACATTAGCCATCTTCTCAACCTAATCAAGGGACATTCGATCAATAGCTACCATTCACTAACACTACATATTAGAGGAAGTCACATCACGCCACCTCTGCCTTTAGCAGTCCCGAAGAAATATTCAATCGTCAGCCGCAAACCATTACAAACAAGCATCCACGGAGATTTTCTCGCACAATTCTACCTCGAGAAAAAGATATCAAGCAGAACAGTCTTGGAGGAAACATCACTATTAGCAGCTAAATCATTAAAAGGATCACAGCCTAGCACACCTTGTCATAAATTTCACTGGGTTCGGGAGACCATATCAATTTACCCGACCGCCTAGCACACCTTGTCTTGAAATTCACTAGGCATAGTTCGGGAAAAAGACATCAATTTACCCGACCGCCTAGCATACTCTGTCTTGGATTCTATTAATCGGAGTTTGGAACACGACTACGACCTACTCGCCCGCCTAAGACACCCTTTCTTGAATTCGGTTGATTATAGCTCGAAACAAAACTACAACCTACCCACCGGCTTAACATACTTTGCCTTAAGTTTCATCAATAAAAGTTCTGAACACAACAACAACATACCCGCCCGCCCAGCACATCCTGCCCAAACTCCATTAATCAGAGTTTGGTCAACAACAACCTATTTACTCACCTAACCCACCTTGCCTATTCTATCAATAGAACTTGGAATAACAACCAAAGCCTCCCCGGTCGCTTAACGCAGCCTTCTTGAACTCCATTAGCCGTAGGTCGGAACAAAATTACCCCTTGCCCGCTCGCTTAGCATAGCCTCCCTTGTATATCAATACCATTGATCGGACTTCTGGAAACAAAAACAACAACCTACTTTCCTCTTTACTTCTCCACCACCTTCACAATTCCAACCACAACAACCCCCTTTATCCAAAACACCCCAAAAGCAAACATCCAATGGCCACTGTACCAACCACACCAGAGAACAAGTATATCAAACTCATGTCTCAACGCACACCGGAGCAAGATCGACAACTCCAAAAGCGAGTTCCACAATTGGGATCACCATTCCGTGGAGGCTATGGTAACCCTCCGAGGTCGGGAAGCAACTCTCGTCAGGTATCAGTCGAGCCCCCTCAGATATCAGTCGACTCCTTCAGCAATCCAGAAGAGCGTCAACTTCCTAAAAGACCACAAACATTCGACCAAGACTACAACCAATACAATAACAATGCGGAGATGGAATCCAGCTCGCATCCTTCACCGATTGCCAGATCACTTGCAGTAAAGCGTCCACGACTTGCGAGTCCATATCGGGCACCAGAAAGCTTTGAAAACGAAAGCCAATACCAGGAGCCACCAAGACGAACCTCGACCGCTGTCTCAAATTATTCGTTTTCGGAGATGGTGCGGGGTACTGGAGATAATTCACCGATGGATCAGGAAAGTTTGCCTGGACTGTCATATTCCCAATCCCGAAACGAACTATCTACACCTGTCCAAAACAAAATGAACACCTTAAGTCGCGGAGAAGAGAGAGGTAGAAGTCGATCTAGAGCACCCACGATCATACGATCAAGAAGTCAGAGTGCTTCTCGATTTCAGAACTCTCACCCAACTCAAGTCTCTTTGCCAGTGGGTTCGATCTATCAACAAGAAGGTGAGAATAATACAGGCAATCCTTCTCCAATCATCAACGACTTGTTCAAGGGAAAGAAGTCAAGCAGAAACCAAGATTTTCGTCATCAGTCTGAGAGCCATTCTACAACATCCGACAAGTGGTATCAAGAGGGAATTTTCGGTGCCACCAAATCTGCACAGGAGAACTTGACTGAGCACTCATACAAGTTGAAGCCGAAGCAGGAATATTCTACTAAACAACCCCGCACACCTCGACGTGAACGTGAATATAGTATCATGGATCTCGTTGCACCAGACCCACCGCAGGCACTCAGATCATCCATGCCTCAATGGCAACCGTCGCAACCATCAGAGCGACCGTCGCAGCACCCGTCGCAGCAATCGTCGAAGCAATCGTCACAGCACCCGTCGCAGCAGCTGTCGAAGCACCCGTCGCAGCAATCGTCGCAGCAACCGTCGAGGCATCGAACACCAGAACGACCCAGTCTGACAGAAGAATTGTTCCTTTCCCCTACGTTGGCTACCACAATGATGGAATATAGTCATCCTACACAGGCTAAGACTAAAGCAAACGATGCAGAGATGTCTTTGAACACTACCAAGCCAATACATAAGCCCAAAGTTCATGAGCGACCGATGAACGCTGAAGCTATGAGACAAGAGCTTGCCGCGCAAACTATCATTGACAAAGAGCTGAAAGGAAAAGAGGCTGCCCTGGACGACGATCTGTTTGGTAGCACAATCGAGGAGACATCTGAAGAGATGCAGATGCGCATTGCCAACGAAAGAGCTGAGAATGCGAAGAAGCGCGAAGAATTAAAGATGGAGATCTTGCAGAGAGAGGCTGAAGCTGCCGCCGCGAAGAAAGAAAAATTGAGAATTGCAGCAGAGGAAGCCGCCGAGGAGAAGCTCTCGAGAGAAGAAGTAGAGGCTCGCAAGAAGGTCAAGAGAGATGAGGAGCGGAGACAGAAAGCATCGGCTGAGCTTGCGGCGCAAAATGAGAAGAGACGATTGGCAACAGAGAAGATTGAACAAGGCCGGAAGGAAAATGCAAGATTGGCAGAGGAGAGGGCAAAGGAAAAGGAGAGTCATGAGCGTATTCAACCTGATGCAGAGAACATGGCAAGAATCCAGGCCAACAGAGAGGAGGCCAAGAAGCTTGCCGCGAGCTTGAAATCCGCTAAGATTCCAAGCACGCTCAACAACAATGCAGCGCACCAGGGGCTTTCGAGAGCACACGAAGATGTCTTGGGCGAGCCAGAGGAAGAGAACTTATTTGTTCCTGAGATGTAAGTTTATTGTCATCAAACATCGTGACCCGGAAACTAACATTCGCTTGTAGGGCTGAAAAACAGCGCGCTATGACCAAGTCGCTTGAGCCCCTGAATGTAAGCGAGGTTTTTAGGCAAGACGACATTACACCTCAAAAGTCACTGTCCACGCAAAACAGCATTATAACCCGAGAATCTTTGTCTGTGCGAGACGACATTACAGCACGAAAATTACTGTCACCGCAAAACAACATTACAAGCCGAGAATCTTTGTCTGTGCGAAACGACATTACAGCACGAAAATCGCTATCTATGCAAAACAACATCACAGCTCGAAAGTCACTATCGACGCAAAACGACATTACAAGTCGAGAATCTTTGTTTGCGCGGAACAATATTACAGCGCAAGAATCACTATCTACGCAAAAAGAAATTACAGCCCTAGATTCCTTTTCTGCGCAAGACGACATTACCGCCCAAAAATCGCTGTCCATGCAAAACAACAATATAAAGCGAGAATCACTGTCCACCCAAAATGACATCAAGAACCGAGAATGGCTATCCCCGCAAAACGACATTGAAACCCAAAAATTACTATTTGCGCGAGATGAAATTTCAAACCAACAACTATTATTTATGCAAAACGACATTTCAAACCCAAAAAAATTATTTACACGACACGATATTTCAAAACGCGAATCATCAATTATGCGAAACGATATCATGGAGCGAAAGACACCTGGCGGACGTAGTGCGAAACAAAAAGCGGAGCGCAAAAGAAAAGATGACGAGAAATATCGACAAGCGAAATTCAATGAGCTATTCATGAAGGCGGAGGAAGATGCAAAAACCACTGGAATACCAGTGGATCGTGCACAGGTGAACGCCGATGTTGATGCAATCATGGAAGCGAAAAGTGTATGTATTCCCGAGCTCGAAAAATATCTAGATTCATGCTAATTTTAGCATATAGCAACATCTAGCTCGCCTAGCCGCAGCTAAGGAACAGCGAATCAAGGATGCCGCAACTAGCCTAAACAGATCCATGCCTGCTACTCCCCAACGATTCGAAAGTCAGTCATCTTCTACCCGACGATTTGCAGACGTGCCTTTGCCAAACACCGAAGATCGCACGAATCACCGACACGTCCAAGGATCAATGTCTTCCGCTCAACGATTTGAAGAGATGTCAGATATTGAAGAGCTCACTATCGAGCAGCAAATGCGTCTGGCCAAGAAGAAGGCATCACCTGGTCGAGGCCGTGGAGCCTCTCTCCGAGGCACGAACACAAACATGGCATCATCTGGTGGTCGAAGCCGCGGAGGCTCTGTCCAAGGCGCGATGGCATACATGGGATCTGGTGGAGGACGGGAAGGTGCTTTACGCGGTATGAATACAAGCTTGACAGCTCGTGGAGGACGACAAGGTGTTCTTCCAGACAGGGCACGCCAAGGACTTATTGCTGCTACCGGCTACAAGAAGATCGCTGCCAACACCGTCGGATATGATTCGGAGTCAGAGGAGGACCCCACGGACTTCCCGAAGCCGAAACCAGGATCATTGAAGAAGACAGGCGGCTACGGTGTCAAGGAGAACTCTAGCAAGTATTTGGAGGACGATAGTGAGGACAATGATGACTTCATGGATACGGACGAGGCCCCACGCAGTCAACGTGTACCAGCCAACCGACGAGGCGCGAACCATGGACCAATGAGACAAACCAGCGGCATGACCTCAGGAAGCACTGCTGCCAGAAACGTTGCTACTGCCCGAGCTGTCAGCGAACGCCAGAATGCAAACCTTGCAGTCCAACAACCCGGCAACCACGGGTCCCCAGGCAGTCGTGTCCTTCAGTACGTTGTCTACCAAGCCATTACGACTGACGCCTTCGAGACTACCACCACTGAAGTAGCTGGAGAAGTCAATGTTGCCAAGGCAGAGGTTGGACGTTATCCCAGTGTCAACGAAGCCAACGAAGCTATCCGAAAGCGTATGGCAAAGCCAATTTCCCGACCCCACGCTCATCATGACTCGGTCTATGACAATGGTACTGGGCTCCTCAAATGCACTGTCAAATACGACGAGGACGCGCAGAAGCAGATTATGGCTTGGGCAGAGTGTCAGATCGTCCACAAGAACCCCATTCCCGATAGCGTTCTCGACCGCATGGAGATGAAATTCGTTCCCAAGGTTTATGCTGTTGTGCAAACCATCACCAAGGAGAAGGTGGATGCTGCCACTGGCCAAGTCACATTCTATGACGAGACAAAGACCCCACAATCCGCATTCACCGTACGAAAGATGGCAAACAACAACGCTTCCGAGGAACTCTGCGCCTACATCAAGCCTAAGGCCCCCAACTACGACCATTTCAGCCAATGGCAAGGACACGTTGCGGCGATCCGGGAGGCTTGTGTTGAATGCAACAACATTGGCAACGACAACGATGATGGTGGATGGTTCAGTGCTGAGGTTGAGAATGATGTCTGTACTTGGATGGATATCAAGAAGGTTTGCATTCAGGTGGTCCAGCAGGAGATTAAGGGCCCGGTGAACTGAGGCATTTGAGATGTACATTATGTATTATAGAATTCGCCTGACTTTTGCCCGAAATTCGAGCATACATAGCATAGAACCAATAAATGCCTGACTTTATGAACTTTCAATGTGTGGCATGTGCATCCAGACAATTAACTTATATTGATTTTTTCAAAGATTTTTCAATTGTTTAACTTTATAACGGACAATTTCCTGAGCAAAAGTACTGAAATTTAAATTAGAAAAACCGTGTTTTCAAAGTTTAAACTTTGGACGAACAATTTCTTTAGCAAAAATATTAAAACTAAAATTAGCAAAATCGTATTTTTATATACTAATTTTATAATAAATAATATTTTTAAATAAAAATATTAAAACTTTAATTATAAAATTTTTTATTTTTAAAAATTATTTTTATAATAATTATTTTATATAATAAGAAAATAATAATTGAAATTAAATAAATTATATTTTAAGAATTTATAATTATAAAAAATATTATAATTTAAATTAAAGAAATTATATTTTAAAGTTTTATTATTTTAATAAATATTTAATAAAAGAATTAAAATTAAAGTTTTTTAAAAAAAAATTTAAAATTAATTTTAAAAAAAATTCAATATTATTAATAAAATTATTGAAATTTAAATCAAATAAATTTCATTTTCATAGTCTGAATTTATAACAGACAATTTCATTAGCAAAAGCACTAATATCTAAGTTAAGAAACTATACTTTCACACATTTCAAATCTTTTCTCCACTATTCTGAAGAGTATACAACTCAAACTTCCTCATCAACTCTCCCCAACGTCCCCTCACCCCACACAACATCCAACTCAACATCCCTCCACTTCTCCCTATCAACCGTATACGACAGCTCAGCCAAAATCCCCCTCCCCTCAGCAACAACCAACTTCTCCTCCTCCACCACCCCCAAACTCCTCATCACGCCCCTAAACCCCCCATTAACCTTCATCGTCCCAGCCTCGACCCCCTTCTCCCCAACCTCAAACCCCAACTGCACCAGCACCGCCGTACACAACCTCCCCAGCCCCCTCCCCTGCACCGAAACATCGAGCACCACACCTACATTAAAATTCCCATTTTCCAACAACCACAGATCTCCGTACCCGACAAACTTCCCGTTCTCTGCAATCAGGACGGCGAGTTGGTGGTAGGTGGTTAAAGATTTGTTGTAGTTGGTAATAGTGCGGGTTTTCCATGCCGAGATGTCGGAGGGCGTCCAGAGGAGCGATTTCACGTCGTCCATGTGGATGTTGTTGGCGGGGTTGGTGACGAGGGGGAGCCAGTGGGAAATGTGGGAGGGGGTTGCGCGCTGGAAGGTTAGGGCTGGGTGGGTGGGTGTTGTGAGGGTCCAGGGGGTGAGGAAGTATTTTTTTGCGGAGGGGGAGGAGAGGTGGGATGCCATTTTGGGGAGGTTTTGAGAGGATATATTTTTGGGGTGCTGTTGAAAGTGGCAATGGATTCTGAAATATGTATAACGTCTTCGTTTGTAGTCTGCGTTGTAGCTTTTGACTTGTTCTACAACTGAATGCTGTATCAGTGACTCACATAGCGGATGAGAAGTAAGCTGTTTTCCACCTTCCTCATTGGATGATCTTTCCTGCATATCTGCAGGCACATGTACTAGATTAGTGCTGTGCCACAAGCCGAGTTCTTGACGAGGAGCAATCAACCCGTGGCAGGGAAGTAGAAAATGACGAGAATTCGGAAAAAAGATTGCAATGTCAGTCATCTCGAAGCGAGCATTTAAGGGGGGTGCACAGCCAATCGCTGACAAGCATCAGTTGGCACGTGACTAATACTATACACATTGACTCAGGGTATTATAATGCTTCAGAGTTATTGCGCGTATCATTAAATCTTTGCACAATTCATAAGAAAGTTGCTTCTGATCTTAGGTAATGCAGCGACTACTCAAGTACCGAAATTCGGCTAACCATCTCGCTCTCGCTGTTACACCAACCGCCCCTTATCTCCCCAACCGAGGCCCCTACATTTGAGGCTTAGGTTGTATAACCTCTGGTCTGAGTCCTGCGACGTGCAACAAACAGTTACCGAGTGCTCTGATTTGCCGGATGTCTGCCGGTGGGCGTATAGTCAATGCAACCCTGAGGCCACCTGGGGCTGTACAGCAGGGCTACTTTGAGCGGATGTCGTCATATGGCTTTTTTGGACAATGTACTCGAATACAGGTGATATTGCGCTTTTGCATGAATGTCTTGGTCGGTGGAGGAGTTGGGGTAGATGATCCTGGGTTGCGTTGAGGGATGGGAGGTGTTGACCATGATGTGCGGTTGGGGAGGGATCACCCGGAGGTTTTGGGGGAACCTAGAGATGGTGGATGAGTTATAGGGATGGGAGAGATGAGGATTTGGGGATATTGTTTGGAGTTTTTGGTGAGGTGTGGCAGCGAGAGACGAAGCGCAAAGCGTCAGAAGGATATCGGTAGGTGAATTTCTGATAAGCTACATTTGTTCAAAATGGACTGCATTCACGTTGGTATCTGCTGTGTCATTCTCTAAGGCGAGAAATTTGAATGGCAGTGCCGTCTTCTCAGAGGTAAGAGACATCCTCAATCGATTTTCTCCAAGGTTGTCGAGTAAAGTCTTGGGTCTCCGGGATAGAGCACTTCTATCGTCAACATCATAGCGATGCCTTGAAGCTCTAGTTCTCTGCTTCCAGTACATACGTCTATTTGTATCCGCTTTCAACTCTTCATATCTTCTCGCTCCAAGCATTGATTTCTTTTCGAATCTCGCTCAACCTCTTCTGCTGTTTCTCATACTTGTTGTACATATCCTGGCACACGCTATCCGCTTCCACATACCTATATCAACATTAGCACACTCCCAAATCCACGCATAGGAATACAGAACATACCTCCACGCCTCACCTCCATAATTCCCATACTTCTCATACTCCCCATAAGCCTCCTCCTTCGCAATATACGCCTGTCCACACTTCAACTGCTCCTCCTCCTGCAAATCCTTAATACGTTTCTGCTCCTTCCTCAACCACGCAATCTTCTCCCCCACCTTCAGCGCCTCAAACTCCATCCCCTTAAACTCTCCTTTCCAGTCATCCTCGCCCTGTTCTTTCTTCCCCGTCCCATCTTCCGCACTCCTCAACGCAAAGCCCGCGCCTTGTATAATCCCGTTCCTCTTCCCAAGCCCGAATAATCCGTATCCGAGAGTCAGAGAGCCTGCAGTAAGGCCTGCGAGCTCCCATGGGTTGAGCTTCTTGTAGTTCGAGTAGACGTATGCGGCGATGCCGGTGTAGCCTAGACCGGCGATCAGGCTATCGATGGCTCGTGGAGGGGTGGGAAGCTCGTGGGGGAAGAGAGTTTGGTGTTTTTGTTGGCGGATGTGTGTTCGTTTTGCGACGATGGAGGGACGGCGGTTTTCTTCTCCCATGATGTCGTGTCCGTTGTGTAGGTCTTCGTTTCTGGCACTTTCGAGGAGTTCAGGGCGGGTGGTTTTGAGGAGGATGGGATTGGAGATAGAGAGAAATAATGCTGAGAGGCGACATCTTTATAAAAGTCTGCGGTCTGAGAATTCTTAGTTGCGTGATAGTGCTGTTGGTGGTGAGAGAAAATGTGGTTCGGAGCTCCACAGCTTTATCAGAAATGGTGGGTCGAGAATGACATCATTGGCCCACTTCCTCTTATACACATCCTTTGAAAGCTCAAGAATGTATCCTAACCTGGAATTTTGAGCATGAGACCTTAGTCTCCATAACATGCAGTTTTCATGATTGAATAAATACATTGAAAGTTTAAAAGTACTGAGTTGTGGAAGTAATCCAGGGGCGGCTTCGCTTACGAGTTACAGCGCTTCACTCGCCCCTTTTCAACCCGAGCTAAACTAGGCTCGATGGACCGGCCGAAGAGCTCCTCGTCGAGCGGGATGGCGTTAGCCAAAGCCGCGGTGAAGAGAAGAGACTTGACGAAGCTAAAGAGCATCTTGAATAAATAAAAGGCCGTGTATCGCCCTGATTCAAACCTGACACAAGATCGGGGAATGGTTGATAAAACAGCAGGGCAGCCTGAGTTTTATCTTCCCCTCTCCATTGCCAAGATAAGGGTATCGCAATTCAGATGCACTTTACAGCTTTTCAGCCTAAGTAAACTCCCCGGTCAATAATACCATGGACGTAACAATCGCCCAGAACTTGATATCGGCCCCACTGCTTCAATTCGCGGAGAACGAAAGGCACGGAGCACCAGAAAACAGCACAATTTTGTCCCTAAGTTCAATGGGGAAAGGGATAGACCAAAATAGCCAGATTCCGTAATGAAGAATTTCCGAGAAAAAGAGATATTGGGCATAGTCGTCCGGAACAGGGTAAGTGGTCGCTTAAATACCCATATTGCCTACAAGTGCTCGCCAGAATGCTTCGGCAACGGGTATTTTCCTCATGGGGATGGATGTGGCATTGAGAAGTCCGCCATTCGAGCAAAAGCCTGTAGTCTCACCGAAGGGCCTTGCATCGCTAATTCCACGGGCGAGATCATTTTGATCTTGCTCTATAAATTTTGCGGTACCCTGCGTCGGTGGCATGCAGAAATTGACGCTTGATGGACGCTGAAGTCTGGGGTGCTATATTGTAATCGTGTTAATCCACCTCAAAGGTCAGTTTTCGATGCCCGACAGGATGTTGAGTGGTCCCGAGTCGATGGAGTGGAGTACGACACCACGGTAAACTTTCTCCACAGGCTTCCTATTATTTGCAAGATGCGCTGCTGGCAAAGCCATGGCGCCATCACTCCGACAGCCAAGAAGCCATAATCTTGCCGTGTTGGCTGGCATTAAATTTCATCCCAACAAGAAAGGTCCGTAATCTTTCAGCCTTAACCACGTCTTCTCGAATATCTGACCTGTTCCTACTCTCTCCAACCTACTATTGTATCATCAAGGTCATTGGGCATTTGCAGTAGCGCCGGTCAGTGGAATTATTTTTGATTGAAATCCCCAGCCTCATAAGCCAAGCACTAAGTATGTTTTGGAGAGAGAGAGTCCACTTTGGGTTCCTTGGAAACTTGGTTAAGCTCCTTAAACATTGTCGTTAAAACTTGACAAGACGGATGTGAGAGAAAAGGGGTCAAGTCAAGTGTGATTAGCTAAAAAGCGAGAAGGGAAACACGTGACGATATGGTAAATCCTTTCAGGATTCTCTGGTTCCTCTGGCAAGTCGACTGAGCCGCGTGTGATTTGAGCCTGAGCCTGAGAAACAAGCTTACCAACCGCATACGGGACACAAGAATGGGAAAATTGATTCATGATGCCGCAGAATCGAGGAGGGGCATGATGGAATGCACGTGTCGACAGAAACTGATGAATTCACAAGTCCGAACGTAGGCAGTGCGCGCAGGTACGGACAGAAATTCAATCTTCAATATCTCACAAACCTCGCTATACTTGGGATGATAAGTGTCAGCGAAAGTTATTGAGAAGTGCTACTATTTCCCATCTTTCCTGATCGTTTCCAAAAGCCACTGAATCTGTTGGGTCACGCTGATTGGATGGCGAGAAGCTTCAAAAGCTCGTCCAAGTCTGAAAGGGTCCAAGACTTGAACGTTTCACTCAGCATGACGTCCACTGGAAGCTTTCTCTTGCCACTAGTACAAGAAATGCCCGTATCGGCCCCGTGCTCTATAAGCAACTCGCAAATCTTCACACGGACTGCTGCAAGGGCTTCACCTTGACTTTGAATCTCGAATATTTGGCCTTTTGAAACCACAAATTGCTCATACTGCCAGCGCAAAGCATTTTCCCAACAAGACCTTTCTTGAAATTTCTGGTTTGGATTCGCTCCGTGGTTGAAAAGCACACGAACGACAGCTGGGGTGATCAGATTGTAATCAATTCCCGGAGGAGGATTCAATGCGTAGTCCAGTAATGGCCGCGCCTTCTTTGATTTCATGCTCTTGCTGCTTTGAGTCAACCTTCCGCTCAAAAACTTGCTAAGCCCATATTGTACTACCAGCGACAGAAAAGAACTTTCCCACTCAATCGGCTGAGGATTGGTGGGATGAAAGTTAGACCAGTGAAGTGCAGCATGCGTTTTTGCTTCCCAGCCGTTGTCGGGCTTGGTCATGTTCTTGAATACAATAGTCTTCTCAAACCAGTGACCGTGGCTGTCCTTGAACATATTTTCGTGGTGATGGGACATTGTCATGTCCAACTGGGTCAAGAGGCCGTCATAAATCTTATTGGTGTCATTATCCGACTCGAAGTAGTGTCCACAGGTCAAAGCCGCCGTTACAAAGTGCCAGAGAAGAGTCCTGGAGCGTGGATTATTGAGAATTTTGAGATGATGCACAGCAGACTTTAGTAAAGACAAGTATGGGTCAAAGCTGCTCCCCTTGGTGCATGCTAGAAACTTTTCCTGTACTTCAGGTCTGCACAGATATTCTCTTGCCGATCGATGCGAGAACTGGATTTTTGAGAACGGATCAACTTTGCGATTAAGTTGTGGTTGAACATGGAAAAATCCATGCCATCGGCCTCTGAGACGCATTGCCATTTCTTCGCAGTGGTAAAGCAGTTCTCCTTCATCCCATGGCCGAATCTCCGCCGAGATACCATCTTCCGGATCATCGTTCGCGAGGGTGAGATCAATTAATGTCAACGGCTCCGCGTCATCGTCGCTTCCGGTTGGAGATGATCGTATGCTCCTACTAGCTAAGACAATCTGGAGGATTTCTGATGCTGCGGCCATATATATAGGGTCTACACCTGCCAGCATGTGTTCGTACATGAGTTCGAGTTCTTGAGGCATCTGTTGCAACCTCCTCTCCAACATTGCAATGTCATCCCGGTTCCTCAGCGCAGAGTGAAGAGAGCGAACAACAAGGACTACCCATAAGAAAAGTCCATCTGACTTATCCACTATCTCATGAATCAGTGCAGCAGCTGCCTTTGGCTCTTTCTCAGAAAGCCGCTGAAAGTTCTTGTCTTTCTCAAGTCGATCAGATACAAAAGCTCGGATGTCGTTACCATTTAAGTCATTAACGCAAAGTCCCGGAAAAGGCTGGAAGGCATGCATGAAAGCTGGCAAAGGTCTACTCGAGACAACTGCTTTGACGTTTGGCGAGGAAGTTATATTGTGGAATAAATCAATGATCTCAACATGATCGCCATCATACTCATCTAAACCATCAACGAGGATGAATAGCTTGAGCGGAACGATTTTCTGTGTGATAAGACGTCTGAAAGCCGATTGAATTTCCTGCGGGTGTCCCGGCTGAAGCGGCAAGTCTTCAATCAGGCGGTCGGAGATGCCCGAGTATAACAGAGCCCAATGGTGGGGAAACACAACTGGGATGAGTTCTCTTTGTTGCACGAGTACGGTATAAAGGAGTGACCGTAGAAGCCCCTGCTGAGACCTCTGCATGAGGGTCCCGCTGTTCCAGAAGAAAAAGGCGGCCGTACTAAGCTTGTGAGGCAATGCCCATTCCGTCAAAAGCTCATGTGTAATTGGAGAGCTGTATATATGCTTCATCAATGTAGACTTTCCAGAAGCTTCCTTGCCATTCACCCAATATATTCCGTATCCTCGACTGAGCCACTCAGAAAAGCTACTCCACTTATCATCAGGAGGAGCTCGATCAAAAATCCACTCGAAAGTGCTGGTATGAGCCTCTCGGATTTCTTCCATGCGATAGGACATCACTGGAAACCTGAGATGTTCCAGTAAACGGTTTCCGACCTGTTCTCTGACCTCTTCCTCGGTTTGTTGTCGCTTCTCTGGTACAAACCCTGAGCGTAGATCGTCCAAGACATTTGCATTGGTAGGCTGTTTTCCACCTCTTTTGACTGGTAAATCTGCGCGATCTTTAAGCGCTAACAAGTGATGGACTGCGATCACTTGATTTCGAAGTTCTGGTGCTGGGACTTTTAATTCGGACTCATCAATTAGAGCCCTGACAATGGTCTGCGTCTCACTGTCGAGTTCTTGAAAACGTTCAGATCTTTGTATAGGCAGTAGATCATTCCTGTGCACCTTAGTACAGTTACTGAATGTACGGTCCTCATATTCAAGTCTTACTTGATAGTCATCAGATGTATGTCCAAATTTTTGCGGATTGTAGCAAGTCTGCGATTGAAGTCTTCAATTCGATCTGTTGGCAACACGACCTTGGGCGCTCTCCATTTGCTAGTGGAGGGACCTTTCAACACCTCGAACTCGCTGATAATTTGTGTAGCTAGAGTTCGGTATTCGACACTCATCTCCATTATGGTCTTCTCAGCCTCGTCATCCCGGTCTCCCATTAGATCATTCCAGTCTGGTAACTCTGCTCTTGCAATCAATAATTGCCCAATGATAGCATTGACATCATTCAATTCAGTCTTCTCAAAGGTTCCGTTTTCAGCAATTGACTGTCGTTGCTCGTTCGCAACGAATTTACTTGCGAGATCAGTGAACTGAACTATCGAAGCGGCCAAATCGAGACTGGTCAGTGGATCCATAGCCACACTTCGATGCTATCTGTGTATGACTGATTTAATTAAGCTTCTTCCTGGTAGAATTGTACATGTATCAAGATGACTGTTGAGTGTTTGACAGGCGATGATATTGGAATCCTGGGCAGATGGTAAGCCTCATTCTTATGTCTCGGTCGTGGACAAATCACAGAGGACCGGCCCGCCCACACACATAATACGGAGCAAGTGAGGCTTTTTTGATTTTTACTGGCCATGTAGAAGATAACTTGTTTTATCAGCCAATTTATTGCTTCTCGCCTGCATATCTAAAGTCTTGTATTTGATTCACTAGTTTCCTTTCAAATGGCTGCCGTGACAACTCCAGACCGTGCTGACAGGCTCGAATCCTCTGGGTTCTCTTCGCATCGCTACCTCAGCCTCGCGATGACAATGGACAAGGACGAAGGAACGGCCATTTTCCGGCGCTTTGGAGATCTCAATATGTTGAATCTCTTGAGCCTCCAAGCTGAATTGATGAAGCTTAGAAATGATCTACAAGAGTCATGTGTCCAAAACGCGACGGAGGCCGAAGACTACGCTCGAGGTTACCTTAACGCATACTCCCTACCATCGCGTGCAAATGAGGAAGAAACGGAAGCTTCCATCGAGAAGAAAGAAAAGGAGAAGTTGCAACTTCTGATAAGCATCCGGAACAAGCTGAGAGAGTACAGTGAGCTGAGGTTTTCTGAATCACGTGAGACGACTGGCTGATCTACATCAAGATAGTGCTCTGTTAGAGGCTGCTCAGATCAGAAACCTTGAACCACCCGATAAAGACGACATTGAATACCTTCGTGCTTGGCTCAGGCCCGAGTTCAGAGGTAAAGACCTTAAAGACAGCGATCGGGCCTGCTGGGACCCCGAAAACAACGACGACTTAGTGTCCATTAAGAGCCAGTTGGAAAAAGGCAATAAAATCATCACCAACTTCAAATTCGCTGTTCAAATAATTCAATATAAACTGTGGGGATATCGAAAAGTAAGCCACTGGGCAGATTGGAAAGAAGTCAACTGACAGAATTCTTTTCAATTTAGATGACAAGCAACCAAGCAAACTCTAACGTAATTCACTTCGGAAAGGAAGAAGGTCGTCTCAGCCGTACAAAGATAGAGAGGAAGACTGCTTTCGTCTCACGCCTCGTGATGGCATTATTTGGAGGAATTGCGCTCATCGTGCCGACAATTATCATGGCAAAGCATCAAGATCTCAACTTTAGCCTCGGCACAACATCTATAGCAACACTGCTATTTGCAATCATTCTGGCATTTGGCGCAAGGGATAGTACTGGCAAGGACGTATTGGCGGCAACAGCTGCCTATGCAGCAGTTCTTGTTGTGTTCATTGGCACGGGTCTTGCTTCAACTACCACAACATCGACCATTTCCGGGGCAGGAATCACTTCAGCAAGTTCAACATCAGCACAAGCTACTACTTGATATTAGAGATAGTGTTCTTTGGCATTTTTACTTTCTATAGTAATGTTCATTCTCTAGCTTTTACTTTGCACTTCTCACCTTGGCTTTCATTACTTGCCTGTTGCAGCATGAACTCCAATACTCCACGAAAACTTAAGAAGCGAGTACACAGTTCTTACACAGCTCATACCTCGACTTACTATTGCACTATGCGCTTCAAGATGAGGCAGCATTCGGAAATGATGATACTCAAAATGCATCATCTCTTGTCTCTGGCTCTCATACTCGTCTCTCTCTTCCTGTCTCTTGGCGGCTTCCAGAGCAGCTTCCTCGTGACAACAAGGACAGTAGACGAAGGTTTGAAAATACTCGTTTGTGGGGCAAACGAGACATGATTCTCCGTTTCGGGCTTGGATACAGAGATCGATGTGGGCTTCGGGAGAGGTGTGGAAGCAGAGAAAGAAGAGCCAGGTGTAAGTGCACATGTTGAGGAGTTGGTGGATGGTGTGAGTTGGTTGACGAAGATCCATTTGTTGAGATGAAAGGAAGTAGGACAATAAGTATTGTACGCACTAGAGCTGTCTCAAACGATTTCAATGTATTTCTTCACTTTGAAGTTTCGTTAATAAAGAAATTTTACATAGAAACAATGGTATTGTGCAGGATTTTAATGGTTCTTTGTTTCGAAATGATTGCTTTCTTTGAATACCAACATGCCTGATTCCTGTTTCATGCCCCTCCCAGTGGATGATCTTAATCAGAGCTTTTCTTAGAACTGGTGGAATTTCTTTCAAGTCGATACAGCTTGAGCTTCTAGTTCAAACCAGTTTTCAAGATAGGCTTCGTCTTCCCATCATATTTAACCTTCCTCATCCACTCTTCCACCGTCTTAATCCTATTGGGCATGATCTCATCCAGAAGCTTATAGTCTCTAGCCCACAAACCAGTATTGCCACCACTCTGCTGAAATATCCCCCACCAAGGACCAAAGTGCTCGGCCGCAGTCCACAAAGTCGGATCGTCGTACCCAGGTGAGCCCTTCAGACCAATCTTCCCCTTGGGCATCATCGCCATAACTGCATCCAATGGAACATCTTCATATATCGCTTTCTTCCCAGTGACAGCCTCAAAAGCTGCTGCCGTCTCGGCACCAGTCACGTGCGCAATCGCAACTCCCAAGTTGAGACCTGCGAGCGATCAGGGTGCTCGAATGCCCACTTAACATATTCAGCGAGATCATCGAGAGATACGAGAGGCATGGCACCGGTTGGACCAAGCGGTAGGCGAAAGACGTAAACTCCATCTTTGTCCTTGACGGGAACATTGGTGGCTTCCCAGAGACGCTCAGCATATGGTCCTGACGAGATGATTGTCCAAGCCATGGGGTCTGTTGGCATGGACTGAAGATACTCTGTCTTTGATCAGTAATCTAATCCCAATAGCTCGAACAACCTAAGATACTTACGATTAACCTTGCCTTTCCCATCCACAAATGGCACTCTGGATTTTGGATCAAATCTACCATTCAAACTGACGTACGGCAGACCTCCGTAGACAAAGTGCTTGACGCCAGCCCATCTGGCAACCTCATACATACGAATACCCCAGTAGATCTCATTCTTCTCGCCAACGGCAAAACCATTCGTGTTGACGAAGCAGAGATCGATATCTTTGAACGCCGAGACGAGGTCTTCCTCGTTGTAGCAATCTCCTTCCAGGAGTTTGACGTTGGGAAGGGAACCTAATTCGGCTGCGTGGGGAGAGGTGAGAGAGCGGGTTAGGACGTGGATGTTGTATGTTCCTGCTGCGGAGAGGACTTTTGTAACAGCTCCGTTTTGGGCTCCTGCTCCGCCGAGAATGAGAACAGTTGGCTTAATAGATGATGACATGATTTAGTGTGAATATAAAGTGGGTGAAGTTGTGTTGGGATGAAGGCTTTGGAAAATGATTGAGTTGAAAGAAAAAAAGTGGGTTGAGGGCAGTATTTATTGATTTCTGTTCCACGGAGGATTTAATATAACTCTCATCCCATGCTCATATCTTACTCGCTGTATCCTCGGATGTACAGTCTTTCGACATTGAGTGTAATCGGGACCAGAAGTAATCAGGTAAGATATTTCCAAGCAATGTTGCACAAACCGCGGCCACAAGCTTTGATTAATGATCAGCTTGAAAAGAATCGTCCTTGAAGTCGGTATACACCAGTCAGTCTTGCAGGTTCCTGCATGAAGCACTCTGACATGCCACTCAATCTCGACAAATCATCGAGGAACCAGAATCATAAGCGGACGAAAAGGGGGAGAGGATCGCAAGCGAGGTGTCAAAGTGGGGGGCGGGGTAGGTCACGTGTGCCGTCAGACGATGACCTCAGTAATGGTTCCCGAACCTGGAACTCTATGAACCTATACCACCACTGACTCCGTCTCAATATCCGATGGGAAAATGGGAGAATGTTCCAGCCCGACGCAAGCTGATTTGAATGAGGAGCTGGAATCAATTCTACAAGCCAACATTGATGCTGGAGCCCCAGGTCTTTCCGCAGCAATCAGCGCCTCTCGGGGAATCGTATGGCAATCCACGGCAGGATTCGCAAATATAGAATCTCAAGAATCGATCAGCAAAACCCATCTATTCGGCATAGGCAGTATCACTAAAGTGTTCGTCACCGTCATCATACTTCAACTCATTGACGAAAAGCTCCTCAAGTTATCGGACATTGTCAACGAATTTTTGGACAAAAGTATCTTCTACAAGATCGAAAATGCCAGCACAGCCACTATCGGAGGACTATTGAGTCATACGGCTGGTGTTGAGAGCTGGGAAGATGACCCGAAATGGATCGTCGAAGGGAGGGGCAAGGAGTTGGACACGAGTTGGATCTGGGGAAAGACGGATACGTTGGAGTATATCAGACGACCATCTTCACTTACGAGAGGAAAGTACTCCTATGCGAATACGAACTTCACCCTCCTGGGATTGATCATTGAGAAGATTACGAAGCATTCAGCAGAAAGCGAGATACGGCGAAGAATCCTCGAGCCTCTAGGCTTGAAAGATACATTTCTGGAGGGATTTGAAGAATGTCCAAGACCGGAGTCTGGAAGAGTTCCTCATCGTTATCACTACGCTACAGACAAGTTCCGCGAGAACGCTGGGATATGTCCGTCATTTTCTCAACACATGTGGAAGAAAAACTCCCTCATCGACGCAACAGGGTCAAACCTATCCGTAGAATGGGTTGCTGGCGGAATGGTCACTTCTCCATCCGACCTCCTCAAGTTCGTCACTTCTCTCCGAGACGGAAAGCTCTGCAGTCCAGCATCCATGAAAATCCTAAAAGCATGGCAGCCGGCAGATGGAGCGGAAATGGGTCATGGACTCTTCCGAATCAAAAGTCCGTCCGGAATGTGGTTAGGTCATAATGGTAGTGTGCTGGGCTTTACGGGTGCGGTTTGGTGGAAAGAAGATGCTGATTGTGTTGTTTGTGTTTTGGCGAATGTGGGCACGATGCATTGTGGGGATGTTCCTTCGAGTTCGGCGCATGTTGCGCTGAATCCGCGGTTCTTGGAATTGGCCACGGAGCTGGCTGCATATGAGGCTTAAAGCAATGCACCCACTGGTTGAAGGTTGTAACTGCAGATGGGCTTAGGCCGATGGGCAGGATTTATCGTATTGTTCTCGAGAGACGAAAATCTATCTCCCTTTTCAGAGATGGAGAAAGTAATGGCACAATGAAGTAGCTTATGTACATGTACAGGTGCTGATAAGACTCTGATTCCTCATATCACCTTCATGTTTCAGTTCTGTCACTTCGCCCCTCTAGCCAACTTCTCAGCTATCTCCGTCGAGTCAAGTGCTTAGATTTTCCCCGAAGGTTGTTGAAAGAAGACCTTAGCCTTCGACTCATCTAGGCTTTTGTTCCTACTTCGAAAGTATCCCCTCTCTGATGTTTCTCTGCGCTCTGGACAGTTGCCTGTTGTATTGATCTTCGACTTTCTTGGTTCAGGCCACTGACACTCATGGCCTTGCATTTTTTCTACGCATCTTACCAGCCTTCGGTCCTTCTCATGGCCACACTCAGATATCAGGATACGCCAGCGGCACATTTTAGATAACCTGGGGTACTCGGAACACTAGATTTAGATCAACGAAAGCATTGATAACGAGACGTATATCAACATTTTTAAGCGATTACTGTCATCGTTCGCTACATTGACTCTAAAATGCAAGAATCACTAAGAGTGAGTCACCGAGACAACTCACCGATAGAGCACAGTTTCAATCAGTCATTCACTTTCAACCCATTGCTCTGTATGAGCACGTCTTACTCTCCGATCATACTCCTCAACTCCATGCATCACCGACCCATAGACCATGCAGACACGACAAAAGCAACATCAGATCCACGACCAAATCAACCACGGCCCGTATTCCTCCCATCGGGGTTCAATGGCCTTCTCCATGCCGCTCTCCTTTCCTACATCTCTACCAAGTTCCGGCTCCAACTTCATCTCCGCTTCCTCCTCCGTCTCCGATTCGAACTCCTTGAAGTGTTCATCGTCATGAAAGAAGCACACTCGGCGCTTCTCCCTCTTCTTGCTCAAGCGTCTCATGATGGCGTAGAAGTGGCAGGTGTCGACGGGATGGGTTCGGCTTCTGCATGGAGTGCGGCTGGGAAGTAGTGAATAGCGACACTTGTGAAGTTTGGCGGGCTTGGTAAACATCTTGCCTTTGTTGTTGGACGTTTTTATTGTGTACATGATGTGGGTCGGTAAGGACTGTAGGTGTTGTTGGACTGCAGAACTGAATCAAACTTGATGATGGCCTCAAGGTGGTGTGGAGGCAGATCGGAAGAGGTTTGGGATCTTTTGGTGTGAGGAATTGTGCTTTATTTATAAAGGCGAAACAGCTGAGAACGGAGAATGTGAGTCAATTTGCAGAGTGTTGAAAGTGAAAGTGGACATCAGCAAACCAGTCACATGTTCTTTGTGACTGTCTGAAGCCATGCCCCCCCTAGTGGTGAATATATCTCCAGATGGAACTTTTCCCTAGGAAGAAAACAGGTTTGAATACAAGAGTATATGATATGGGCCGAAGCTATTTGTCTAGAACATGAGGAGACAATGTTGACCTTGAGAGGGATGAAAAGCGGGAGGGGGCTGATCACGTGGGGAGTATATCACATTACCTAAGTGTTGCGTAGAGAGTTTTGATATTCAATTTCACATTACAAAACAGTCTTCAAGGTTCCAGGTGAAGAAACTACCCGCTGTTAAAGCTTGCCCAACTAGTGCAAAGTCATCGGTTGAAGCTGTAAAGTGGTTCATCACGGGACTTGGTGACTGAAAGTCTGGTTTGAGAAGGAGCATTCAGATTCACTAGCGTCCGAACTCGCACCCGAACTCGCACCAATTTCCATTGAGGGAATTCTACTGACTTTCCCCTCATTTTCTCTCTTCTTTTCTCCAACCTTTTCCAATCTTCAACTCAACAACAACCAACTCTCGACTGTGTACAACAGCTCTATACAGTTCGTTCGAAGCATAGGGATACTCTACAACCTTCCGACGCGTTTGGAACAGTGAAGACGTCCTCTGTTAACATGCCGCGCACTTTGTTGAAGCTCGTTGGAGCCTTCCTTACTTTCATCACCATGGTAGGCAATCCGTTCTTCTCACCATCAAGAGTTGACGGCTGACACTCTACTGACAAGGCTGCCGCCGCAACTGTCCCAATCTCTAGAGGTACTTCAGTTAATGACCTCGAGGCTGTTGATATGGCCTTCACCGGTACCATTCATGGCGTCGCTGTCCAACTCAACGGTAGCTCTGCTCAGGTGCGTATTCGTGAACGACGCGTCATTCGCAAGTAAGCTGATGCATAAAAGCACATCTACCAACAGTTCTCCACCCTCTACCCTGAGGTTGTTGCCGATCACAACGCAAATAACCCCGCTGTCGGTACTCTCGAGGACTACTTCACATGGTATCCTGTCAATGCTTCCGTCGCTCCTCGTGGCACTGGCACTCCTCTCATTGCTCGCAACAAGGTACTTCTCATTCCATAGTCGTCAATCGTTTACGAAGTTGCTGACAGTGAGCTCAGATGCAACCTCCCCTTTGTTGGCCAGTTGGAAATTGGGGATGGGGTACGACTTATGTGGACCGCATCCAACAAGGAATTTCCTATCTGAACCATCTGGGAGGAAGAATCTATCTTGACGTCGGAGCAAGATCACGTATCAGCTGCTCGTATAGTGATGCTATCTATGCAAATAATGACGTAAGTTGATGTCATAGTTTGATCTCAACACATTCTTTTGTTTGTATTTGCTAACAAGGGAAAACCAAACAGAATCCTTACCCAATCAATCCAGCCACCGTGTACTTGGCCTCCTACGCCCAAGACCTTATCAACTTCTGCCAATTTCAAGATCCAAACAGTAAATTTTGGATGGTCTGTGGACAGGAATTTGATTCAGATAACTACAACGTCGTCGTCCGATACGATAGCACCCAAGGCTGTGGATAAGGTTTGCGTGGTATGTTCTGACTCTTACTTACCCCAGCAAGAGAATATATGCAGACATAATCAGGCAGGGAGAGATTTCGGGTTGTTATCGTAGCTTACTTGCATTTAAGAACATGGGTCGCTGTCTCAGACTTTTGAGAAAGCCTAATACTTTGCATTGCTCAGGAAGGTATTTCACCGCACAGGTAGTGATCCTTCAGATCTCTGGCTTGGTAGAACAATGAATTCTCAATATATGCAAGCTTTTCCAACCTTGGTGATGTTGTCTGTGGTGAATGATTTCCATTGAAGTCAGAGTTCATTTCTAGAGTATCTACAAGGGAACTTGAGACACAAAAGGTGCACGCATGATGATATGATAATGTAATGAGCAAAATACATTAAATTCTCATAAAATCGGGGTTAATATCTCCCAAAATCCATCTCAGCTAGCTCTCACTGCACAATCTACCACTTCTTAATTTCAGCACTAGCTCTCAATTCACCCGCTCTCTCACTCCACTGGCCAGTGCTCTCACACTACACTGCTCTCTCGTTGCATAACATGGCTACATATGCAAAAAGTAATGTAAGAAGACATGACAGCGTAAAAGCTGCGACTCAACTGAAAGGGAATTGGAGCTGCGTAAGCTTCATTGGGAATGCCCATGGCTAGATAAAGGGAAGGAAGTGCTCGGGTAGAGCTGTGGATACTCTTATTTCTTGGAAACCAACCTAAGCGCTTTTGTGTTAAGCTAAAGTAGTTCTACAGCCCTTGAGAATAAGATTTTGCTCATTTCTATTTCTTTTGTTTTTTACTTTACATCGGTTTTTGTGCGGTGCTGAGAGCACGTGCAAGTGTGGTCACGGAGCTGGTGCAGTGAGAGCTAGAGCATTGAGGTAGAGCTGGCAGAGCTGATCGTGGAGCTGGAAAGCGATGTAAAAGTGTTTCATACTTAGATTTTATAGAAATTCGTTGGGCATTTTAAGCATTTTAGTTTTCCTACATTGATATATGTACGAGTATTGTGCAGTGAATTCTTCCCGTAAATATCGATGGTAGAGAACAAGTGCATCCATGCCCCGAACAAGTACACCTCCCTTAAATTCTTGCATAATTATGTTATTCTGCAAAAAGAAGCTATTTTGAAATGACGTATATTTCCATTCTATGAGCTCACAACGATAAAATATTACTTCACCAGAAAGGGAAACCCAGTCAAAAGAAATGATACCTGTGGAGCCACAAAGCCACGCTCAAACACTTCTCACCCTCACCTCTCAACCCAGGAAGAAGCCCCCAAACAAGCACAGGTCAAACTCAAATTCCAGAGCCGTCACCTTTCTCCTCCGATTCCACCTCTCCCTCGCCTTTCCCCTTCAACCCATCAATCCATTTATTCCACGGCAAGAGAATCATCAAACACCATGTGAGAAGAATGGTGACTGTCAGAGGAACGGTGATGGCCCAGTAGTACCGGGAGGCTGGTTTCATGACAGGTGCACCATCTGCGTCCCAGTCGAAGACTGGCATTGCGAAGACTGCCTGTTTGGGAGTTAGTCCAACTCTTTCTCGAGTTGGCAGAACAAGGCTAGGAAAAGAACATTCGTAAAGTTACTTACAGCAATGAATGTCCCTGGCAGGAATACCATGCCGAGGATTGAGATCGTCTTCATGGCAGTGCTATCTTTCTTGCTTTCTAAGGCTATCGTTCTCATGATGGCGCTGTCTTCTTTGCTGGCTTTGGCGATGGCTGCTGAGCTTCGGGCGAGCTCGATGTTGACTTTTGCGTCTTTTTGTGCCATGTATTGGTAGAACTAGATAGTCAGCTTCATCTGTCCATTTCTTCCAAGTCTGTGCGGAGACCTAGATACTTACGACTTGTAGCAGGACATTGCATTGCTTGATTAAGGTGTTCGTTTCAATCAGATTAGACTCGCAAAATCTCAACAGCAGGTGTAACCTCTCATCAACCAACGTACTTTCGTGCGATGTACTGCTTTGTTGGAACTCGTCTGTCGATTTCTTGAACATCCGCAACTCCTCTAATACTTTTAGCAATGAAGTAAAATGTGCCTCTAGTATAGCAGCATCTTGCCCGATCATATTCAGTGCTCGCGATGTAGACAGAAAGTCTATCTCATAGAACTCCCTGATTTCGCTCTCTGCCGCATCGTCTAGATACTTAAAATGGCCGGTTCTTTGGTTAATATCTCCAAGATTGTATGCCTGGTCCGATAATCTTCTGCTGAGAAACTTCGTCGCGAAGGATATTACATCCAATGCCGTCCAGATTGGGCTGGAATAGCATCCCAAACGCTTTTCTAGCAGGCTCAGGAGTTCTTCCCCAAAGTGTGGTTGTTTGGAAAAGAGAAGAATTTGCGTCATATGTGTCTTTGTGTCGTAGCAAACAACGAATACGTTTTCCAGATGATAATCGTACGCTGGGAGTTGTATCACGAACCCTATAAATTCGTCAATAGTTGCGAAGAAGCCTAGCAGGATGGAGGATGCAATACCAATGTATCTTTGAGCGTCTTGTCCATCGTTTGACGTTGAATACTTGTGACCATGAAAAGTCATTTTTAGTCGATGGGCAGGAAGAACGTCAGAAATCTCCTTGATACTGGAGCAAAGAAGCCGAAAGGCCTTCTTTGTACAGTTTAGTGTTTTCTGGATTGATGTTCTTTCATATTTAGTGATTCTACAACATATTCTCAGCATGGAAATCTGCACCCTACGAATGTTTTTTTTTGGCGGTCGAGTGAGTTCCTGCTGAGCAACGAAACATATAGGAGATAACAGAACATTACACAGGTCTTGGCCATTACATCGGAGATAGGTAGTGACTTGTTGTATATATAGTGTTAGAACAATCACCCCAGTTTAAGATATCGGGTCCGAATTCAAAGAGCATTTCAGGCAGAACAAAAGCAAGGAAGAAAGCCAGCAACCTTCGGAAAGTATCTAGACTAGTACCATATTAAGAAGGTACGATACTCATAGAAGTCTGCCCGAGCACAGAAAGAAATAATAATATTCGGAATAAAGATGAGGTACTCACACCAGTCGAAGCCCGGATACTGGAACTTGTGATCTCTCATCAGAGGACTGTATTTCGGGAATCTGGACTAAATCAGCGAGAAAGCACAAGGAATTTATGCTTACATTTTCAAACCAAGCTGCCAATGAATCGTCATCATTCACACGACCTTGGGTCACTACAGGCTCTGTGCTATCAGGATATAAAAGACAGTCGCACGTCGTGCACTCAGTCGTCTCTGCACACAACCAGCTCTCTGGCATGGTATACCTCTCATCCGTGATATCTTCCATACCGGCTTCGGCGGTGACTCAGGAGGCTGATTCTTTCGAGAATTGGGACGAGGCTGGCGGCAAGCGCAACAACCAGGCTTCGAAAACCAACACAGAGACACACGTTATGATTGTGTGACAGCAGCAATAATAGATGGATACTTGTTACGTAAATATAAGTTTCTGCTATTCGAAAAGGAACCCTGATAAGAATTGATGAATACCGAGTGATTTATGTTTTGCGCCGGGAAGAGAACTCTGTGAAACCACAAGGGCTGCGCAAATTTACTCAGCCGCAAACACAGCCCCACAGAGGCAAGACAACGCATCGAGAACGCCTTCACGTCACACAATCAGCCTTGTGGCGTGTCGCCTTAGCTAACACCATCACTTATAGATAATGACTGGTATTACAGAATAAAAAAGTTCAATCAGAAAAAGACAACGAAGATAGCATGAGAGGATATCATGTCTAGTCCTTGTGTCATTTCTGCATTTCATTTTGGCAACATTACTTTTGGAAAGGTCATCACTTAGGGCGGCTACTGAAACGCTTCTTGCTGCAAAGACATTGATTGCAATGAACCCATTACCATAATTGCTCAGAGTGTCCAGCAGAAGCCCAACCCACACCCTAAAGTCTGTACGAGCTGCTCCATGATCTTCCCAAGGTTAAAATAAATACTCTCAACTTGCCATCAAGATCATTTCGCCAGAATGGGGCCAGAGCTGCCATTCTCATCCGCCTTGCTAACCTCTTCCAAAAGCTAAACCACAGTCCTTCCCTTCTCGTCCTCCCAGAACCAATGCTCAAAATCTCCAATATTGACACGCGACATCCACTTCTTGATGCCCAGCTTCTTGTTTACCTCAGTCATAGCAGCATGGAGCTTCTCGTACTTTTGCGGGCCATCATATACAACATCCGCAAGAACGCTCCGGATCCAAACACCGATGTATTTGAGCCTCAGAAATCCAGTGAACACTGTGGATAAAACATTCACGAAGCCGTCGAGGCTGTGGACGTTAAGGTCTATGCTCCGGACGTTGTTGGTGGAAGCTGTGAACAGAGTTGGGAGGATCCGATACTTGACCTGCGTGTGCAGTTCTGAACTTAGAGATATCAGTAATAGTTTTGACAGTGTATCTCATAGATAGAATGGGAACACTTACACAATAGCAATGTGTCTCATCATGCCCAAAATCTCCTGAACCCCCTTCATTCTCTTCCAGGTCTTCAAAGACTTCTGACTGATGAAGAAGGTGTTTAGTCTGTAAAAGCAGCGTATAGCTTCAGCGTAGAACGTTGGGTGGCCACGAAGCGCAATAATGAGATTGGGACTTCGTCGGGCGTCGTTTTCGTTGGTGGACAGCGACAGAAGGTCCTCTTCATCTGTTATTATGCCGTGAGTCGTGGCATACAGTGGATCAAGTATCAGATCCGCATGACGCGGTTGATACTCTGCATCGGTGTCAATGCAACGCGAAAAGATGTTTTCTCGGATTTCGGGTGGGAAGCGGGAGAAAGCGAGGGGCATGGTCTTGAGCACCGTTTTACGGCTCTTTACTTTCTTCGACTTGATAGACGCACGAGTAGGAGGAAAGGGAGCTTTGTTGCTGGCGATTTGCTGCTTTTTTGCAAGCAGATGACTTGCGCGAGGTTTAGGTGTGGAGGTTTTGCGACTGATGCTTTGCTTCTTCTTCGACGACATCTCGTTTGGGCGTCTTTGGAGATTGTTGAAGAACTGACAATTGCAGGACGTCTTTTGAGAGAATTAGAGGAATTGTGGTTGATGTAAAGACAAATCCCAGCTTGGAACCCGAATTTATATGAGGTGTTCGGAAAAGTGATAGTATTCCTGCTAGTGGACTCCTTTAGACAGACTGGACTTAGCGCGCAAGTACGCAAGACATCAGGCAAAACCAATCAAGAAGAGATCTAGTACCGAGTCTGGAGAAAAGTAAAACTTCTGATATTGGTTAGAAGTCAGACTCACGCTACGAACTGGTAGGCTTGCTTATGCTGAACAAAGTCTCTCAAGCAAATATAAATATTTTCAGCCTTCTTGCAACATTAATCTCGTTCAAGGATGATTAAGTTGCTTCGGATAAATAGAATTGTTGGAAGATCGAAGCTAGGGTTGATGGCTAATGCCACTGTGAGGCACATGTTGGTTCCTTTTCTTAGATCGCAACGAGAACGGCACAGTCAACGAACCTTTCCGTCGCATCACCCTTCGTACCGTAATTGTCTGTATAATACGGACATCCCGTCCCAACCATTTAAAGAAATCTATACCAAACTTACCCATCATGTTATCTAACAGAATCATCGAGCTGGCTGCCATTATATCAACCAACACCGAGAAGGTGAACGGCTACCTCGAAGCCCAAGGCATTCCCACTCCTTCATTCAACGTCGATGCCCCACCGAACCTAGGGATCCCAAAAGAAGCCATCGAAGTCGACAATGCTCGAAGAAAGGCCCTCGCAGCATCAATCGAGCTTCAAGACCTGCTCCAAGGACCCAGCGCTTGTCTGAGACCGGTCATGAACGGCACGTCTTTGGATGCTATCTATGTCTACGACATCGCTTCAAAAGTACCTTTGTACTCTAATATCTCTTTTTCTAACCTTGCGAAACAATGCGAGCTTCCGGAATTGGATTTGAGACGAATCTTACGCTTTGCGATGTGCTGGCACCGAGTGTTTTGTGAGCCGGAAAGAGGGTACGTTGCTCATACAGCGGCTAGTCGGCAGTTGAGAGACGATCCGAAGGCGATGGATATGGCGGGATTGATGTTTGACGAATGCTGGCAGAGCATGGCGAGAGTACGTCCAAGATTTAATAAGATGCTTGAAGTAACAACTAACCCTAAATTAGACGGTTGACGCGATGCGTACTTTCAGCAGCAGTGAGCCAAACGAAAGCGTACAATTATTCCAAGAAGATCCGCATTTACTTTCCCTTAGCTAACTTATGCAGGGCCACGCACTTGCTCACAATACCAAAGACAGCATGTTTGATTGGCTTGGGAAGAACCCAGAAAAAGCTCGGCGGTTCACCAGTGCAATAAGCACTCTGGTTCCTGCAGGTCGAGAGGCAGCATTTCTTCCCAGAGCATTCGACTGGGCTTCGCTGGGTGCTAGTACAGTCGTTGATGTAAGTCACTTCTTGGTGTCATGTGTCCTCATCCAGACGGATTCTATACGTTTGAAGCCAAAGCCTATTCTCGGAAGTTGTTCATGCTCTAAAGCTCTCTAGTCGTAGCTGGAAAAGCTCAAGAGACTTCCTGGAACATACTGACACGATTCATGAGTAATAGGTTGGTGGTTCTTCCGGTGGAGTCAGCATCCTCCTTGCACAGGAATTCAAAGACCTAAACTTTGTCGTACAAGATCTACCAGAGGCCATCAATGGAGCCGAAGAGAAGGTTCCCGCTGAACTAAGGCCTCGAATCAAGTTCATGGAACACGACTTCTTCACCGAGCAGCCTATAGTTGCGGAGACTTTCCTCTTGCGCGCCGTTCTTCACAATTGGCCTGACCACTATTGTGTGAAGATTCTGCAGAAGCTGATCCCAGCATTGAGGCATGGAGCGAGAATCATAGTTAATGATGGGGTGGTTCCCGAACTCGGAACGCTTGATTTATTGGGAGAGAAGAATATTCGGTGAGTCAAAAGCAGTGAGTGAGTGGAGATGAGGATGCTAAAAGTTTTAGGGCTTACGATATGCTGATGATGACTCTATTTAATGCAAGAGAGCGAGAGCTGGAGGATTGGATTACGTTATTCACACAGGCAGATAAGCGATTCAAGTTTGTTGGTGTTAAGAAGATGGAAGTAGGGACGATGAGTGTTATTACAGTTGTGTGGGAGGACAAATAAAGTTGTATGTTGCTGGGACGAGAGACATTGATGGCGCGCGAGAAATTGCCACGTATTTGATTAGGCAACTTAGGAAGCTTTTGAGCTCAGGACCCAAGTTTCTATCCTTGTTCATGGTGTTGTCTCCAGCGCCGGTTCCACCTAAAAGCAGGTGCAGGTGCTTTTAGGTTGTTCGTTTTGCAGAGTCAGAGTATAGCGTTGGAAAAAGTCTCCTCTTGCGATTATGCGTGTATTGCTCAAGAATGGCTAAGGAATAAATTATTGAGAATTGGCTGATGACAGAAATACTCGTTGTAGTCGTGCTCAGATGAAATGCAACGAAAAGCTATCCAAGTGAAATGGCTGAGAAGCAAACGGCTTCAAAAACTTTAGACAGAGAAGAAATTAATTGCAGGGGAAAGAAGTATCCTAAAGAGAAACCATTTTTCGTTACGCTGCGTATATTGTCATTCCATCGTTGTGGCTTCGTCCACTATACATGAAAACTTCAACGCCGCATAGAGAAGCTAGTACTCTCATAGCTCTCTTTGAATAGTCTCACTACCATATCTTTGCTCTCCGGCTGCTATTTTGCAACAACATGTCTCCAAGACTGCAGCTGATTAATCCTTGATGACACTCTTGAAGTAGAAGAGCCGAATTCGTGATTTGAAAACAGCTTCGTCCCAGCACTCAAAATTCCATCCAGGGGCTGGCACCTCAATACTCCATCAACCGAAATGAGGGAAGTTTCCAGACCAAGTCTCGATGTACGCTTCTAGTGGGAGGAAGAACAGGCTTCTAAATATCTCGACGATCAGGAAGAGTCGTGCTAGGATGTATGCAGCGAGGAGAAGGATGCAGATTGAGCCGATTAGGAAGCTCATTACTGGGCATTGATTGAGTTTTCTCTCATTGTTGAGATACATCCATCCTCCAAGAGCAGGTATCGATAAAGTAGGCAAGCAGGCTATCAAAACCGAACAAAACCTCCATGCGAGTTGTTCGTCGGGAGTGGGGAAATGGAAATTCCACGCCAGGCAATGAACTCCACCAAAAAGTGTACCGCCGATCACAGCACGGAATGCTAAGGGCAGGGTATTCAGATGCTGACTGAAATTATCCTAAGTCCAAGTAGATACAGAAGCGTTATTCCCTATGATTGTATTGGATCCATCATTTGGTAGAGGAACAAGGTCTAATTGTTTGTCAAGCCTCTCTGGCGTTCTGACAGAGGTCCACAGATGCACCGGGCGGCCACTCAAGATTATCCCCAAGCGGTGGTGATCTGGGATTCTCTTTGCTTTGAGAAGTCGCATACTGTTAACTCCCTGAGGGCGGCCCCAGTAAAATATATATGTGATCATACTTGATGCAGAAAAGGCGAGTGCTGCTATCTCAAGCTGAGTGGAAGGAAGCGCCGCGATTTTGCGTGCAGCTAGCTGCGCAATAAGATAGATGATCTGGGCAAGGGCTAGGCCTTTGACCAATTTGTCTCCTATCTAACTTTTCCAATTCAAGACTGGGGATGTTTGGCATGTCTACTATACCAACGCAGAAAGCGCCGTCAAGTTGGAGGTTGTTTAGTGCCCAGCAACGATGCTGCAATCGATGTAAACATAACTCTTTGCTCGAGTCAACTCTCGACCTCGACCGAAACGTATCTATCAACTGCTGGAATATGGCTTTGATGTATTAGTTTCTGGACTATAGCATTTCCTACAGCCAAGCACGTTTCATTCTCACTTTGTACATCACTTATCAGATCGCGGAAGTCGACCACGAAATACCCCATATTTGCCATGTAAACATGGACAGTTTCCCACTCGATTACATTCTCCGGGTACCATCTTTTAACATAAGAAACTCCTTCTTTCGCGGCAAGCCACTCGCCAAACGCCTTGCCAACTAGATACTCAGGGACCAAAATCGTAAAAATCATCCATTTGATCTTGGTTCTCGAGTCCAAGATAGCCCACCAGGTGGATTGAAGCCAGCTTTTCGCTCGAGGTCGACCTGCTGGTATGTTCAAGTGTTGAATGTTCCAGGTACAGAGGAAGATGATAGACAAGCAGTTCCAAAGTATAGTAGTAGTACCTCGAGTGTTTGGTCCCGAAACATAAGTTGCTCCAGGAGGAGGAATGGTGCAGTTGGGCTTGAAATTCTCAGCTTGGGTATATTGTGGGAGGAGAAGTAAGACGAGGCTGGGGTACAGCATCGCCATCGTGAAGAATACACCCAGACAAAGAAGAAATCGTGTGAATGGTGTTCTACAGATTCTCTGATGAGAGCATATGTCGCGAAGGTTGGGTGATGTTGTTTGGACATTGATCGCAAGATGCGGAATTCGAAAGGTCTGTTCGTATATGCCGTTCCCTGAGTGAGGCTGCGGCTTTGTTGGCCATGGTGGCTGAGTTTGTTCAGTGCGGGCTGAATTACCGTTGATTTGAGGGCAAATGCTGTATCACGACGAACGTGCATACAGATTCAATCCTGGTTTAGCCAATCATGAAATTGACTTCAACGCCACATTATGCACGTTAGCAATCAACACCAACTCACCTTACCCAGCTCTTAGTCCACTCATTATCAATTATCTCCATGCTGCTTATCCACCTCGAGCTCACTACCCACCTCACAGCTGCCAGAATACTACTTGCTCTTAGTACTACCTAGCTTGAGGGAGATGTGAGAAAGGAGTAAAAGTATGAAAGAGGGAGTGGAAGGGTAAGGAGGTGAGTAGACGATGGGAAATTAAAGCGTTTCAGCCTCATTTGAGTTTTTCAGCGCTAGTGAAAGTTGTTCGCGCGCCCTTTTACTCCTCCTTCCATCACTCCTCCATCACTCCTACTCCTCTATCCTTATAGGTAGGATTGGAGGCAAGCAATACTCTGCTAGCAGTGAGGTGGGCAGCAGTGAGGTGGGCAGTAGTGATGTGTGTGACGGGTAAGGTGAGTTGACAATATAGTTGCTAGACAAATCCTTCTTTTTAACAAAATGCCAGACAAATCCTTCTTTTTCATAAATTGCCAAACAAATCCTTGTTTTTACCCATTTGTATTAAGGGTCAGCCGTACTTGTCCATTAAGAAAGACCTGAAAGGAAGAAGGTAATGAAAGCAAAGTGCAGTATCATACTCAAGGAACTCGAGACTTACAGTCACAACCAAGATCGCTAATCCACGGATGTGTAAGGAAATTTCATTTTGCCGCTACAGCAGCATCACAAATACGAGTCGCTGGTACACTTTTGCAGTCATCAAGAGTCTTTGAATCACCCAATGCATTCATAGGTTTCTCTCTCTGAATAGTCATCCCGCCCTCTTTTGCTATAAAGTAGTCCCAAAATCCTAACGTACCTCCCATGACCATCAACCTGCCTCACACACTCCCACTCTCAAATCCCAACACACCACCAAAACCAAATAATTCAAAATAGCTTCCCCCTCTCCCAAAACCACCATCCCCTTTTTTCTCGAGTTTATATTTACACCATCCGACACCCGTCTCAAGATAACATACAAAAATGCCCCAGCCTACGCCCATGTGTCTTCACAAGCTATGGCACTCGCTAGGCCGGTATGGAAGAACCTCTTCTGTCCACCATAGAGAAATAACCCTACTCTGAGGCTGAGCCCAGTTGAAGAAATGGACTTCTCCAAAGATAACATTGAAACGCTACTCATCCTACTGTGCGTCACACACTTGAAATTTGAGGACATATTAAAAGACACACCCTCCCAAGAACTATTAATCGAGCTCGCTATCCTCTATGCCACGTATCGCTGTCAAAATCTGCTCAAGCCTTGGGTAGGCGGCTGGATCGCTCGGAATTTCAGACAAAAACCCGAGTTGGAGACTCCGGAGAACAGACAAACGATGATGCTGCTTGGACGGGTCTTTCAACCAGATGGTGAAGTCAACTACTTTGATGAGGCGGTGTCGTTCTTATACGGCGACACCAAAGAAGACTACAGTAACACCACTTCCAGAGCACTGGCCTCTACCAGCCGGTATCATGGGTACGAGGTCTATTAAGCTTCTCTAACAGCTACAAGGCTAACAGCTCAACAGAAAAGATATCGAAAGTCCGTACGGAGACAGTCAGAGGCATCGTGGCCATCGTCCGCGAAGTACTTCGAACGTCTCGACGACGAAAAAGAAGAGATGTGTTCTGAGCACAAAAAAGAAATGCAAAGGACGTCTATTTGACGCTCACAAAGCCGAGCTACAAAACAGGCCGGGGTCTTTATCCCTGGGAACTTGCGGAGGCTCCGATCACGGTCCGTGAAGCTAGCGATATGATGCACTTACTAAAAGAGGGATATACCTCTGGCCACTCATGGTATGATCGAGAAACACACCGACATTTCATGGCTAAGGTAGACAAGCTATGGCATGACAATGGGGAAAGTCTGTGGCAGAGCATATGCTCTGATGTTGGAGTCGAGCCTTCTGCCGAGAGCGAAGATCGTCGTATGGAGAAAGTCACAGGAACGTGGGAGAGTGGTGTACAAATCCCGGTTCCTGATGCGGATTGGATAGACGATGAATAACTCTTTGTCGGGAGATAGGAATGATCGGATATCTCTTCACTGGCAAAGTAGCAGAACAGAGATGCTTTTGTTGCGAATTGGAGAAACCGTGTTGTTCGCGGTGTAACATGTGGGAAGCAGAGGTGTATGATGACACTTTGGGGGTTTTTGATAAACGAGAGTAGATGCCATAATCAAATGCCTGAGTTTGCAATTACAGAGTGGAATTAAGTGCAAAGATGCATGATGTGTAACGCAGTAAAAGCTATAAAGCAAAAGAAGCGGAGAACGGCTTAACTCTTGACAGAACCTTGCCGTGATCGAGTCCCAAAATGTTGCTTGCATACATCATCTTACTCTTTGCTCAACAAACGTGGCGAGTCAGAGATGAAATGAGTGATTCGCGGGGGGTACGCGACTGTTCAACCAGCGTGTCACAAGGTTTTCCAGGTCCTTCTTGCGATTCACCAGCTTCTTACAATTCCCTACTCCTTCCATCACCCAGTCGAAATTCTAGAACTTTTCTCTCCTAAAGCGCCTTTCACCAAACCACGACTAAAACATACATCTATACGCCTATAAACTTACATGCAGTAGAACCGAAGAACGAAACAAAAGCGACCTTTGAAAATAATAACCAGTTCTCATCTTCCCATGTAGAAAACCCTGCTCATGACAGTATTCGTATACTACACGATCCGGGTACTCACTCGAGGTCTAAAGATAAAAGAAAGCACATGCTTTCACCACAACCATACTCACCTTTACCCAATCAATACCCCAATAATCTCAGATCTCAAACGCCATTACCTACTCCTATCTGAACCCCTCCTCGAATTCGCGAGCCTGTGCTTTCCTACCTCAAAAAGCTAGTACCTCGAAGGAGATGAGAGTGTTGTGTGCTTTTGGGATCCCATGGCGATGCGTAGGCGAAGGTGGGAAGGACGAATAATGGAGGTGTGGAAGAAAGGCAGGTAGGAAAGAAGGATTGTGGAATCAGGATATCGCTGCGATTCAAGGATGGTGGCAACGCTGTAGACAAAGATTCTTGCACCACCAGCCCCACTTAGGAACACGAGCGCCAACATACAACCAAGAGACCAAAACAGAAGAAGAGTGTCTAAAAGCAAACTTCATCGCCATCTACTCGCCGCAAAGCGAAAGATCTAGAGTTCTAAGTATGAAAGCCATGCAAAGCCATTTCTCCTCCACCAATCCATCCATCAAAAGAACACCGCGCAGTGCAAGAAAGCAAATCCCTCCACCTCTCCCCCACCCACACTCCATCCGCTCATAACATCCCCTCACTCCCCATCTACGCACCAAAAACCTTAACCCTCTCCTCAATCGGCATAAAAGTCTTCTCCCCGGGCTCCCCCTCCCTCTTCCCAAACACCAACTGAGCGCTCAACTCCCAATCCTTGCTCAATCCCCACTCCTCAGCGACCTTCTGATCGATCAGCGGGTTATAATGCTGCAAGTTTGCGCCCAATCCTTCGGCTTCGAGCGCCGTCCAGACGGCGTACTGGGTCATGCCGTTGGATTGCGAGGCCCAGACGGGGAACTTGTCGGCGTAGAGGGCGAATTTTTGTTGCATGCCTGCGACGGTTGTGCGGTCGTCGAAGAAGAGGACCTGTTTATCTTTATCATCAGTACGGTGCATGACTTTTGAATCAAGTGAGGATATAAAGAGGGTTGGAAGAGGGGTTCGTCTCACTCCGAAACTAGCAAGTGGGGGCAGAAAATATCCTCTTCTTTCACAACCAAGGACACCAACTGAAGAAAAAAGGTAACTCACAGTCCCATAACCCCCCAAGAACCCATTCAGTCTCTGCTCACTCGCAGGCCACGCATCAGCAGGCACAATAGCCTTAATAGCCTCCTTAGCAAACCCCCACAACTTATCATGCTCCCCCCCAAACAACACCACAACCCTCGTACTCTGACTGTTAAAGCTACTCGGCGAATGCTTCAGCACATCCTGCACGATAGCCGTGATCTTGTCGTTGGGGATCGGGGAGGATTTCGAGAGGGCGTAGTAGGTGCGGCGGTTTTTCATGAGGGTTAGGAGGGCTTGGGAGGAGATTGCTGGGGCGGCCATTTTCGGGGAGGTTGATGAGAAGTGGTGTTGGGATTGTTGTTGTTGTTGTTGTTGTTGTAGTAGGGGGGTTGATTGTGGTTTTGGAGGAAGAGGAGTTGAGAGAGATGGTGAAGTGAATATCCAACTCAATCCACGAAGGGAAGCAGCACTCCTTATATCCCCTCCCCACCTGCCCCCCTCCCGAAACCAGAAACTCGCCATCTCCCCACCCAGCAACGAAACCAACAAACTAGCGACAAAAACCCAGAGCGGGACTTGCATTCTTCGTCTTCGTTTCGTCCTCTTTCCTCTTCTTTCTCTTTCTCCTGCTACGAGTAAAGTCCCACAAGAGACCATCTCTCACCCTATCCCAGCAACCGTAGTGGGGTAACCACGGCAGAAAAATGCTCACCGCCCGCTTACATCAGGGGCCTGTCAGCAGGATTGGTGATGATTGGAAATCGGACTTGCGCTGCGTCGGGGTTTTGTCGGGTGGATTGTGCCGGGCTCGTGCGAGACGCGGGGGGCGTGCGAATCGGGGTGAGGTGGGATGGGAGATGTGGTGTGGTGTGTGGTGCCTGCATGAGGGGTGTGGATGGATAAGCTTTTTGTGCAGGATGTGAGGTGAGGTGAGGTGAGGTGAGGTGGTGTGGTGTGGAGGGGTTATTGGTGTGGATTGGGCATTGACTTTAATGGGTTAACGCCGTGCATGAGTGATGCTTTGAAATTGGATTGAATTGAATTGAATTGAATCACTGCACGAAATATGCTGGATTGGTAAATGCTGTATGTCTGTCTGCATTCTCTCCCCTGCTACAATGGACCGCAACTATGTACTCAAGAATATCCAGCAGCTAATCAAGCAAAGACGCCTCGCCCCCATCTAAACCTATGCTCCAACAATTGCTTGTTTGTTGCCCATATGTTTTCCGAATCTAAACGCCATGCAATGCCCTGATCAACGCCATGCCCTGTATCCAAAGTACTATTCACAAGAAAGAAAGCTTCGCACTTAAAAATCCGACTACCAAGTCTCAGCAATGTACTGACCAGCTTCCTTCTTCAAATCCCAAAACTTCTTAGCCTCCTCGCGACCAAGATTTCCCTTCTTCATCGCAACATCGATGAGAGCTCCATCGACACCTTCGCCCATGCCCTGCTTACTACCACAAACGAAGACTCGACCATCGAGACTATTGATGATGAACCAGACCAGATCTGCTTGTGCAATAACCTCGTCTTGAACATACTTGTTATTCCCACTACTCTTCCGACTCTGAACAACCTTCTTGACCTCGCTCTCGTGAACACCCCATTCTCCACTATACAGCTCATCGTACAGAGAATCACGCACACCTTGAAGAACCCAAATCTTATTCGCACAGTTGGCGTTGCGGAGACGTCGTTGCATGAAACCTCGGAATGGAGCCACGCCTACACCGGCACCGATCAAGAGCATAGGACCATCAGCGACATGTTCTCTAGCTAGAGGATTGGCCATCAAGCCCTTGAACATAGGGACGCGGAGATCGATCTTCTCTCCCTTGGCTTCAGCTTCGATGTACTTTCTTGCTTGACGCTCGAAGAAGCCGGAACCGACACCGGTTCGTGGACCACCGCGCCAATTGGGGGTTTCGTGGACGGTGACTGCGATTTCGATGAGGCGGGAACAGCCAGCGGCTGGGACGCAGGATTCGTGGGGGTCGTTTGACAGAGAGTAGAATCGTGGCATAAGAGGTTGGAGATTGGAGAGGAGGTCATCAAGAGGTGGCTTCGAGGAGGGGAAAGCGTGTAAAAGTTGATTGACGGTGACATGTGGTCCGGTTCTGAAATCACAGAAAACACCCTGTCCTTCTCCACTGCACAGGTACAACAGAACCTTCTTTTCGTTCAAATCCGTAGCATATTCTGCAAGTACTCGTAGAAGAGGCTTGGTAGGAGCATATGATTGGATATCGCTGCACCAGGTCAAGAGTGCTCGACGTGTTGTGACCAATTCTCTAGCCTTCTCATCGCCCCAGACAGTAGGCCAGCGTCCGCCATCAGTCTTCAGCAGAATCTCACGGTCGCGTAGAAATCGTGGGATGGAGAGTAGATCCATGAGCTCATCGACAGCTGACTCTTCATTGGGAGCAGAGACACCAATTGCCCCGCCCACCTTGAAGTCCACGCCCAACTCCTCAGGGTAGTCGGTGACATCGAGGTCGAAATGGAAAGTTCTCTTCTCAGCACCCGGTCTGGTGAGTTCGCGGGCAGAGAAGATCTTCGCAGAGTAGACGTGGTATGGAGGATGAGGTTGGACGAAGCTCGGAGGGTGGATCTTAGTATCGATTTCGTGATGCTCGCTCGTAAGGTGGGGTGTGAAGTCAATGGAATCGTTATTCGGGACCTCAATTGTAGACTCCTCCTTCGTCTCGCCCATAGAAATCGCAGAGTCGGTCGAAGAAGTTTCAGTGGCACCCTTCTTGATCTGCTCCAGGTGTACCGTCTTTGGGGGCATTCCCGGGATATTCGACAGCGTAGTCGGAATTGGCCCAATGTTCAATTGCAGAGCACGATACGCATCGTTGTCTGGCAGAGGAACGCGCTCGAATGTAAGGCCGTCGCTCTTAGTGATTGCCATCATGCAACCCCCGCCGCAGCACTTCTCAATCAGCTTGGTGCCGGACTCGCCAATGAGTCTCTGGACATCGGCAGCATTTTGCGAGATCAATTTTGTAGATGCGCGACGAGGTCTGGGAGGTTCTTCGGTTTCATCGGCGGATGAAGAGGAGGAGTAGGTCAGAGAGGGGACGGAGGATCGTGGAGAAGGCTCTTCAGGGATGCAGTGGGAAGTTGTGTGCGTGCGGATAGCTACAGGTCGCGACATTGTGATGATGGTTCGAATGGATCGTCGAAGCATGTACCGGAGTGACGGATGGTGGAAAGTACAAAAAGAAATCGACGAAGACGATGATTGTTATCGCATCGAGATGAATATGTTTACTCGTGGTCGTTGGGGCACGGCTAGTAAATCGTAAGTGGTAGAGGGGAGAGGAAGCGTCTTTTCGTCTTTTCGTGGTAAAAGTCAGCGATGACTTGATTATTATGAGATGAGAACGGTGGCGGCGGATCTTTTTAATCGCGTCGCTTGCCGCACAGCACAGCACAGCGAAATCGGTCAGAGCCGAGGAAGTCGTTGAGCCGTCCAGTCCAGTCCAGTCCCACCTTGCACTTTTTTCGCACACCGGGGAACACAGAAAACAATAGCCAAGAGATTGAGATACGACCACCACGACGCGGCTCTGATGAATTGTGGGATCAAAGAAGCTTGGATGTTTGCGCTTTTACTACAGTAGGAACAAGGAAATGGGTACTTCTCAGAATAGGAGAGTTGAAATAGGAGACTCAATTGTTTGCCTCTCTTGTCCACATATCAATTACGTAGCCCACCTCATCATCATCATCATCCCTACGCAGTATGATCATTCCTGCAAATAGCAGTTCGATCAACGCTGCAATGGCTGCCCTTCAACGCAATTCATCCAATTCCCAGCCCATCCTTCCCCGGCCTGCAGCCTGAGGTCCCCCCGATCCCTCCTCGGAAACAAAGAATCGCACCACCTCATCTCGCAGATGAGCACATCTCTACCAAACATCGCGCAAGAAAGATGGCTTTTCCACCCGTTCCTTTCCCGTCTCTTTCGTATCTCTTCTCTTCTCTTCTCTTCTCTTCTCATCCATCCATCCGATCCGGAACTCATTGCACAGAAGCACAAGCAGGACAAATCATCGGAACTCGTGTCCCTCACCGTTTCACCCCCAAAGACAAAAAAGTCCACTTCCAAGGATATAAGGATGGGACAAGGATCCTCCAAGCCCGACCCGGTGCACAAATCTTATCTGATGATCTGATGTCCCACCTGCACCCACATGAAGAAAAAGGGGAAATCTGTCTTTCTTCTTTCTGTTTCCGACAACGGCCTCGTTGCATATGCAATATGCAATATGCAATATGCAGAGATGACTACTATTATTTTTCTGCTCGGCCGTGATTTGCTTTTGCTATCTCTCTGCAGGAAGAGGTGCTTGGGGAGATGTCCGATGGGGATGAATGCTCGGCCGGGTTAGAAAGTCGGTAAGTGGGGTGGTACAGAAAGTGGGAGAAGACATTTCCGGGGGTCGCCGACTCGCTGTTCCGTCTTTACCTTCTCCCTCTCACAAGTCCGCGTACAATTTTGTTCTCACCCGGGCTTTTACAGGGAAAGAAAAGTGAGGACAAGGATGTCAGCAAACTCGGAAACAGCCAAGGAAACCCAACGGAGTCAGGACGCACTTCCGGTTGGGAGGAGAAATGTGGAGCAATAATCTTATCTGATCATCTAGATCCTTGGTTTTTTTTTTTTTTTTTCCTTTCCTTGCTTTTTGGGGGCTGGAGCGAGGTGGACATTTGCTTATCAGATCTTACCAACGAATTATCTTTTTTCTTGATGTCGTGCTGGTCCAATAGTTTGGTTTGGGCAGGGTTTCTTAGGTTTGATTGAGTAAGTAAGATGGACTTGTTCTGACATGAAGCTAAGAGGATGAAAAATCTTATCAGATCTTTGGTGAGAAAAGGGGGTTGCACGTGCGAGCGAGCGGTGAGGAGCGATGCCTTTGTTCAAGGCATGTCAAGAGTTTGAGAGCTTGCTTGTTGGGTGATATTTTGACATCTTGGGAGAAGGAGGGGTGAAGTCAGCTTGTGGGAAGCAAGAAAGTTAGTTTGTGAAATGCAGGTGAGACGATCACGTGCTTTTTACGGCTCTCTTCTCAGGTTTCCTTCAATGACGCAGCTCAGATCATTGCCTACGTGTGAAGCAGATATTGTTACTTTTAGTTCCTATATATCACAGCTTAGTGTTGAGTTGTTGAGTTTTTAATTCGATTGAGATTCAGATTCTCCTGGATTGAAGAAATTCTTCGGATCACGGCGAGGCAGTTTTATTTAAGTTTCACGTCTTAATCGTGCTACCCATGAAGTCAGCGGCAATTCTTGGGCGGCTGTGCGAGAGAGGTATGATATGGAGCAAGTCATTACTTCAAGCCAACAATCTTCAAATCGAGCCGTGCAGATATTTTGTTATCCCAAGTTTGGTCGCTTCACTTCAATTGCAGATGAACAAAACATACTGTTTCCATTGCTTTAATCTCAAGGATCTAGAAAAGTTCATTGGTGAACATTTTGACAACGCATTTGACGGTGAGGTGCCGATGATTTCGTTTCCAGGACCATAGATTGAAGGGCTCAGTCAACTATGGTTTACCTTGCCGTGTTACCGTCAACGAGGGCGCATGTATGAACTAGGAAAGAGGCCGGAGATGAGTAGTCATCAAGGAACGTGCATCGAGAGATTTTTTCGACTTCTAGTCCGATTTGGAAGTGTCTGATGAATGTATTCAGACCTTTGATCACAACTTATTTCTTGGAGGTGAAGATACAGTGGTGATCGAATATGCAAATCTAGGTGCTTTATGCTTTGCTACATAAGACAGAGTGCCTATTCTTGACCCCGCTACCTCTTTTCATACATCACAAGAGTCAGCGATCTAATTGGAATTAAGCCTTAGTTTTAAGATAACACATAGTCCTTTGCAAGAATTCCTACGTCCATTTGCTTACAAGATGATATTTTGGAAAGCAATTAATACGGTACGGCCCATAGAGAAACCCAAGTCCGATCTTGTCTTTCTAAATTTCCCCGACTAAAAGAACGAGAGTTACCATCTCAAAACAAATTCTAAATAAACATTAGACGCTAAGCAAATCGAAATAAAATGCAGAAAAAATGTATGAGAGTATAAGAACTCGTAACATCCAAAGCCAAACAGCTAGGAAACATTAGGCCGAAGCACAGAGAGTGTGGTGTTCTAGAGGATGTCAATAGCTATGCCCAGGTGTATGAGGGTGCAAGAGATTGCTTGGTTTCTGTAGACGTTCTGAGTCTTAGATAAAACTCCAGCGCAAGCTAAGTAGTACTGAGAGCAGGCAGTACTTTGGCAGTATTGAGGTGGGCAGCAGTGAGGTGGGCAGCAGTGAGGGCAGTAGTAAGGTGAAGTGTACAAACATAGCTGGGTAAAGTGAGTTGATTCCAATTATTAAGAAACATCTTAGACAAATCCTTCTTTTTCATGAATTGCCAGACACATCTTTGTTTTTCCCCATTTGTATACAGGGTTAGCCGTAATCGTCAATTCTGGTGTGACAAGCTAATAAAGCTTCATTGTACTTGCTATTATCTGGTGAAAACTCGCGAACTAGTACTTTACACTCCCTCAACTTTTGTTTCCATACCTTGCTACATCTCCATCAGTAAAATCCTAGTATGTCGCAATAGAAAGTTCCCGAGTTGCCACCCTGCCAGCAAGACGTAGTCGTCAGTCATGTTGTCTTCTCAGAAAGATCTCTCCAGTCACTTATTCTACAAACCCTCATTATCGTCGTCCTCATAGCTATCAAGCTCCAGCTTTGGATTGCTCCAAGCTCCGGTCAGATTTTTAATGCGCTTCATCTCATGCGCAGCTCTCCACTGGTGCCTAAGTTTAGGACTTCCATTGTGTGCAAAAAGCCACATGCGATTCCAGTTAGCGCCATACGCGTCCTTTGCCTCCTTGTTGCAGTGTCCCTGCATTATGTTATGGCAATCCAGATCGCGTACGGACATGCGGTCGACGATCCGCGTATATTCCAAGTCGTAGGCCTCCCTCACCGTTTTCGGACCTCCAGTTTCTGTGGAATCCCAAGGATACAAGTTCATGCTGGGCCGCTTTAGCCAGTCTATGTAAAGCTCCAAAATACGTGCCTTGCATTTCTTGTTGTGCTTGTAAGATATTTCTTCCTGGTGCTTCTCCAAATAGCTGAAGTACATGCGTGCTACAACCATAAGCTCTGGTATGGCACTTTTACGAGCCTGGAGGATCTCTAAAACACAGGCAGTCTTGACCCCCCTAGAGCATCTGAGGGCCCTCTTACCCATAACGCCACGTGGCAAGGGCCAATTGCCCGGAATCTTGGGCAGACTATCTTCCTTCGTTTCTTGGTACAACCACGTCACTGCCTCCTCATAGTAATCGAAGTCGAGGTCAGGTTCAAATACCCATCCAAGTAACATCAACCGTTGCATCCCCTTCGGGTTTACTATCTCGGGTGCCCACACGTTGGGCGAATCCAGCCTGGAGCTCGAGCCACACTGCCAGCGTCGGAAGTTTCGCTCGGTCCAACCGCCTATCCAGGGCTTGAGCAGGCCTTCACAGCGATACGCCGAACAGAGGATAGCGAGCTCGACTAATAATTCTTGAGAGGGCGTGTCTTTCAATATCTCCTCGAATCTCAAGTGTGCGATTCACAGCAGGATGAGTAGGGCTTCGGTGTTGTCTTCGCGAAACGTGTTTACTCTTTGAAGGGGGTCCAACGGGACTTTCGACGGGTGATCGCTCAACGTTGGACAGAAGATCTTCTTCCATACAGGACTAGCGAGGGCCATAGCTTGCGAAGAGACATGGACGTATGCTGGGGCATTTTTGTAGATTACCACGATCCGGGCGTCTGATGGTGTGAATGTGAATTCGGGTGGGGAAGGGATAGTATCTGCTGGAGAGGAGGAAGCCGTTTTGCGTTTTCGGAGCTCGAGGAAGTGCTTCATGTTGGAAGTTGAAATGTGTAAGGTTGGATGATGGTTCTGGTGATCATAGGTAGGCTGAGATCTTGGGGTACTTTATAGCAGTGGTGGGGTTGATGACTTGCTGGAGAGGGGGACTTGTGAATGTGGAAGGGATTCAGAGGAGTTGATGACTGCAAGAGTATGCTGACTCCTTTGAGTTACTGAGAAGTAATTTGTGAGCCAGCGACTATGAGTGGATACTAATGTTATCTGGTACAGGTATTTTCAGATTTGAATAGCATTGCCAACAATGCCATATTTCATCAGTCTTTCTTCTCTACCTTAGCCTGCCCTAACAGCCCCGAAAGATGCACCACGACCAGCCCAATCAAGCCCTCCAACTCTGCCTCTCCAACTCCTTCCCAAACACCCCATTTCTCACCTCTTCTAAACTCGCTCAGAAATCCATCTTCTTTAATCTCTTTAACATTCCCCTCTGCTCCAAAGATCTTCACTCCCTCCCCACCCCCCTCTCCATTCGCAAACCTAATCCAAGCATCCCTAAGCTCCCCTTGCAACCTTCTTTCTCCCTCTGGATCCTCACAGCTGTCAAAGATTCTCTCATCCCCATGCAAATAAGCCAAATCCAACGAGTGAGCAGGAACACCCTTGAATGGCCCCTCAAATGCATTTTTCTGCTCGAAAGAATATTGGTTTACCTTGACCCCGGATTTCTGAGCGTGGAGGGAGAATACTCGTTGAGGGTTATACCAACATGCATCTTCGACAATCTGCAGCAACTTGTCCGCTACTAACTCCGCTTCCGTGGTATCCTCAATTCCATAATTAGCAAAAATATCCCGTACCTTCGACCCAGAAAGAACCGTCTCCAGCGAAGACACAAAAGAAGCCGTCGTAGGCCTCGGATTCACAACAGGAGAAGAAACCATGACCATCTTCACAACCGAACTCTCGTTCCCCGTACACCCCACCAATATCTCCCTCCCCGCAAAATTCCCACCTAACCGCCCCTTCCAGTCCGAAGGGAAGAATACATCATCCATAACAACCATACACCCCATCCCATTCCTAGGATCACTTTTCACGTACGCGGCGATCAGGTCTTGATACGGCACGGCGGCTAGTTCAGCGGCGGTACTGACTCCGAGCGCGGTTTTGGTAGATTCGTAGGTTGAGGAAGCGAAGGGGAGGGAGAGCGGCGTGCTGAAAAGGGCGGTGCCGAGGAGTTGGGATTGTGTTATTGCGCGGTGGAAAAGGGGGCGTTGGAGGGAGTGTAGGTGTGTGAAGATGGCGGCACTGCCGTGGGATTCGCCGTAGAGGGTTAGGTTGGTGGGGGAGCCGCCGAAGGGGGCGATGTTGTGGGTTAGCCAGGTTAGGGATGTGTGCTGGGGTTGTTAATTGGGTTTATGTGCGGGGGAGGGAGAGGGGAGGTACGATGTCTCGTAGTCCTGGGGGTGTTAGTGGCGATGTGGTAGAGGGGAGGGAGGAAGGGAGAAGTACCAAAGTTTGCAGTGTTTTCTTTGCCGTTTACTTGTCTTAACTCTTCGGAGCCTATGTATCCGAATACGGAAAGTCGATAGCTATCCAAGGTCAATCTTCTTTCGTTACGTGGTGGGAGAACTCACTTGATAGCAACAACCACAACTGGCTTCCCAATTTCTACGCTCCGCTTCACAATCCCACCGCCATCACACCACCAATCCGCATTCGAACCTGTAAATCCACCTCCACCGTGCACGTAAACCATTACTGGCAGACCAGCATTTGGTTTAGTATTTGCAGGTACTGTAATATTTAGGTTCAGACATTCGAATTCGTCAAATGTTGAGGGGTCGATGGGAGATGGGATGCCAATGAGAGCTTCTTCCATTCGAGTAGGGAAGAGTGGCTGTGGACATGTTGGTCTGGAATTAAGTTAGTTAGAAGTATCAAGAAAAGTGGAAAGGATGGAGAAGTACCCGTATGAAGTAGCATCGTAGACTGGAGAGAATGCTTCATGGAGGGTTGATTGTCTGAATCGAGTTGGGATATTTGCGTATTTTATTCCTCTGAATTGCCATACTTGGTTCCCAGATGATGAAATGGAGTGTCTGATTCCTTTGAATTCGGTGTTGAGCGTTGTGTGGTGGATAATTGGTTCAGACATAGTTGCGTGTCTCTTGACTTCGTGTTGGGAAGAGGGTCAAGTGATGAGAATATCTATATCCGTCAGAAGGAAAGTCGCCATAGTGGATCAAATACCATATGGTATTACTGATCGAATGCCAACGCCTTGTGGGTAGTATAATAGGGGTAGATGACGTGAGAAGCTCGCCGACGGGACATACCCGAATCGGGTACTCACACAGACCAATCAACGATGAGGTGAGTCGAGCTTTGAGAGATTCGGGAATACCCTGACGGGAATCACCGCTCGTATAGGTTTCTGTGAGGAAGAAGAAGGAGTGATTTGAAAGAGTGGAGCAGACAAGGAATTGGAATGGTTGTAGCCGTGTGCGCGGACACTGGAAATGATTATGTTACCGGTCTACAATAGGTAACGGCGGTGGGCTCGTACAGTCCCCCCCCCTGAAATCGCTCAGACCTCTTGTCAGATCCACTATTATTTCTGGTGCTATTTTATTGCTGTACTCTGAAACTCTTACAGTAAATAAAGTTTGGAGCATTTATGAGTTTCAAGTGCATTTTTAGAGTTGATATTCATAAAGCGGCAAAAATAAAAGCCGAATTTGGTCGCATAATCGAAGTGGTTTCAAATATCCTGGTTTTTTTCTAGGGTATACACTGTAAGTAAACCATGTAAATAATCACTGTTGGAACCAGGTTCTGCAGATTTGCATAGACCTCTTTTCTTGATGCCCTTTTCAAGGCGCAAATAGATACTCTCGAGTCTTCGCTATATGTCGGCTTTAAGGATCTCTGCCTCTACGTCAAACTTGAAAAAGATTCTTGCGGAATCCTTGCTTGATGAAGTTATCTCTTGAGACAATGATTAGGAGGAAAGTTCTGAGTTGGATGGGTAGAGGGAGTAAATTGATGCGAAATGGCATGCGATCATTCTAGAAAGATAGAGGGGTACAATGCGGGGCCGTGCAACAACAGGTCGATTGGAAAAGTAAATCAAACTCAAACATTGAAAGGAAAAAGAAGGTTCAAGGCATAATGAAAAAGCAGATCTAGGCGGCATCGCACAGATGTTTTACCAGTTTTGATGTGGTTAGATGTATGTCGAAGTAAGATGGGTGAAAGCCAGCAAATATGACATGGGCCTAAGAACAAGTCATTGGAGGTCCACCCTCTGTCATCCTTCCCAGGGAATTTAAATCTTGCGGGAGTGTCGGAGAAGGAAGGTACATGCGCTTGAGCGACTTTGTCGGCCGACCTTGTGGAGCTACTCGCGCGGACAAAACTTGGTCACATCCCCCCGCGGGTGACAGACATGTTTCATGTTAGTCGAGCTCTCGAGACCAGTTCTCACTTGTTGGGCTTTACGACATGGATTCAAACAAATCGCGGGGTAGATCTCCATTGCCGTATGGCTGACGGCTTCCACCTTGGAAGACTTGTTCTGAATTATATTGCGGTGATCTTTTCTGTTGCAGACAGAATCGCATTGACAGATTATGTCTGCAGATGGAGTCGCAAGACATGGCAGTATTCAAAGCTAAGCCACCACCTAAGAGAGAAACAATCGGACGTCGATTGTTCTACTGTGCAGCCTTGTCAGTCGCAGCGGCAAGGCAAATCGACCAGGCTTTGCCAAGAAGTGAAAAGGAAAGCAAGCCGTGTGCAGCCTCACTTGAAGCATGCAACAATCTACTCCTCTCAGCGAAGATATCGTAAAGATAATCCTTCCCTAATGTTATTTTGAGTATTGTCGTCGTCCAAGGATGGACGTTGACAATCTTACACTTGCGAGGGAGGAAAGAGCGAGCGCTTGGGCGCTTGCCAAGGCCCGCTCCATCGACGACCTCGAACCTTCAGAACGACAACTCTACGACAATGCCACCCTCGAGAACATATACTATTCCACCAGCAATACCGTCAGAAGCGATGGAGAGAACAGCAAGACTCGAAATGTCATCCGAAAGCTGGGGCCATTGGTTTCTGCCATCCAAAGCTATGGCACTGCCATGGACGCCTTCTCCCAGATAGCCCCGCTCTATCTCAGTCCCATATGGGGATCTATCCGAGTTCTACTGGTGGCTGCAGATGCGCATAAGAAGTTCTATTCAAAGATAGTCGATGTGCTGGAAAGAGTTGGGGATATTCTCCCAAGATTTCGTATGTTCAATCAACGTTGCTTAGCATTTCTGAACTCTCAGCACATGCTGCCTACGATATTCCGAGAACTGACTCGAAAAGGTGATTATGAACGAATATACCATCCACAGAAACACCCACGCCTCACTCAAGCCATTTCGAATGCATATCTCGACATCATAACACTATGTACGAATTTCCGGCAGACAATTCGAGACCATCAAGCTTCCAAAGTTCGCAGAATTTTCAAACCATTGTCGAATAATCTACAGTCCGACGAGGCAATCGAGAAGTTTCGGCAACATAGGCAAAACGTTGAGGATGAAGCCAACTTGTGCCACATGATAGAAGCCTCCGAGGAAAGAGAGACTCGCATGACGCTGTTTGCTGTAGAACGACGACGACGATTACTTGCCCGTTTGTCCAATGTCGATTGCACTCGGAAACATTGCAAACTCAAGAATACACGGCATAAAGGAACGGGCATTTGGCTACCCCAACATCCAGAATATATCAAGTGGGAATCAAATCCCAAGTCAGCAGTCTTGTGCTGTCATGGCATACGTGAGTCTTTAGCATCTAGTATTACTAGAATTTCGAAGCACTCCTTACCAATTCAATTAGAATGAAAGATCGTAAAGCTCTTTTCTCTTTGTTCTTATTTTGCTTTAGTAGTCAAACTAACTGGTAGTAGCTGGATGTGGCAAGTCTGTTCTAGCCTCGACGATCATCGACTCCACGGAAGACAACAAACGTGCCATATTCTACTATTGCGATTATGCCGACAAAAGGACTCTTTTTCCATCAAATGTGTTTGGCACGCTAGCTCGCCAAATCTTGGAGAGACAAGAGACCCTTCCAGAACCTCTCGCACCTACCATTGAACGAGCAGAGCATGATGGTGATCGACTTACAGATCACTCCGAGGCCTTTCGTTTACTTGTACAGTGCATCGAGATTGCAACTCACCCACTCTGCATTGTTCTCGACGGCCTTGATGAATGTACGGAACATTCGCAGAAAATCATCTGTGATGGGCTTCAACATCTTCTGCATCTCGATAATTTGAAATTGAAGGTTTTTATAACAGCTCGAGCAGAGTTAGAATCATCGCTCAAACTCAGGCCATCTATCTCATCATTGAGCATATCAATTTCTTCAGCAACAATAGCTCTGGACATTGGTTCCTATGTCCGAGCATCAACCAGACATCGAATATCCAATGGATCGCTAGTCATGCAAGATCCAAGCCTAGAGGAGTTGATTGTCGACAAACTTGTGAATGGCGCTAAGGGCATGTAAGTTAAATTATTCCTGGCTTTCTGTAATCCCTTTGCTGCCTACTCCACGAGATTGCTCGTGTACTGATTTTTTATCAGGTTTCTGTGGGTAGAGTTCCAGCTCAACGATCTGTGTGATGCCGAATCTGACTGCGGCATCAAAAATGTTCTCGAAAATCTGCCTCGAAGCTTAAGCGAAACTTACGACCGCCTCCTAAGCCGAATTGAAGGACGAGATCGAGCGACCATGATCGAAAGAATGTTCAAGTGGCTCGTGTGTGCTCGCCAACCACTTCGCGTCGAAGAGCTACGCGAAGGAGTGGCCTTCACCATTGACGACCTCGAATGGGATCAAGACAAGATTGTTACGGATCTGAATCGCTTGGTCCGCGCATGCTCCAATCTAGTGGTGATTGATGTAGAGACGCAGATTGTACAGCTATCCCACTATACTGTCGAGCAATATCTTCTTCAGAATGATGCTGCGGCTTTCCATTTTACGCGAGAAGACGCTGAAATTATGGCTGGAGAATTCTGTCTTGCCTATCTGTCATTCTCAAACTTCGAGACAAAAGTTACACCTTACCGGGAAAACACGAATACGAACTTGGTTGCGCTTGGAAGAATTGCCCAAAACAGATTGCTGGTTTCTCCATATCACCCTGGCCAAGCTGCCATCAGAGCGTGGAATAGTATCAGAAAATCTGATGTATCTCCAATCGATTTTGACATGACGGAATACACGAGGAAACGACCCGTAATTCACAAGACATCGGAATTCTCATGTTTACAGTATGTAATCGACAACTGGCTTGTACATACCGGGCCAGTTCTGCAACAAGGAGTCGATCAAGATAATCGCTCCCATAGAATCAACCAATTATTCCGGGACTTGGTTTTACACAAAGAATTGCCATTCGAGTTTCGTCCATGGGCTGGCCACCTCCCTATTGATGACACTCGAGTTCCGAAGGCTCTTTTTGGCTGGGGGCTAATGAAAAATCACTCTTCATTAATCCAATTAGCGCAAAACATTCTATCATCACAACCACCTCCAAGTCAATGGTATCCTTGGTACGATGACAGCATTTTGGGGTGGAGGTCGTTTTATCGTCACAATTGTTTTGATGAGTCTCGGTACAAACACCCAAACGCAGATTGCTTGGAGGATTCTTACGTCTTAGAGACACCAAGCCCCTCCTGGATATTCTCTAAGCTTCTAGCAGCTTGTCGAAAGGGCCACATAGAAGCCGTCAAATCGTCCGGAATAATGGACATGGCAGCGGCTTATGATATGAGCAGTGACCGCTCCCAGCTTCTTCACTATTCCATCGTAGTCGTTGCCATGAACGGACACTTACCTGTTCTTGAGTATTTCTTGCCCCTGTCTGTTGCATCCAGAACAAGTACTAAAATCATGCATGCTGGCTCCGGATACTTTCTGAATGCTTTAGAGTATGGAATATTATCTGGGCACTTGGAGATTGTTCGGGTCCATTCGCTGCGGGGCAGAAGGTTGAGTTGTTTGTTGATAACGATAGCTTCTACTCTCTGATTACCGATGCTTTCCATAGGTTGCAATCCGAGAAGCTGGCAATTCTTTTCCGTCTAGGTTCAGTCTCTTCAAGTGATGACCACGCTATTTTTGCGTTGATCCGAGCCGTCCAAAAGGGCGACTCTGGGGTGGTCGAGACCTTGCTAAGACATGGTGTGAACCCGAACTCCACGGACAAGTCTGGCAGGTCCCCAATTCTTGCAATCACTACATCCAACGTCTCAATTGTTCAAATATTACTCGATCATCACGCGAGTACTGCGATCACGCAATTTGGTATGCCATTGGCAATAGCCGCTGGGCTTGGAAATCTTGCCATGGTTGAGCTTCTTCTCGCTTGCAGTCCAGAAATCTCTGCCGAAAATGTCAATGGCAATTGTTTTCCGGTCATCGGGTATCCTGGAGACGCGGAGGAAAGCCCTCAATTATACATTTTCCCTACTCCACTATATATGGCATGTGCGCAAGGCCATATGGATGTTATGCAGTTGCTGGTCGATCATGGAGCAGATATGTCCCTTCCCAGCCCTCAAGACAGGATCGGTTTGTCACGACACAACGGGAACATTGTGCACACTCTTCAGCCTCCTACTCGACCATTCGATGGATCGGAGTTGTACGTTAACGACATTCAACCATTCGGCGGATCGTACGATTACGACTCTGGCCGTTCGTGGAAGACTCCTTTCGATGCCGCAACCTTCGGTAGAACTGATGACACGCTAAACATTATGCGGGCTCATAGGGCCACAGCCGGACATTCGAGTGTTGTTGAGACATTGCCAATTTTAAGTGTTACAAACTTTGAGATTTGGGAGACGATCTTGCAGCCGAAAGAAGACGTATCCAAGACTGTAATCAACCTTGAATTTCTTTTTGCTGCAGGCCTCGATCTGCGGGCAACAAAAGTTGAAGGCCAGTCATTCATCCTTTGGGTGCTTGATCATGATGTCGAATACATTCGGGCACTGAATCCTGGGCGTTCCAGACTTTTGAAAACACATATTCCACACTTTGTCTCTGCAATATTGGAGCTCCTAGCAATCGACAACCTGAAGATTCACCAGTACTACAAGCTCTTCTTGACCATATTACAGGTCTACGATGTGCTCACGCTGGCTCGTATCCTGTCGGGGATATTGAAGCACAGTAACACCGAAACGGCCAAGGAGTTCCTTTTCAATATATTCCTGCATATTATTCGCAGAATGGATTCTTCTATAGAAGCACTTGATATTGTTACCGCAATTATCAGGGCGACTCGAGCAAATCAAAACCTTGTGACTCGGGGTTTCAGGGTGGCTCGGAAACCTCTCCCAGCATCGCACCAGGAAATAACTAGCCGAAAAAACACAGGGTCGAAATCTGCTCGTGGTGACATCAACGTCTCGCAGCGTATCTCAATAGACTTCCTTCGCAAATACTTCGATGCCCTTTGCTTCGACAGATGTGGAGCGACGCGGCAAGCGCTGACCAATATCATGCTGATCATTAACATGATAGAATGTGACTTGGTCAATTTTCTACTTTTAGTTGATAACGATAATGAACTGGACTCAAGCTCCGGGTTTGAGAGCCTAGAGACGAATCTTGAGACAGAATCTCAATTCAAGACCCATCAAGCTAATGAGGACTTGCTCAATGTACCCGCTGCGGGCCTGGATGAAGTTTGTTCTGATTATGCATAGATACAAAAATCTCACAGCGCAGCGAAGTATCATGGCCCTTGTCTTATTTGAATTGGAGGTCATGATGGAACGATTCTTTTTTCCATGACCAAGCAACTGCAATCATATAGTTCAGCACGATTTCGTTTACTTCTAAGATCGGTAGACCATTCTGCTGTTCTATGTCTAGCATAGTTTCATCATCTTAACTTCCAATCCCGTGAGTACAATTATGTATGCTAATCTCGTCCATGGGACACAGAATCAACTTTCCTAGCCCGATCCCAAACAAGCTCTTCATCAGGCACATGCTTGAAATAAGCAATCAGCTCCTCCTCTTCATACTCCTGCCACTCCTCCACAGGCTTCTCCAATATTCCAGCCTTCCTATCAATATACCCCACCACATAATCCTTGATATTATACCTGCTGTCATACTTCAACCTATTCAATACATCTTTTGCGGGCCTCAACTTTCCCCCCGGAGAGCTGCCCTTGGCAGACGTCTCGCCTCCCATGGCGTGCCGCAGGAATTGCTGCCGGATTTGTTTAGGATTGCTATTTTTGGTTTTCTTGAATGATTCTCCTGTTTTTCTCATTTCTACTTCTGGCTTCTTGTTTTTCAAGGATGTAAGAGCTTCAATGGGAATTTCTGGCTTGAGAGATTGTTGCAGGATAGCATCTCGTGTTACGAATTTCCCTTGCACTTTATCCATTGGGAGTTCGGCACGTATTTGGGTCTCCCATTCTCGCACCAGTTTCCTGGCTTTGGTGATCTCGTTTAATGCAATGACTGGCAGGCCAATTAACCAGTAGCACGTGTACGCTTTATCTGTTCTCGTGTCCGATTCGTCGATAAATCGTCCAGGAAAGAGCTTGGTGTTTTGGGAGTTCAGCTGAGATTTGAGATCTGGTGTCTTTCAGTATTCGTCGCAGAGTGAAAGGGTAGATAAAACTTCACTCTCGTATAGAGCAGCCACTTTTTGTTCGACAATTGCAATCTGAGCGACAATTGCAGAAGTTGAGGTGGCTGTGAAGGACGCCTTCACCCGAATATACCAGTCGTGAATGAAGGTTTCCGCGAGAGCTGAATCAGTTGGAGGAGTATCTTGCGACTCGTTTGAGTAGCTCTGTGACTCAATTTGAGCAGCTGAAGTATCGTCCATGGAGTTGATGCACCAACGTGTGTAATATATTTTTTCGATTTAGTTACAACAAAGCCACCCCACTTTTGCTTAGAAGATCTTTCAGAATTCCAAGCAGTCTTTAAACGGGCTCGTACAAGCACGTCTACTTGTTATACTTGTTCTGTTAGCGTGAAGGATTCATGACTCACGCCGCTCACTATAAAATGCAGTTAGCACATGCCTGTTTCGGAAGAGCAATAGCAATTGAGGGAACCAGTGCCAAGTGTCCGCATAAGCGAGCGGCGCCATTAGCCCCTGGATTCTCGGCTAATTTGGACAGAGCCTCTTCTAGTGGTCCAATGTTGCACACTAGCTTAGCTCAAAAATATATATTCAATGCTCGTGTTGAACTCATTAGTTGGTGAAGCGGGACGTGGATTGAGATGACATCACTTGGGCATTTATGGGATTGAATGGTGTTATGTACTCCATATGGTGGGATCAATCACTTCTAGAATGAGGCATCAAAGGTACAATAAAGCCATGCATTGTCGCCAGCGACTTGATAGTACAAAGCAGCATAGACATCAGCTTCAACGCTCGCAGATACAAGAAAACCATGCTTTGTCGCCAGCGACTTGGTAACTCAAATCAACAAGTAGACAAACGTCAACGCTCGCCGAGATCTTCATCAACCGTTCCAGTCCCGTCAAAAACACTCGTGGTCGAATTATCATCGAATTGCAGTGGAAAATTTCAAAAGTAGGATCCGTTACTCCCCCATACGTCTGCCATAATTCGGGTTAGGCCCCCTCGGCGCAAACGGCCGACCATCACAATATACGAGAGGACTGCCGATTCTATCCATATCTTTGCAGTTACGACATCGTGTATGACCACAGGCGCGGCAATCCTTTCGAGTCATCTCCGGGTCTCTGGTGTTCAGTAATTTCCCGTTATCTGCTCTCAATTTGGGGTCTTTATTGCCTGGGTACCGATTTTGTACGAAGCACTATCAATATTAGCACAGACAAGAGACAAGACTGCTCATCAATAAGAGTGGACGTACCTGACAGCACTCCCAGTAGTAAATGTTTTGGGTATGAGCCTGGATCCGAACTGGATTGGGTTTTGACGATATGGACCTGCTGCAGGGTCTGCTGCTTGAGCCATTGCGAAGTGTTTCTGTGAGAAAGCTTTTTGATTTCTTTGAGTGCTAGTGGTTAGAACAAGTCTGAGAATGTTGTCGACTTGAGTAAATGTATTTGAAGTTGTGTAAAAGCCAGGGTTGATGGTTGTGGATGAAGAATGAAAGTGTTCCTTGGTAGAAACAAGCTAGCGTTTTATAGACCTTTCTCTTTCCATGTTGAATCACATAGTTCGAGACAACCAGTCATTTGTGATTGCCAATGAATAAGAACTCCTTCATATCGTCATTTCGATGAGTGAGCTGAGCCTGGGGCATTAATATGATTCATGGGGCTGTATGATGGATGCTTCAGCTCTTCACGGTGGCGTTATGAATAACACATCTTGGTCCTCAGTGAATGTGGTTTTTTTTTGGCATTGATATACCATGAGGGATGATCTTCGTATCATCAACCATCAGCCTTTGTAACTTTACTTTTTTTTTTGAAAGGTAGTTAGTTTGATAAGGTGTCGCTATACAGAGGGTGGGGTTTGAGCCTACGATTATTCAAGCTGCCGTGATTGAATACCTCTCACGGGCGAGAAAAGATGGTATCATAACCTCAAAGATCTCTAGAATATCTCCGACTGTCGCATCGGCATCTTTGAAGCAAACACCTATTACGAGTCGACGTCCAACGCGTATACATGACGTTCTCGCTGGTGAAGCATAAGCTCGAGACATCGGTCTCTATGGCTATAGAGTTGCTCCTTCCGAGTGAGACATCAACGCTTAGAAATCGTTGGCTACATATTTCATATCCTCGCGGGAGATGAGGATGCCGTTCTTCTAGATAAGATGTTCAAGCTTAGTTGCTTAGCTTGGAGAACTCGAACCTAGCGAGGAAAAAGTTCAGAAGTTGGTGGACAGCGGAAGGTGCCGAATTGGAAATTCAGAGGATTTTGCAAATGGATGACAATATATACGAATACCTGCAGATTATCAGTTCTGTACGTCGACGCTGTCTGTCTTAAGATTTTTGATATTTTCGTAAAGCGTGTGACTTATAGGTCTAGAAATGTTGCAGAAAGTTTTGAGACGTAGGAAGTACACAAGACAGTTCCAACTGCCAGGTACTCTATTAATGCTCAGACTCTATTTCAATCTCGCCTTGGAAATGCCTGCATGTACCCATCGATAGGAAACTTTGTGAAACACAAAGTGATCCTATGCAGCTATTTTAAGCGAGAGAATGCGCTGAGGTATTAAAGTCTAAGCGAATGACAAGGACATTGACCCCATATCTTTGCTTGATCAGATAACCATCTGAACATCGAAGAGGCATTGAATTATCCCTCCATTCGCGGCTCAAAAACCTGCACTCCAAATCCACACGTGACGAACCCCTCACATCCCAGCACGGCCACAATGAACGCACTAAGCCCCGCAATGCACCATTTCAAACCGGTTTCCTGCTCCCGTTTCACCAACTCCCGTTCCGCCTCAATCCTGCAACGAATCGCCCAATTTCCATTCCATAGATATCGATTTCGATCTCGCGAAAAACGCACAATGACGTTGCTGACCGCCGCAAAACCCGTTGCAGGGAGCCCCTGCGTTCCGGGTGCTGAAATCAAGGTAAATCTTAGTGTGAAAGCAGGGAACGAGTAGCGAATTGTTGGTGACGATGCTGCGGGGTGAGGAAGCTTTAAGTATGAGGATGTCCTGCAAAAGTTTTGGGTTGTAGGATATTTTTTTTCTTCTGTTGGAGAATTGATTCCTCGATATCCCGCTAGAAAACACATTCTTGATACGTACGGTGTCGCAATCCTTCGTTCATCATGGCGGACACCCAGCAGCAAGAGAAGACTCAAGAACATACGGCGCGAACTTACGATGGGCCGGACCCGCGCGAGATGCTGCCTCCTAGGCAAGAGGGGTATAGAGCGGCTGCTATTAGAGAGTCGAGGATTAAGGATAGGCCGTATAAGCCTACGAACAGCAGTTTGAGGATCAAGATTGAGCTGGATTTGGAGGTCGAGGTATGCCGATTCCTTCTTTGAGTAAGCGTGAATGGTTGAGGCTGATGCATGTTTGATTTAGGTCGATCTATATGCCAGAGTCAAGGGAGATGTTACGATCGGATTGTTGTGAGAGGGATGCGATGATTGATACGGCGAAACGAGATGCATATCTTTTGTTCCAATGCATGCATGCATGATATCGGTGTGGGCGTTTGGACTTTGGTCTTGGCAGCAAGTTATGATATGAGAGCACAGGGCAATGCAATGGAACGGAGTACTGAATGGAAGCACTTACAGGATTCTCGTTTTCCTGTCAACATGAGATGCATGTGAATGCTGCAGTGGCACTTGAACGCTGACATTACATTTGTGGCAAGTGCTACAAGAATACTTCACACTTTCTACTACATTTCATATAATTGTTACAGCGGCAACAAATCATATCGGAATCAGGGAGGGGTGGAGAACAAGCCAACCAGTGCTGTATTGAGAACAGAATGGCGGGAATGGTATCGAGAAAGGCTGAAAAGAGAGCTAAGACCTCAGGTGTGAGGACTTGTAACCTCCTCGCGAAGAGAAATTTCGGCGATGGAATGATGAAGGTGCCTGTCCTGGCGGAGAGAGATACATCCTTGAGAATTATGGATTTTAGATCTTTTGCGTGCTCATCCTCTGTGGGATGAAGATGTCGGAAGCTGCAGAATGTGTTACTTTTCAGCGTGACTTGCAATTGTAATTTTCGTGTGGGTAGTGCATGCACTAAGTATTATCCTGCGTTCTCGGTTGCATTTTGGATGGATGTACTGCATTTATTTCAAGCTTACTGTCGCTTTCAATATCGTGCTTCGAAGGAAATGGCAGAGTTTGAATCATGGTGTGAAAGTGGGGCAGAGCAGCTATCCATCTCATTCTTCACCTTCCTCCTCTGATCTTGGAGTGGAGGTTCTACTGTTAGATAAAAACCAGAGATTGTGATTTCTAAGATTCTGGAGTAGTGTTCAGGAGCAGATGGGGCTGTCAACTTCTGTGGAAACTCCACCTCTTGGTGGTATTGTATGATTAATATGAAGTGCTTGAATTCTGGCAAATGTCTAACTTCTTGAGGCGGAACTTGCACAAACAGCTCAAATAGAACAGAAAGCACACGAGAATCGCTAGGTCTGGAATCACAGCTGATAAGTAGAACAGGACACATCTGTAGCACGTGATTTTGGATGACCAGGTTGACAATGAAGTCGCAAATTAGAAAACAAGGCTTCTGAACAAAGTTAAACCAATACCTCTGATAGAGATAAAGCAACAGAAGTAACAGACTTAAGCAGGAAAAAAAAGAAATGCTGGATATCACGTGGCAGAGTTGAAAACTCCCCAACTGCAAGACAACAAGCAAAGAAGTCAAGAACTAGAGCACAGGTGTGTTGCGATAGAAGAAACACCAAAATCAATGTTCGACTTCATCTCCCAGAGCCTCCAGGATTTAAGTCCAGGTTGAAGACAACCGGCAATGATGGTGTTCTTATCCTGTGGAAACCAGACTCGAGCAGACGATTCTTGCTGGATATATCATGCCACAGCACAGCTGATAGATTTCGTGCCATTATGGAAACAAGAGGGTCCGATCAGTTGTGGATCTGCGTAGGATTTCCTTTTCGTGATCATTCGATCTCGTGATTTGTCGGCTCACTTTCTCAATACCCGAATCGGCGGTCTGCATTTAATTGACTTCCCGCTTTGGATTGTTGGAGCTGCAAACTCAAACGGAAATTTGATGTTTGTGTGTTGTGTTGATAGAGGAGATAGAAACGTGTCAATGAAACAATAAAGTCGTGAAGGGAGCTTCTTACTGGATTGGGAAAGAAGACTGCTCTTGTGATTAGATGAGCAGCCCCGCGTTCTGTGATTGGCCCTGGTTCTAGCATAGACGCTAAAACACACTAAAAGTAGGCGACTCCACTCGTTACCCCGCATTCCAGGGACCAGCGTAAACTCACGTGAGGGAAATCTGATCATCGTGTGTGACCAAGGAAGTCAGATCCCTCGCACACTCTTCCTCCTCCGTCTCCAATCTACATCAAAAGCATCACTTCCACGTCTCTAAACACTCGATATCAATTCCTCACAGCTTCGCAGCAATCATTCAGTCGCAATCATGGCAACAACCGAGTCCAACCCCATCATCAAGGTGTTAATCACAATGCATCCTGGCATGGACACCATGGATTTTGTTGTCCCCCTCGAGATCTTGTCCCAGGCCAGACACAACCCCGCTGATGATAGTAAGTTGATACTTCAATCCTATTGAGCTTCAATTGTTTAATATCAATCTGTCATTATCCCTCCATTGCATTGCCCCTCGTTTCGAGCTATTTGTGTCAACTTGAAACTGACTCATGCCATCCACAGCTACCAAAGTCTTCCAGATTGCCTTCTGCGCCGAGAAGGAGCACACTGTCTCGACTCAGGGTGCCAGCTTCCGTGCTCACATGGAGTACGACGAAGCCCATTCCCGCCTTGACGAATTCGACATCCTCATCGTTCCTGGCGGCAGAGCCACCGAACTCCTCTGGGACAACGAAGCTGCTGAGAAGAAGCACGAACCTCTCATCGAACCTCTCGCCCTCATCAAGGCATACTCTGATATCCAAGTCAAAGACCCAAAGAAGGAACGTACCCTCTTTGCCGTCTGCACCGGCTCGATGTTCCTTGCTCAGCAGGGCATCCTCAATGGCTTGTCCGCCACCACACACCCCGACTTCTACACACAATTTGAGAACGTCTGCAAGGAGAGTGCTCAGAAGGGTCTCTCGGAGCGTTGTGATCTTATGGAGGAGAGATATGTCGTCAATAACTTGAGATATGATCTAGGCAATTTGGACGAGAACCCATACGTTCGTCGTAAGGCAGATGCTAGACGTCCCTCCGTCATGGCACGAAAGGGTAGTAACGCATGGAAGGAGAGTAATACCCGCCGCGAGAGTATTGCTCGTCGTGCTGAGATCAAGCTCGGTGGCTTGAGAGTGATTACCACGGGTGGGATCACTTGTGCCATGGATGCAAGCTTGTATCTGGTGAGTATCATGGCTAACGAAGAGTGTGCTATTGAGATCGCAAAGGCCATGCAGTATGAGTGGAAGAAGGGAATTGTTGTTGATGGCATTGATATTTGAGGCGTCTGGCGTTGGTAAAAGGGTATTGTGCATTTGCATAGAATACTGCCATTACTGCTAGATGGATAGCTTGGTATGGATTTGGGAGGATAAGTAACTGGGTCATGGATGGAGCTAGATAGCTGCTGTCTTTTCTGCAATCTCATCTCTGCTTTGGAGCATGGAAACAGCTACGGTGCAATATCTCCTGTCTGTGTGATGTGATTTCGATGCTTTGTAAAGCTGGCTCGAATACCACTTCCTGACTTCTGAGTGAAGGACTTCGAGTCGAACAATGGGACTGCACAAAAAAGTAGGACTCAACATCCCAATGTTAATTCGAAGTCAGGACAATGCAGCTGCCAAACGTGCGCAAACATCGCAGACAGCGCAGACAGCGCATGCAGAGCAAATGGCGCTGACTGCGCTGCATCTCATAGTGCCTACATCGTCACCCATTTCTCCCCCTTCTGAAAACAATTCATGAACACCCATTCTTTCTCCTGCAAATATTTTTCTAAATCTCTACATTCATCCACCAAAGTACAAGCACTGAATCCCCCTCCCGCCTCCTCAACCACCAACACCCACTCTCAAAACTCCCTCGTCTCCCCCACCCCACAAACCCCAAAAACCCCCTCCCCCAACCCACTCCTCTCCACCGCCTCCGCCAACAGCCTCGGCGGCTCCATAACCTCCTCCTCAGCCACAGCCCACGTCCCCCAATGCACGCCCACCGCCCTCCTACATCTCGTATCCTTGAAGATCTCCACCGCGTCAAACGGATCCGAGTGCACGGCGCTCAACACGTGTCGAGGTCTGTAGGCTCCTATCGGTAATAGGCCAAGATCGAACGGGCCGCGGAATTCTCCGATTTCTTTGAAGGCTGGGCAGACGGGCAGGTGAGAGAGTGAGGTGGAGGGGGAGGGGGAGGAGGAAGGGAGGGGAACGCGTCGATACCCGGTGTCGCCGCCGAAGAAGACGGATTTGGGGCCTGAGGAGACGGACCAGGTTGCCCATAGCGTGAGGCCTTTGTCGAAGGGGGTGCGTGCTGAGGTGTGTTGGGCTGGGAGGCAGGAGATGCGTGCTGTGATTTTTTCGGGTTGCGAGGAGGTAGATGTTGGAGACGAGGTTTCGGGGGTGGGGGTTAATGTCAGGTCTACGTCTTCCCACCAGTCGAGCTCCGTGACGGTAGTGATGCCTGTGGCTGTGAACCAGGATTTGAGACCCTTTGGGACGAGGAAGTGCGCTGATGGGTGGTGTTTGTGGATGGAGAGGATGCTGGGGAGGGAGAGGTGGTCGTAGTGGGAGTGGCTTATTATGACCTATTCTCGTTAGCTGATATCTGTATGGACGAGGGAAAGGGAATTACGCAGTCTATGATGGGGATATCGGAAACATCGCAGGGGCAGGGTGTGAATCTCTTATGACCCAGCCAGGAGAAGGGCGAGCAGCGCTCTTCGAATACGGGGTCGAAGAGGACGCGGAGACCGGTGGGGAATTCAATGTAATGACATGCATGTCCTAGCCATGTTGCGCGTAGAGCCGTTGAACCTGTTCTCGATGAGAGGAAGCTGGGTTTCATGACTGAGATTGTTGCTTTTGTGGTGTCTGGCTTCTGGCTGTTGCCTGAGAGGAATTTGTGGCTGGAAAAGCGGTGTCAATTGGGGCTTTTGGTAGAGAGGGAGAACTCACTGCATCATAGTTTTGAATAGTTCGGGAAAAGTAAAGTCGTGTGCACTGTCCCATGGATTTATGAAGCTTTTTGGTTCCCCTTTTCCTGTCCTGTCTCTCACCCAATGGCGCTTCTCATTTGCTGTGTCTGGTACTGGTCCTAAGGTCGCTGGCGGACTGACTGTTACGGTGTAAGGGGACCCCATATTTATATATCTTGGAGCTGTGGCCTTGGTAGAATAGTGAAAAAGTCTGCATGAAAATCGTGGGCAGATGCCTCGCATGGGTATTTGTTGCGGTTTCTTGAGAACAAAGAGAAGTTGTGTTGAAAGGTATGAGGTTCGCTTAGTAAAAGGCACAGTAAATGGGGCTAACCGTATAGGTAGGTAGATCATCATTGAAATTTATTCTCGATGGGAAAAGTAAGAACTCTAAAGCTGTTCTGAAGCTTTAATTCGTTGAAGATTGCGGATTTCAAGATCGATACGTTAAAACCAACATCTAGCCATCCACCATGTGATCACAGTGCAAAGGCATCAGACTGTTAAATTGCTCATAAGATGAGGAGGTTCGCAAGATACTATTCTTGCCAATGGAGTGTATCTGTTTGGGGGAAAATAAGATTGAGATAAATGATAATCTAAGTTCCAGTTGAACTTCTTCTTCTTTTCTCCTGGAATAATTCAAGAAGCGATAAGCTTGACACAAATGCAATGTAGAAAGTATAACACGTACATGAGTTCCCAACCGCCCAGCGCTATTCCGAGCTCATTTCCCTGCATGAGCGTACAATGTACTACTCGTCACTTCCCACGGTACCTCCCCTCAATAGCCCTCTTCAATCCAGCACATATACTCCCATACCCGCTCAACCCCTCACTAAACCTCCACCCACACTCCCTCGCCATCCTCTTCGTGATTCCTCTCAACCACACCTGCTCTCTCTCATCCTCTACGAATGCAGAGACGACTCGTAGTGGCATCAATAGCATCAATGCACCAGCCATAATGTGCTCCCCTTGAAGGTGAAATTCTATGCATCGTAGAATCTCCCTCGCAGTCTCTGGTATGGAGATGTTTTCGTGTGGCATGATGAGTGGGTTCGTTGCTCGTGGTATTTGGTGGGTGGAGAGCGTTGCGAGAGCAAGTGCTGGTGCATTTGAGATTTGGAGTGTGTGAACCAGATCAAGCATGAGAATAAGTGCCGTATCGTACAAAATTAATTGTCTTCCCTGGTGGAAAATTCGGAAGGATATTATGCTGGGAAACAGAGGTCCTTGGTTGTCTGTTGCTAAGCCATGCTTCGTGACCGGTGTCTCGTATGCAAAATTCGGGTGAACTTCTTCCCAATTCCAGCGCCAAGCAAAGAGGTCAGCTAGTATTTGTACGATGGCATCATGCAGATGTGCGTCTGTCGATGCGGTGGTGCTTTGATCGCTATCCTCAAGTATTCCAGGGATGCGAGCAAATATGTTGAATATCTCAGTGTTGCATTTCTGTATCTCTGGTTCATCGGAAGAATCAGGTTTCCATTTTTCTTGTTCTAGAAATGTTCGTCTTCGAGTGAAAAGTGCTTGGGAGATCTGCGGTTGGTTGTATTAGAAGTAGAGGTGGGGAAGAGGTGAGAGGTCTTACAATAGAAAGTCGAGCAACCATAAAATATCTCTTTCCTAGTCCTCGTTGATGTGCTTCTGGACCTCGCATCTCAATCAATCGGCCGACGCCGCCAGCGTGGCAGATCCAGCCGTAGCCGTCGGTTGAGATTGCTAGCTGTTATTGTTAATCAAATCCAATTCTTTTAGAAGACACTGCTCACCTCATAGATGCCTAGCAGTAATGAAGCAGCAATGTTTGAAGGGTCATTTCTCAGGTTGGTGCTCTGGAGATTGGCATTCAGTTGTTGGATTGCTTTGCAGTACCACGTTCTTGCTGCGTTGTCCTTCTCTAGTATCGTAGTCTGACCTGTGAAACAAGCTGCTCCTAGACAGCATGCTGTTGAATATGCGACAGATGTTTGATCTGTTTCAACGAAGTCAAGGATCCAAGAGTGAGTTTTGGAGGGAACCTACGATGTTACTTGTATGAGCATGCTTCTTGACGACAGATTTTCTGGGAAATTGAGCTTACATTATAACCTGAGCCTGGGAAGAGTCGCTGTGCTATGTATGACACCCATATTTGCTATCATCTGTTAGCACATTCCTGCGGCTGGAAACTTGAGAAAGTTGGGCACTTCTCATACTTCTCGAAAGCCACCTATATCAACACTGGCTAGTAGTGCCGTGGTTGGTAAAGCTGCACTCGAAATTGGTTCTGGAGTAGGTTCAGGGCCCGTGTCCGTGACAAACTTGAACTCAATATTGGAAACTTGTCCCGGGTGTTGTGTCTTTCCCAAACGTTGGTTAATTACAAGTACGCTGGTGAGCTCTGGTATATTTGTTGGAGTGGTGCCTGAGCGATATGCATGCTTCTTGCGTTTCTCTGCATGAGAACCTTGCTTTGGCCGTTGCCGGGCGGGAGGAGATTTGCGGTGTTGTGATTTGGAAGTTGACGCGGCCAGCGCAACCTGACTCTCTATGCCTTCATTGATGAACGCCACACCGTCATTCCGATACCCGTCACATATCATGAAGGAATCTCGGCATCGGAGACAGGTGGGTCTCTGTTCATCTGTAAACTTTAAGCTTAACCTCACATCTCACTTGGGCCATACAAACCGCATTTGACCTTCCTCTTAATGCAGGTGATGCATCCTTTCGATCTTCCTGGCCTCCCAACCATGGTCAATTACCGAACCCTCAGTAGCTATCCCGAAGATATTCTTGAACTTGTAGAACAGAGAAAGAGGAAGATATTGCGAGGTCCTGAGTATGGACCCTTGGCATGCATGGCAACCACGGCACTGGAACTGTCAACCTTAAAAGCCAAGATTGGATGTGGTGAAGATCAGGGAAGTCATTGCCACGATGGCCGTTTAAGCGAACCCCTAGCTGCGCCACACGTAGGGCTGAGCCTTCGCTAATCTTCTACCTCGCAGATTGATCCTAATGCGGTTTAGATGCCGACATTAGCTTGGAGCTACCAAGAGAGATCTCAATTCCAAAAGAGCTCTTTTCTTTGTTTTCCCTGTCAAACCACTGATCTGTCTTCAGCCTCTCTTCGTAAGTCGCTAGAGCTGGCTCCCGCGTCTTCAATGGATCATTGTTATTGGATAGTCGAAGCCGTTCAGCTGCACCCTTAGTCAAAGGAGAATTACATCATTCATTTCTTTGTCGTCCAGGTACATTCTTAGCCTCACCGAAGAATTATGAACAAGAACGATTATCGAATCGATGACCTCCACAAAAGCAGTATTTACGTACTCGAAGCTTCTTTCCTGATGCCATTTTTGGATCACTTAAGCCTCATCTCGCACAAGATTCCAGATGCAGCTAGTGCTGATCAGGTACATGGTTTACGTTTGTTGCTAAGGTCATGCATGGAAGCGTCCTCCATTCCTCTTAATGCTTTCAAATATAAAACTTTGGCTCAATACAATTCACACATACGCTTTGCACCTGTATCTCACCCGTTGTTTGACACCCTTTCGTCTCAACAACCTCTTTCAAGATGAAACTCTCTCTGCTCATCTCCTCCACTCTTACCCTTGCTATTTGTACATCAGCAGCAAATTCAAGCCTTCCAGTTGTTGATCTTGGATACGGTCTTTGGCAGGCTACTCTCAATGTAGGTACTTTGGACGAATTCTTCTTACTGGTACTAAACGTTGCGAATAGGGCACCGGCAATTATTATAACTTCAGCAACATCCGCTATGCACGACCTCCAGTAGGAGAGCTCAGATTTTCCCCTCCCAAACATCCGTTGGTGAACCGTTCGGTAGTTAATGATGGTCAAGACGGAAGAATCTGCCCTCAGGGATTCGTTTCCTGGTCTAAAGAACGCAGCCTCTTCGTCGACGCATACAGGACCAATCCCAACAACATCAGTAGTTTCACTCACGTCCCAGCACCCGGTATTAATACCACGGCGAAACCTCCCAAGCAGCAAGACAGTCGTGCCTCCGAGGACTGTCTGTTCCTCGATGTACTCATCCCAACGAATGTCTACGAGAGTGCTGCTTCGTGCGAGAACAACACATCTGGCGCACCTGTTCTGGTTTGGATTTTCGGTGGTGGATATTATGAAGGCAGTACAGAATCAGAAGGTAATCCAGCCGGCTTTGTCTCACAATCAGAGTCATTACCATCTTCTAGCCCAGGAGTTGTCTATGTTTCGATCAACTATCGACTTGGAGCTTTAGGTTGGATGGCAGGTCCGTCATTCACGGCAGGCGGAGGGACAGAAAATACGGGATTCTACGACCAACGTTTTGCGCTGGAATGGATACAAGATAACATCCATCTCTTTGGTGGCGATCCCAATCAAGTCACTATCATGGGATCGAGCGCTGGAGCATCGTCAGGACTCCATCAAATCACTGCATTCGGCGGTACGAAGGGAAAAGCCCCATTTCAACAAGCGTTCTTGCAGTCACCAGCTTTCAGTCCGAATCCATACAACGCCTTGCACGAAGAAGCATATCAAGAGGTGCTCACCATAGCTAATGCAACGTCATTGGCTGATCTCAGAGCCCTTTCTTCCGAGGAAATCATTGCTGTCAACGAAGCTGCGATCTTTCGTGCCGACTACGGGAAGAGCGGTTTCGGGCCCGTGGTCGACGGTTTCTTCGTCCCAGAACTTCCTACACTCCTTCTGGCACGAGGCAAATACGCAAAGAATGTTCGAGCTGTGATGTCTGGCCATAACACAGACGAGGGATTGATCTTCACTGATCCTTCCATCCAAAACACTTCAGCCTTCAACACGTATTTGTCTACAACATTATTACCTGATGCCCAACCAGAGATCATCGACTATGTTACTAACACGCTCTACCCTCCTGTCTTCACGAACGCAACTGGACTTGGATACAACGACACCATCTCTCGACTGTCTACACTCCTTGCAGACACGCTCCTCAATTGTAACGTCCAAGCTCTGATGAGTGCTTTCGGTGCAAATAAATCTTACGCATACCTTTTCGAAGAAGGCCCTAGTCTCCATGGAGAGCAAGGAGATTATACCTTCTATGATTATGGAGGCGTGACAAAAGACACATATGGGGCCGTTGTCAATGCTACCGTGGCAAAGACGTTCCAGGACTGGATGGTGACATTTGATGCAACGGGAAATCCGAATGGACCTGGCTCGGTGCCAATCCAGCCGTATGGGATGGGACATCTGATGGGATCGTTGTCAAACAAGGGGGTTGGAACACCACTCAAAGATCCGGCGGGAGCTGAACGATGTGCCTTTTGGCAGAAGGCTTTGTTCTATTGAGATTGGTGTATTTTAGTTTTATAGTCACAACAGGTGTTCGAGAGAAGGGAATGTTGGATAAGTGAGGAATCAGAGAAGAGAAAATCAGGTGTAATCTTGTCATAGAAAGTTGAAGTACTCACTTAGTATTATTGTATCATTATTGCCGCTTGTTATGACCATTAGTATCTTGTTATACTCAAAGAGGTGGCTTTTCAGTTAGAAAGCAAACTGGTCTCTGCTAGAAAGGCCACTACCTCAATGTATACGTGCAACTGGGAAATGGCAGTCTTGGCCGGAAAGTTGAAAAGGCATGGAATTTATATGTTGCCAGTCAAGAAGCATTCCTAGCAGTTTTTGCGCGAAGAAAGTTGCTATCAGTAGAGCATAGATCTCGAGGTACTTGTGTTACATTATTCTACTATACAACTTGCCAGACGCGATTAGTGAGTGGGAATAATTACCAAGCCGGGTCGTAACGATTGGCAATCTCGAGTGATAATTGTCAATTGCCATCTATCCATTCGTACGAACTCTGAGGTTCTTCGATATTACTTTTCACTTCCTGTAATGGCATTCAAGATAGCTACCATGCGTTCCAAGTACTTCTCGGCCTCCATCTTCTCTGTAGACAACTGAACACAGGCTGCCTCGGAAGTAGCAAGCTTTTCCTCCAGTCCACTTCTTTCACCTTTGAGTACTTCCTTCTCTGCCTCTAACTTCTTGACCTCTGCCTCGATACCCGTCTTCTCTGTGGTTATCTTATCGTTATTGAGGATAGCGACTCTCAAAGCCTCCTCAATAGCTGCTTTATCTGTAGCCAATCCTTCGATTGCGACTTTTGCCACTGTCAGTTCTTCTTCAACTGCTGCCTTCTCTGTCGTCAACTCGACCTTCGCAGCCTTGACGGCTTCCATGTCCATTTCAAGAATCTTCTTGTCCGCAATCAGCTGTTGGATCGTAGTCTTGATCGTAGCCAAAATTTGTTCGAGAATTGCCTTTTCCTGGTGAAGATTGCAGTTGTCCTGCTCAAGAGTGTGCTTGGCTTGTAGAAGGGCATTCATCTCTTGTTCAAGAGCCGTGCCAGCAGCAGTAAACTCTTGATTCGTAGCCATGGTCAAACTCAATTGTTGCTCAAGAGCCCCGTTGTTCCTAACCACCTGGTCATACGTAGCAGTAGCTCGTCCGACATTTTGCTCGATAGCTCTATTCTCCTGCTCTCTAGTGACTCGGAAACTGTCCATGGCACGCTCAAGACCAGCTTTCTCAAGAGCCAAGGTATTAAGCTTCTCGCTCAGGCTCTTGATTTGCGAAACGGCATCCTCAAATCCACCTTGAGCCTCGACTTCCATCTCATCTCTCGCACCAGTGTTGAGAGACGGGTTGCACTTTTCCACAGCAGTGCCCTTCTCCTGCACAAGCTTATCATACTCAATCACAAGTTCATTGTGCTGAAGAACAAGCCCATTGCTTTCCTCGTCAAAGTCGTCCCTGGTTTTCTCCATGGCTTTATAGGCATCCTTCCAACCTTCCAATCTCTTCGCAAAGACCTTCTGCTCCTCCACGATTGACTTCAGCTTCTCCAGTTTGCGTTCCATATTCTCTGCCTTGGCAACGGACTCCGTGAGCAATTTGGCGGCAATGATCTTGGCTCTCTTGGTATTCGCCAACTGGCGCTTCAGATCTTTGATGGTCTCCAATGGATCTTCGTGGGAAACACTGAGAGAATCAATGGCGCTTGCGGCCACTACTGGATCCATCGTGTAAGGGGATACGGGTACTTGACTGGTCTCCAATGGATACTCATCTTTATCAAAGCCGCTGGCGTTCCTCGCGCCTCCTGAATGCATTGCGCAAGTTGATACAGGAGCTTCGGTGGCGTTCAAGGAGTGGTCAGGGGAGCCAGAGTCGGTGGTGTTCGTAGCGGCTGCTGAATGTAATACATACGACCGTACAAGACTTTCGATGTTGAGTGGGTCTCCTTGAGAACCAGAGGTGCTGGCGCTCGTGGTGTTTGGATCGGAATCCGTCGCGCGCTGTGTGGTACGAGGTGATCGAGGTGCAGGAACTGTGTTCAGGGATCGTGCGCGTGCGATGTTGAGATCCCAAAGGTTCTTGAGGATTGTTCTGGAGTGGAAGAAAAATTGTGGTTTGCGATTGATGTGGAAGATTGGGTTAGCGTGCACTAGAATGTCAATATTGCTAAGCGAGCATCCCCCCTTTCGTCTGATCTAGTTGATGCCTCATGCACGAGGCTGTAAGAATCGCATCTTGATATTCAATGTCCGAGAAATCGACAGTGTTCTCAAACAAATTTTATGAAGGGATTTCAACAAATCATACTTCATCAATGAGAATTCAGATTTCATAGACATTGCTTCAACGTCAAGGTTGTTGAAATGTTTTCCTTGAGATTGTGATCCATACTCTTTGATCTAGGAATGGTTCCTTGATTTCTTTGCTAAAACTGACTACCGAGACGGAGCCACTGGCAAGCCGCAAGAACATGCGGAACTTCATGACATGTCGTTCTCCTCAAAGCGTCTGATCACTTTGTAATCCAAATCTTAACTTAGACTTGGAACTTGCGCCACCTATCTTTCTCTATAGATTCTGGAACAATATCATGTTGTATTCGGACTTCTAGGGTAGTTCTCTGGTAAAAATGGCCTTCTCGCCCTCTTTTGAGCTCCCAAGCTCATATACAGCTAATCAAGGCCTCCAACACTCACATAGTCGACATGCTTCAAGTATATAGCTACGGTAGAAAGCATAAGCGCAACGCAAGCTCAGGTCGCGCTACTTTAACTCGCTTAAGATTATCGTAGACCGATTGGCGCTAGTCCAAGTTCGTTGCGAACCTGCCACCACAGATCTTGTTGACCTTAAACTTCCAACACCCCTTTTACAAAACGAACTACACGACATTCAAGGTTGATCAATTCCGAGATACCTTATACTAACTAACTCAATTTCGATTCAATCCAACTCGCTGCGCAGTCTCGCGCCAACCTCTTTCATTGCGCCAAAATGGCCGAACCTGAACAGCCAACATTAGGTGCTGGCAGCTCTTCTGGTACGACAGAAGATCTTCTGAAGCTTTCAGAGGTATGTAGCAACCCTTTAATCAACCATCTAACTCTTTTCTCTCGTTGGCCCAAAGGGTGGGCTTCACCTTCGTTTTTGCGCTATAGTAAATACAAGAGCTACGCGCTACTGCTACCATATATTGCTTCCGGTGCATAGCAGTTGAATAATCACGCAATCTAGATTGAGAAGAACGAGATCGCGAGCATCGACTGGGCGTCTATTGGATGGGAACCACCAGAAATGCTCTTGCCTGTGTCCGAGAGCAAGATGGAAGAGATAGCTCAGATGCTGGCTGAGCATGAGGCCAATAAACAGACGAGCCTCCCCAAGGACAATGACCCCGTGGACAGCCCCACCACTCCCGTATCGAACTCCTCCTCTCTTAACGAGGCTCAAATTGTCAAAGTACCCGAAGCCGAAGACGAATCTGGTGGTCATGAGTCTGTATCGCCAGCACGAGAGACAGCTATCCCGGTTGCTTCATCTCCAATTATACCTCAGCCTATCGCACCTCACCCTATCGCGGCTCAACCTGTCACACCTCAACCTATCACACCTCAGCCTATCATCCCTGTAGTCACCGTACCTGCTAGTATCTACGCAGACCTCGTCAAGGCAAATCGCCTCCTGGCTGGAGAGATATTGTCACTTTGAGAGGAGGTAACTCAACTGAAAAAGCCGTGCAAGAAATGCGACGATCTGAAGAAAGAAAACACTACACTATCCAAGGAGAACTGGGCTCAATCAATCGAGATAGATGAACTGGAGGGCAAGTACGACTGGATTCATGGCAAAATCTTGAGACCAAAGCCTGAAAGCACGCGCTCGATCCTGACGAGAAAACTCGATCGACACTTCGATTCGAAAGATATTGGAGATCCCCCAAAGCTTCCCATACCTTCCTCCGAGCCCGAAGTCGACGAACTTCAAGTATCGCCAATTATCGAGACACAGAGAGAGCTTAGAAACAATACAAGTACCCCGCTGGTGAAGGACAATGAAAAGGATGGGCTGGAGAGCGAAATCACAGAAGTCAAACCTGTTTCTCCTGTTGAAGCTCCCAAGTTTGTTGAGAACACCAGCAGTGTACATGTCCTCAGCAACCGTCGAACAATCAATCCCAAGAGATTGTCCTTTCTTATTACGATGTTTATGGTGGCTCTATCCCGCGGTTGCATTATTGTCCAAATGGCTTCAACCTGCTACAACAGATCTATTCACCTCTCCATTTTACATGCCTGAGAACCAAGGCCTCAGCACTTGGGAAGCGATTTGCTACGCTCCCAGCTTCCCGCAAGCCAAGATAGGCGAGGAGTTTGGAATGCTTGACCCGTCTTGGAAGATTGAGGAGGAGAGTTTGACCAGCGTGGAGGCTGGATATCTTGAGGACGAATTGCTAGGGCGAATGGAGGGCCTAGAATTCAAAATTTCCATCAGTAGACTGCGAGGAAAGCAAATCCTCAAAAAAACCGTCTACTACACTATGGTCACGGGGGCGATGTGGATGGAGTGGAAGCGATTGCAGTACCGACACGCTTATTGGGTGTAGCAAGATTGTGGTGTCGAGTTGTATTGTGTAAGCGGTGGCAGGTGATTATGGGTTGCGAATCAGAAGTAGTTCTACGAAACGTGCTCTTCGGGGCGCTACGGTAACGAAACTGAGGACGCTAGGGGGTGAGCTCTTCGGGGCATGGAGACGATGACAGAGTCGAAATAATTGTTTGTACTTTTCCTTTGATGAGCGAGTCGTCCTGGGACATTTCTTTTTGTTGAGCATCTCCGGCCGTAGACTTTAGATAATTGAGGAGGCTTTCTGCAAGCAATACCAACCCTTGATTCGCTCACACGTGAAGTTCGACGATCTTCTGCTGTCATTGTCGAACGAGTGACTAAACCATAAGATAATGTGAAACTATTATCGTACAAATACGTGGCGATCAAGAACTTTAGGATTGCAAGGGCCTTTAGAAAGAACTCGGAGCCTAGTATTGTCTAGCTGGCTATATCCGCTTCGACCTAGCCCCGAGAATTGTCTTCACCTCTTCATCGTATATGCTTGAAAATCAAGGACTTCCAGGGCCTTCATGGGTTTGTCACTGATGAGTAACTTCCTCTTTGTGCACGACTTAGTAACTTGGGGATTTAAACCAGTAGCGGTCATCATCTTCCCTCATTTTTTATTGTGGAATAACGGAACGAGACTTCATAGGCTTTGTAGTAGCTTTGGTGGTAGACTTTAGATAGTAATTCAACATCTCAAATGCGGTGCCTAGTTGTGTCATATTTGCATGTGAGTAAAAAGTCCTTGAAGTGATGTGAAAGTTCGCTGGTACAGATTTATAGCAGCAAAACCCACTATGGATATTAGAGGTTTTAGAAAAGAGGTCCAGGAAGAATCAAAAACGAATTTGATAGCAGGGGTAAATTGAGTACATTGCAAGAGATTATAAGAAAGTAGCATGATGGCGCGCACGTGACCGCGGGACTGTCGCAATGACTTCCAGCTTCACGGCTTTCTAAAAGTCCCCAGTAAAGTCACTACTTTATAGACTAGTATCTTAAGCCTGAAGGTAGTTGCTTTCGTGACTATCGCGGGGGACTTTGGATGAAGAGATCAGACCAACTCACGAAACTTGACTGCCCTGAGGGTATTTGAGATCGTCGAATTCATTAATCTATAAACAATGAAGCATTCAACTCCCCTTCTCCAACCAAAATTGCCTTTAATGACCTCCAGTAGTTGGCAAGCCTAGCGCTACCTTGAACGAATCATAGATCAACCACTGGAATGCAGTCAAGGTACCAATCATCAGGATTCTGACCGGCAGACCATTCCACAATCCCTTGAATCCAATGTTCCCATATATCCTGGACATTGCTTGACCTGCACCCTCTCCGGGCTTTCTATCCGAGTTTAACTTGGACACCATGACGTCTGCTGGGTGTGAAACGACGGCACAGCCGATACCTGCAATGTAACCACCCAAGAAAGAGACTCCAGTTTGTTGTAAGCCGCTGTATGACTCCTTTGGCTTGCCGAGATATTTGTAAATCTGTCCTACGGTCTCTTCAAAAGTTGCGAACTTGACCATGGTGTAAGGGATTTGACGACCCCAGAGAGGATACAATCCCTTGTATAGCCTGAAAGGGTTAGCACATCCACAATCCACGAATATTCGTAACGACTTACCCTCCATAGCCTTCCTCCTTGATGACCTTGCTCATTCCTTCTCTCAGACTATTCGCGAAAGGTGGTAGTGTAGTTTGCATTCGAACCTTGATAGACTCAAACGGACAAAGAGCAATATCTGCAAGGAACTCCGCACTAGCACTTGCTGCCAAGAAGATCACAGTCTTATTGGCATTTGGGAAAGTCTTCTCTCCATAGAGATACTTGAACACCTCATAGAAACCATATTTTCCACCACCTTGGAAACAGTATCCCACAAATGTCGGCGACCAACCGAAGAACACCCCACGAAGTCCTTCACCCTTGTATATCGTGCTCCAGGCCGAGAGATTGGATTTGTAGAGGTTGGCATCGACTTGTCTTCGACATTTGACGAGATCCAGAGGAGTGACTGCTGTATGTGTCGGTCCGCAGGCTGGTGAGATGTTGTTAGCAGCTGAGACATTCAAAAGAGGGGTTGATTGAGGTGGAAATGTTGAGGAAGTGCTCACCAATTATTCCACCAATTGCGCATGCTGCGAAATATCTGCCGCTGTATAGCTCGATCTTTGGCTTTGGAAGGCTCTTCTCGAGATTCGACATTGTTGCTGTCGTTCAATTGATGTCTCAGTGGTGAAGGATGTTTTGGCGGCTGGAGTCTTATCGCGAGGCTTGAAATACCTTCGATTGGCAGATACTTGCAATCGCAATGCCGTGCGATCAATTGATCTGAAGAAACGACTGAGAAGAGAGGAGAGTGTCGAGAATGATGAAGGAAGAAGAACTTGCAGCAGAGAAAATTAGTCTTGTAGTCCAATGTCCTTCGTGGTGCCGTTCTTTCCTTGATAAGGGTCTGCCGGTTGTCTCGGTGGCAGGGGTAGCTTCCGACTACGTCATTGGCGCAACGGCGCGATTCTGGGACATCAAACTTGCTGACTGTGCAGGTTGCATATAATGCATCGGTGTTTCCTGAAATCATTTATTTTGAAAAAGTATATCATTGAAGTTGAAGTTGAGCTTTCCTTCTTCACTGACGATTGATGAAATTTGTTCTCGTTCAGAATTGCTGTTGAGTATCACGTGCCTTGCACCCCTTTTGATACCCCTCACTCGCTTCGAGACCATTGCATCATGCTATGTTCTACGGAGTAAACGATAAACAAACATCATTGCGATTGATAATGCATACATGCGCATATACTCCAAGTACTTCTTTGCGGCCAAGTTGGTTATCAGAGTAAGGCAAGGGAAACATGACCGCTAAAGTTCTCACACACTCTCTCAACTGAGAGACAGTTCTTTCAGGGCAACGGATAAGAGACGTTGCGGCTAAAGCCAACGATCTTTCGCATTCATATCATTTCGCATTACAACTATTTCTTTCTTCAAAGGCGTACTTGAAACCTCTCCCTCAATCGAGCCCCAAACTTGTAGAACATGATTGGCACAGGAATGAAAGCTAGAGCGATGAACCCGAAGATGCTATTCCCCCAGCCATAGCCAAGTTTGGCATACAAGTGAGGAGCTGCCAAAGGCAAAAATGTGCCAAAGAGAGATCGCAACACTGTGGCAGCAGCAAGCGCTGATGCGGCAGCCTCCGCTTTGAAGGCGTCGACGAGATAGATCTGAGAAGGCAACTATGAAGAAACGTCAATGTCAGAAGTTCAACATTACGAGTCAAAGGAGTGCGTACCATCACAAACAAATTCCCAAGGCCAATGAAGCTCGTTCCAACAATTGGTGCCATCCACTGAACCTTCTCTTGTGCAGTCCAGCCGTACCAGAAGAATCCAATGGGCACAATGGGCGAGAAATATACCATCAATGGCAATCTTTCTTCCGGTGTCATCTCTCCTTTATGCTTGGAAGCTCTAGCTTTCAAGATTCTATCGCTCAAAGTTGCAAATAGAATAAGTCCGGTGATCATGCCGATACCTTGGCCAAGATATACCAGCCCAGAAACCCCTACTGCGAAATGGTATTGATCAACGAAGACTGCAGAATAAGTGCTGAAGCAAAGGAACATCAAGCCAAAAATAAATGCAACATATAATGAAAGCAAAAGGACAACTGGTGACAAGACTAGCAGCTTCAAGGGCAGGGACAACCCACGTCCCAGATGAGCAAGTGGAGACAACTTTCCACGTCCCTTAGCTTCGAGGTCGATGTTTCCAGTTTCTTTTCGAAGCCGAGCAGCTTTTCGTTCCAGTATTACTGGGCCACAAGTCTCTCGCATGAAAGTCATAGCAGCAGCGAGCCAAACTCCTACCTTCGCAACATTTAGTCTTGCTCCACGCGCTTTCTGGAATCATTGACTTACAGCTGCAGCCACAATCCAGAATGTCCATCTCCATCCCAGCCTCTGAGCAATGAATCCTCCAATGACAGGACCAATCACAGGAGCAAAGATTGGCCCGATGGACGTCATGGCGATAGCAGCTCCTCTATGCTCGACTGGAATCAAATCTGCTACCGTTCCTCCTCCAATGGTAGAAGGAGATGACCCCGCACACCCAGCGATAAATCGGAAGATGAGGAATTCCACAATGTTTTGGCTCCAGCCACAGCCCAAAAGAAATGCGATGAAAGTGATGATAGAAAGATGGTACACAGGTAACCGTCCATAAAGCTCGGATAGAGGCGCCATGACGAGAGGGCCAAGAGCGAATCCAAGGAGGAAGATACTGATTGAGAAACTTCCAATTATAGCATTGGTTTGGTGGAAGTCTTTCATCAAGAGACCAGCTCCAGGAGCGGATATTGTTGTGGAAAGGTTCCTGTATCACATCAGTACTGGTTTCAGAACCCGAGACATAATTTACTACTTACACAAGAAAGTTCACGATACTAACCAGCGCAACATGTCCTCGTTTCTTCGACTTTGGCCAATTCATCGGGTTTTGGGGATCATCTGGGCCATCCCAATCAACAAGATCTACCTCCTCAGAAAGATCCGCTCCCGCGCTCTCCCTATCTGTTTCGAGTTTTGGCACCACATCAACGACATTTCGCAATTCGACCAGCGTATCTTGGGAGGCCATTGAAGGAATTGTGAAGAAGATGAGGAACACGGCTCGTGTATTGCTCCTGTTGATACCACCTAAGTATCTCTATTCGGGAATCGGCATTCTTGGTATCAGGCTAAAGCGCGAAACAGCACAACACGTATACCAACATGCTCGCTCATGTATTCAATCACAGATCTTCGCGATATCAACAAACTAATTTGTACGGATGTCCGTAGCTTACCCCTGCCCTTGAATACGAGATCCAATCGGACTTCAGCAACAACCTTGCCTTATATTAACAAGATCTGCACTCGCGTATATTTCCCAGTAGAGAACACTGCAGTGACCGCACATAAGATCTTCGCAGCGACGTCGATTATTCGAAGATTGGACAGAAGCGCGAATGCAGTCAGCATCATAATCAAGTTTATGGGATGAAAAGCTGCAAGTTGCACATGCGATCTGTTTTGTGTATCTTGCGAGCAGAGCATCGAGCGGAAAATAGGTTTGAGGATCGCCCTCAGGATCCACACCTCACCCCTGACTAAGCCCAACTTTTGACGACGGAGGTGGAAGCAACTGATGATCACTTTGGTGGACTGATATGCACAGGAAATTGAAGATCTAAAAATATTGATGTCGTATTACCAAAAGACTACAAAACTCCATGCGAGCATCCAATTGACCACAATTCTTAAATTGAAAGAAATTAAATTCCACGCGTAACACCAATTAACAAATCTAGCTCTCGCTTGCTACGCCGTTCATTCATTCATTCATCCTTTAATAGAAACCTCCACATGCATTCAGCTGCTGTACGTGCGCCATCCGTTTTCCGAATCGTCTCTGCCAACTCCATCGCCCGGACTTTGTAAGTGGGGTCTGCAAGCACTGTCTTTACCGCAGCCCGAATGGCTTGGGGATGCCAGCTACGTCTCTGGATCCGGATCCCGGCTCCCGCATTCATCACATTGTCGAGGTTTGTCTGCTGCTCGACTTGCAATGCCACCCCCACGACTGGTGTCCCTGCTGCGATGGCGGTCTGTACCGTTCCCTGACCGCCATGCATGATAACAACATCTGCCAGTGGGGTGGCTTCGGGAGCGGGAATGAATCGATCGGTGACCAGTAATCGAGGGTCGTCGTTGGCCACGGCACGGGCTTCCTCTATCGAGCAGATAGCTGGAGCAGCCAGGACGACTGCCTTCCAGTTATCATGTCGGTCCAGGATCAAAGCTCGGATAGCCTCAAACACCATGTCCTTGGTTCCTGAGCTGCCCATGGTAACGAGAATGGAAGGGCCGTGATCATTGTGAAGATGGGCAGCGATATCTTGATCAAGCTCTTTGGTGTCGTGGATCCGAGCAAACAGCGGTCCAGTGATGACAACGTCTTCAGGAAGTCGATAAGAATAGTCGGCATGAAATTCAGGTAGGTCGTTGACGAGGTTGAGATCGGCTTTGGCCATATCAAACAAGCTCAAGGGGCCTTTGATGGGCCAGCCACAAGCGGCGGCAGCGGCACCGATGCGATGTTGGCGGAAGATCGGCGCATAGACCATCAAGTGACTAAGGTGCCAGGCAAGCCACTGCCTTGCTGGACGAGGGAGACGGGTAAAAAGCGGTATCATGTCCGGTAGATCGCGGATGAGGCCGTTCGAAAAGCTGGCTGGGTGCAGTGGCAGCGGGAGAAACGAGATGGTACGGATGCCAAGCAAACGAGCCGCAAGACTGGTAGCTGGCCACATGCCGTGCAAAACCACATCTGGCTTTAATCTTCGTAGGGCTTCCAGCTGGCCCTCGATGAAGTTTTTGGCGAGCGCTTCAGAGCCGATGAACTCGGGAAAGTCCCATTCCAGGTCGTCGGCGACGCTGAGACCGGGCACACGGGGCTGGCAAGGGACGACGTTGAAGCCAGCATTCTGGATGATGGGCTCGAAGCGACTTCCGCAAGAGAGGAAGTCAATCTTGAGATCATGTCCCTTGGGACAATACTCGCGCAAGGCAAGGGCCAACGCTATGGCTCGGGTTGTGTCGCCTGCATCTTGGAAAGCAGCACTGACAATGAGATATGTGCTCGCGGGTATAGTTGTCATCATGTCGAGATGCGTCTTTGCTGGTTGCGTGGATCTTTGAGTTGATGAGATCATGAGCAATTTTGAGCAAAGAGCGTACAGATACAAAATTAAAAAGTGGTAGACTACAGCTGTAGAAGCAGGAGACTAGAACCTTTAAAATGCCTGGTCATAAGTCAGGCCTTCTTGGTTCTAAAAACAGAGCAAATTGGTATGCCGCGTGGTCCACTGTTCAAAACATCTCCATCGTGAATCATGCTCGCATTGAGGGGCTAATACTTACCAATCTATCGAATTGTTGCGTGAGATTTAGCCTACCTGAGTATGATTCGTCACGGACTTCCCAATCTCACTTCGTATCTCAGCCGTCGGATAAAGCCCCGAACCAACTTCTTCTTACGCGACGCACGCAAAAAGACCTCATCTGCACCTCAATCCACCGAAACTTGGATACTTAACACCATCCAGCCTCCCAGATTTCCGAGGTTTGCATTCTGCGGACCTGCCGATGTGATGTTTGGTTCAGAATGAATGCATTGCACGGCCTGAGATGCCACGTCAGCCGCCCTCGGCATGTAATTGGTACGATGTTGCGGGAAGCGATAACAATAGAGTGGGTACGGGTTTGACGGTAAGTCGGTGGCACAACTCAATCAATTGACGTACTGAGACACTTGATTTGAGTGATTGTTGTCAGCTTTATGAAAGCAGCAGAATTTAAAAATCTCAGAATTTTCAGCACGCTTGGCTAAAATGGTATAGCCGACTATCAGAGTGTCTAGTGTTTCGGTTCTCATGCGGACTTCGGACTTGCTTCCTCTTTAGATACGGATTTAATCGTGGTGATGTTTCACAATGAGGCTGCAAGTGCCCGTTGACAGTTGTGGTCAAGAGGTTCTAGCGGTGGGGGCGGAATTCGTATCTCGGCGGAGATCTTTCTTTGGTGAATAGCGCTTACACGAAGCGCAACGAATTCCAGGTGAGGAAAGGTTGATTGTAGATCGCAAGAAGGAATGGGTCGTGTTGATCAAAAGCATATGTTATTGTGCCAAGTTGCACAACGAAAGGTCCATACATAGTCAGAAAAGCAGCTTCTCGATCCGAAGTTAGTGTTTTACACAAGCCCATCTCTAATGAGAATGGAAAGACGCCGCTATATGATATGGAAGAATAGCTGCTCAGTTGAAGTAAGGGTCTTTATGGTGTTTAATTTGTTCATTCTGAGGTAATTGGTCAAAGACTTCAAACTCAAAGGTCAACTCCAGAACCAGTCGAGAAGCAATGAATCATGTTTCAATTCAATCACCCTGTCACAACATGAGCTGAGCTGGAAACGTCCTGCCCAATAGCTAAGCCTAGCCATCTCTACCTATTGAATGAGACTCAGCCATTTCCCTTCTGTCTTCATCTGAGCTCTTAGACATAGGTGTCGTTTTAAACCTTGATAACGTTCGAGATCATGTTATCGTGTGTCCTTATTACAGTTTTCTAGATAATTGGGCAAATTAGGGGATCAGTTCTGGTTCTCTTCTTTGAATGTGCACAGATGCTCCTAGTAACCAAATTCGGATCTCGTACAAAGCCCCGTCCAATCGCGGGTTTTAGGGGCAGTCCAGGCTTTTTCGAGGAGAGCCCGGCTGTCCGGGCAGAATGAAGTCATCCTCACTAGCTGCACCTAATGCCCCACTCTTTGGGAATGCCCTCATTTTCATGCTTTAACTCTCAATCCTTAGCACTCAATCCTTAGCCCTCATTTACTGCTCACAACCTAACAATGCGCTAGACTCGCAATGCAGCAGTGTAGTGTATTCAGTACAGTGTAGTCAGTACAGCGCATTCAGTGTAGTCAGTACAGTGCATTCAGTACAGTGCATTCAGTGGATTCAGTGGATTCAATACAGTGTAGCCAGTATAGTAGCATAGCCATGTGGCGGCGTAGCTAGAGGAGTGAAAGAACTAAAGTTGAAAGCGGGCGAATATGTAAATATATGGAAGAAGCAAAAGGATAAAATCCTAATTTTCACCGCTTTCGCGTAGTTAGAATAGCCGGGCTATCCTCGAAAAAGCCTAGGCTGTCCCTAAAACCCGCGCGTCCAATTTTGTCATCTCCAAGTACCAGCCATCATGAGAAAAGAACGCCCACGGAGAAGCATGAGATATTGAATCATCTCAAGCAACGGCAATTCTTATATATACATATGTATGATGCGAGCTTCCTTTCGCTACAAACGAAAAGGAACAGGCACAGGTAAGTCTCGGGTATTCTGACCAGCGCTCTTAATGGGTGGGTTGGGCCGTTTTTGGCCCCGAACCGTTACGGACCAACAAGCTGACGGTTCTAGACGGGTTGAACTACCAAGAGAAATAAAAGCTATTAATAGTATATTTTCAGCCTTAGACTTCAAATAATTAAGGTTTTCAGGCTTTAAGGCACTCAAATCTCCCCTCTCCCCTAATCTCCACTATCCTCCTCCAATAGTAGACGGGCAGACGCTTCTTGACGGTTTCAGGGAAGCTGGAACCGTTACGGAACAATATGCTGACGGTCCTTGAAACCTGTAACCCGTACAGGTCTAGACGGGTGGGTCTTGTCGGGCACGCTAAAACGGATCACTCATCTGATTTTGACAGTGGCTTTGTCCCTGACTTCGTCTTAAAGCGTCAATGCTGGAACTGGAACGTCAACGAATCTCAATTGTGGCGTACTGCAGCTTTCTGTATCATCGAGCCGTTGGAACTTTTTCCTTTGTTAGATATAAAATACAGTCAAAGCAAACGTCGCTTCCTCTAAATAATGAATCTAAACGTGTTAAATTTCTTTGTTCCCAGTCGTGACATTATTTACATATTGCAGCGAAAGCTGACACAAAACTTTCCAGTCTTTGTCCAGCGACATTCAAAGAAGCCACATTGTTTTGACCTTGTTTTTAGCGTCAGCAGGCGTCTTCGAACTACTCCCCTTTGATAGACCATTGGCAATGAACGAAACTGTCTTAATCTTAGTTATAACGCACAATGTTTGATTCTGTCTAAGAAGCTGTGTCAAGTAGCTACCGGTCTTGAAAAGAAAACCTTTTCCCATCTAATATGAATTTATCAGCAGACACAACTTTCAAGCTTCTCATCATCACTACTTTGATCTCAAGAATACTCGAGAAATTTTCAATTGATCGACACCGTTTCGATCAAACTCCAATAGCCAGTTTTTCTTTTTATCCACCCAACCTACCTCCACAGCAATATCTGTCAACTCTCATTCACCTACAGTATTTTCCAACAGCCGGCGCTCATGGCATTGTCAATGGCTCCCTGCCCCAAATGTTGAAAGTTGAACCACAGCCCACCGGTATATCTTTCGGATCCTTTGGAAGACACTTGGCCTACCTGCAATATGACTCTTAATTATAACGGATTAATCAAGATGACTCTCCTGCTATTGCGAAACCGGCCAGAACAAACAGATGGCAAGCAAACCCTACGAAACAAGCAAAGTCCCAAGAAAGTTGTAAAGAGGAAATGATGAAATGGAGTCTTGGAAGATCAACCTAAAAGGCTACTTGAATAGAAGGGGCAAGAGGACGGTAGTTTGATGTCACATGGTCGAGGTATTTTGTGCTCTTGTGATGAGGTCTACAGCGAGATTCAACCACAGTTGGACTGAAGTGCACGAAATATTCAAAACAAAATCATGAATCAGATTAAAAGCAGCGCACACCTTGTACTTCACAAGTTCCTTCCCGTTTTTCCTTCCTGATTGATTCTGTATCCTACCAACTTAATATTAATCCCTTGCATGCTCACATTCCTATCGTTTACTTTCCTAGAGGCTCTCCTCCTTGTTGTTATTCTCCATCTCTTCCTGTGTATCTTCTTGCTCGTTGTCCTCGTTCTCTTCTCTCTCCCATGGCAAGACTTCATTACAGAACATATCTTTGTCTGTAACCTTTCTCATAAAATCCAGTTCCAATGGGAAACCTTCGTCGTAGAGCGCATTCGAGAGCATCCACTGCCAATCCCATCCATCAGGCTGATTATACACAGCATAGCTCCACATTGCTCTCGGCACAGTAGCCACTTCCCATTTCGAACGATACGCCAGCCTCTGCCAATCAATGATTGCTGTTACTTTAGCCTCCTTTTCGCGCTGTCCCTTTTCAGGGGCTTTCGGAATATTAACGGAAATATTCTGTGGAATGAGGTCACAATGTGCCAAAACAAAGGAATCTCCTGGATCTGGGGGCACAAGGTTTTTTCTGGCCCATGATCTCTCCATAAGCTGTTTATATTCCTCTCTTGATGCTCTCGGTTCAATCCGCGGTTTCCATTCAGGCAAACTATCTCGAAGTCCAAGCCGGAACTTTCCCTCTGCACCTTGGCCTGTTACTGTCTCGATATACTCGGAAGTAAATGCAGCAAGAGCTTGAGAATACCCTGCAACTCCTTCTGCCACATCAAGCCTTTGATTAAGTGAAAGCTGTGGCCATGCTTCGAAAAAGCGTTCTCCAGGAACACGCCAAGAAAGCATAAACCAGCGATACCATCGGTGATCAATCCAATCGTATATAATCTTTTCAGTTGGAATAGATGGTATGTTTTTGTTAACAAATCGAATAGACTCGGCGTCGGTTGTTGTTCCTTCCGTCCATCTCTGTGTTTTACAAAACACATTAGGGCTGAGAGTCCAAACGCCGCTGGTATTTACGTCGTATATATGTCCCGCCTCCGAGTCTCCATCGCCAGGCTCTGATCCTGGAACTGAGCGTTTACGTAAACAGTATGTCGATCCGTCGTCAGTCCATTGGCAAAGAATATTGGGAGATATATCGTGACCCGACTCGATTTTCTCGCACGTCATAAGAGAGCCAATATTCCAGTGGTCGGGCTCAGTGAGTATGACACTTTTTTTCATTTCAGGAGCTACTTTCGCGTACTTTTCTTCGAAACTTATTGGTTTCTCATCGATTAAAGGATCGAAAAGTTTATTATTAAGTTTCTTTTTGCACTCCCATCTGTAACGCCTACAATAAATTATTAACACTGGAATTTCAGAGGACTCTTTTCTGTTCTACCTCACTGTCCATAATTCTTGACTGGCAGAGTATTCCGGTCCGATGTTGTCGTTTTCCGGGTCAAAGTCATCTCCAGATTCCTCATCGAGACTCATGTCCCTCCATTTGCTAATAAGCTGTTGAATAGAATCATCAAGCTCGGGTTTATTCTGCTCCTCTTTAGAAGGATTGGGATTGTCCGAAACCATATTGTCGCCACCGGGCATGTGTTGCTAAAGTAGTATATATCTTTTGAGAAACCGCAATAGTTTCGAATATATTGTAGAAAAACTATTTAAAAATAGGGAAGAGAATACCTTTTGTAGAGATCCATCAAGCTTTTTAACTCCGCGGAACAAAGACAAATATTTACGCCGGAAAAGGTTAGTGATAAAATATAGAATAATAGATCGAAATAGCTTAAAGCTTCAAAATTCTTTGTTGTAGCAACATACTTTGTTATATTATATCATCAAAATATTGATATCACTCATGAATATGTAAACAAGAAGCAATATGGCAACGAGAAGACCTAATGGCCGGATACTAAATCGTGCTCGGCCGCTGCCAGGTCAATTTGTGCCCCGTTATATTTTCTCGAGTGAAAAAAATGAGGGAAAGGCTTGAGTTAGGCAAGTTCCACCATGACAATGGTGGATCCACAACGACATTCCACATTGACTCAATGGCTACTTCAACGCAAATTGCATAAAATATGGCATTACAATTATTACCGCTGAAGCTGTGTTACCTCAACATATTAGTGATTCGCAAGATAATTACCAGGGTGGATACCCAAATTATTAAGAACAAGGTTACACAACGACCAAGGGTAGAACAAAGGTGCTATTAATCACTCAAAGTTTTGAAAGGTTTAATTACAGAGAGCCCAACCACAGAAATCATAGCAATTTTGGGGGTATAAATAGTCCGTTGATAGTTCCTCCTTCCCACTTTCTTTGTTCATTCTACACACCAAAGCAGTTTTCAATAGCACAGGCATTTCACAACTGCCACCACGGCTTTGGCGCCTAAGACCTCTTGCATGTCCGTACTGTAGTCCCTTTGAGCAGTCTTTATCATACCATAACGACAAAATGTGCGATTGGGAAGAATTCCAATTCATTTGCGGCCATAATAGTAGTAGACTCCTCTTCCACTGCCACTTTGCCAGAACCGATCCTTACCACCAGTGCTTCGGAGTCAAAGGTGGTTCGACATGTATGGCAACAGGAGATGGCTTGTCAGCCTTGCTTAGATGCTATCAGAGCAGCTGCTGCTAAAAAGGCGGCGAAGAAGAGCAAGCCAAGCGGGCATTAGACGAAGGGAAAGATGATTCAAGCATGGCGCTTGGTGTGGAAGACACATTAATGGAACATGACAAGGAGCGCTGACAACGGGTATGTAGGACGGTGAAGCGAGGGGTAACCTTTTCCCATTGGATTTTTACTGGTGCCTCGGGATGGTGTTTTTTACGTAACATATTCACCGAATTAATGCAAGCGTTGATGTTCGAAACAGTCTCATGAGTCCGGTGAATGATGATGCGATCTGAGAACTATATAATATTGTGATTTGAGGCTTTATACTTGTGAAAGCCCGAATGAAAGTCCGAAGAACCAAGAAGCTCTAAAGATTGCACAGTCTCACGACTGACGAGGCTCTGATTCAGAACTTACCTACCATGTCACAAACGTCGCAGGTTGGGTAACATTGGGAGAAAGCATCAAAACAATTATATTGTCTCATATGTCGCTCTCTCGAGGATCTCAAATCACCAATTAAGATAAAGTAAGACCAGCGATTACCACGCGGTCTGCCATTTCCTCCACCCCATCCCTTCCCTTGTTGAAATCATGCAAACCTAAAGCAGACAACAGTGCATCCCTTAAATCACCTTGTTAGATCGCTCGTGGGTGGGCGTACTGTCAGTGCTAGATGTTGTTTCCGCAAAGGCAGTTGGCGATGATTTCTCATTCGTCGCATCGGATTGAATGAGACCAGAGGAATTTTGTTCCTCTTCTCGCCAGAAGTCTCTCTTTCTGCGCAAGTGTTAGTTCGAGCGACCAATCGAGAGAGCAGATACTCACCCTTTAGCCAGCCTAACGATCCAGAATGGTAAAAGGCCTCCCTTGATCTTCCAGGTCCATGGCTCTTTCAACTCTCTGTCTGGAACAACAATTCGGCCACCGGAGACCACCTCGATCAGCCAAGTAATGGTGTTGATGATGGCGTATGAAATGATACCAGCAACTAAACCATAGGCAATGGAGTATGTTAGAGGCATAATGGCCAAAGTTAGGAATGCTGGAAGAGCGTCTCCGAAGTATGCCTAGTTGATATCCTTAGCAGATTTCGCCATCATGGCACCAACGATAATAAGGGTACATCCCGTAGCCCATGGCGGGATTGAAGCAAAAATGGGTGCGAAAAAGATCGATATGAAGAAACAGAGACCAGTTGTCATCGTAGTGAGACCAGTCTTGCCTCCTTCCGAAATGCCCGCACCAGATTCGATGAACGCCGTCACAGGTGAAAGACCAAAGAGTGATCCGATAGAGATACCCAGGGCTGACAGCAACATTAGCATGGAGGAAAGCTGAAAGGGGAAGATTCTTACCATCCACCAAGTATGCCACAGCAGAACCCTCGAAATCTTGAGTCTCTTCATTGATAGCACCAGCATACCTAGCCATTGAGTAGAGTGTACCGGTACAATCCAGGATGTCCACGTAAAGAAAAGTAATTAAGGCAAGCCCAAACTGACCTGATACGCCAGCAAGATCCCACTCCTGGGCAACAAGAGTCTTCTCGATGCCGTGAAATGTGACTACCTTCTTCTTCTTGAAGAAGTCGAAGCTGTCGTTTCCAACGGGAGTGTAGGTGAAGTAAGTGACTGAAGTGGTTCTGGGCCATGAAATAATTGAGACCAGTAAGATGCCAGCGATGATCGCACCCTTGACTTTGTATGCCAGAAGGATTGCTGTCAAGAAGCCTCCGCAGAAGATTCCAAGCCACATTGTTGGCGCACGCATCTTGCTTGAATTGGGGCAAAGGCCCGTTGTCGGATCTAGATCACTTTGAGGACACCCAGCGAGCTCTAGTGGGGTATCTGTAGCTCCCACAATGACTCCGATACCAGCGCTGTATGTCAAGCCGATGATTGCTGTTTCCTGTCAGTCAAATTCTGTTGTTCGCGCTCGGTACTCACTAAGGAATAGTCCAATGCCAACTCCAGCAGAGAGCTTGATCGAAGCTGGGATGACTCTTGCTAGCCATTGTCGAAGGCCGAGAAGGGACAATGCGACAAATATAAAGCCTTCAACGAAGACGGCGGTAAGAGCAAATCTGTAGCTGACAGGGCCACTTCCGTGAAAGCCCACTACGGTATAAGCGAAGTACGCATTGAGCCCCATTCCTGGAGCTAATGCAATAGGCATATTTGCAAAGAGGCCCATGCAGAACGAAGTCAAAGCAGAGATAGCGGCAGTAGCGGTGATGAAGTCGCGGCGAATGACACCAACACATAAGGCGTAATCCGTGTCGCTCGTGCATATGGGGTCAGTGGTATCAGTGCAGACGCAAGTTCCGCCGCTGTCAGCGAGGATGGTGGTATTGACCTGGAAGAGTCAGCAATGAACTCGAGGGCGTGACTTCGCAACCTTATTGAGATGATGTATGCCATAGCCTTATCGTTGGAAAGAGCAAAGTCAGCATGTTGTTTTAATTGTTGCGCAGGTGAACTCCATGTCTTAAATGCCGGAAACAGGCATACATGTCAAATCAGACATAAAATTGAGCGTCTAAATGGTAGGTATCTCTGGGTACCGCGAGGTATGACTTACGAAGAAGGTAGCAAGACCAGCTCGAATCTCTGTCAAGAAACGGGCATTCTGACGAGATTTCGCATGGCCGGATCCATCAAGTCTGAATCTCCTACCCACGAAACTGTTGGCAACAGCTTTGTCGATCTTGGTGGTGATCGAAGTCATGATCGAAAGTGACGACGAGGAGAAAAGTGCAGGGAATGAAAGTATGAGAAGAAAGGAGAAAGATAGAAGAATTATCGGAGACGAGCACCAGCCTGCTGGGAAGGTGGAGGTGAAAGGTATCTTATCGTGAAGAAGATTTCATGTGAAGTTTTTATTTGTTGAAGGTTTAGAGGAGATTACGTTGCCAAGTGTGCCGAGGATTTGGAGGTCAGCTTGTGTCACGTTTACTGGTTCCTTTACACCTTTCCAAGACTGGGCAAGCTAAAGTTCGAGGCCGGATCGAGATATCGGAGCAGCCAAGTCCAAGGCTGAGCAAAGACGAACTACTTGGCAAAATACTGTCGGTGGTCGTCGCCGCCTCCGTCCTCGGTGAACTCCACACACCATCTTGAGTTTTCATCTGATGTAACGATGATGTTAAGTTTGATGTTGAGATAAGGTTGACATGAAGATGTCACGACTGTAGGACGCTAGAATGAAAAGGGGTAGTGGCCGCATTAAGCTTGTCTTGGCTTTTGTCAGCCACCGCACCAACAAACTCTATCCTTTTCAACGACTTTCTGCATTGGAAATGTACATAGTATTCTTTCATTCAATTAGTATGGAAGCCTAGATCATCCTGACCATTCGTCATGGTCGTTGGAAAGTCGACGTCGTGGAGCCTGTATGCGAGTGACATGCTCTCATGTCTACATGTGCAGTACAGCGCACCGAGATAACTTCTCCTATTGTTGGGCTTCTGTTCAGGACTTCAACACTTATTGATAAATATTCATGTAGTTCTCTAGGGTCGCTTTTGAATCATCCCCAAACCACTTTCTGTGATTCATCCTTTAGGCCAGTGTCCGAGAAAGTCGCCTATTTATTCCATGGTCGCCTTCCTCGAGTTCGCAACTTATCACTACAAAGTCATCAACATGCAGCCGTCAAATACTAGAGGGCTTGACCATCAGCCTACTTCTGATGGGACAAAGCTAGTTCACTCTTTTTTCAAGTAAGTACGCTCCTGAAAGAATATCCGATAGTTCATCCAAGAGTAACATTTATAGAACTAACTGGGGCGACGTGATTTGCTTTATTATCGGCCCTTCGAAGAAAGTCTACCGTATTCACAAAGACCGTCTCTGCAGGAAGATCCCTTCTTTGCTCAGTATTATTGCACAGAGAGAGAGCGAGATGGAAGCTCCCGACGGAGAAGAGAACGACAATGTCAGTGAAAGGGCGGATAAGGATGCAGAAGAAGACTCAGAATCTGATCTGGGAAAACACCAGCAAAGAGAGACTGCAAGTGAACCAGAAACACACCTCGGCGAGGAGATCATCATCAAATTCCTGGACCAAGATACAGCTTCCTTTGATATTCTAATGAAGTGGGTCTATCATGATACTCTACCCAGCCTCAAGGCAGATTATGGCCAGACAAGCTTTTGGAACTGGGATCCTTACGCTTTCTACACCCTTGTCGACAAGTTTGAGCTCCCAGAACTTAAAGACAAGGTGATGTCATCGCTCCAAGCTAGTCAAGCAAAGACCAAGCAGTGGCACAAGATAGAACAGCTGGACTGGGTATGGGCACGCACCTCACCTGGATGTGGAATGAGGCGATATTTGGCTATGTGTATGGTCAGGAATATTCTCGTGTACAAAGACCCAATTCACCCTAATCCACAACAGAGGATGACCATATCAACGCAGAAGATTTCTCAAGTGCTCAGCAAGTATCCGGACTTGTTATTAGCAGTGGTGGATGCCATGAGGGGCAATGATGGGGTCAAAGTCACGGATCCGAGGGAAGTCAATCCGTGCGAGTTTCATGAGCATTGGCCGAGGAAGACGTGTGGTTACGGGAAAGGGTTCGAAGATGTTGAGCAAGATGTCAGGAACGATGATAGACATGACCAAGATCTCGAGGCTAACGAAGAATATCAGAAGAAGTCAGTGAGGTTTTCGTGAGCTCCAGCTCTTCGAATGCGTACATAATCTATCAAATAGGTAGAACATGAAGGATCGTTGATATAGCATGAAATCACTAGAATGTCCCAGTCGCTCCAGATGATTAAGGACGACCAATTTGCGCTAAGCGAAGTTTGTGCCTAATTTCTGACTTGTGTAGGATATCTGAATTTCTATCGCACATCTGTATGGAACAACACCGCGGATAGACAGATTTATATCCTAAGCAAAAGCAGCTCAAGGCTTATTCATTGCCTCTCAATTGCCTCGTCTTGCGCAGCTGGTTTTGGCAGAAGCCCAGGTACCAAAGATAGTGAGGATGAAAAGCAACAAGTAGCAACCACTCCTGGTTTGGTCTGTAAGTGACTATTCAAGGTAACTCTCTAATTGCAATCCCTGACTTGCCAAGTCTGACGCGGAGAAGCTCAACGAAATGTTTACAGAAAGCACCCCCTAACAACAAGAAGTGAAATGCTCTTGCCTATGGCGCTGCTGCAGCACTGTTGGACAAATACAAGCTCGAGGGCCCTCCCCAAACATTTGTAGGTGCTAATGAGCAAGATTATATTATGGAAGAATTCCTTGATCCAATTTCCTTTGGTAACAAGCTAGCGATGATGCATATGTTTCGGAGAAACGAGATGCCAAGTCACCGAACATTGTAGGGAGGACAATATTTTCGACACAAGCTTCCAAGATGTGCGGTGGTGCTTCCTCCATCATCTGAACTTCACTGATTCGAAATCCAAGTATGGACAAAGCAAAGACAACGAGACTAAAATGTCGATCGATGGCATAGAAGATGCTTCCATACAAGAAAAAGATTTTGCTGCACAGAGCCGGATATATGGCATCTTCTGAAGGCGTCTTACTGGACTGGCTCTATCAAGACTCTGTACGCATTATTATTATAGATACTGTGGCTTCCCAGGAAACGTGTATTGTCATGGAATCTGGTCGATGTTTACCATCTTGCTCAGAAGCTGTCTTTGCCCAATTTCCATGGCAGAAGTCAAAGATTGGGAATTCAAGGCCAGTGAAGTATCATTACGCGTAAGATTTATAGGTTGAGTATGAGAGAGAAGACTTTCGTTGTATTCTGAGTTCCTTACAGAACACAACTTGAAGAATAGACAAGTCCAAGGCATTAGGAGGGTTGTCACGTGCTGACGCGATTTAAGCTTATCCTGATTTCGTCCATCTCTTCAAATAAACAACTCCCATCCCTTCATCACTACAACAACCTCTTCTTCGACCAGTCAATACATACATCCGCAGTCGCTCCATCGAAGAAATCATTCATAGCGACGACCAACTCGCTTCCGTTCAATCGCCCTGCATTTGCAACAATCCACGGCAGAGTCTTCGAATCACAAATCGGCTTCGTTGCGAGCAAACAGCTGCTATCCGCATTCGCCGCCAGAACGGAATACACAACCGCGTCCCGAACGTTACTTGCTGTTGCTTGGCACTGCAAGTTGGTGAATGGCTTCCCAGCTTGCAGCTGAGGGGTCAGCTGGTTGAATTCAGCAATAATGCTGTCTCCGTTCAGGGTAGCATTGCCTGGATCAGTGTACGTGCTGAACGAATCGACAGGACCGAATAAGATGAGACGTTTCTTTTGCTGGCGGAGCTGAGAGATGGTCAATTGCAACATATCGTCGATCGAGCCTTGGAGGAGTCCGCCGTGGGAAGAAGCCAGGGCAGTGCTCATGTAGTTCGCAAGATCTTGGTCGGTAGGGTGGGCACATTCGTTGGGAATGCCATCCCACCTCAGCTGCACGACCACGATTTCATCTGGGTGTCCAACAAGGAAGGCCACAACATCATTGAGAAATTGCTGATAAGCCATGCCAGGAATGGCAGAGTGAGAGAAATACAACACATCGGGAATTGGGTGGAACGGACGAATGGCGCTGTGCAGGTATGCTGGCCGGAACTCGAAATACCTGCAACCGAGGCTCAGGATGGTGCTCAGAGTGTCCTTCTGAGTGATTGCGAGCCCTCGAACAATATTCGGAGCGATAGCCATCACAGCATCATGGCTCATCATTCCAGCGATCTTGGCAAAGGTGGGATCAATCTTGATGAGGGCGTCGACGATGGTGTTGCTGGAGAGCACTGCATCCGCATTCTGCATGCTGTTCATGCCGATGTCATGGGCTGCGGGGAGAAAGAGCTTCGAGAATGGTTGACCAGCTTCACCAGAGCCTTGTGGTGCCACTTGACCCATCCAGCCCGAGTAGTCTGGTGTCACAGTAACATAGCACTGGTCGCTCGAAGGCAGCCCAGCAACCCCTTGTCCAGCATCATAAAAGCCATAGGCGACGATGATGCCATTCGAAGAGACGGATTGCTGATTTTCCATTGTCTTCAGAGTTCCTGCTTCCAGGTTTCCGCTGAGCACATTGATATTGACGCTCTCGGATGCAATCTGGTTTCCATCATGAAGAACTTTGAAGGAGAATGTGCCGACGAAATCGAAGGCCCCTTTGATGTTCTTCTTGTCAACCTCGAGATGGTCGTTCCCAAATGTCTTGGATTGGTTCTTGATGATATCTTTGCCGGGAACCGAGAACTGGATCTCGCATCCTGGTATAGCGATGTACGAATAACACTGGACGCCTTTGCTAGGCATTTTGCGGGTTTCTGTTGTTCCGTAATCAGGTTGGTTACGACAATAAAACTAAAATCAAAGCCAGGACGATTGATATGTATAGGTTTGCGATGGGCGAAAAAGCAATTTCTGGAGCTGAACAAATCATGCAGCCAGGTCTCGCGATAGCCATCAGATGCGAGTGATCGTCAAATGAGGCAGGAACGACGCAAGCTCTCAGCCAGCCCACCGAAGCATGGCTGCCAGCCCAGCTGATGTCCGGCGTCTGCTAACAACCTTACGATTAGAGATTTTGCTCAGCGTGTGGGTCTGGAAGATCATTCTACGAGCGCCGTCTTCATACATGTCTGATATAAATGTTTAGATAACAGCAGACTCACGGCGTCATAGTCATGATAAGAAGAACGGAGTCGATTGAATTGCCGATTGGCAGCGGCAGTAGGGCCACGGAGAAATTCAGTGGCTGAGAAAATCCCTGAAACATCTGCAGCGGATCACAAACCCGGGACGGCACCACGTGCCAACAGCACCACCTGCTCACCAGACCACAACTCGCTGCTCTGTTCACTCGTGTATGTATCAGAATTATATCATTTCTGTTCCCATATTTGTCTCTGTGTAGCATTTTCTACTATTAGGTGTGATATCACCGAAAATTTCTAGAAGACTTCTTTTCGTGGGTTTCGGCTGAATGCGGAATATCTCAGATCCTCGTTTCAGCCGCCTTTTACTTATTGCAAGGAACATTTTCCTTAAATACCGCTGTAAAAGACTGGAGAGGACAGATTCTCGTCCTGCTCCGCTGATCATCCCAACGGACATAGTACGTTCTGATTGCCTGCAGATTGATGGTTCTAGATCTATATGCGTTTATGCTGAGAGACTCCCAAGAATCAATTTAAATTCCCCCGGATAAACTATATCGAGCAGAGTAAGAAGGCCCGTGGTTCCAAGTAGATCGAAACGGCACCTCTTGATCAATTTGACCCGGAATAAGCAGATTGAAACAGAAAGCTCTATTTCTATATCATGAATGCTCGCCCTTCTGCTCTTTCGTTCTTCGTTCATCCCATTTCTTCATATACATTCTTTTTCTTAATATTGGACCCCTAGTCTTGGCCTAACAATGTCTCGAAACATTCTTTTGTCGGCTTCGTTGCTGTTTGCCAGTGCTTTTGCCCAGCAGCCTGGTACCAACACACCAGAAGTTCACCCAACATTGATGTCCCAGAAATGCACCAAAGCTGGTGGATGCAAGGCTGTCAACACCTCTGTTGTCCTTGATGCAGGCTACAGATGGCTTCATAATGTTGGTGGTTACACAAACTGTGTAAATGGAGGATTTAATGCGACGTTCTGCCCAGACGTTGCCACCTGTGCTAAGGGATGTGCCGTCGAGGGTGTGAATTACACTAGCTACGGAATCAACACTGCTGGCAATTCTCTGACTCTCAACCTGTTCAAGCAAGACAACGGCGTGACTACCCAGTCCTCGCCTCGAGTCTATCTCCTCGCCAATGACACAACTTACGACATGCTCATGCTTCTCAACCAGGAGCTTACCTTCGACGTTGATGTATCTAAAGTTCCTTGCGGAATCAATGGAGCCTTGTATCTTTCGGAGATGGATGCTACTGGAATGGCCAGTAATCTTAACCCAGCAGGTGCAAAGTACGGAACTGGCTACTGCGATGCACAATGTCCAAAGAACACTTTCGTTAATGGTTTGGTAAGCTCTTTCGAGTCCTTAAGCATTCCATGTCTGACTGTTCCATAGCCAAACATCAACGGGACTCTCGGTGCTTGCTGCAATGAGATGGATATCTGGGAAGCCAATTCGGCTACCACAGCGTTCACCCCTCATACTTGCAACATCACCGGAACCTATGCCTGTACCGGAGCCGACTGCTCCGGCAGCGGTGTCTGCGATCAAGGCGGCTGCGACTTCAACGCCTATCGCATGGGCGCTCCAGGTTTCTACGGACCAAATAAGATTGTTGATACCACCCGCAAGTTCACAGTCGTCACTCAATTCATCACCTCGGACGGAACTGCCAACGGTACTCTCAAGACCATCAGTCGAAGCTACGTTCAGGACGGAAAGGTGATCGCCAACGCCAATGTCAACGTCACTGGAATGGCAGCCACCAATAGCATTGATGACACGTACTGCAACGCCCAGGTCAAGACCTTCGGTGGTGTCAGCACCTACGAGCGACAGGGAGGTATGACTGGCATGGGACATTCTCTTGCTCGAGGCATGGTGTTGATCTTTAGTATCTGGATGGATTCTGGAAGTGGAATGCAGTGGCTTGATGGCTCGACTGGGTCTGGCAGTTCGCCTGGTTCGTTGAGGGGTCCTTGCTCTGCTACCTCAGGTAACACGACGATGCTCACGGCGGACTATCCCGATGCTGCTGTCACGTTCTCGAATATCAAGGTTGGAGATCTTGGTACTACTTTCATGGCAATGTAGATCCAGATGAGGCTTGAATGAGGGCGGTGTCTCTTGGCTAGATGGCCAACTCTGTACATATCTATGCCAATTGCCAATTTCATTATAATCATAAAACATACGACCTTCTTTGAAATGGTTTTCCTCTGCATTCCTGTTGCTAGCCTCAAAATGGGATTTTGCTCGACCCATATCTACAATGTCTCTCCATGTGTTGAAACTCCTGCATACACTCCAGTGAATTTCTGCTCAGGATTCCAGCAAATGTTCAACTTCAAGTTGGTAATTGAAAATCACGTCGCGACCCGCGCTAATGAGGTTTTATATTTACAACGAAACTTAATTCAACAAAACCCTTCATTGACGCAATTGACAGCACTTGAACATCATCCAACCACAACGTCAATAATGGCGAGTCCAAGTCTTAACAATCAAGTCGAAATTCCGCCGTCCGGTGATGGAGAGCAGGGAAAAGAGGGTAGCAAAAAGGTTCCATCCTTCAAAGCGTGAGTACTTGTTCATTTTCATTGCTTTTCGAACGATTGATTTGACTGACTATCTACAGCCTGATGGGTGTGCAGATGGTTGATATCAATGTCGGAAAGGGCAAAGCCGAAACACACTTTCGCGTCCACAAAGCCATTCTCTGTGCGAAGCTTCCTTATTTCGACAAGATGTTGAACTCCGGGTTCAAAGAGGGCACAGAAAACCGAGTCAACCTACCTGAAGATGATCCAGACTCGTTTGATTTGCTGATGGTATGGGTGTACAATGATACTCTACCTCCTTTGGAATGGAACAAAAGCATATCCGGATTTACCAAAACATCGAATTGGCATGCTTTCAACTTGTACGCTTTAGCAGACAAGCTTTGCTTGGAGATTCTTATGGATCAAATCGCCTCATCCTACATTTCCGCAACTCTTGCCCTTGATGCTCTACCTGGTCCAAATTATCTCGGCACCATTTTCCAGACATTACCCGGCCATACTGCCTTTCGAAAGTACGCCGCATCTTGCCTACACTACATTTTGCATGGCTTACCAAAGAGTCCTGAGCTTATGAGCACCTGGCCAGTTGAGAAGCTGAATCTCATCATGGTAGCGAACCCGAACTTGACTATGGAATACCTGCAGCTTGTTCAGCAACATCCACTCGATACACCAGTTCCTGATCCTCGTCTGCCACCATACTGCAAATTCCATCGACATGCTGCTGATGCTCCTTGCCCGGTAGCGGCACGTCAGTCAATCTGATTTCAGTGTGGCTCTGGAAGATGCTGGGAAAGCTGGATTGGAAGTGGGGCCAAGAAGCTGATGCGATGGAATTACAATCGGATCATGTCATGGGTAACTGATGGAGGGGTCTGATGGCTGATGGTTGGCTCCGATCAAGGAAATGGAGAGAAAAATGGTCGACAGACTCATCAAGTATCTAGCCCTTCCTGAGAAAGAAAACAATCACTCATTGGCAAAACAGTGTCATTTCCCTTGCATTCATTTGAAGTGTTACTGATCGCTCGAGGCTCGTCGTGAGATTTTATATTCAAGACAGACTACCGCACGAAGCAAACCTGTGGATTTGTTTACCCTAAAGCAGAATAACATCTTAATAGCAGCTTTGAGCGATATACTTAATTCTCGCCAGATTTATTGAACAGCGAGCCTTCATATCTAAAGCAGACTAGAAGATTTAAGCAATGGCGAAGAACTTAAGAAAGAACAGACATTAGTGAACGGAGAGTTTCTCCGATCCTAACAGACTTTATCTATGTAATGATCTCCTCCAGTCATGATGTCTCAAATCAATGGGGACTTTGAATTGTGAGTTCACGTGCCCGGAGTTTGGGGGCACCTCCTAGACTCGACTCGGTTTCTTCACCCACATCCAAACAACTCCACATCCGTACGATATTCCCCACAAGCCGTCGAACTTCTGAAAGACCCTCGGGATGGCAACTCCTCCACCCACAGAGAAGAAGCGCTCTGCAAGGTCTCCAGCTGATGAAGATCAAGTCGCAAAGAAAGCTCGCTCAGATGATCCTGATAAAGGCCCGGCTTTCTCCGAGTAAGTGCCACTATCCATTGCTATTTTACAAAGCTGAATGTTTCTAGTATCATGGGCACCGATATGCTGGATATCTATGTTGGGATGGGGACCGAGAAGAAGCTGTTTCGAGTTCACGAGAAGATCCTACGAGACAAGGTTCCTTACTTTGATAAGATGCTCTCGAATGGCTTTCAAGAATCGATCGATAAGAAGATAGAGTTGCCGGAGGATCACGTTAACTCTTTCGATATCTTACTTTTATGGGTGTACACAAGCAATATTCAACCATTCAGTTGGATCCTTAATAGTGCGAATGGAAGTGACATGAAGTGGGATGTTTTCAAGGTCTATGAATTGGCGGACAAGCTTTGTCTGGAGGAATTGATGGACGAAGTTACTTCGACGTATATCGATGCTTCTGAGAAGCAAGATATCCTTCCTTCAATCACTAGCATTGGTGAGGATTGCTCGAAACTTTCCGCACACATGGGACTCAAGAAGTACATGGTTCTCTGTCTCGACTATTATCTGAATGGAATGTCTCGCGAATCCAACTACTACGGGTCAGGCATTGAGGAGTTTGTGGACCTATTGAGTGTCAACAGAGAGCTGTTTCTTGAGCATATGCAGCTTGTTCATCAACGGCCTACAGGTCAACTAGCACCAGATCCACGAAAGATGCCTCGTTGCACATTTCATCAACACGATGCCGGCGTCGAGTGCCCTTTGAAGAAGGGCTCCAGCCAAAGGACATCTTGAAAGAGTAGAGTAGGCCCGATCAGCCCACAACCTCGACTTTATCTCGAATTCTTTGAAAGATAACTGGCGACTCAGCCGACATCAACAACGTATCTGGTCTCTAGAGGGCATGGTTATGCTTATGGAAATATGGTTTCATTGGCAAGGCTTGTAGTGTCTACGGTATTCGGGTAATGCGATGTCTTGCTCTTTGCCTTCGGTCTCTATACCTGTGTCTCTGCGCTCCAGACCAATCTTCTGGTGGTGCATCAGACACAAAAGTGCACAAAGACAGGTAGAAACTCAATATCTAGGAGCAAAGTGCACTTCCACCCATAAAGGAGTCAAAAGACTCCTCCTAAACCTGCTTTGTGATTTTGAATCCGTATACTGTGAAGTGGCATTGATTCATTCTGACTTGGTAAGACAAAGAGGCCCAATTAGATTTTTTGTAGTAATCCTTCTTTCCACCAGCATGGCAGTCACTGCAACTAGTTGTTTGATAATTTGTCAGGAAGATCAAGCAATTATTTAGATATGTGCTCCGCGCTTATTCAATCACTTGCCCCAGTCCTTCATACTTCCAATCAGAGATATACGTTTGAAATTGTCCAGTTGCCCCATTCGTCGTTGCATATACACCAAGGAGAGCACCTGGTTCAAAGATCGTCAGTCTCAGTATCCCCTATTTTTTCAGAATTTCAACTCCAGAACGTACCAGTGAAACCCCAAGTCAATCCAAGCCCAGGCGCGAACCCAATATCCATCACCTGGCTCTGCTTCCCAGCTGGTCCAACCGATAATGTATAATGGGTCATGTTGGACGCTCTAATCTCGAAGGTAAGGTGGCTAGACACCCATGCTGCCGGCACAGGAGCGACAGCGATATCAGAAGATAGGAAAGCTGGAACAGTCGTGATGCCGCGGACTCGGAAGTATGGTGATAGAGTGGAAGAATTCGTGGTTTGGTTGGGAAGCATGACGATTCCGAGGTCATAATGGTGGAGCTGGAAAAAGATCAGCATGTTTGTTCCTTGATATCTAAGGGCACTCACTTGATCCAGAAATACTGTCACTCCGACCTCTTCTTCCTCAGCTTGAACAGATGTTACATCGAAGGTGGAGCTAAATGTGAAGCAGGTATGGGTTTGGCGATGGCCAATAAATGTTTGACCAAGAGACTCAGCAGATCGGCCATCACTACCTGTTAGATTCGCAATGGACGAAGTAAGCTGAAGCGTGTTGTTGTGACCTGGTGGTGAGATAACGTAGCTGGAGTCAATTGGGAAGCGCCAATGCACCAGTTCTAGTGGGAATGAAGAGTTCGCTCCGAAGTTTAGATGTTCGCTTGAGTTCACCAAAGATCCTTCTCCACCTGCCACAGGAAGGTCGTTGTCAAGATGCCAACCGTTCATGTGTCCTGTGACATTCGTAAAGACTGGCCATTGTCCTTCTTCCCACGTAACAGGAGTCAAGGTCGTTTCTCTTCCCATAGGATAGCTGCCATCCGGGGCTTGCCTCACTGAAAGCGCGACAGCCCACCAGTTGTCGTCGCCATCCTGAAATAGATCAGCATGACCCACATCTTGAAAATATCTCGTGCTATTGACTGCAGTCAAAACTGGATTATGGGGATTAGAATCGTAAGGACCGAGGATGTTTTGAGACCTGGCGATCGTAGCCATGTGACCTGATCCGGTGCCACCTTCTGCGATCATGAGATAGAAGTATCCGTCTTTGCGATAGATATGAGGACCTTCGGGCGAACTGCCCCCAGTTCCATTCCAAATGTTGATGATCTCTCCGACGCTTCCGGTTTCAATGTCAAGTGTAAATGCTTGAATCCCAGGCTGGATCTGCCAAGCATGCGTTCCTGTCACATACACTTGGCCATCATCATCCCAGAACGGCGAAGTATCGTAGCCGGAGAAATTGAAGTGGGCAGGCTGGGACCATGCAGAAGAGTTGTATGGATTAGTGGTGGTAATCACAAAGTTGTCGAATCTATTGCTGGCATTCTGCGGATAGTCATCATAGACCAGAGTCGTGACCAAATAGAACGTCCCATCTCGATATCTCAATGTTGGCGCCCAGATCCCACTTGTTGCTCTTTTCGCGGTATTCAATCCTGGCAGCTGCTCTGGTCTATTTAGGGCATTACTTATCAGCTTCCAGGACCTCAAATCACGGCTTGCGTGTATAGCTGTTCAAAAATCGTCAACTCCGCGATTCTATTTGCCACTGGAGGTGTACCACTCACGAATTCCAGGAAACACCAGAAAACTTGAAGAAGCACAGAAGAACGTATTTTCCCAGTCAGGAACAAAAATACAACTAGGATCAGGGTGGAACCCTGGCAGCATAGGATTGTGATATGTTGAATTGGCTGACAGACTACGGGTAACCAGAAGTCCTAATACTGACAGAGCTTGAAGAAACATGATGTATTGTGTCCAATGTGTACATCAGTATCAGTTCCAGGATGTTATGACGACTTTGAAATCTTTGTGCCATTTTTAGGCTCAATATATAGGTCGGGTTGAAGGATAAAGATTTAAAGATTTATTCTGGATGATGTCTTCCCTCTCGGTCGATTTGGAGCCAGGGCCGAACCAATGACTTGGATAGTGTGTAGATCCTCACTGCAATTTATGGAAAGAATAGGGTAGGAGAAAGAAGCTGAGCAGACTCTGTGGAGTTACATGGGAATATTGATGTCGATCTTGGGCGGACCTTTCCCCCACTGATGAGAATGAGTGCAGTGTACCTGCAGGCTTGGCGAACCACCCCGCATTTGCACAGATTTAGGCTAAAGTCAGCAATTTCACATATCCAAAGAGACGGTTTCCGGGAAATTTTCACTGCATTATGGTATCACTACAGTCACTGGGAGAAGAGATTGTTGGTTTTCGTGTGTTTATTCTTGGACTATGTTACCTACATCAGCCGCCGAAGACGCTCCGTAAAAGAAAAGGGGGCTCGCTACGGTCAGTCTTGGCAACATCTGCCACGTGACTACCTAAACATCACTGACAAAGGAAAATGTTCGATGTTCGATACAAGTGAAGAGAAGCAACATACTGCGCTGAATACCAGCTCTGTAAAAGGAAAATCAACCCACTAACCCCTCAAGGTTTTCTTGCAAAAAGGAAAAAGCATGAAATAACAACTAAAAATCAGAAAGCCGGTATCAACAAAGCACACATCCGTGAGACGCAATCGACATCTCCAGGATAATTACATGACCAGCCCGAAATCTAGCTTGTTGGGGCTCTTGACTTTGTAAGAAAAAACAGACCAGCAAAGCCTCCTCCCTCTTCGTCCTTGCTGGATGTCTTCGGTACTAGCTCAATCAAAAGAAAGGAACGCGGAGGCCAATCTTACAGGAAGTTGTGAGAATGCATGGAATAACAACCCAACTCAGAAGATCCGTTAGTGACAAAACATGAGAACGTCCGGTGTGATCAACGTTTCCAGGACTTCAACACAACTAGTATGGCTCTTGGATGGTCTATTCCTTTGGCTTTGTTCGGTATACAAGGCCTGGGAACTCTACTTCTTCCTCGACATCATCGACGGTCGGCAGCGATGAAGTCATTGCGCTGGAACCAGTCCGAGGAGCTTTGTTTCGTTGCTCTTTCTTGACTGAGGTGCTCTTGGGCTGGGCCTTTGGACGCATGACGAGGTTCTCGAAGGGTGTTGCAGTAGAGATCTTCTTGTTGCTCTTCCTAGGCTTTCGAATTGCGCCGGTCTTGGGAGCTGGAGCAGCCTTTGGCTTAGCAGCATTGTTGGACTTTCGCTTTGCGGCGGCTGTGCTGATGGGAGCAGCATTCTCCTGGGGAACACTTGGGAATGCTAACTTCTCTTCCATGGCCTTCTTGCGCTTCCTAGCCTTCTCCTCTCTCTCGGCTCTCAACTTCTCCAACTTGGCCTGACTTTCCTGAGTAAGCTGGGATCTCTTACCCTCTCGAACTTGCATGCGGAGCTCACGGGCCGTATCCTGCTTCTCCGGAACAACCAGATCCAATGGCTGCTGGACTGGCATATGATCCGCACCATTCTCCGTGTCATCAACGCGTGCCTTGGGATGATAGATCTTGTCAGCTTCTGCGATCGCGGCTTCCTTACCGGTTGCATCGTTGGCTGTCAAGACCTCGTTGAAAGCCTCCTTCAAGCCGTTTCCGTACTCCCGAATTGCAGAGTATTTCTTAGCATCGCCGGCATAACTCATTCTCCTCGCCTTCTCTACCTTTGCCTGCTTCACAATGTTCTTGATTGCGGTACTACCGTGAAGGGGTTGCTTTGATTTAGCCATTGTCATGAATGAATGCGCTGTGGTCGGGAGGACTGAAAGTTGAAGATCGAAACGGGTCGTGGAGTTCTAGATCGGAACATGTTAGCAAAGCAGAGCGCAAAATAGAACTTGCGCCTGACAGTGGAGATAAGTTCTCACCTTGTAGAGATCGGAGATGATCTGGTATGCAATGATACGGTGGTCTTCAATGCGGGTTTGGAAGTCTTCGAGAGGTGTTGTTTAAAGATCCGTGTTCAGGCTGTGAGCAGTAGATCGAGACCACCTTTACAACAAGTTGAAATAAGCGACGCTAAAGAGCGCACTAGATCACCGGAACTCTGATTCTAAAGGTGAATTGATATGGAAGGTGAGCGTAAATCGTTTACGTAGTATTAATGCTGAATGTTTGGAGGCTATACAATATATAGCATTTTGTTTATTCTTGTGAGAGCAAACTTCTCAATACCTAGGCATATATCGCTGAGCGACAATTTCACTACACTCAAGGTAATCTTGATATATATGATGCTCAACAATTTGGAAAGTCTGATGAGCCAGGATAGCAAACATGCTATCTCGGAGAAGCCATATAGCACTAGCGCCTTTGTCCAATTGAACCCTTCCAATCCTCGTCCCCTTCTTCCTCCTACCAGCTCACGTTACCCTTTCCTGTAGAGACATGACGGATCATCCATCAAACTTGCATTTGAAAATAACCTCAGCTATACAAATGAATTGAAAATCGGGAATAAGGCTGTATAACGATGACTATCCTTGCCTCTTCCCATTTATCGATGCTAATTGAAGTGAAGGCAATTCGAAATTTCGAAGTTATGATATCAGACATATCTTACAGCACTATCTTGAGAGAAAGTTGTCACCTGGAAATCTTTCGGCCTCGAAACTCTTGCTTAGGCTTGGCAATTGCTGATCTCCCACTTCGTCGCGAGCCTACAATTTGAATGAGTTCATTGTTCATTTTGAACAGGATACAGGAATACCCAAAGCAGTGATCCAATCTTCCAAAGTAGCGCATCTTACATCAAAGTAGAGAGTATCCTTGTTCGCTCCAATATGCTCGCAAACAAAAAGTCTCACTTGATGTGCATGCAGCGGACATGATTGAAAGGTGTTTGCCAGTATCATGAGGCTAGATTGATTGGATGATGGTCCATGAAGCTTTGCGAGATTTTGTGGGCCTTGAAGAAAGCTTTGCAGACCTCGGCCTAGAGCGCGGCACGGGTGGTTAATGGCTGGTTAGAGGGGCCCTCTACCCACCAAGTGGGCGGGTAGGGTAAGGTTAAGCTTCTTAAGTTTTTACTCTAACCTCCCACCAAATTACTATTTACCATCTAGCATATAATATAGCCTCACGTGATACAATCAAAACTTTGCCACATACCCCTTTATAAGAAAAAGTGCATATTGCAAAACATATAGAAAGCTTAATGCACTGGCTATACTCACCAAATAAATTTTTTTAAAAAGCTTTAACTAAGGAAGTTTTAGTTTTTTTTAGTTTTTTTTAAAAAATTAAACAAAATTAGAAACTAATTTAGAGTTTTAAGTATGTATTTAGAGGAGTTTAGTAAGTCTATACGCTACTAATTAAAGTATAGTTGGCTAAACTATGAGTAAAGGAAGTAATTGTAGCTTAAAGAAGAAAAAGAAAGTAAAAATAAGTAAAAGAAGTGAGCCTTTTTTATAGATTCTGGCTAAATCCTTTACTTTCCTTTTTTTTGATTATATGTAATTATATGCTAAATTATTTGGGGCTGCTTTAGAGGTTTCTCTTTAATTTAAAACTACCCATAGTTAGAGACGACGCGGCCTACCCACCCTAAGGGGGCCCATGGAGCAGGTCAATTTCCGGATTGATACTAACCGTGCCGCGCCCTACCTCGGCCACAGGAAATTCAAGGGTTTTCTTGATCTTAGAAAGAGTTTGGGCTATTCCTTTCAGGTGGTCTAGGAAGCCATCATTCGCAATGGTTAGGGCTCTTGCAGCATTGAGTTTGGTACAGAGAGTTCCATTTCACTATTGAAAAATCTAGGAAGAGATATTAGAGCTCGAAGAAACCTCTGTTAATTGATGTACTGCATGTCAAGATTAAAAGAAGAACAATTGACAAATACCAACGACTACTTGGCTAAGATAAGGTTAGCGCTCTTTTGCTGTGCAAGAAGCTTCATTATCTCCGTATTTAGGTTAGTAGATAGACTCTATTCCCTTGGCCGTCGGGGCAAACTTTTGCACTAGACTGCAATAGAACCATACAATGGAACCGCAGTTTGTATTACTCCCTGGCGCTAAATGCTTGGGGTCTCTTCTCTACTCGGTCACTGGGGTTAGCCGAAGCTTCAGCAGTAGCTGAGGCTCTGGAGACATTGTTAGATAGCAATAGGATCTCACCACAAATTCACTATGGCTGTTGTCCATTTCTTGAGCCCACTGTCCAAGTCACTTATGCTGGTACTGCAAAAAGTTGGTACTATTATTAGAGAAACACACAGGGTCATTTGGTTTGAGTCTATTCATTTATGCTATGAAGGTACATGTGAAGGACCAAACTCCATTATGCTACCCTTTATCATGATCCATTCCTCGAAAGTTCTCTGCATCACACCGCTTCTCAAGTTCTAGAACATCATCTCCTCTCGGTCATCTTCATACAAGACTTGCTTCCAGAAGATCAGAGGCACAAAGCCCCCGCTCAATTCTTCGCTCGTCATGATAAAGACCCCAATAAATTTCTCCTGCCCGCCTAAATCAAACATGACTCCCCTCTCCCTCAACTCCTTCCGCTAAGTCCTTGCTACCATAACATTTGCTTGGAGGTGGCCGTCTTACGACGCCACTCACTCCAATGCCAGTCGTGGTAGCTCAGACACATATCCCAAATCAAAACAATCTCCTCGCGCAATTTTGTTCATCTACCATAACACTTGCTTGAAGGTGGCCGTCTCGCGACGCCACTCACTTCAATGCCAGTCGTGGTAGATGAACAAAATGTTCCAAATCAAACACTCCTGCCACAGCCATCATGGCAGTGCTGGAAGACTTCAGACAGACTAATACATTGTTATTGTATAACATTGACCCCAAGAACGTGACATGAATAGTCGAATGTGTGCCAGAACTTTAGGGAAGATGAGGATGGATTAGCGTTGACGATCCCATTTTCTCACTTCCATATGGATACCACCGACCACCAACCATTGGGTGACACGAGAACTAAGGACTCTCTTCAGTGCCCATTGAGTATCAGGAATTGAAGGAAGATAAGGTAGAATGGGGTCGAAGAAGGTCCCGGAGTTCTCATCTTCCAGACCCTCCCAGATATCCTCTGCGGGGAACGAGGGAGACGGGCAAGTTTCGCTGTAGACCATGAGAGTGCCTTGTCCAGGGAGATCGACCAGAGATGGCAACACAGTGAGAGATCTATCGCCAAAGTAAGGAGATGGAGGTGAGTAAAGCGTCGCCATAGAGACTAGAGCACAGAGTAATACACAGAAGAGTGCGAATCCAAAGCGGGTAATCCGGGACACTCCGTTGCTCATCGGTCCTTTTGGTGTGTCAGCTTCAATGACATCACTGGCACGACCTCCTGCTCCGAGATCTGCGCTGTCGAGAATACTGAATAGCTGAGCCAACGTCTCTGCCTTGCTCTCGTCGTCCTTTCGAAGAGCATCGAAGTTCTCGGCGTCGCGTGCTGCTTGTTGGATAAGGTTCTTGGACTGACCTTCCAGCTCTGCAATGCTATCGTCCTTTGCCTTGTTGTCGTTACTCAGACGTTCGATACTGAGCTCCTGATTCCTAATCTTCTCTGCTAGTTGCTCAATCTCAAGGCCTTTTGACGTGATTGCGGATTCGACCAGTGCTTGGAGGCCTCTCTTCTCGTCGGCAGACTTGGCACTCTTCTCTTCTAGGTCTTTCTCCAGGGACGTGTACTTTTCCTCCAAGTTTGCCACTTCGGCTTCCAACTCGCTGATATGCTTGTCCTTTGTCTTTCTCTCCTCGGCAAACGTCTTCGTGAGCCCTTCCAGAGCTTCCTGACAATCCACCAGCTGCTTGACATGAGCATCATCGTTCTCCCTGAGCAATCGAGTCTTTTCTCGAGCCTGTGTAGCAGATTCCTCGACGGCCCGGGTGCTCTCGAGAAGTAATTGTGCGTTGCTGTTCCGGTCTGCTTCCAAAGATCGGATTTGCTGCTTCAGGCCCTCTACCTCTGATTCGTACTCCGAGATTCGAGTATCCTTTGATAGAACTTCGCTTTGAAGGGTCTCGATCGCACTCTTATTGCGTTCATTCTGAGTGAAGAGGCTCTGAAGTTCGTAATCTTTCTTGGTCAACTTCTCTGTCAAACCTTTGATTTGCTCTCTCAGATCGTCCTCAAGCAGCTTAGACTTGAACAGTTGATGGGTCTTTTGTTCGCACTCCTCTGAAGTTGAGGTAATTGTTGCTTTGCTGTCTCTCAACAGATTGCACATCTTCTCGCACTCTTGTTTCTTGGTAGTAATCTGTCTCCGCAAACCCGCATTGCTCTCCTGTTCACATTGTAGCTGTTCCTGACTGCTGCGTAGTCGATCTTGGGTCTGAGAAAGGTATTTGCGGATGGATTCTCTCTCGTTGAACAACTTTGCACATTCCTCATCAGAAGAAGACTTTTGCTCCTTGAGGACCTTGTTCTGCTGTTCAAGGACGTTGATTTCCTCATCTCGCGCTACAAGCAGGTCGTTCAGTTTCTTATTGAGCTCCTTGAACTTCCGTGAACCATCTTCGGCTTTGCTAAGCTCTAGTTGCTTCTCTCTTAGAAGAGCTTGAGTCTTCTCCAATGGTGGCGAGTTATCGGTCGTCTTGTCGGCCTCTCCACGTTCGCGGCCCAGGTCCTCTGTTTGATGCGGAATGCTGGAGCCTCCAACGCTCTCGACTTGGGAATCTGTAGCAATTTCCTTCTGCTTCTTCTTGCCATGGTGGTTTTTCTTCGTCCTCTTGCGCTTCTTTTCTGTGCCTTCTCCATTGGCCGAGTCCATCGTGTCGCCTTCGCCCATGTGCCCGTTCAAAGTCAGCGAGCTGGTGGTATCAGCGTGGCTCTCAGGCTCGAATTGCTGCGAGCTAGGTCCGCTTTCAGGTGGCGCAGGATGCGTCATTGTGCTCGCAATGATGAGTGGATGGGCCGCGGCGTGCGCAGGTAGACTTGTCGTGTGATATGGTTACAGAGATGCAAGCTTGGTAGCTCTCGATCGAAATGTCGCGCGATTATCTTCGTGATTGTTTGCGGTGATTGCAGAAGATCTGGGTCGATTAATCGAGGTGGTTGTGGTCGCAGTTCTGTGCAAGAGAATTTCGATCTTGAAAATTGCAAGCGATGTTGAGGAGGTAGTTGGGCAACGAGGACGAGGCTGGATGTACGCTAACCAAAGAGACTTAGCGCCATAGGACTCTTTATCGATTCACCGTTGCCAATAATTCCCGCTACGAAATGGGCACCTACGTAAGTATCAGACTGAATGTGCCAAAACATACAGAGCATCATTTTTTGCATTGATGTACATTGACATGGATTGACGGCAAGACAGATTCCAGACCTAAATAAGCGAGCTTCTTCACTTTCGTCTGATATCAGAATCATGCCTCAGCCTCCAATGGGAGTGGCTTTTGCTAATACATTACGTTCTTATAGCAAACGGATGATATCAGAATGTAAAGTCATTATCACTTTTGAATTTACTTGCCTTATGTTTTGCCGAATCATTGTTCATTTGTTATCTACCTTTTTTTTCCAAATGGCAACCATGGACGAGCATTAAGATCTATCTAGTTGCCATATCCCAATCCATCGATGTCCGAAGTAAACATCACCAGGTTCAGCCACTAACCATGATCTATGACCCACCAGGTTCAGCCTCTAACCATGATCTATGACCAGTCTATCCCAGTAAAACTCTTCCTCATACACCACATCCGCAGGAGTTAGGCTTTGGCTAACTTGAGTTCGAAGTTGGAAGCTGCTAAGTCGTCCTGAAGGATACACCCACCAGCATATGTTGAGCACGACCCGTAATAGTAGCTGTACTGGCTTGTGAAGTTGGGGCAAAACTTAGACCGGCTGTAGCCCTTCAAGTCTCCTTTGGCTCAGGCTGGTAAAGCAGTCAGCTAGCTGATCAGTCGACTGATAAGTGATCAGTTAAAGCCAATCAGTTAGCGATTTTAATTGATGTCAGTCTATCAGTTAGCCAAAAGTTCAACTGACAGTTGCTTATAAGTTTTGAAAAAGTTTATTTTTAGTATTAAAAAAACAATTTTTGGCTTAAAATCCTAGTTTTTTCCTAAATTTTTGATATATTTAAATATTTTAAAAAACATGAAAATTTACTTTTTAAATAAATACTTGTAAATAATTATTTAAATTAAAATAGAAATATAGTTTAAATATTAGATATTTATTTATATTATATTTAAAAAATATAATAAAAATATTTACTAGTTAAAAGTCACGTTTCTTGACTGATCAGCGACTGATAAGTGGATATCAGTGAGTCAGTTGGATGCCTTTATTATAATCAGTCAATCAATTGGAGAATAAGCTCGACTGATGACTGACTGACTGACTGATTTACCAGCCTGCTTTGGCTCGCTGACTGATGTATAATTGGGATCTTGGCAGCGAGCTGGAAACCAAGAACAGCTTTCCGTGCCTTCTCCGTCAAGGATCATAGTATTTGTCTTCCAATTCTTCGTTCCTGGTCGTTTGGTCTTCGGTGGTGGTGGCTTGGTGCTTTCCAAAATACCTGCTTGAGCCTTCGCGGCGATTTGAGTGTTGTTGACGGGTCTGCTCGAACTTGGTCCCAGTGATAGCGGAACGATGGAAAGAGCGGCAGCGGGGTTCGCCAATTGTGCTGTTGCCTTGCTTCTTCTGCTGACTTTTTTCGGAGAGGGGGAAGAAGAGCCAAAGGAGTTCAATCTCGCGAGGAGAGTCGGATCAAGTCTAGGATTCGAGCCTGCGGCATTCAATATCATGAGATCACCTGTTGTGTTATCTGGGATGGGTTGTGTTGTTGAAACGCCCAACTCTAGTTCAGTAACCTCCAACTTATCAATGCGAAGCTGTTCCGCCCAATCAACCTTCTCTGAAGCTAGGATATTCTTAACGCCTAAATTATCATCCTCTTCGTCCCTCGAGAACACATTCTTGAATACGTTGTTTAATAGCTTGGAAGGTGTAGAGAGACGAGGTGTGGCGCTGGTATCTTTTGAGGTGGATTGGAGTTGACGAGGAAGAAGGAGAGCAGGGTTAATCTGAGCGAAATCGCCATTATTGAAAGGAGAGATGTCGCCAAAGGTTCTGCTTCCGTTTCCTTGGCCCTGGTCCTCTGGATGCTCGATAGCAGTGATATCCCGTTTTTTTACCCATCCCTGGAGTCTTGGTCGCGGAATCGATATATGAAGAACCTTTCTTGATCGGGCTAGGCTCATTCTTCCACTTGCGTGGTGGATCGTCGCTGCTGTTCATCAGAGTTGATCTGAGCACGGATGGCTTGGCATTGACCTATTTTCTCGTCAGTAGAGATCTCGAGTTTATCACAACGATCAAGGAAACATACTCGTGGTTTTGTTAAAGTAGAATCAATAACTGCTCTTCGAAGCTTTTGTCTTTCAGTAAATTCTTCAAGAGCCACGGAGTTGAGAGGTAAGTCGTTGGAAATAAAAAGAGGCACGTCCGGAGAAGGTGCTGGACTTTGGGTGATAGTCGAACTTGATCGCAAAGCGGCAGTAGAGTGCGCAATCGGCCAAGAAGTCGATAGAACTGCTGCTATTCTCCGCATAGCTTCGCCTGCACGCTCAGTCGCATCGTATGCTTGTCGCTGTACTCTGATCTCCTTGAGCCTCAATGCATAGAGCCTATCAATCTCTTCAAGATCGTGATCATCAGATTCATGATTGGAATCGAGACCAAACTCGCGTGCGTAATTGTTGTTAAATCCTTCACCATAATCAATCTCGCGGCTATCCTCGTCTTCGTCTTCCTCCTCGACGTCAAAATAGTTACTATTCGGATTTGGGTAAGAGCCATCAACAAAACCTCTCATAGACTGGGGAAGTTCGATGCCTGTGATTGTGGAGAGTGAAGGACGGCGGACTTGATTGCTGCTCGACAGATTCTGATTGTCGTGATTCGAAGTTGCAAATTCGAGATTTTGAGGCTCATTTGTGGAGACTCTGAATCGCTCCCAAGAGGGTCCACCATGGCCACCAGACAGAAGTCCTTGAAGGGCTTGATCAGTTTCTCGCAGGTCTTTCTCCACTCCCTCAAAGGAGTCCAAAACTTTCGTTTTGCGCGACATGTTGTTACTCGGAAGTCGGAGGTTGCGATGCTGTAAGAATGCGCTCTTGATATGGAAAGTTCAAAGTCGTAACCAGTTGTTCGATGACTTTTTGCCAACTCCTAGAGCGATGTGCTCGCAGGACTTGTTGTGTTGTGTTTCCCGAGTCATGGAGCTTAAATATGAGACTTAGCTCGCTTAGCTTTACAAGCTAGCGGTATTACAATGTACAGCTTCACCCCGAAGGCAAAAAAAACCATTTTGATGAGGCATGAATTATGGGTGAATTATTCCGTGGCCTCTAATCCTGTAAATCGGAGCCAGTTTCACAATCATCAACAGGGTTGCACCAAGTGGTGAACGGGTAACCCGTATCAGCCTCGAGGGTCTGGCTTAGTAACAGACATCATGACAATGCAAGATTTATTCACGGAGAGTTGCAAAATGAAATGCTATTCATAAATCACTATTTAATAAGGAAGACTCGGGAAACCAGAACCACAGTCCAGCACTTCTTCTCAGAAGTCATTTGCTACAGAAATACGCTCGTCCACCATCGTGGATCCCCCGACCTTTGGAAAATCAAAGACTTCTCCAAACAAACGCACTGTGGCCCGAAACGACGCCAAAATAGACTTTCCTTGAATCATTGGCCCCATGCAAATCCGGCCATGTGCAGAGGCTATGAGTGTGCGATTCTAAGCAAGTAAGAGGTCCTCGACCATCTCAACATCGTTGTCTGGGCTAATAGTGGATGAGTCCTGATTCAGAGCAGTAGTCTCTGGATTCAACTCCTTGCTGCCGTTTCCAAATCGGGTAGGATCAACATCATCAACCCTAGTACCTTTACAAATTAGCTGACCTATTTGTCCAAACTCAAGTGGCATTGTTTACTTGCTGGGGCAACGTAAGACTACCCTCCAACTCTCCGACCAGATTCTGAAGCTCTGCAATTCGTCCATAAGCGTCGTCCAATTCCTTCTCCGCGAGGGCGATTATTGCTCGATGCTCTGCGATGCCGATGTGTAAGTTCTGGCAAAGGATTGTCTGGTGTCTACCGGTGGCGGCGTCGGCGTTCAACTTGATGCGTTCAGCTTCCCACAGTATCTCGGCGTCTTGGTGTATCTCCTTCTCTCTTTGAATTTTGACGTTGTGGAACAGCTCTTGATCCTCCAACTGCTTTGAGTTCAAAGCTAGGGTAGATTGAAGGAGGATGCATTGTTGGCATGTTTGAATATTGTTCGGGTCGTTCATGTTCGTCAGAGGAGGTAATAAGCCCTTCATGGTCGATGGTTCAAACAAATCGAATGGTGAGCTTTCGACAGATCGTACGACAAGAGTGGCAGGCCGAAGCTTCTGGTGTGGAAGGAGCGGATTATCAGCTGGTTTGCGAGCTTTGATGTATTTGATGACTGGGTTGGATGTGGCAAGATTTGGGATCTGCGACTCATAGTCTGGCAGGGTAGCCTCGCTAGCAACAAGACCGCTGCCAGGTCCTTTCACGGCTGATTGACCACCTTCTGATCTGTTGATATCGTGGCCATTGCAACTTGTCGACATGCTTGCTGATTCGAGTCAAGGAGATTAGAAAGCTTCGGACAGATATGCACCGCGGCTCTGGATCAAGAATAGTTGTAATATGTATTATCTCTGGTTTGGAAGTGTTGCGATCTGCGCAGAGAGATGCTGGAAAGTGGTTCAGGTGTAGAATCATGCAGAGTTCAATACAAGATTCTAGGTAGAAATACGCTACAATGGAGGCGAACAAGCTAAGAAACACGTGCAGCCAACAGTACCTACGTCGTCATTCAAGAGAAGACTTACAGCCTTTCAATTCACCTTTGTCTGCCCAAGGTACTTAGCAACGAAATTTTGGGTCTGTGAATCACGTGCATATCTCGCTTAATCCAGGAGTCACTTAGTACTGAATACAATCACTGCAACAGTCACTTCTTGCGTGTTATTTCTGGTGCTTAATATTATGGACATCGTGAGCAAGGTCAAGTTTGCCGGATAGAAACAGTTTTTGTGAATCCCGATGAAGGCATTACTCTTATTTCTAGGATATACCCGCATGCATTGTCGTCATCACTTTATTTACAGCGGCATGTCCAGCTGTTCGAGGAGCTCACGTTGACCATTTATATCGACCAAGCGAATGAAGATTGAGTTTCAGGCATTCTTGGGCCCTGTGTTCTTTCCAGACGCTCTTTGTGTGCCGCTATCATTCCAAGTTCTACGGAGATCGCGGCATAAAGTGCCGGGATTACAGGGCATTTGAGCTCACAACACGCTATCATCTCTCCTCAACTCCTTGTAAGGCCTTATATCATTAGGCTAAGAGCCCTGTAGCACGCTGAATTGTGTCAATGGGATCAGCACAAGGGTTGTCAGATTTTTCACGGGTCTTTAGTGATGATACAGTGCTGGCAGAGCAACCACATCGCTAAACGTTGATAATTATAGGCTGTGAGAGCACGCTGAAGCAAGACTTGCCCTGCAATTAGAAGCACTATCTTCAAAATGGTGTGGCACCCTTGCTAGCTCTTTTCAGTGGGTTATAGGGTCGAGTGCCTGTATTTATAGGGCGTTCCAGTGTCTGGCACACTTTTTACAGCGGTTTACAGTGGACAGTGAGCTCAAATGCCCTGTAATCCCGGCACTTTATGCCGCGATCTCCGTACTGGACGTCATATCAAACCAAATGTCCAAAGCATGGTTGGACTTGCTATGCATTAATATTGAACTACGCCATGTCAAAGTTTCGTACCGTGAAAGTCTCTAATAAAGTATAAATATTTGAGTGAGACTTTCGGAAGAATAATAAAGGGTCATTAAGCTCAGCATGAGTAACTGTGTCATCATGTCTAATGTCCGTACTGGGACAGGAGAAATTCCATACGCGACGAAAGCGAAAACGACTACCTGGTAGTTGGGACGCGTTGGAAACCCCATCAACATAGATTCCACACTAATACCAGGCTGTCAACAACTCTTTCTTCTTCTACAAACCAATCCAGCATTTCAACTTCGATGCACACCAACTGCTCAAAGAATTGTTCTGTTTATTGCTCTAGAACCTTCATTCGACAATACTGCGCGAACTGCAGAAATGGATACCAATACCCAGCAGAATTCGCTTGCAGACGTTTGCTCACATCCCGAAGCAGCGCGAGACATCGAGTCTCGAGATTCAACTGCACCAGAAATCATAGTTGAGAGAACTTCTCCAGCGCGATCAGAGGGAACTCCAAATTATCATGGAACGCATTCCGTCATCGAGCACCAACCAGCGAATATCACGAGCATCCATACCCCGAGTGAAAGCGACGAGGAACCCTCAGCCACGAATGTTCGGAAAGAATTGAAGGACTCTCTGGCGAAGGTTCAATTAGAAATGATCCGGCTCAATCCAACATTATTTCAAAAGGAAGACAAGAGCACGAAAAGTCTTCAAGCACAACTGGCCAGATTGTCCGCCGCAATCAGAGCGGTGGATACTGTTAAACAAGATACCACTGAAGAACTGAAGCGCCAACATAAGCAGGACTTGGAGTTGGAGGAGCAGAAAAGAATTGCTTTACTAGCTCAGATCAAATTGAGAGAGCAAAAGTTTCTACATTGGAGAAGGAGTTAGAAGGAAAACGAAAGAACGCCAAGGCCTTAGCAGAGAAGCACAGAGCAGATACTCTGGATTTGGTGCAACAAGTCTTCGACGCTGGAGAAAGGATATTGAGTAGGGAAGAAGCCCTTTTGGAACAAGACCTGAGATGGATGGAAGCGTATGAGGCGAAGGCCAGTAGAGAGTCAGAAGCCGATAAAGAATTAGAGCAGCGCCCAGATTCTTCAAGTCTATGGATGCAGGAGCAGGCTACTAAAGATTGCAGCGTCATCGAGACGTATTAAATACCACACGCCCAGAGTATTGAAGCGGCGGGGAGTGACCCCTTGAAAGGTTGTGGGACAGGTCTGGAAGATGGACAAGACTCCCAAAGATTCAACGCAACAACTGAGATGGTCGATTCGGCTCCCAGAGCATACCTTCAAAGATCTAGAAGCATCTGAGCTGACTCGAATGGGAAAGCCATCAAAGCAAACATTGATCATTGCATTGCTGCAGCTATTGCAGGAAGTGGCCTACAAGCAGGAGGCGATAGGGATTACTGTCAGGACTACGGGGGAATTTTTCAGAAGATCGATAGGAGCACCTTATTTCTAAGTCGGTCATGGAAACTTGTTATCCGTTTTGGGGGCCTGTGGATTCATGGACTACATCTGTCTTGGTCTTAGATTCTGACTTTGCCATGACCGCTCTAAAATTTGTCTTGGCCTCTCTGGGCTGCTCCTTTTTTACAGCATGGAGAGAGAGTTCGTCCGAAGTTTCATAATCTGTGTCTTTGCATTAGAGAAGCAATGAGAATGAGCTATGTGAGCCAAAATGTTGTTTGTAACATGTGAATGTGTAGTTCAATTCTCAGACTGGTATCATGACACCAGCTTGCCGAGACTCTAACTTCTCATTCATATCGTGCAATTTACTTTCTATGCACGGGGGACCTCGGGACGGAGATCTGACGTCTATCACGTGCTTCAAGTCCGTAGGCGCGCTAACTTGCGCTTGTATAGCAAAATCAACTTGTTTACTGCCATGGTTTTCCATCATCAGATCTCCGCAAACTATTACCTCAAACTGACTTCGGTCACTCTTCCACCACGAATTGAGGCGCATGTCGGTAAATGCTTTGCTTTCCCTTCGTGGATGCGCCACTAATCAAAACTAGTACGAGCAAAAGCACGATGTCTCGCAAACGACCTCATGGAGAATGCGACCGGCCTGAAGATCTGAGCCTGCGTCCTAAGAAGCGCGCGTTTCAGGGCTACATTGAAGACACGGACACTCGAGTATCGACACCCAGCAAACCATCCACAAGTCAAAGGCCCCTTGCTTCCGAAGATTCTGGTACCCGACAGGCAGTACTCAATGTTGCAGTCAACCCCATAGACAACCCTTCTGATCAAGCTGAAGGAAAAGAGAGTGGGCTTTTGTTCACAATTATCAGCTTCATCTACTATTACGTCATTTCCCTGGCTGCGGTGGCATTTGCGTGGCATATTCATATTTGGAAAGCTTGGTTCACACGCGCCACGTTCGACCAAGCACCACAGACAAGCCCACGTCCAGCCCAAGAGGGACAGAGACACCGCAAGTGGGTAGGAACTTATCGACTGTATGGCCGCCATGCTTTTTGCTCGTCGCGCAGAACAAAAGACCAGTCCCGACTACTTTTTTCTAAACACGAGAGGAGGCAGAGAATCCAAAAGAATGGGAGGGTAAGTAAAGCAACACTTAACCGACGTTCACTCTCCCCTAAACCAAGACCACAAGTGGCAATCACCAAGCCATCTGCCACTGCCCATGAAGCTTCGATCTTTAGCCTCTTTCCGAAACTTCCCATCGAGCTCCGAGTAGAAATTGTAAGTCACAAACTCTGAGGCCTTTGGTTGGAGAGCAGGTCACCACAGATTGGCGGTCTTTTTCATTTGTTATAACAACAATAGTCCTCGATATTAACTCATATCAGTGGCGCTTAGCTCTACCGCCGCCGCGAGTGATTGAGATAGACTGCTGTTTAAGAGGACAATCCTTTGATAGCTTGATTTTTAGCCCAATGGAGAGTCGAAGTCAAGCAAGCGGTCTCCTTCGGGCAAATCTCGAGTCCAGAGCTGTATTCCTGGAACATTACAAACTTCTGTGTAATCAAGGCAAGTCCGCAAGAAACGCTACAGACACGGCAACATGCGAATCACGCCACTGGTCCTCTTCTTCCCCAGTTGTGTACATCAATTATGATATCGACACACTCTACATAGGTCCATCGTCCGAGAATGGTGTTTTGGTAGCATTTCACGTTATGCACGACCACGGCATGGAGAAGCATTTGTCTAGAGTGCGCTCACTGGCGGTGACAGCCAGCAATCATGTGTGCTTCAGCTTTGGGGTTGAGATGGCACAGGTGCCGCAGCTCCAAGAGCTAATCATTGTTCTTGGAGAGCAGCAACAACCATGTCAGCCCACACCTGGAAGTTGGATCCGGCCCAGGGGTGCTGTACGCTTCGCCGAAGCAATTAACACTACCGACGATGTTTCTAACAACTGGAGCTATGACTCCTACAAAACTCGGGTTGCGTCAATTACAGAGTCCCCCAACATCACGGTCAATGTCAGACAAGTTACTCGTGGTGATCCACCACAGAACTCGCGTTGGAGAGTCAATTAGAGGAGATCATAAAGCGGGCCGGAAAGCTAGGTTCGTGAAGCTTCCCCGAAGGTGCCCAAGTATACTCGAATCCATGTGTGCGCTTTCTTCTTGGCGTTGACTCTTTCCTGGTTGGTTTGTGGAACGTTTTGTACGAATTATGTGGAATAATGCAGAATGAATAAGAAATATGGCCATATCATTCAAGTCAAATTGATCAACTGGACTGCAATACAAGTCTGCCTCCCACTCTCAAACATCACCAACTTGAATAGCGACCTAAATATTCTTGCTGATCAAATTCATTCGCAAAGAGTATGCTCGTTGTCTTTGATTTAATCTTGTGCTCTTGGAAGCAGTTCAATGGAACGTTCTTATTCTTTCATTATGATAATATACAAGCCAAGGTCAAGGCTTTTGGAGTTCAGTCAAGAAGTGAAATTCTGCAATCTGGAGATAATCGGCTGTCGTTATACCTTTGATGACGTGACTCTTTGATACCTTTCTTACCCAGTGAATCAGCTTATGGAAGTCAGCATGTCTGCTTCGTTGAATACCAGGAAGGTTTGATCAATAGGCACATTTGTACGGGCTTTCAAATGGATGCACATGTATCCATTCTCATAATGAAATCTATTTAAACAAGCTTGTCTTCTGAGAGACAAGAGATTCGAAGACCATTTCGCCCACCAACAAGAATAGAGACCGAAGATAGCTCAAAAAGGCTCCAACAGCACACATTACATGGCCGTGAGTCACTGATGATGCACTCCTTCTTCCACACTTGCATATTCCTGCCCACAACAGAGCCACGGAACACTACCGGCAGACCCCCTTGACAACTACCACCCCAAATCATACAATCAACGCATGTCGCCACTCCCACCGCATATCTAAGCCAGATACCGCAGTCCACTCCTTCGATAATCTAACAGTAAGTTTGGTCAAGCCAATGGGAAAGCTTCTCGAATAGAAACGATGCTCTACCGACACGAAGGCCAGGAACACCCGCTTCAATCGACGAATGATCATGAAAGACTTCAGCAGTCTCCCCAAATTCGTTTCCTTGAGGCACACCAGCTGGGAACATGTTCCCCAAGCGAGTGGTAAGTAATAACCATCTCTAGCCTGGCATCCCATGTATATTCGTTGGATTCGTCAACGTAGTGACTCCAAAACGGTGTGCGTGATGGCAACCGGTCAATGAAACCAAGTTGCTCAACAGCGCCACACGCACGTTCGATGAGTCCATGGAGAAATTTCCAACATCCAGCTGCCTGTATTCCTACACTCTCCCAACTCCCACCGCTCATCTCCGATATCGCAATAAGTCGCACAAACATAACTGCACAGTAATCGATCCATCCTGTGGGACCAAAACAGGGAATTGTCGGAAAATGGTCAATTTTTGGTACTCTGCTTGCACAAAGCCTTACATCATGGCCCGAACAGCCATGCCCACAACGAAGATGCCAACAGAGACACCGAGCGGTCTTAGCCATCTGTTCTCGGGGACATCGGAACGCTGAGAGGATTTGTTGGCTGGTCTCTTCGCAAGCTTCTTCTCTAATCTTGCTTCGTGCTTCTTGTGTTCTTCGATAATTGGGAGCATACTCGTGTGAGACATCCCTACCACTAAACGCCGCTCATCGTACTCTATGAAACAATCGCGAACTGTTCCGTAGACATGGCCGAAAGCTGGACAAGACTTTGCGAAATCGAGAATGACCTGCTCTCGAGAGTCGGTCCAGGTTGGCAACAAGACCGGTGTAGAGGTATGTGGGTGCATGAAATATGTAGTGGCTTGATGTGTCATAAATGGCCCACAACTGAGAAGGTTTAGAGCAGTCGGTACCATGAAGAGTAAGATGGTTAAACCGGCAGTCCAGATTTTCCACCTGTTTGTAGATGGCCACGCGACAACTGCTGCCCAAGTGATTTGAACTCTATGGCAGAAAGTCCAAAACCATTGTACAACGCAGGTTTTAGCTTGACTCCATAAGCCTATCAACAACCTTAAGATAGCGACACATAATGGTTTCAACAACCATGACCATATGAACCAAAAAGTCGGCGGAGCTGCCCAAACAATCATCGAGATACAAAAGCCGATCATTCCAGGCAAAGACTGAATGGCCGAGATAGATGAGTGAAACCATGACCGGGCGTATGCTTTGATAGTGGGCAGGTGTGGGAGGAGATGTTCATAGCAAGACCGGCCAAACTTTGGAAAGAATGACAAAATCATAACCAAATATGCAAAACAATATTGTATACACTGCAATGCTCGGGGCAAGGCTTGGCTGTCCCTCAACAGATTTTCCAGTGTATCGATTCTGTCTACTCCTTCCAAACGGAGCTGTGTGCTTTCTGTAAGTTCCTTCTGAAGAGTCTTGACCTGCTTTTCCAACCCTGCAATCTTGGCTAGATGTTCGCGATTATCGGCGTTCAAGGATTGGTTGTCCGTCCAAACTGCAACTCTTTCTTGGATGGCCCGAGCGTTGCTTCTTTTCTCTTCTGCTAACTTCCTGGAGCTCAGGACAAGCTGGTTACTGAGGCTTCTGGCTTCTGAACTCGATTCAGCGTCTCTCATGTTGGCGTTCCCAACTTCTCTGCGCAATGATACCACTTTCTCCTCCGACAATCTCAACTTGCTCTCAGTTGCAGATGCTCGGCTCTCTAATGTGCTTATATTCTCCTTCAGGTGATTTATGTGATTGGCGGAGTCGAGTATGTAGTCCCGTCGGCTACCACCCTCCTTAGGTGTATAACCAACAGCGGCGATAGCTTCGTCCAACAGAGGGCCAAGCAGAACTCGCACGTTGGCTTTGTTATCTGAGGCGCTCGAAGATGGTATAATGGGTTGAACATTGTGATCAGGAGTCTGAGGTGCGGCTGCGCCCACGTTGGAAGTGTCTGGCCTCGCACCGACTGGGCTAGTAGATGCAGCTGTGGAGCTCAGCTTCGAAGTCAGTTTGATCTGCACCCGGGGCGTCTTGTTCTCAGTGCTAGCTTGGGAGTGGTTCATTGGGCTAGGAGCTGTCGTGCTGACTTGAGGATTCAAGGCAGATGTTGATGATGCCGTCCCTTGCACCGGAGCGTTGGTCGGGTTCTCGTTGCTTAATCTTCTTTTCCGGATCAGGGGCGCAACTGCCACAGTCTTCAGGTCGCTCTGTTGGACAATCAGCAATCATGCAAACAACATGTCAACAAGGTACATTGAGCCACAGCACGGTCAGGCTCGACTTTAAAATACAGGGTATTGAAGTGCTTGCGCAGTCAATTACGCTTTAAACACGAGAGTAAGACCTACTGGTGTGTTTGCTGACATCGTGAGAGAGTATGTCGCTGGTGGGAAAGTAAGAGTCGGTGAATATGCCGGAGCAAAAGTCGCAAACAATATTCTTGCAGCCTCTGATAGCGGAAGTCTCTCCAAGAGTATGCGTTGTGAGAGTATGGGATCTGTACACAAAGACGTGTGATAATCTCTGTGTAAAAACTCTTGTCGCGATTGAAGTGGAAAATTTTGTATTCGTGGGTCATGTGGAAAGGTTATGTTGCATGACAAGAATCTAGCGCGCTAAATATACTCCACGAGGCTAGTGTCCTCTTAGATATACGAGGCTACCTACTTTACTCAACTTCAATGCTCCACATCTAGTGTCAAATTTCGGTCTACGTTCTCTACTTGGTAGAAATCAACAAAGGAGGGCTGTGTCTAAAAACAGATACTTGTCTGCTATTACTTGGGCGTTTGCGTTGGTGTTTTGATGAGGTATGGGTTCATTATCAACAGGATCTCCGATTACGGAACTAATAGTTTTCGAAATAGAATGCGCAATAAAACTTGGTCGATTATGTCTTCTAAATCTCCAACACCAGACTTTTCAGCCCTCACAATGGTCGATCAAACATCATCGAGAGCGGGACCTCGAAGCAATACTCACGATGTTGCGCCAAGAGACGCCCAAAGGCTTCGACAATAATATAGCCATGGCAGCCATGCTCGAAGCGGTAGGTAATCCGTATAGAATTACGCAACCAGAGATTGCGGAAATCCAAACAATACAAGCAAGCTCTAACGAGTGTTCAGGGGAAAGCGCAACTCTTGGCGAGCTTGTGGTCAGCCATGGTGTCAGCACCTCTTCTACTCCTGGATGCACCACAGCCAGAGCTTCCGAGCCACCCCAGCTTTCCTGCTCAAGGATAGTGGAAGTTCCTCCTCCAGTTAACGAGAGTCCTCTGGGTAGTTGCGATCATTGGTAATGTTCTTCTGGCCATCTGCTCCCTCCTCCTTTATCTTAAGAGCATTTTCGATTTCTTAGTGGCCCACGCCCAAACGAAATTAAGCACCAACAACCTCAAGAGCTATATACCTTGCCTCAGAACGAAACTTTCGCGTACCATCTCTTTCGGTTCATTTTATCGCACCTTTGCCATGTCAACTCTTACAAAGTCTCAACAATCATACGCGGTATACAACGCAAACACCCAAATAATGGCAATATTGGAACATGGGCTCCTGATAATTATCCTCGCACAAACGATAATGATGGGTATGGATATCGGGATCGAACATCTGGCTATTAGCCACTGCTGCTTCTGGCTTTTGATCGGAGATCAATGCTTGGTTGTCTTGTTGGGCGGTGGTCCTGATACCCCTTCCCACACCTTCCTCTTGAGTTGAGACAAGAGATGTGGCGTCAAACTTTTCCCGCTTCTCGAGTGGTAGAAATTGACCATTGTGGACAAACAGGAGCATGGTACTGCCCCAAGGAGAGCCAGAGTGTTGCTTCGGTCCTCTTGTACGTCAATCATGAATCCAGAGCGCACTTCTTGAGATCCTGGAAGCCTTTCCTAAGACAACTCCCAAGCTGCGACGTGGATTATACTGGCCAGGAATGCCCTTTTCATAATATTACAGATGTCACTCCAATCACCTACTTCAATTCGGATATCGATGTTCTACATCAGCGCGAGCTGTGAAGACTGGGCCAATACTATGCCAGGTATTTCAAATCCGGACTTTAGATTGAGACGCTCTGCGGCTCTTATCAATCTGCGATAAATTGCTTGTAGCTATCATTGTGCAAGCTCGACACTCAACCTCCAACAGCAATTCAAGAATTTAAATTCGATCCAGCTCATTTTTGAAGATTTCAGGCAGACACGCATGAGGCCGAATGGTGAACTATGCATCATCGAATATGGTGGAGCTGAGGACTGCAATGGATAGCTTCAGGGCGAAGTCGAGAGAGAGTTGGCAGGGCACATCACGGTACCAGTTGAGATCAAGAGTATGTCGCGTAGTGCCAGGACAGAGGATGACTATATCGAGGGCTTCGAGGACGAGGATTGAACTGATGGCAATGATGGAGGATTATGAGTCGCAGTCCAGGACAATACTTGAGGAACTGTGTCGTGACAAGACAAGGCAGCAAGGAGAGCACAGCTCGGAGGATAGTTTTACATAAGGATCATAGTCTTGCGTATACAGTAGCATAAATGGCATGGCGAAAGCGTTTTTCTTCATCTCAGACTTCTCTCCTTGCACCATCTCTTGTCGAATAGGTGTAACACTCGAATTCTCCTTCGTTCGGTTCTCTTTGTTATCGAGATTGACATGTTCAGCGTCAGTGTAGCGAGAAGTGGTTGACAAGCACATGAAATACAGCAGACGTAAGTTCAGTACCGATTACAAGGAATCTGCAGCCAATCTCACTCGCAGAATTCCTCCGGCAGCCCAGCGAAGAGTCCTGAAATCTTACGCCTTTCCAGAAGCTAGAAGATCGATCTCCGGTGAATAGCGTTCGAGAACCCCGATTGCCAAACCAGTCCTGGCTCTTGGGTTCTCAGTGCGTTCATGGGTCTCTACAATGTTAGAGAATGGCGACTGACATTGAGAGATAAGCAGAAAGCAACAACAAAAGGACAGCCCTCTCTCTTGCCGAGAGAGAGCCGCCGCAAGATCGTTCTATTCAAAGGTGAGCAAGACAAAGCAGAAGAAAATACTGATCATTTAACAAAGATCACAACGAAGCACAACGGAACCATGATCTGGACGAGTATTATACAAGATCGAATACATTATTCACAGCTCTGTCTACGCCATCAATACAAGTCGTCATACAAAGCTTGCTTATACCCAGGCAAAGCCTTCAGCACCGGAGCCTGCGCAAGCTGTTTGATTTTCCTTCTTTTGATCTTATCCCATCTCTTGGTCGCTACAACTTGGATCAACCTTGGCATATCCACAGTCGAAGAGTGCCGGCCATCAAATGCTTTATCAAGCTGTTTGATAACCATGCTCAACTTTCCTTGCATCCTCCGCTTCGCGAGGCGATTGTACAACTTCGAGGACCGTCCGGGACCATAGTAGGTGATGAAGCGATTCATTAAGGCTTTTCTGATGGTGGGTCCGTGGATGTGAACGCCTCGATGGTGCAGAAGTTTTAATATATCGATGCCAGAAGTGATGTCTGGTAGCGACGAATCTGGCAGGCGGACATACGAATGTCTTGGATTAATGGTGCTAGGATTTTTTCGAAGGTTGGTGATAAAACCCCATTCGACGACGGCTCGTTGGAAGTCTCGATTGAACAGAATCTTAAGAGGGTGAAGAGGGTGACTGGTAGAAACTGATCTTGGCACGTAATTGTGACGTGTTTTAGGCAATCGACTTCCAGAAGAATACCACATCGTGAGGAATAGGACAAGGGAACGAAGATCGTTAAACCTGCCAAGCATGCCAAGGCGGCGGAGAATTTCCCGCCAATGGATGACAGGGATGGAGGTGCTAGATTCCATGACTTCCTTTAGAAGGGCAACACATTCATATATATCGTCGTGCTTCCTCCCGTTCGTTACCCTGGGCAGGGTGACTGGTCGACTCCCGCGTTGTCGAGGCGTCAATGTGAAACGGATGAGCTGTGATATTGAGTGCGACTTGACTGGACACTTTTCGTCCTTCATCTTGTTCAGCGTCGCTCTGATTCCTTCTTGATCTCCCAGGGCGATTTGGGCTCGTAGCTCGAGATTTCGACTTTCGATCGCTGGGGAGTGGCTAGCCAAGGATTGTATACACAATGTCCTTCGATATTGGGCCTCGTCTCCAGTTTTTGCAAATGAAGACAGCAGTTCTTCTTGTAGTTTGCTATCTTCGAGTTCATCTGGGTGCTGATCGCTGTTGAGAAGTCCTTCCAAATGATTCCGATGTCCCGATTCTGCGAAGTGTTGAATGGCTCGAGAGTACAAAGAAGTGCCAATAGAGATTCCCAGATCTCGGAGTTGCTCAATTCGAAGCTTGATGGCTTCTGGATCTGACTCTCTGAGAGCAATGGCTTGCAGCGATAGGGGTCCTATTTCTTCCACGCCAAGAGCGTGGACACCATTAATAGCAATATCTAGAGAAATCCAGCACGTTGCGAACCATCTCGCACCCAGATTATCGTTGTATTTCTTGACTGAGATGCTGAAAGTCTTCCCATGAATCAAATTCATCATCTCTCGAGAGATCTTGGTATTGTCTACCAGATACTGTGGTGTGCTCGAGGCGAAAGATACTCCAGCTGCAACAAGACTTCGAGTGACCCGAATAGCGGACCGTGGCTTATAAACAGCTAAGTAATGAATCAAAGGCTCGACAATTCTGGAGGTGCTCGGTAAGTCACCGTTCTCCAATAGGAAGAAGTGCCAATCCATTGCAGTCTCAAAATCTTCCTTTTGGCAAAGCAGAGGAACGACCTTAGAGTACACATTGCGATGGGTATTCTGCATATAGATCTTTTTCAACAAGTCCAGATTTCCACTCTGAAACACAACAAATCGACACATCTCGGCGAAACGAGTTAGCCCTGGAGGATGATTTTGGAACAGACGCTGATGCCACAGAAGGGCTTCAGACGGGTCATTGATGAGGAAGAAACTCATGACATGAGTGTACAACTTGGACCAACGTTTCTTCTCTGTCGTCCAGATATGGTCTGCGTATTTCAAAATCCGGTCCAATACCTGAGGGTCCCGGAACCCGAGATCCAAAAATGCCGACCAAAATCTATCAGCAAGAGTTGAAGTCGTTGGTATCGATACGCCTCTTTGTATGACAGCATTCAGAAACGTCTCAATGCCTTCATCTCCATAGATCCTTTTCCTGTAGTCGAATAAAGCTCCCCATAGATCCATATCATGCTTGTGAGCTTCCGTATCCAAGAGTCTCGTTCTTCTTCCCACAACGTTCGGTACAGCCAGATCTGATTCAAACTCTAATTCAGCATGTGTCCAAGCACGCTCATGCCATTGTCCGTACACGTTGTGCAATCTCAATCTCCGGAAGGCTGCTGGGCGGCTTTCGATAGCAGGCTTATTGGATGCAACTTCAACTATCGACTGCTTCGATAATACCATGGTATCGTTCCTCTTATAGCTCTTGAGCTGCTGAGTTTCGTTGTCTTTGTCCTGGGATTCGTGGTTGTTCTCGAATTGGGCATCTGGTTCCTCCTTTGATTTTGCATGCACCTGCACAACTGCTCCATCTCTACCAGCAGTCCCGCCAAATCTCCTTGGCGGCGTAGAACATCGTCCTGCTTCTGGAGCTTTAACCAAGTGTCGCAGTAGCTTCAAAGAGCTCGGCCTCGAAAGCAGCCTCTGGAGCTTCGGCCTCATCCTTCCTTGATATCAGCACCCAGTTGGCGTCTCTAGTATCTTCCTCCATTGCATATCGTTGCTCGGCGGTCGATGTCGTGGTGAAGCTTGCGCTCGTGAAATTCCAAGCTCCAATCCTCGAAGTTCTCGAAATCTTAGTCATCATCGCGCTAGCGTTTTAGCGCGACAGCTTCTCTCCGAGCTTCAACATCGAACCACCCATTCCGCAGGACAAACAACCTCTCAATCACCACATCTCTTCACGCAGCACCGTCAAAATGGCAGGGTATGTACTCAAACGCATTCCAAACTCTTCGCTATACTTCGTTTCTCTATCCGGGCTCTCGCAGCGACCTTGAGAAGGCCATACGCTCCTCCCGAGAATGGCCTCATTTTCTCAATCCACGAATTGGCTAACAATACCGCAAAACAGCTTCGTCAACCGCGAGAACCGTGTTCCATACTACCAGCGCATGTTCCAGGAGGGAGGACGAAAGCACATTCGTCAATGGAACCAAGTACGTGCTCCACAGGAGATATGGAGGCGAGAGGGGATGTGCTGATTGAATGGAACAGACGTCTAAGAGCAAGATCTTCCTCTACCCATACTACACGGTTCTTTTCGGTGGCTTTGCTGGTATGCTCCCCGACGAATGATCCGAGGAGGAAGGATATTGAAGTGAAGGGCAAGGCTGATTTGATTTGCTACAGGATCGATGTACATGATGGGCCGCATGGTTCTAGGACACAAGACTTGGTTCGGCAAGGGATAGATGCTGCTTAAGATATCTGATGGGTGATCACTCATGAAATGGCGACGAGAAATGGTGGGGAGGACGGATTGTACAGTGCATAAGAGAAAATAGAATTCCCTCGAGTTTACGATGTCCTTTCCTCACGACTACACCTTCGTTTGCGAATCAGATGTATAACCAAGACACAAGTCGCGGGAGAGACAAGACAAAATGCTGAAATCATTGCTGATTTGAGGTATCGTACATCAAGAAGCATATGCTGTTACGAAAGTTCCCAGTTACCCATTTTCTTCTCCATGCTTTTCCTTCCAGATGCCCTATATTAGCCATGCATGTAATGCCCCACTCCAAATACTTCACGACCCACCTCCACTGTCTCTTCTCAATATCTCTGCAACATCGGCATCCAAGCCATCCTCACCCAGGTCAGGAAAGTCATCACCAGAGTTCAGCTTACGCTTCTTGATACTGCCACCACTCGCAGCCGAAGACGTTCGTCCGTAGGAAGTCGAGAGGCTGGAGAGAAGGTCGGATCCCGGGAGAGCTGGAGGTGGTTTATATTGAGCATAGTCGTTGCCATTGCCGTTGGAAGTATTTAACTCAAACTCCGAGACTGGTTCGGCGACTGGTGGCTGTGGGTAACCTGGCGGTGTCAAAGCCTCCACTTCAGGACGATCTGGTTCCGGTGCAGGAGTGACGGGCGAGTGTTGTGTGCCAGGAGAACCTTCTGCTGCTCCGACTGGTGTACCAGGGTTGCTGTTGCTAGCAAACCCTCGCATGATATTCTCCTCCACATCTCGCTTCTTGTTGTCTATCTCATTACGACGACTAGAAAGCTCCGCAACCTGTGCTTCTTCTGCTGCAAGAGCCGCTCGGTTTGTGTCCAATATCTTCTCCAATCCCTCAATGAGGATCTTTCGTGCCTTAATGCTCTCGGCCACCGCACCCTCCGCGTTTGCCAATGTCTTCAATAGTCCATTGAGTCGAGCTGCGTGTACGGGGGCAGATGGGGAGACGGAAGAAGGGTCGGTGAGTTTGTCGTAATCTTGATTGGCAGCATTGACCGAGGTCTTGGTAGAGAGGACGAGTTTCGATAAATCTTGCTGGGGAGCAATGAGAGGGACGAGTTCGTTCGGCACGGAATTGGGGTTCGCAGAGAAGATGGAGCCGCCCCCCACACGCTTGCCAGAAGACCGAGACTTGTCGAGTTCTAAGAATGTTAGATTGTGCTGGAACATTTGGACTATGCATCGTACCATCAATCCTAGCCTCAATTGCCTCCTGAATGGGAATCTCGAAAATTTGACGTTGTCTCCAGACTTCAACTACTCTCCTCAACTTCTGCTGTACCTCGTTTGCGGCTCCTTTGTATGCGGTGGCTGTAGCCTCGGCGATGACTGGGGAGAATGCGATCAAGAAATCATCCTTGCGACGAGCTTTCGATTGTTGGGCCACCTCTATATTGGCAAATGAAATTAGCAGACATACTCCCAATTCGTACTCGAAAGTCCTCGGAGATGAAGCCATGAGGAATGTTAAGAGAGCTTACCATTGGCAAGATAAATCAAATTGAGTCTCTTGTTGCTTCCAGAATCTTTAAGCCGCTGCAGCCAGAGCTGTCCCGTTCGATCTGCATGCCTCCTATTGTGCAATCAGCATCCGAAATGAGCGGTGTGAAGCGTTTGCAAACCTATGGAACATAACCCATTGAGCAACCGTGACCTACAGCTTGTTAGTAGAGCTCGCCCGCGCGAGCAGGACCAACTTACGATACTTTCTTGCGTCTCATTGAGAGCTGACAGTTTGGCTAACACAGCATCATCCGTGTACGCCATATTGATCAAGTTGTTTGGATGTTTATGATACGGGCAACAGTCAAGTAGGTTGTCGTGTGAGCACTTCAAGGGCGGCTTGTTGACCTCGCTTTTGCGTGTTTTACAGAGATTGCTCTTGCTCAAGGGTTCTGGGATCACGCAGTAGTTGCCGAAGATAACCACCGACTGGACAACAATGTTAATCAATGACCACTAGAGCTTCGCAGAGTTGTTTGCGATTTCACCACAGCTGGTTGAGACTGACTTGGAAATTCTGAGGTTATCCGATGTTGGATCAGGCACAGAAAGAGCTTGGTATTTTAGCGCCTACTAGCGTGACTGTCCCGTGACCGGTCACCTCTTCAAGCTCCACGATGCCGAATGTTTTATCTTTCCTTCACCGACTTTGAACGTTTTTGAATGTGATATGCACGACTGTGTATCGTTACATATATCTTGTTGTTGTTTCTGGGCATTGGACGTAACCGCTTTCCGACCAGCACACCTTCAAGCGCCTGTTCATAGCAATCCTTGCCAACAACGTGTCAGCGTTCCGTCCGTACTTCGTTCCTCCTTTCTCTTTAAATAGTGCCGTTCGAATCTCTGCCGCTTCAAAACTCTGATTCCTCGTTGGGTATTTTCGGGAATTCGAATTTGGTTGTCATGCACAAACTGCATTGGTGTTCTATTAGATAAACATCTTCGAGTGCAAGGCAAGATGGAGGATCCCCAAGTGCAACGAGTTCTGGGCACTATCTATTCAGCAACTCACTTCACACCCATGGAGCACAGATTGTTGTCATCATTCGTAAAACATTCTGTCGATCCAAAATCTACTGCTGCCTATCTGCTCAAAAGAACATCTTCGAGATCGGGAACGGAAGACGCTGTTGAACTGGAGCTGCGATGCGTCTTAGAAGACTGGAAGACTCTAGTTGAGATGGGTGAATTCGTCTCATCCAAGATCAGATCTCCGCTAACTTGTTTCTAGTTAGATGCCCAACTTCCCCGTCTTTTAGCCTTTCTTGGTATATCACGAAACGAGACAGAGGTATGTGTTGTCTGACACGCAAGTCACGATTGTGGTGGGATGTTTTTGGCTGGAGTCGAACGCAAGTCGTTAGCATCATCCCAGAGAAGTTTCTTTTGGTGGTGCTCGACTATGCACAATATGTAAGTGACTCGAGGAAGAGTGCGCTGATAGCTGATCTTTGTCAGGCCCATCTGCGAGAATTACTATTGGTCTTCCTCACTGAGGACCAATTTCAGCTTCTTAGATCGACGTTCGCACGGGAAAGTCCATGCAGGAACCATTGGACTTTGGCGCCAGATGCCGCTGCAGCATTCAGAGAGGGGTTGTTGTACTTGGCACCATCGTGGGACATTCAACGGCAGCCGAGCGAGGACTTGAAGCGAAATTGTTTGGTAACGGCAGACTTGCTTCTCAATTTTGAATGCTGAACTAACATTATGGTCACAGTATATCTTATATAATACTATGCCTATTGCGACATCTTTGCCAACTTCAAGCGATGGCCAAGTCTTACGATCTGGAAGCTGGGTCGAGATGGAAACCATTGACGAAGGCTCTTTCCCACTGCCCAGTGCTTGCTTCTTTGGCATACACCAGCGCTTCTGCAACTCTCTTCGGGCATTACAAATTGATCGAGAACTATCGCGTAGGTGGCAGCCTCTAGGGGTCACTCGGTGGCTCTCCGTGACGCTTGGAGCCTGTTCATCTCGAGTCTTTCCATTGATTAGACGACTGTGGAGTTATTTCCCGCGCCGAGGTCGCATCTGGGTGTACAGATCACTCATCGATGCGGGCGTCAGACTATATGGAAAAGCGAACCCGTGGACCCAGCAAGTACCATTCGGGCTCTACATCAAACATGGAAAAGGGAAGCTCATCCCTAGAGGTGAAGGGCCGGCGCTTCGTCTTGTCGAGAAATCTACCGACATACCAGCGCCTAGACTTGTCGAAACACTCGTTGATGGCGATTATACATACTTGGTCATGACTCGGCTCCCCGGAAAGCCGCTTATGCAAGCTATCTACACAATGTCGTACCCGGAGCGCAAGCGCCTTGCAAAAGATCTCTCACAATGTATTGCTCAATTAGGCAACATCCCCAACATGAACAAGGCTTCAATTTGTGGTGCAGATGGAGGACCTGTCTTCGATTATCGGCTGAATGGGCGCTTGGCCGGGCCTTTTGAGTCCGAGGCTGAGTTCAACAACTTCATCATAACTCAAGACCGCCTGCGAAGCCCAACACACGATTGTCATCACAGGATCTGTTTCACGCATGCAGACCTCAATCCGAACAATATCCTGGTTGAATCTGGACGCCTTTCTGGTATTGTTGATTTCGGATGCGCGGGGTATTTCCCAGAGTACTGGGAGTACACCAAAGCCATTTCAGTACCCCTGGCCTCGACTTATCGTTCGTTCACTTGTTCCAAGACACATTCGGAGAATTCCCTCCCTTTATGAACGAGAACTTCCTACGTTCAAGAGCAGATGTCCAGCATTTGCAGGGACATTTGTCATTGACCAATACAAGCTGTACCCCGAGAATGCCGATTTTGACTTCAAGAAGTGCGTGCTGTATCTTGGGTGAGTTCATTCAACATGTATTTCGGGAATCGTTGAGTTTTATCGAAATACTTATGAATTGCCTAAACTAGGTGCATCTGGAACGGAATCTACGACCCCTACAAAAACATAATGATCGACGTTCTAGAATTTCCGGGCATCTCTCACAACCCAGAATGCCATATCGGCGGCGTAGGCGTCGACCAAGCCTCTGGGCTTCTCTCCATCGTCGTTGACGCCGGCGAAGCCTTCACCTCGAGTGGAGCCAACATCCCAGGCACGAACTGGATCATACAATGGGATCCCGTAACGAAAGAAGTGCTCTACCAACTCAACATAACCAAAACCGTGGATGGCAAGTATGGTGGGTATCAAGATGTTGAACAGGACCCCGAGGGTAATGTGTACGTGGTTGGTACTTATCCCAGCAGCATCTTGAAAGTACACACGGATGGCAAAACTGTGACGCCGTGGTATCTTTCACCGCCACCAGTCGTCTCGACTGATACTGGCTACTGTGGTCTGGCGGCCAAAGGATGGCTACTCCTTGCAAATGACGGTGGGGCTGGGAATATCGTCAGGTTTGATATGCGTGAAGAGAAGGGGGTTCCTGTTGTTGTTCCACTCCAGCCGAACACAACTCTCATAGGAACTGACGCTATTTACTTCCCACCAAGATATGAAGGCACGGTGGCGTTGGTTGCACAAGATTTGACCGGAATTGCTGTCTTGAGGTCAAGGGACGGAGAATGGCATTGGGCAGAATTTTTGGGAATCGTACCGAATGAGTTGAATGGAACTTTTGCAGTTGCTCCTGTTCAAGTGGGTGAAGGGCTATATATTGTTGCATTGGCTTATGTTGATGTTAATACGCCAGGAAGTACGTCTGGGAATCGAACATTGTTTCCGTTTGTGGATATTACGGAGCAGGTGGATAAGTTCTTGCTAAGTTGACGCTGGTACATCAACCTGGGAGCCAAAAGGCTAGCATGTACTTACAGAACAAAAATAACACCTTTATTTCGTCATTAAACTTCTACGTATATCAGGCGGGTGAAGAGAAGTCGACAAAAGACGATTTTCTGAAGTATATGAGCATCTATTCATTATCTAAACACCACGCCATGTATTTTGTTCCCCTCAACGCCAATCCTATAACAAAAAACGTAAACTAACTACCAGAATCGACAACCTCCGCAAACCATTGTCTAAGCAAAGTCGCCAAAACGCCCGGCAACTCCTTGACGTCCCCAACCACAATATAATACTGGAACGGGAAGCTATCAAGATATCTACTCATGTGAAGCTTCCCCTTCACAAACGTAGCTTGCTGCAAATCCAGCACACTCTCTCCCTTCTTCTTCTCCTTGACGTTGTCGATGATGATGAAGACCATCATGATTCGTTCTTCGAGTGCCTCGCGCAAGAGTCGGCGGATGGTATCGTGTTCGGAGGAATTGCAGACTCCGTCTGAGATGATGAGTTGCATCTGCCAGAGATCAGCAGGGCTACCGCTCGCTTTCTGTCGTGCCGTGCGGAACAACTCGATGCTGTCCTTCACCAGTCTGGTGACGTCCGTACGACCTTGATCGAAACCAAAGTTTTGAAACACCTTGGGACCAGCATCGGAGCTGAATGGGGCATCGAACTCATGTGCCACTTTGACTGTTTCTCCAAAGCCCACAACGCAGATCTGTCCGACTTCAAGCATGCTCAAACTCTTTGAAACCATGACGAGTGTTTCCATAGCAAGTGATCCGCTACCACTCTCGCCCATGCTCTTGCTGTCATCCACGGCAAGCATGATCTGGTAGCTGCGCTTAGAGGGAACGCTACGCCGCATCCAGATCTTATCACGCTTATACTGAGATGCGATGTATGGGATAATTCTCTTGATGTTTAGACGCTTTCCAGTACGGAAGTCACCACGCATCTTGGTGGCGAGAGTAGGAGCAAGTATCAAACGTAGTTGCTCGGTGAGAGAAAGTGAGAGGTCACGGGTGACAGCCTCGTAGTGTGTCCACTGCTGACGAGCTTCAGCTGCAGAACGGAGATTGACGTCCAGGGAGTCCAAATGGGTGCTTTCGAGCTGATTATCCACATCCTCCACTTCTTCATCAAGATCGTCTTGAATATGGGCGCGTGTATCTTTAGGATCTGCAAGATCTTGATTGGCTTGCTTGATCATGGCTCCTGCTCGACCTTCATATGCATCAGATGGCTCTTGCTCTTTAGGCGTAGTAGCATCCTCGATATCCATGACATCGTCATGCTGGACTTCGTCGTTCTCTACCTCGTCTGGTTGGAATTGATCCGGCAAGTCCTTACTGTCTTGGTCAATGGCCATAGATTCGTCGAGAGCATGGGCTTGATCTTCTGTAGCAGTTCCCAGAGCTTGGGCATCAGGTTCTGCATCTTCATCTTGTAAATGCTGGAACTCTGAAGCATCATTGTCTGTCTCAGGCTTTTGATCTTTTCCTTGTTCTTTCTGCTCAGCTGGCTCACGGATCTTTGTTTGTTGTCGATGCCATCGTTCGAGAGCATCGCCAAGTTTCTTGAAAGGCTGAGCATCGGTACTATCTTGCGTCTCATCCTGTGAATCCTGAGGAGCTTCACCATTTGCCTGACGACCCTTTTCACCATCTTCAGCAGCAGAGTCTTTTTGCTCGGATGAGTCTCCACCTTTGCCACCATCCTCGCGTTGTGCTTTGCTTGTAGACTCGTTCTGGTCGTTGGAATTTTCGTCTTGATCTTCCCCGACTCCTTGGACATCGCTTGGTACTGCATTTTCGGTATCAGCATTGGCATCATCGTCTCGTTCTCGGAGCAGGCCATTTTGGTCTTCAGGTTGCTGTTCCTCTATATCCTCTTCGGCTTTCTCGCCGGCTTCTTCGGTGGCCTCGCCCGGAATTTCGGGCTCCTCCTCGAGATCAACGACATCCATGTCATCATCTGGCTGCTGATCTTCTTGTGCATCAACATCTTCGCCATCTCCTTCGTCCTTTCCGTCATTCACAACATCCTCTCCTGAATTTTCATCTTGTTCCACATCAGACAAATCATTCATCCCGTCATCGCTTCCACCCACGCTTTCACCGTCTTCATTCCCCTCCAACTCCATATCTTCAGGTAAGTCAAGCGTCTCTCCTTCTTGTGCATGTGGGTCATGCTTCTCAACCTCCTCTTGCTTGACTTCCTCTCCTTGCTCTTCGCCAACCATCTCCTCTTCCTCTTCACCCTCGTTGCCATCGTCTGCCTGACCAGCTTCTTTGTTGCTCTCCTGTGCAGCGGCTGGTTCCTCTTTGCTTGCTTTGCCTTTAGAATCATCGCCTTCTTGATCCTTCTCAGCTTGTTCTCCATCACCATTCCACATCTTCTCATCCACCGCTGTAGGGTCTAGATCATCAACGTCTCCAGCCTCCTCATCCATCTCATCGCCGCTTTCTTCATCCCCTTTCAAATCTTTGTCATCTTCTCCCTTGTCTTCAGCATCACCCATCTGGCCTTCCATATCGCCATCAGCCATATCAACTGCATCTTGTTCGTCCTCGATATCTTCTTTCTCGCCAGTATTGGGTTCCTGGGCAAGTTCATCAAGATCCTCATCGTCTTGAATATCCTTGCTGATATCCTCCGTGCCTTCACCATCACCAAGACCTGTTCCACCTTCAAGCTTCTCAGTCTTGCCGTCTTGCGCATCTGACTTCTCGGAAGGTGTACAGAATCCTTGACTTGCAATATGAATGAAGTTTTTGGCAAGAATGTAGGAAGATTTGCACGTAGCTCGATGCAGTTGCCCGTATCGAGTAATCGCATCCTGCAAGATGTTGAAGTATTGTTGGACGATTGGTTGAGTGACGGCGAATAGAGCCCCTGCTGCTTTGCTTTTGCTGTCGTCTGCAAGATCCAGGTGACGCAGGATCTCAAAAGCTTCCTCGATCTGGTCGTTGACATTCGCGCAATGAAGTGACTTGATACTATCTTCAAGATTGGCATGGCTTTTGATGAGCCAGCTGGGATCTTCGGTTGATGTTGGAATCTCAGCAATAGTCTTCTTGTACTTTTCGATGGCTACCAAGATAGTATCACAGACAGTAGACAGCTTAATGTCAAGATCCTCAAGATCCTTGGAAACCTTACTGTTGATAACGGAAGAGGAGGTGGTGTTTGTCCAAGGAAGAATTTGATCCACAATGAAAGCGAGGTCAGGTCGATCGCGGCTCATAGTCTCCAGATCTTCTTGAACGAGGATGACATTTTGGTCGAGCGTTTCTTGTAGCTCCAATTGGTCTGTAGAAGTGACGAGCGAGGGGAACTTGCAGAGATTAACCCACGTCTCTGCCCACTCAACAAATTTCTCTCTCCAGGTGAGGAGGTTGTCTGTGATACTTTGAGATTCCTTCTTTCCAAGCTTAGAATGAATCCTAACAAGCTCTAGCGCCACAGACAGAATGCTTGGTAGCCATCTGAGTAGATTTTCGTGGCCAGAAAAGGCTTGCAAGTGTCGAATGCTGTACCTGTCTCCGGCCCAAAGTCTTTTACTTATTTCAATAGGGACTTGCAGCTTCGTCATATTCTGAACATTGATTGACAGTGAGTTTCTTTGAACAAGCAAGGTTTGCAGTAGACCTTCTAGGAAACCAATACTTCGTGCGATCTCAGCACTGCTCAAATCTTCAGAGTGTTGCCTGACTGAAACTCTCGCCTTCTGTGCTAGATCAACAGCCTTATGAAAGTAGTACTCCAGTCCGGGAATATCAAGCTCAGGCAGATGCCCTGCATTGGCAAGAACTAGGGAAAGGGAGTCTTGACGAGCCAAAGCATCTACCCCGAGATTGTAGTTGATGCCCATCAGTCTCAGCTCTTTGAGAGTATCAGCGAAGAGTTTGCGTTTCCTTGACTTCAAATGCTTGACAGTAACCTTGTTGTCTTCGGTGAGAACAGAGGGTGTGGCCTTTTGCAGCTCGGCGATTGAGTCGATGATATTTGCCAGGAACGAGTCAAGGTATGAAGATCCATATAGAGCAGAGCCTGGCAAAGTGCTAGCGGTCTTCATCATGCTGACGGTAGTGTCTACATTGACGAAACGTTTGGCCTTCTGCGTCCAGCTGGGTACCGTCGAACTACAAACAGTAAGGGCCGATTGATCAACGGAAGGCTGTACTTGTTGACCAAGAACTTCTAATCCATCTGGAAAGGTCTGATCAGGAAGCCCTTGCTTCAGGATTGATTCCATTGGCTGGTCGAGGAGAGCTCTGAATTTTCGTACGATCTTGAAAAGCTTGTGATGAGATCTCTTGGCACTGTCTCTAAGCGCAACGATGTTCGTGTCTTTCCAGCTAGCAAGTAACAACACATCTCGCATGGATTTCTCCAGACTCAACTTCCCTTTCTTGAGGTTCTCCAGAACAGGACCCTCGTACCTCTTATACAATGCAATGAAGTTTGCAAGTGCATCGCGGATGATTGAGATATTCGGAGTGTCCAGCATGAGAAGTTCGAGGTGCTTCTGGAGTTGCTTCAATAGTTGAATGCGTTGCACATACTGTCCCATAATGGCAGTAGAGAAGTACAATTCCAGATCTTTCAGAAGCTTCTGAGCATATGACCTCAATTCTTCTGGTGACTCGGACATCTGAAGTGGTGCTGCTATGACAACTTCGTAAGCAACAAACCACCACGACTTGGCATCCTCTTCGCACTTCTTTGTCTCGGTATCAAACAGCTTGGCCCATGTTGAAAGCTCCAGTCTTCGCCAGCTCACAATCGTTGCAGTCAAATTGTCGTATTGAGTAAGAGCTGAATTGGCACGACTAGCCCAGCCCCCAAATTGCCATTCATGCATGAAAGTATGAATCTTCTCAACTTTTGTGATGATCTTCGAAAGAGGCTCAGTATGTCTGAATTGTAGTAACTCGCGACATGAGGCCAGAACATCAGCAAGTGGCTGCATGTGACCGATCTCATCAACAGCTTGAAGTTGCCTGAATCTTGCCTGAATCTGGTGAACGAGAGTGACAAGTTTCCGAGCTTCTGGTAGATTTGCATCGCTGTAGAAGTTGTATGAGGATGGAAGGCTCGCCTTGGGGTCCAAAGCCTCGATCCTATCGTCCAAAAGTAGCAATGTACCAGGGAGGAGATCTTTTGTCGTCTTCTGATCTTGAGATTCAGGGTTGTCCTGGTATGATGAGCCAATCTTCTTTGATATGTTCCGAATGAGACTCAATATGCTGTCAGCGGGTTGGCCTTGCCCTAGAAAGATGGCACCATGGAGTTTGGAGACTTGAACAGCAGTATCACGAACGATACCTGTTGGCGAAGTGCCAGCCTTGGCATCAGTGTCGTCCTCATCGTAGGCTGGAAAGAGCTCATTGAAGGCCTCCTGGTCATCTTCGTCCTCGTCTTCAGCGCTGCCTCGAAATCGATACAAGCCTGATTTGGATTCTGCTTCTGCTCTATCCGTCTCCAGCTTTTGCTTCCACTGTTCGTAACAACTATGAAAAGCTTTCAGGAGAGATTGTCGTGCATCGATATTGAAAGAAGACAACTTCTCGACAGTTGCAGTTGTTGCCATCAGACTTAGGAATTCCATTGGCTTTTCGGAGATGAGTTCAGCGGGGGCCTGTGTTGGGCTACCACCAAGAAAAGGGGTCACTCGACTCGAAGCCAAATAACTTCCAGTTTCAGACGTATCCGAGTTATCCTCTACATGGGTAAGAATTGCCATGAATAGACCCAGTTGAAGGCATCGAAGCATGCTCGCCACCGGAGCAGTGATATCGTTATATGCGCGGTAACGCTCAGAGAGCCGGCGAATGATTTGAGCAACATTGTGCTGAAGAAGTCGAAGCTGCTGCAGAAGTGATTTGCTGCCAGAAGTGAAATACTCGGAGAGTACATCAGGAATTGACGTCGATCCGAGGAGCACCTTTAACAAATTGGTGAATTCGCCCTGTAGTTGATCCATCTCAGAGATTTCAGGTCGATAGATTTCCTGCAAGATCTTTGGGGGTTCTCCCAGCTCGTCGATCTTCTTTGCCAGCAATTGGCATCTGAGATTGGAATTTTGGCCAGTGAACAGCGCTTCAAAGGCTTTGAGAGCATCGAGTCGGTTGTGAAGCTCTTGGCGGTATTCTTCGTGATATTTTCGCTCAAGTCTTTGTCTCTTGTCTGGGTCGAAAGCTCGATCTGGGACGTAGAGTTTGACTGTACCAATTGCAAAGTGAACCCACGCAAGTGAAGAAAATTGGAGCCTCTTTGCTGACTGAGAAGGTGCAGCATGCATGCACAGGACTGCTTTGTTGTAGTGATTGTTGAGCACCTCCTGTAAGTGCTGGGGTGCTCCTGGAATCGACAGCTTAACATCTCCGAGCACAGAGGTTGCCAGCGTTAGGCCAAGCACGTCACAGTCGATCGCCGAAGTGTAATCTTGAAGAAGACGTGCGTAAGTAGCATTGGGCGGAGTGTCATGCATGTCGACAACACGAACGATGAGGTTGGAGAGAATTCCGTCAAGATCCAGAATCTGATCGCGGGAAAGAACAGCACTAGAGGTAATCAACTCCTCTCCCAACATTGGTAGTTCTGATTCGAGGAGCTTCAGTGACTGAAGATTAACCTCAGTGATACCACCAATCTTCTTGAGAAGGTCTTGAGTGAGAGTTCCCACGACAGGAGTAAGGTTTGTTGCGGTGCCCCAGAGATAGTCGACCATCTGAAGCGGACCAGCAGACGCCCCCAATCTCATCTCGAGCGGCGTGGGAGAGTTCGCTAATACAGCTGTTTGTAGGTCGAGAGATTGACCGCCGTCGCTGTCATTGGTTCGCATGCAGGCGATTGTCTGAAATTGTCGCAAAGCTACAAATTGGCAAGCGAAGAACGGCGTTACAACATCTTCGTTGCTCCCAATGCTCGGCTCCAGGTTCTTCAACTCAGTGTCAAGGATGCTTAAGAGAGTTTGTCCATCGACATCACTCGTGAGCACGAGTCCGTATGCTTTCACCAGAGACACCATGACGTTCCCTAATTCGTTGACGGATATCGAGCTCCTCCAACGCAAAGCATCAAATCGGACAGCTAGGTCTTCCAGTTGGGCAAGTGTCTCCATGGTTTGAAGATTAGACATGACTACAGGTCGAAGACCTCTCCAGAGTACCTCCAGACTCAAGCCAGTGGTGAGTTTGAATCCAGAGGAAAAGGCAGTCTGCATGTTTTCTTGAACGATTTGAACCACGCCGCCCATAATATTATCTCCAGATAGACCCTTCAAAGCGTCTGTCTCAAGAGCCAAGTGGGCTTGGAAAGTTGCCTCCTCAAAGTTGGATAAGATGGACAAAGCAAAGGTTCTTGACCACAAAAGAAGCAATGCTTCAAGAGTATCTTGTCGGGATTTCCAATCGTTGGCGTCGTAAAAATAATTCCGCAGGAAATGTTGAAGTGTATTCAATAAGTTATCGAGGAACCTCGAGATATTGACGGTTGAGTCCTTCGAAACCGCAGATACTCGATCTTTTACCAATGATCTTTGGAGTCTGTTCATCTGACTTGGCTTCAACGTCTCGACTCCAAGTTCTTGGGACTTGAGAGCGTGCACGCCATGGCGGATTAGAATAAAATGGTCGAAGACAGTTGCAGACCAATAGACTTTCTCAATACTCTGGGACTTTGCTAAGAGAGGTACCAATGGAGAGTTCTGGAGAGGATGGATAATCTGATTCATTGCGTCTATCAGTAAACTAGCTACCAGCGGAGGAACAGCACGGTGACTAACCTGTGCATTGCCAAATCCTGCAGGTGCCAAGCTCGAGTCCTTTGCGACTGCCATAAACATGTCTTCGACTTCACGTCTCACAGGTGTGTTTCGCAAGTTTTCAAGCACATGTAGATAGGCTTCCAAGACACCGATAGTAGTCTTGCCACATTTCGCCGATATGACTTGACCGAAGCAGGTAAAGAAGCGTCGTAGGAGCGGTGCGTCGGACCATGAAAGGTTCTCCAATGCAACAGCAAGCAGTTTGGGGGCCAGTGAGGATTCTTGCATACTTTCTAGGGTATCTAGTAGCTGCTGATACCTCTCTAACTGTGCTTCTGGTTTTAAACCTGGTGTGATGATGCTTTGCTCAGCATCAGGGTTCACGAAGATTTCAATGGCACGATTTCTCATGGCTCGAGATAGTTCTCCAAACCTTGCGTCCATAGTCAAAAATATCCTGAAATCCGGATGTGGCTTGACAGTCTTTGGTTCCCCGTCAGGACCACAATGCTCATTGATGCTGAGGAAGCCGTTTGGCTCCAGAAGAGAGTTTAGTCTGTCAAGAACAGAAGCACTGCAGAGATTAGCATTGTCGAGAACAAGCCACTGGCCTTGTTCGAGTGCCTTGACGAGTGCCCCATCGACCCATTCGAAACGAGCGTTTTCGAGTGCCATTGGTGCCTCTGAGAACTGCTGGCAAGTAGCTGCCAGGGTTCCAAATTTTGGCAACGAGGTCTTGGTCTGCAAGGAACGGAGATGAGAGGCGATCTCAGAGAATTGAGTCTGCGAACGATCATCATTGGATCCAAGAAGCTCTAAGATACTGAGTGCTTCATCTGGAACCTCATTGGGCAGAGACGCTAGAACTCTAGTGGAGATAAAAGCTCGCAGCTCTTCAAGGAAAGTGCCAGCAGCACGTTGAGGATCAACTTGTTCAAAGCCACCCACCAAGTCCATTGTATCGATATCAGCGTTCAGTGGAAAGACGACCAATGACTTCCCACTCATTGCGGCAACATGCTCGATGATTGTCGTCTTACCACAGCCCGATGGGCCAACAAGAATACAAGGCAGATTCTGTTGTATGCAGATCATGATAAATTCAAGTTCTGGCAGATGAATTTTGACCTCGGGTTCAGGGAATGGAAGACGCTGCACCAACCGGTCTCGCGGTAAGTAGGCAATACCAACCTGGTATGAAGATGCGCTCGTATTGTGGAAGAAATGCCGGAACGGGACTTCGGTGTTAAAGACCTCTGAAAATAGTCGGTCAACCTCACTGCGGTCTCTGAGACTTCTGAAACGTTGTCGAAAAATAAGGCTCAAGAAGTCCGAGGGGCTTGCAGCTCCAAGGAATGGGGCAGAAGATGAGAGAAGTTGCAGCCAGCGGAGGATATCGCGCAGGTTGAATTCCCACGGACCACCTTGTGAGCCAAATCGACGTTGATAGACGATTTCTTGTTCGAGTTGGGAGACGAATACAATCATTGAATTGAGGGTAGCGCTGGCGACATTTGGGAAGTTATGTCTGCAAATTAGTTGAAGATCGTCATTTCTAAAAACGTCAGCATAGACAACAGTAAATCGATTGACGAAGGAAGCGGGTAATCCTTTTCGTCCACCTCCTTGGTGATGTGGATTCTGGGCGGCAAAGACGGAGAAGCTGGGATGGAGTTTGAAGGTTTGGTCGAGTTCGGAGATGTACACCTCCCCACGATGATCAAGACATGCGTTCAAGCCTTCCAGGACGGACTGTGATGCAAGATTCATCTCGTCAAGGAGGACCCATTCGCCTCTTTGCATGGCTTGCAGGAAAGGCGCATCTCGCCAGGCGAAGTGACCTGCCTCGGCACCTTCAACAGGAGTGTCAGAGCCGAACAGATCCATAAGATCAGTTTGCTCTGAGAGATTGATTCGAGTGAGTGGTCTGTTGCAGGCACGAGCGAGTGCAGAGATCAGCGTAGTTTTTCCAACGCCAGGACTGCCCTCAATCAAGATGGGCTTTTGAACCTGAAGAGCTCTTAGGACTCTCATGGCGTTCAATTTTGTCGTGGGTGCCTCGAAAGCGAAAGTAGAGTCGATGTCTGCTCCAGCCATTTTGGAAATTGAGAAGTTGCCGATAGTCAGGGAATGTTCTTCGTGCACCAGAGCTACTGGCTGAGAGTAGATCAGACTAACATCGTAGCCCAAAAGTGTGCTTAATTGTTGCAAACACTTAGCTCGCTCCTGTTGAACAGTATCGGGATTGATAGCGAGTAAAGCAGCTGGATTCGCACCGAGGGTGTCTATGTAGACCATTGAGGCACCATGTAGGATCGGAAAGTAGGGATCAGAAGCATTAGAAATGTTGATGAATTTGACCCAGGCTAGAACGTCTCGAACGGAGATTGATGTGGAAGCTGAAGATCGATATGTCTCCCCAAACCATTCCGCAAAATGCACCATAGCTTTGGCAAATGGCTTGAAATTGTTTTCCAGCTTGGCCTCAACGATCTGGAAGACATCTTCGTGCTCAGAAAGAGATGGAACCCAAATCTCAGTGAAACGATTTCGTAGAGCTGGGGAAAGTTCACGCTTTCCATAATCACCACCTGGATTCATGGTTGCGAAGAATTGAAAGCCGTCTGCTGCCTGGACGAAAGAGTTTTCGACGCCTTTCTCTGCCAGCAGAATCGTCCTCTGCGTCTCAAGAACAGAATTTAATCTTTCTAAAACAGAATCGTCTGCTAGAGAGATTTCATCTAGAAGGAAAAAGGAACCATCTCTCAAAGCTTGAACGAGACTTCCATCTGACCATTCAAAAAGCGCCTTCGCCTTGATCTGTAGTAGCCTAATCCGAGCAAGAAGATCATGGGGCGCCCGGGCTAGATCTGAATCTGGTAGTGACTGGAATTTTGCGTGCAGCGAATCATCGTCGTCCTGATCTGTCAAAAGGCCGAGGCCATTCAGGAGGACAATCAAGTCTTGCTTCAGCCGCTCAAGGATCGCAGCGCGATTCCGAACTGGTCTTTGAGCACCAATAAGGTCGCCTGTCTCGGTATTTTGATGTGCATTGACAATGTGCAACTCCTTCCCAAATGCGTCTGCAATCATTTGACACACAGTCGTCTTTCCGCAACCAGTCTCGCCTACGAGAAGGACCGGCTCGTTGTTACGAAGGGCGTTAGCGACTAAGACATAGAGTCGCCTCATGGCGTTGGTCCAGACCACTCCTTGAGCATTAGAAGTGGCATTGAAAGCTTTGATCTCGGGCGATAGATCTCCACTGTAAAGTAAGTTTGGGTCGACCTTGACTTTCATGATTCGCTCAATGATTTCCTTGACTGCTGTTCTTTCTGCTGGATTACGTACTCGCTCAGCCAGAAGCATGTATCCGTTCGCGGCGAGTTGTTCCCTATTATCAGCATCGCGAAGAGCCCATCGGAAGAGATCTCTAAGCGTTGCGAAACTGTCTTTCTGTTCGAACAATCGATTCGTCTGTCGCAGTGTTGATAGCTCCTTGTAGACATCTACGATTCTCTTACAATCTGAAGGGGCAACTTTCTGACTTCGATATTCTAGGATTTGCTGTAATTCATCTTGAGGAATGTCATCGAAATGAAGTTCGAGAAAACGATTTCTGAAAGCTCGCGACAATGTCTTTCGACCACCGTACAACCCAGGAGGATTTTGAGTTGCAAACAGCATAAAGTTCTCATGCGGGCGAACGACTTCTTGGGTTTCTGGAATCAGCAATTCTCGATTGTCGTCCAACAGGCGGTTGAGGGCTTCAAGTACATCTGTGGGTGCCAAATTCAGTTCGTCGAGCACGATCCAGTGACCTTTTCGAAGGGCTTGGACGAGTAATCCTTCTTGAAATCGTAGCTGACCATCCACCCCTGAAACATACGTGCCGAGATACTCCTGGAGATCAGTGTGTTCGTGATTGTTTATTCGAACAAACTTGTTGCCACTGTATTTTGCAAGATACTCAATCATACTGGTCTTTCCTGATGAAGTGGGACCTTGGACGAGAACAGGAAACCGTCTTGTAGAAGTGGCACGAACTAGATTGAGGATATTCCGATCAACGGACGGTGTTCGGATGTAATGTGACTGTTCTTCGCGAGGTTCAACACCTTGCAGCATCCAGTACTGTCGATTCTTCTTCTCGTTGGTGAAAGCAACATATCTTCTTCCGTCTTCAGGATGCTTGGGTGTCTGAGATAGAAGTGCTCGAAAGTTTCCATGGCTACTCAACAAGTGGTGATCTATCAAAGGAATAAGTAGTTTCTCTGATTCTCTGTCAAGAAGAGTCAAGAAGCCCATAGCAAAGCCCTCATACAAAGCTCTCCGGAGCCCATACAGAGGAGTGATTTCGTTGACGTAGCTGAGGACGCGAGTGAGAGTTCGAAGACTGAAGTGAGGTACCTGATTTGCTCCGTCAACAAGTCTCTTTTCGTCTGCCAATCTCTTCGTGTTGAGATACAAGCGGGCAACATCATTTGCAGCTCGCTCATCATTGCTGTTATTACCCTTGAGATATGCTTTGATAACTCCGAGTAGATCATCAAGATTTCTGTCGGGACTTTCAACGTAAATCTCGGTAAAGCGGGATCTCAAGCCCATGGGGAGATCTCGTTTCCCAACATCGGTAGCAGGATTCATAGCACCAAAGATACGGAAATCGGGATGTGCTTGAACTCTCTCAATCTCACCAGTCTCAGAGAGCAATATTGAAGGAGAGCCATTAGAGCCATGGTGCAGAAGGTCTGCAATGCTCTCGAGAGTGTCAGGAGACGCCAGATTGATTTCGTCGAGTAAGACCCAGTCACCGTTGCGCACTGCTTTGACAATGTTACCCTCCACGAATGTGAATGCGAAACCTTTTGAGCCGCCAGATAACTGGATGTCGAATTGATCTAAGCTCTGAGAGAACTTGATCCATCTGGGTTTCAATTGCAAGAGAGACTGTAATCTGGACTCAGTCTTCCTACGTTTCATTGGTTGTTCATCAGGCCGACCATTTGCAGCCTCTTTCTTTGACAGCTCGCCAATGATTTTTTCAAACATCTTGGGAGCCTCTCGCCATAACTTTGAAGCTTTGCTCCATTGACCTTTGGCCACGCACTTTCCTAGCTGCTCGAGATATCTTTGGTTCTTGGTTGCAGAGATTCCCGTGGAAGCGAAAAGATCATCGAACTCATCTTTGAGCGGAATAGCGAGGCTTCTGACATTGACAGGCTTGAAGCCACCAAGAAGATCTCCAACTTCGCTTTGCTGAGACAAATTGACAGCTGTAAGCTTGTGACCAAGAACATCAGCAAGTTGTTGTACAACCGTCGTCTTACCAATACCTGTTTCTCCAACAAGCAGAACGGGCTCTGACATCTCAATAGCCACTCCAACTTGTTGCAATAATCGTCTTGCGTGGGTAGTGTTGGCGAACGGTCTCTGTTTTTGACTGGATTTGGTGACTCTCGACCTTTTTGGCAGTCGTACTCTTCCGATGGTCAATTGTTTCTCGGTGTCTTCATACTTTGGGACATGAGCTCCAAAGTAATGTTCAACACGTTGAGGGTCAATATGCATCTCCTCGGCAATGGTATTTATGACCCTCTTTCGGGCGTCATCGGTCTGTAAGCTGCCTGCGAAACAATCGGCGGCTTCCATGAACATTTCGTCCAGTACTGTATCGTTCATGAGCTCCTCGCCGCTAGTGAAACCTGCTGCGATCAACACTCTTTCAAGTCGTCGACTCCATTTCAGAAGATCACGAGAACTGATAGGTCGTCCCAGAGATGTTTTGCTCCTGGAAGCAAAGTCCGTTTGTTTGGATAATTCGCACAATCGTTCGTAGACTTTGATGATTCCAGGGAGAAACTTGTGCAATATCGGATACTGTCCTTCAACAATATCTTTGAACTCATTCTGCGATGGCATCTGCACGGGTACACGATTCCATAATCGAGCACCAAGCATGTGGAGTGCAGGTGGGTTCTCCTTTCCGGTCACGCTGAGCGAAGTTCTGATGGTTGCAAGGAGCCTGAATCCACTACCTGCTTTGATTGTCTCTCCACGACTGGGGATAACGAGTTCACCACGTTCGATCAGAGGCAGGATGACACTGATCACTTCGTTGGGTGCGCGATCTAAATCTTCAATGAAAACCCATCTGCCCTCTCGGACTGCAGTAGTAAGTACACCGGCTCGCCAAGTGAATGAACCTGGTGTAGAGCCACTTGTGTACATTCCGATGAGCATCTTTGCATCGGTCTGTTCGTTGAGATGTAGAGTGACCATCTTCGAGTCCATTCCGAGTTCACGGGCAAAATCGTTGACAAGTGAAGTCTTACCAGAGCCGGCGAGTCCATGAAGAAGGATCGGGAAAGAAGAGAGTAAGGCTTTGGCAAATTGCTCTTGATTCTGACACGTAGTGAGGGTGTGAATGAGGTGTGATTCCTCCAGTGGCGCTCCTCGAGGTCTGGGCAATAGGACGCTGCCATATTGTACTACCAGTGTTGAAAGGTTTTGGGGAAAGAAACTAGGTCTGAATCTCTCTGCCGACCGAAGATCCGCGACGTCTTTGTATCTTCTCTTCTCAAGAAGACTTAAGAAGCCATAATCAAGCAATACACCATCGAAATCACCAGTAACAGCTTCTGTCTTTCCAACATGTTCTTCTAACATGGCTTCCAGTGTACAATCCGCAGCTGAGCATAGCTGACAGAATATCCTGACTGCCAGATATCGTACGCCGCTGTTTGCATGTTGTAGGTAGCTCTGAATGCTGCTGGTGGAAACGGTCGTAGATAATGTCCTCCTGTCGAAGTTCAGAAGGCGAAATGTAGCAAGAAGAATTCGCTGTAGATGAAGTGGTTCCAGTTCTGAGTGCCCTCCATAGTTCCGCTTCAGAAAGCCTATCCTCAATCTCTGTCTTTCATGGCCTGGTCGTGTGGGGAAGGTCTCGAGATATTTCTGCAGAAAAGTCGACAGCTGCGGCGCAAAGGGTAGAACTCGCGCAAAAGCTTCAATTATTCCATTCTTTTGATGTTCTCCATCTCTCATGCCAGTCCATCTTGCGCATGTGTCGGCGAAAAGGTGTTCGTATCTCGTGAAAAGTTTGAGAGTTAACTCGGGCTTCAGTGCTGCAATAGCCAGAGCATCGAGGAACTGCGGGGAGTTTTGCAGTTTAATGATTTCGAGGATTTCTTCTGGTAAGTCCTCTAGACTTCCTTCGATTCCGGGAGTAGGAATTTGCCCGTTCATGTCTTCGTCGGCATTCATTTCGTCGTATTTGTGGATTTCGTGAACCACATTGGTTCTGTTGATTGAACCTCGAACTTTTTTTTATCGCGATAAACTTTCGCTGCACTTTTTGCTGCATGCGCACGGACCAGTTCGACACGCTAAAATTTTGGACATCTCAAAAGTCTACAACACCTTCACACGAGCACCATCTCTACTCTGAATCGTTTTCACCGCTCCCTCACCATGTCGTTATCCTGTCAATCTGTAGCCCGAAGCTGCGTATGCTCCCTACGATCATCTCACGCTCTGCGAATTTCTTCGGCGGCGGTGGCACAGAGAAGGAATACACCAATGAAGAGATGGGCCAGCACGGAGGCGGCAAGCAGTCCAAAGATCTCGGGGATTGTGGATCAAATCAGTCAATTGACTCTATTGGAAACTGCAGACTTGGTGGCAAGCTTAAAGGTAAGACTCTTCTCCATGTGTTCGGAAGTTATGGATTCTGTGCTAATGGTTCGATTCTTCAGTCACGGCTTAACATCCCGGATATGCCCATGGGAGGATTTGCAGCTGGACCTGCCGCTCCAGCTGCTACTCCAGTCGAGGAAGAAGAAGCTGCACCCGCACAACAAGAGAAGACATTATTCAACCTGAAGCTTATGTCATTCGAGGCTGGGGCAAAACCAAAGATTATCAAGGAGATCAAGAGCATGTTAGGATTGAGTTTGGTGGACAGCAAGAAGTTCGTGGAAAGTGCGCCGAAGATGATGAAGGAAGGTGTACCAAAGGAGGAAGCTGAGAAGATACTGGAGACACTGAAGGGTCTAGGAGGTGTGGTGACGATGGAATAAAAGGGGTTTGGATGTGTATGAATTGCATGTGATGGAACATTGTATCAATACTAGAGATGTGTACAGAATCTACTTCTCGCCAATCACTTTCTCTGTGGGTATCATGAATTCCATGGTTGGATGAGGCTTAGTTTTGGTAAGCACTTTTGTCTAATTCCATCTGGTCCCATTAACGCCTTGAACTCCCTTACCAAGTTGACTGGCAACAACAGTAGCTTCTCGTACAGCTCTTGCAACTGTTCCTCTGACTCTTCCTTCCTCCAAGACTAATAATCCACCAATAGTACAGCCACCGGGGGTGCTAACCTTATCTCTCAGTAAAGCAGGATGTTCTCCAGCAAGAACTAATCCAGCCGCTCCTTTCATTGTCTGAGCAGCCATTCTCTGAGCCTCTGCTCGAGGAAGTCCCATAGCCACTGCACCATCAATCGTTGCCTCCAACATCAGAGCAAAGAAAGCCGGTCCCGAACCACAGAGTGCTGTGCTTGCATCCATTGTACTGGCAGGAAGGTGAACCACATCTCCAATTCGTCTGAAGATCCAAGTAACCAACGCCGACGCATCAGCTGGTAGAGGGGGAACAGATGTAGCAATGACAGTCATGCTCTCTCGAATAGCAGAAGCTGTGTTTGGCATAGCTCTTACTAAGGTACAGCCTTCTGAAGCAGCTAGGACATCTTCTCCATATAATGCCTTCTGCATTTGTTCAACGGGTACACCGGCGCATATACTGATCAGGGTCTTCCCATTCAATGCTTCTTTCATTCCCTCCACTGCCAAGATATCGTTGACCATGTATGGTTTGCAGCCCAATAATACAACATCTGCTTCTTGACATGCTGCCACGTTATCATGCTGTACAATCTTGACCACTTTCAGATGTGGGAGCAGAGCTTGCTTGATCTTCTTCGCAGATTCGGGACGTCGAACGCAGGCAATGAAGCGGGAAGGAAGGCGGCTTGGGATTTCTTCTGCGGGAGTAGATGTACCAGAAGCAGAGGCGAGGAGCTGTTGTTTCGGAGGTTGAATCTCGTAGAGTGAAGCTAGGATTCCAGAAAGGATTGCAATTCCCATTGTCCCTGCGGTTGTCAGTACCCGTCTCTTTCAATTCACTCTTGCGCCCCGCAGCGCAAAAGGCTGGATTTAGCTCCTACCACATCCCAAGACCGTCAAAATCATCTCTGACTCTTCCTTTCCATTCGACAACATCTTGATTTCAATTCTTCGTCTTCGACAACAAGGCGCAATCTCTTCAAGATCTTCATTGTTTTCCGACAAGGCTGATCCCCTCCAAACAATTTTAATTCCGAACATCAACCGACACCATTCCCAACAACGTTAGCCTCATCCAAAATGTCCGCCAAAGGCAGACAAGGCTCGACGCCTTCTTCCAATACTCGAGATATCCTCGATGAATCTCCCTTGAAGATCACTCCGAGCAAGCAGAAACTCCCTTCCATCGTTGACCGCGGCCACGCCTTCAAGGTTGCCCATGATATGGACCCTTTTGAGGTTCGAGTCCGCTTTACAGCGTTTCTGGGAAGTCTGAATGCCAGTGTCACGAGTGCACAGAAGACTGCCCAGTATGCTATCAAGTACAGGGACATGGATGAGGATTTGCACAATTGCATTATTGAGCAACTGGAGCGTGTAAGTTATCTTTGGACGTTTTGAGAACTATGCTAATTTTCTTCAGAGCGGAAATTCCATGAACAATCGTGCCAATATCATGTACTTCCTCGAGCATCTCTGTGAAATGGCTGCTCGAGAAAACCACTACGACTATATTCGCATGATCCAACGAGATATCATGCGTATTGTCGATGCTGTTGCTCCAGATGATGGTTCAGGTGCTGCCAATGTGAAGGTCGTCCGAAAGGTATGCCGTTCTGTCTTTGCTACTAGCAGAACTAACATTTATAGGTTCTCCAAGCACTGCAAGTAAAGACCTTCCTCCTTGCCCAAACAGTCACCGAGATCGACGAAGTCCTCAAGGAACGCGATACGGCTCCAGATGCCATCGGTCTCTCCTCTCCTATTGGACCTCCTGACAACCAAACTCCGAAGAAGCCTTCGATTTCTCAACGTCCAGACAAGAAGCAAATCGAGCAAAGAATTGAGGAAGATCGTGAACGCCACAAGAGAGCTAGAGAGAACGTCTGGGCTACCCCTAAGCCAGGAACTGTTGGACCAGGAGGCAATTTCGACGATGAATTCGAGAAACTGTGGGATGAGACGAGTGATGCTGGAGAGGATGATTTTGAGCTTTACAAGGAAGAGGCGGAGGAGAGACATCGATGTGCGAAGCAATGGAAGGAGGATTTCAAGAAGATGCATTCAAGTCATGAATAGTGTGATCATCTGGGCAGGGAGTCTGGGAGAGGCATTGTCGGCGTTATCATGGAAAAGGGGCATATGATGGCGTTGGTGGTCAGCACGTCTGGTTGCTGGGGAGTACCTGGTTTATGGATAGATTCACATCCTCAATAGTATTCAGGAACCACCCAATCCTCTGCTGGAGACGTGCCCAAGGCATTGAGTTTTGGATGTGTGGTTAGAGAAGATGGTTACATATCCATCTGCCTGTCCACTAAAATTAGACCAACTTGGTGTTCGACTTCGCCATTCACTCTTACTAATTCACTCCTTGATGTTGTGCTTTCATGTCCAAATATAGATTCACTCCGATATAGTTTCCATACTCAACTCTAAGCCGTACTGCAGTAGAACTCCTGTGAGAATTGTATAAATACCTCTACACTGGCTCTGATAAATCCTGCAACACAACTTTCGAGGGTCTACTGAACGTGAGCCTGTTGGTAAGGAACTATCCTTGAGCCTGTAATTCCCGGAGTCCAGAATATCAATGGCTACCTTGAGGGCGCTAATCAAAACCCATACAACGAAAATCCTAGTACACGGAGTTCTAGTATCTCTTTTGCAAATCTGATTCTTGTTCTAGTTGTCAATGTTCTCATTGTTGCCAAGATTAGTCATACAAACACGCTATCATTGGGAGCAACTTACTTGACGTCCTCTTGATCTTTGTGAAGGAGGTGGTTATCGATCAATGAACCTTGTGTCGTCCCAAAGCATATGTATCCTCTGGACTCACACAGGCTCGCCTCTTTCCATTTTTTCCATTTCATTAGTTGTCAGATTCAAATGGCAAGCAGAGCAGTGTTTATATACTTGAAAGTCTCTGCCACGAATTCTTATCAATATGCTCAAATAAGATTCGTGACTCATGAAAGCAAAGAACTCTGAGCTCGCTGTTTATATTTCTGAATTCACTTCCACTGAGCTTCACCCTAGATTCATCCTTGACCACGGTAGCAGAACAGCAAAGCAGCCCATAAAAGGTATAAAAACAGCCCACCAAAACTTGGTCGTACCCACAGCACAATCCTAATGAAGCTAGAGATACTGTAACTCCTATCGCTTTCCTGTAGAATACTTTCTATGCACCAGATATAGGTTCTTGGTGTATTAATGATAAATTATTATTCTCTTTTCTCATCTGGAATTGTCTCTAGATAATTGTCAGTCTTTCATATTGTTGTTAACGAATACTTATCAATATCGCTACTTACTTGATTTCTGCAAGAATGCTTTTCTCTTTGAAGCCTATGGAAATAAAGTAAGTAAGATGATCGTCTTGGTAAAGTACGGGCCTAGGGAGGCTCGGTATCTGTACCAGACATTTTGGGCGGACACAACGGAGGTTAAAGTTTGTATTGACCGAGGGAGACGGCCGTCCTCATTTTATGACGACCTAGTGCAAACAAATCACAAGCGCTCTCTTTAGCAAAAGTCTACCAGCCGAGTCAGACTATGCTCTAAGCTTCGTCGGAGCTCTCTCAAGTCTGACTCCCCACTCGATCAAGGTTCGAGCGTCGCTGTGGGCTCCAGTAACACCGGCCGTTGCAATTTCTGGCGCCACACGGTCAGATACACATGTCACCCGACTGCTAAGATATTGACCGATCTTCGGAAGCCATTAAATCGACGTTGACAGAATCAATGACAGCGAAAGAAGTGAGACGCCGTTGGTTCACGCCTGTTGAGCCCAGATTCTGTAGCACGAGGTGCCATAGTGTAAAGCGAGTAAGAAGCGGGGACACTCAACATTCACCCATCAGCAGACGCACAGCAAAATACATCTGACCACGATTTGAGCACCATTTGCTCTCTTCCAAGCATTTACGACAATAGGAAAATGATATCTGAATATGACGTTAGACAAAGCGGGAATTTGGCCGACATTGCAAAGTAGTTAAAAGTCTGTGGGCGCGACCTTCTCATCATGCTGCTTTTTTGTACGGAAAACAATCGGTCGATACTACTATACCACCCCTCTCGTGGACCTTCTTGATTCGCGCAAAATTCATCGTCTTCTCTGAGTCTATCAGTCGACCAATCGAAAAGAAAACATCCCGCCATTATAGTCGCCTCTCGTTGCACTTCGTCCCAAGGCAGCCAGCATGACTTCTTATATAGGTTTGGTTCTAGGCATTGACGGTGGGCCCGGAGGACCAGGTTACCCTGGTGGGATAGGGGGAGACGGAGGTGATGGAGGCGACATAGATTTCGAAGTTCCTGCGCATACTGAGATAGGGGAGGCGAAAGGAGGGGATGGTGGACGAGGAGGCGACGGGTTCCATCCGGGGCATGGGGGCGCCGGAGGGATTGTAACGGTTCCGCCTCTAGTGAAGAGTAAGGTACAAGGGAAAAGAGGTGCAGATGGAGCAGTTCCAAAAGGTGCTACTGGCGGTACTGGAGGCAACGGGGGGAAAGGGGGCCACGTGACAATCAGAGTGGCTTCTTCTTCTTCTTCTTCCAGTCATGGGGCAGCACCACACGCGACTCTCCACGCTGTAACACCAGCTCCCGTGGATAAGTGGAAGGCGGGGAAAGGAGGCAAGGGTGGCAAGCCGGGGAAGGATTTCGGGGAATGGAAGGGCGGAAAGGGCGGGAAAGGAGGGAGGGGAGGGAACGCGGTTGTGGCTTGGCATGCCACAAAAGGCTGGGTCGGAAAGGATGGGGAAGATGGAGACCCCGGGCAGGATGGGAAAGATGCCACGCATGGGAAGAATGGGGCTGATGGAGCGGCAGGGAAAGACGGGAAAGATGGGAAATTGTAAATGGACATTGAATTCTGTTAGGTCGAAGTTGAGTGTTGCGGAAGCTAAGGCCATGTGTATGGAGGTTCCAACTTAAGTAGTGCTTAAAAGCCCTCTAGGGGCTCCGCTTCCTATAGATATCAATGGCATCACTCTTTCTGCCATACAAACATTAGCTTACGGACAGATATCGTAGCCACGAATGATACATACGATCTATAGCTAACATTAAACGCAATGCATACAGAAAGAGGAGTCTGAAAAAATCCTTTCCCTTTCATGCCTAGCATTCCTACCTTCGATTGTATCTTATTGAACGTTATATTTTGCGTAAATCCGAACATTTCATGTGCTGGACTCGAATTATGAAGGTCTTAGGTATGGGAATAACTCGTAGGCGAGCCCCCCTATTATGACTTTCGTCTATTCAGAACTCGGAACGACTTTGAGGGCTTTACAAGAGGTATCTCTTCAAATAATCGAAACTCTGAAAGGATTCTTTTGATATTAACACAAGCTGACTTTCTGCTGAGCGTCCAGAGTTGCTCGAGATGCGTTCAGAGGTTTTGCACGATGGTAGGCCGTTTTGCGCGTACCCAGAGGGATTTGGAGCTCACGACAGCATTCGCGAATTATTCCCATCAGTTGCCAATGAAGTGCGGTACGCGTTTGTATTAATAGTGAATGCAGAGAAATACATAATAATAAGACTTTGCGTCGTTCCCTGCATATATGTTGATACTCGCGTCAAACAGCTTATTGTTCCAAGTCCTTCTCTGCTACTGTACCTGAAGGTATCTTCTCATCAGAGCTAGACCCTTTAGAAGCTTCAATGACTGTGATCGGCTCATCCCCTTGCGGAAGAAGCTCCTTGATACCACGTCCCTCAACCGGCCAGATCTTGCTAAGAGCCATGTATGCGATGAGCGTAAGTGGCGCGCTCACGAACCAAGTAATCTCGAATATCCTCACTGCTGGGCCATCTACAGTGGAGCTAATGCAAGACTCAAAGAAGCCCGGCATTGAAGGTAGCATTCCAATGGTAAGTGCAGCAATGGCCCTCAAGTTCCAGCCTCCGGTGAACCAGTAGATGCCGTCTCTAGTGTACAAATCAGGCAGCTTGAGCATCTTCTTGCGGATGATCCAGAAGTCTGAGATGAGGATTGCTGTAGCTGCTGCAAAGTAGACTGCAATTCTCTATTAGTGATGATTGGAATGAACAATAGGTATGAGATTGAACGTACCAGTGATACAGTTCATAATCGTGAGGAAGATGAGAGCCTGACTTAGAAACCTCCATGGTTGCATAATCAAGGTGATTATAATCAGTATTATACCCGCACGTCTGTTTGTGAGGTATCTGTAGAAGGCTGCTGCGAGGTCCATACCGAATGGAACCGTATTCAGGGACAGGTTGAGGAAGGTTTGAGAGAGCCAGAGCGCAAAGCCAACGAAGAAAGTTCCAGCTCTGCAAGCTGGAGTGTACGAATGGTCCTGTAAGCTCGAGAGAAGCAAGATAGGATTCCATTGAACTGTCCCATACATGTGAGATGTAGCAGTCGTAGTAAGCGCACCGAAAGTAACACTGAGACATATAACAACAGGTAGGGCAAGTACACCCACAACAGACGTATGTCGCTTCTTCTCGAAGCGGGTACAGTCGGCATAGCGATCAGAACAACTGCCCCAATTACCACTGATGGATGAAACACATTGGATGAAGCGGAAAGCCTTCTCGGATTTGGTGATTGGAATACTAGAGCTTATAAGATTCCCAGTGCCACCATTTGAGACAAGTGCCCAGATGAGGATGCCAATAAAAGTACTGAAGACGGCGATATATGCGGAATATAATCCCCATCTTAGGTTATGGGGTTTGATAAAGCAGAAGACTGGTAGATAGGAAGCCATGCATACCAAGAAGCCAATCAAATTCTGGGTCGTGATCGCAGCTGAGGCTGGTAATGTGTTTGCCATGTTTTTGAAGGAGGGGAAAATGGCACGCAGCATAAGGGCTACAGCTTGACCCCCATAATAAGCTTGGATTCCTGACTTTGGAGAGAGTCAGTCAGCCATCTTTGTAGCAATTGTTTGTCAAGACTTACAAAAACGACGCCCCAAGGAAAACAACTACGAGGGTAAGGTATGTTCCTCTCATTCTGAAGCACGATCTGTTAAGAACAGTCTGTATCTGAATTAGAGATGTGCAAATGTAGTTGGAGGTAGACATACATAACCGATAGAATAGTCCTGGCCAGTTCGAGCAGTAAAAGCGCCAATAAAGACGGAAATGATAGCTCCAAGTATACAAGCTACAATGGTTTCGGCGGCACTTAGTCCTATGGCGACGTAAGAACTACCCATGGTATACGAGAGAAGGGAGGTTCCAGCCTGGGCCCAGAAAAACGCATAAGCCGTAAGGCCATACGTGTGCTCCTTTGCGGGAATAGGATACAGATCATGGTTCCCCCATCCTGTTGTTCCCTTCCACGTGTAGACATCAGTCCGCTCCTTCACTTCGGCCCACTTGAGCATATCACGGATTCCCATGGCTGCAATCAGGCAAGTGTACGTCACGAGATGGGACAACGAATGTTCTTATATCAGCCAGCAAGGTCGGACGATGGTTGTAGGTAAAGCTCCCAAGAAAAGGAATAAGAGAAGTGCAGCAGTAGGAGGGGTCAAGGACGTGCCATCTTATGTCCGCGGTCTCTGGTATTTGAAGACAATGAACTCTAGATTGTACTGTATCTATTCGCATGGTTCCAGTATTGACAGACTGTTGCAGGGTAGTAGATAACTAGACTACTCCATATCTAAATATCCCACTAATATGGATACGCATTCGGATTTTAAGGCTACTTCGAGCGTTCAAGTCCAACCCCATGTCGAACTTTCAACCAGTAGCGTATTGGCTTCGTTCGGTCCTGGAGATAGTAAGGATTACAGCGCTTATCTACGAACAAGAGCGTCAGCGAGCATACAGTGCGGAGGATATGCGGGGCTGCAGTCTAAAACACGCTTTGTCGGTAAGGTAGATCCGTACCCTCGGTACTGGAAATCCGATATTGGATTCTGAAGCTTAATATAACGGTCTTATCTGAAGCCCAGTCCTTGGCGTAAGCGTCCTAACTCCCAATGGTCGGGTCGTGCACCGATTTTGGGCAAGCAGGGCACCCAAACTCGAGCCAGACCAGTGTTCTCGGCAGGCATTTCAAGCCAGGCCCAAACTCCTTACCTTCACCTACATGTTAAAACTTCAGGGACCTTAGTCCTGCCTGATAGAAAAAGGGCTCGCCCTGAGAAGTAAACAAGTCAACAAGTAAACAGATAATCCAAAAGTTCTGCGTAAAGTGAGAATAATTGTATAAAATGAACATTAAAGCATACTTTTACCCCGACATTTTCTAGCCACCTTATAGAGCCAAAACACACTGTTGTTGAAATAATATCCCATATCTCTTTCACGCTACAAGAACCAGTTCTTGAAATCTGACCCAAAGATAAGGGTTACTGGCCCTTGACCATGCAAAATCGCGGATATTGCCCCTTTTGAAAAAGAATTGGAGTAAGACTTATATCTGTCGGATAAGGAAAATAGACGCAGTTATGAGTTGGGACAGCCCACTCTACAACCCCTTATCTCTCGGTCACGATAGTTTCCAAGAGTGGGGTCGGATGAGTATCATGTTTACATAGTAAGTGTCGAACTCCCACATGAACTAAGTTATTCCCGAAATAACGGAGGAAGAGATAGATTTGAAAGTAAATTCCTTCAAAAAGAGCTCCCATCAAAATACACATATTTCATCCTGCATTGCCTGCACGATCATGCCTTCAAGACTTCCCGAGATCAAGGTGACGCCGATCACTCCAAGCGCAGGGTCCAAGGTTGACGTAAGGTAGCCCGATATGTTTACAATGTCTTCTAGCAGTACTAATTGGATTTAGTATGGTGCCATTGTGACAGGACTTGATCTCAAAAATTTAGATGATGCTTCTTTCAAAGCGCTCGAAGATGCCATTTACACACACAAAGTCGTCGTGGTCAAAGACCAACAGGATCTTGTACCGTTGAAGCAATTCGAGCTCATCCATCGGTTTGATCCCGATACGAAACCCGTTCACGGATTTGGAGATCCAGATGCGTACAAAGACAACGAGTTCGTAAAAGTAAGTAAGGTCATGAGATGTACCTATCTCAAAACATGTTGAGGCGAATGCGATTTTGACTCGTCCCAATAACCTAGACATTTACAAAGCTTGTTGTACCTAACAGTGGTGGTGTTCGTCTCGTTGGCAAAGGCTATCATGGACCAGATCACTACGGACTGAAGGATCTCATTGTCCCAACTGTAAACGACTACAACAAACTTCACGGCTCCAACCTCGATCCAGAAGAATTTGCTTCAGGTCAGACTCGATTCTTTAGTTAGCATTTTGACGGTATCTTATATGACACTCATCCCTCTCGCGTGACAGCTCTGCGATGCATTCAGGCTCCAAAAGGACCTGACCTGACGGTCAGATGGGACAACGGAAGTGGTTTGACTATGAAGACAAAGCCGGGTGAAACGGCCTTTGTGAGCGGGGTTCAACTACACAACTTGCTAAGTCCCGAAGATCAGATGCTCGCCGACCATAGTCGTCGGGAACTAGCGCCGCATCCATATACGTGGAAGGGAACTCGCAAGTACAGATCTACGGGCATGGGCCTCGAAAAGGGTGGTGAAGTTCTTCCACTGGACAAGTTGCCTGCTTGGACGCCAGATAAGGTTCACACGTATCCTATGATTTGGGTTGACGAAAGAACGGGAGAGAAAGCATCGCAGATTATGCCGACTTGTGTCCGAAAGCTACACTTGAGAACGTCTTTTGATGAAAAGGAAAGGGTAGTGGAGGACTTGGAGGAAATCCGTCTATTACTAAATGGATGGATGGATAAGATACTTCGGCCAGAATATATCTGTTTTCCACCTGTCGAGGATGGTGATGTTGCCATGTGGAATAACTACGTAAGTCCAGTCTTGCTAAATATTTTCGGCCGTTTGTTTTCAAAAATTTAAAGACTGCATTGAAACCCTCACGCTGTAAGCACCCAAGCAACGACCTCCTTCATCGAAAGCTTCATTTTGTTGCTAGATTTGCAACAGGCAAAAGTGTCGAGAGGAAGTATATATAGACCTTTGAAAGAAAACAGCAGGAACTTGCTTTAGTTGCGCAAAAGATTCACCAATGCCCTCCTCTCTCTTTCAATCCTCATGCCTCCACTTCGCAAAAGAAGTTACCAGCAAGTAAAGAACTATAAAGTCTCCCTCCGAGACTGAGACGCACTTCAAACCAACACTGCTGTATCGAGCTACGATCTACGGCTCGTCCGGTTGCACATATTTGCCCGCCATGTGAAAAAGCCTGTGAGCACGAGTTAAGGGCTCAATGTCTCGAAATAATAGCAGTCTCATTGCAGTAAACTAATTGTTGTTTATTGTCAACTTCCCGACTACTGCCAACGATCTCATCTCATTCTACTTACCCCAGAGCCAGCCACCGCGGCCCAAAACTAGACCACACACACCAATGGACTCTCAAGGACACTCTGACTGGATTTGATTCTTTTCGTTGGAGATCTGGAGTAGCAATATTGATCGAGAGGAAGCTTATATACCCCTCTGTAACTCGAACGCTCAACGGATACCAAACAAACACTTACCACGCTCTAACTATTCACTCGCTACAATCACTTCACTTTCTCCTTGCTCGCGATCTATTATTCTTGCAGCTAGCCTACCAAAGCACACTATAAAGTCTCCATTTCCATACTTCTTGCTCCATTCAAACAACTCAAAAGATCCAATCGACTCCAGCTCCACCTGTGGTCCGATTAGCCCATGCTTCTCGAGCGCTGAGAATTCTACAACTTTCAACCAACGAAATGTCATCACATACTTGCCTCACTAACTTCACAACAGTGATCAAATTTATTACCACTATCAGTTATCTTATTACTACCAATATTCCCATTGCTGAAAAGAGAAAAGGCTTTAAATGAGTTTTAGACTCTGCCTTTTTTTGAGCAAGATGAACCGGGTGCTAGACTATTAATAGCCGTGTAAAGAAAACCTTGCCGTCCATAGTAGGTATACAGTGTATTTTGGTTACTTCAATATGGAGAGCAAACTGAACAGGTATGAAAAGAGGTTTATATAGACTTCCAAAACTTTGACTCTCAAGAAATGGCTGGCACTTGCCTTGGTTTTTCTTTCTTTTTTTTTTCTTTTTTTCGAAAAGTGAATATTCTCTCCTACCTTCTTTCCAATGCTATTCACTTCTCTCAAATCCCCAAAACCCCACCTCGCAAGGCTCCACCAACATGCAAAGAACTATAAAAACACCCTCCCAAATCAAAATATGACAATCAAACCCACAAGAGGAAATTTTCGCCACTTAAGGGAAGAACCCACCCGTGCCACGGCACACCTCTATTTCTTTCATATTTTCTTCAGAGGCTAGTGATTAAGAATCTATTCAGACTAAGGATTGTATATAATGAAGGGCTCGTTGTCAATCTTTTTTACTATTGCCAAATACTTTGAATGAAACCTGAACTCTGCTCAAGAGACGGGAGCAAGAGCGGAATTCCAGAATACGGGTATCCTGCAGAGCTGGCATCGATCACATCGGAGGACCCGGATCGTTCTGACCGTCTCTCGCCTGGTACCCCTCCATATTTCGCAACTGCGCTCGGGTTATGCTGCGTGGTTTTGAAAGGGGAGAGGGAGAGGGTTGGTTTATATAGGCCTCCAAACCTCCGACTCTCAAAAGTTGGCGGAAACTTGCCACTTACCTCTTACTTTCCTTTAGTGAATTATGCCTCCAACCTACTCTCCGTTTTTATTCACCCCTCCCAAACCCCAAGGCTCTATCTACCTCGCGAATAAGCAGTAATCAGCAGGTAGAGAACTATAAAAACCTCCCCCATGATCGAAACTTGACATTCAAACACTCAGGGGCATCGATATAATCAAGTTATTCCTGGAGCAGTAGGAGATCTCGCCTGTGCCATGGCACACCTCCAGCCTGATCATGTTCTTGCATGCTATTGATCGATTTTTTTTTGGGGGGGGGGGGGGGGATTTTCTAGCAGTGATCAAGTGCTATGCAGGAGTTGTTGTTATCAACTCCTTCTTGCTATTGCCAACTTCCCAAACCCCACCACTGCCGTCAGCACCCGCCAAACCCCTGTTCTTTTGCTCTCTCTCATCTTTCCCGGAGAACCCAAAAAATCTAAAACCCCATATCACATCATCACCCGCGCAGTACCCCGTACAAAGCTCGCGAGCCGACGGGTACCTCCTACCCTTATTTCGTCTTTTACTTGTGTTTCGGATGTTGTAGAAAAGAAAGGAAGAAGGAGAAGAGAGAGGTTAGTTTATATACACCTCTTAAAACCCAAAACTCGAAACCCAAAACTCGTAGCAGGAAAATAGCTAATTTATTCACCTCTCTCAACCCCCTCACTTCCTCAAATCCTCAACCCCTATTATTCACCTCTCTCAAACCCCTTAGGCATCCTCTCAACCAAATCCAAAAAAACTGCCCCTCCAACCAACCAACCAACAAACAACCAAAAACCTATAAAAATAACCCTCCCCCTCCAAATCAACTTCCAACAATCAAAGTTGTCTAGAACCCTGATCCTCTTCCTCTTCGAGAACAGGAAAGGAAGGAAGATCCCGGATGCACTCACTATACCACTTTACTGGATTCCCCGGCGTCTCTCTTTGTTAGATTTCTTGCACGCACGCAGCCACTGGGAGTTTATTGAGGATTGTTTGTTGGTAGTAGAGGCTTTAGTTGCTGTTGTCAACTTCCCCACCACCGTCACCTACTTCAAACCCCCTCCTGCATCCTCCTTCTGGTATGTAAGAAGGAGAGCCAAATCCTTGAATCCCGGTATCTCATGAGGAGCCAGCCAGCGACCTTTTACCCATGGTGTGCTATCCCTAAAGGGTTGTGCGTCTTCCCTCGCGACTAAGCTGTCTGGTTGTTGAGGAGAGAGGGAGGGAAGGTTTATATAGACCTCAAGACGACCAGAAAAAGGGAAGGCGGCACTTGCGCCTCGAAATATTCACCAGAAGGATACTTATTCACTCCACTTACCTGCCTGCCGATTTGGGACCTACAAATCCAGTTGCACAACCTCACCGTGACGGTTCAAAGGGTGAATATATCCCTGCATTTCTGCATCTGTATTTGAACAAAAACATCTTTCACATCTCTCTCCCTTCACCATGCATCCATCAACAACTCTACCAACTACCAACTCCCCCACCCAACCCCAGCCCAATGCTACCCATCCATCCCAATACCATGCAGATTTAAGACGCGCAATACCCATCCATTGATTTCCAGATACCCATTTGCCATACCAATCAAAGAACCCTCAAACCAAACACCAAAACCTATTTCTTCCAGGTTGGTGCCGAGCCATGCGGTGCCGTCAAATTGCAGAAGAACGCCGTTGAATGCATGTATGAACGAATTATGGAATGCCGATGGGTATGAGAAGAACCGGGAATAAAAACAGGGAGAAAGGACACTTTCTCATCTAGAGAAGGTCGAGTTTGGTAGGGTGATCAATCGTCGTGGAAGAACGTTGGTCCAGTACCTGGTAACGGGGCAGTACTTGGTTGTTGATCCAACATTTCGACATCTTCTAGATTCGATATCCGCTCGGTTGTATAGTCAATTCGAGTATTGACATGTCCTCGAGTTGGTGTATTATCATCAACACTTAACCCACTCATTCCAGTCATTGGCTGATCTTGTGTTCCTGTACTTCGATATTCGACAGCAGATAAAGGTCGAGGAGGTCCACCTGCATTTAGAAGATTTCGTTGTGCAGGTGTTGTGGCGGCAGCTTCAAAGAGGACATCTTCTGGTGGGGAGAAAGACCATACCTGGAAAATTAGCAGAGAACCACAACCGGGGAGAGCGTACAAACCTCCATGATAGTCCTATTACTTCGGCTTGCCATGACCACACATTTCTCTTCCTCGAATGCCACTCTCCAAACCGCATCCGCAGGTGCAGTAAGTTCTCTGACTAACTGCCCCGTCTTGAGATCCCAAACTTTGACTCTACCATCACTTCCTCCGCTGACCACTCTGGTGTCATCGAATTGTAAGCTCGTCACACTATTGTCGTGTGCTGCTAAACGATGTATAGGGGCCATCTTTTCCAATGACCATACTCGTACTGAGCCATCTGAGCCACCCGTCACCAAAGTATTTCCACGCATTTGTAGTTGTCCAACAAGCGAGGTATGTCCTTGAAGAATAGCTTGGCATGAGCTAGGAATGTTAGCAGGCTTCATTTCGCACGGGAAAAGACATACCCGTTTGTAGGATCCCAGATTCGAACACTGGTATCCAAACTTCCCGTAGCTATCCTCGTACCATCAAAAGCGATTGCATAAATCTGCGAGAAATGTCCAGAAAGAGTTCGTAGACATCTGCCTTCGGAAATACTCCATACTCTGGCTGTCGTATCATAACTTCCAGATACTACAATGTCTCCTTTGATTTCCAGACATCTCACACTCGCCTGATGTCCCACAAGAACATTCTTGCAAAGTCCGGTATTGATGTCCCAAACTCGTAAAGTTGTATCCCTGGATCCTGAGATTGCAGTTGTTGAATCAGACATCTTTAAGCAGCGAACGGTCGATGTATGGCCTCGAAGGGTGTGGATTGGTTCACTGTTAAATATTAGCTTGGCAACTCAATGCTTCGAGGATTCATACCCTGTAGCCATATTCCAGACCCGCACATCTCTATCACAACCTCCACTAACCAGAACATCATCCCAAGGAACCATTGCCCAAACACCCATGACATGGCCTTGCAATGTCTTTTGCTGATTTCCCTCGGTATTGAAGACGTGGATTTTGGCATTGTCCAAAGCAACCACAATGTATTTCGGTGTCAGATGCAAGCTAGTAACCACACCTTGATCCTGGGTGATATGCCTAGCAATATTTCGACCTCCTGTTCTCCACGCGGTCTCCACCAAGTATCTTTGCTTGAAATGCGACTTGTAGGATCTGATTTTGGGTCTCCTCAAAGCAGTTGAACTCATCGAGCTATCGAAACTTCTCGAGCTTCCTGCGGCATGACTGGCCAATGCTGCCGCACCTGGAAATGAGTGTGTGGTCGTGGTCGCCCCATCGAAGAAGCCGCTCTGAACAGGTTGTGGAACAGGTCGGAGGGTAGTGGTGAGAGGAGTGCTCAGATGAGCTTCGGACATCCTCCTGCCATAGTCATGCTTTGCGCATAACTTCATCCATGTCACATCATCTGCCAGCAATTCTCGCCATCGCTGTGATACTTGTGATGCTCGCGCTAGGACTTTTGGATCGTCGATGCAGGAAAGAATCTGCCACAATTAGTTTCTACCTCTGCCAATTGGAGGAATACATACCCTTAAACAGATCTCATTTGGCAGACTGGTGAATGGATCCTTCTTCAATAACGGGTCCACGTACTGCCGTACGAAACTTAGTTGTTGGCTCGTGCAGAGATTCAGGAGATCTGCCAATATCCGCATCCGCTCTGGAGGTGAGCTCTCTTTGAAGTGATGTCTGATCTTGGACAGGAATAAGTCTTCTTGATCTCCCGCATCGCTCCAATCTGGTTGTGGATGATCTGGGCCCGGACTCGCAGCTGGAGTAGGGGGCGGTGGAGGATCGTGACTGGAGTGGGTAGGGGAATCTGGATCTGCAGATGGAGTGGTCATATTGGGTGTAGGAGGACCTCTCGGTCGAGTCTGGACGATTTTATCGACCCTCGATGGCAATCGAACATTGTTGGTATTGGTGTTCAGAGTGAGGGTTGCTCGAGTTGGCGAGAGATCGGATTCATCATTGTTGAATACCATTGAGGCTCGACGCTCGGTCAAACTTAAGGGTCTGTAGTTATCCATCGTGGATGCCGATCAGGATTTCGAAGATAGAGTTCGCAGTGATCTGACGATGGTGTCGTGTGGGAAGGGGGTGGAGAGTTGGGGTAGATCGAAGAGTGGTTCCGAGGAACTTTAGGATTGAGGCCGTCGAGGTCTTGACCATCAATATTTCCAGTCGGCAGATGCAACTCAGGTGAATGGATGTAAATGGATTCGAGGTAAATTCAGATTATCGTCCTTGCAGGTTCGAGTGAATGCTGACAGAGGAGCTGGGACAAAGATGCATTCGAGCTATATGAGAAGTAAAGGGAATTGTCGAGTTGGGTCGCGAGATGGTTCGTGGTAGAGTGGTATTGTGTTGAAGAAATGTTTCTTATAATCTTTATTCAGTCTTTATTCGAATCGGTGGTGAGGAATGGAGTGTGGTAGTGGGTAATATGGTGGTGGTTGTGGTGGTGGTAGTTTGACGATGGTGGTGGTGGTGGTGGTAATGCTGCAAATGATGGATGGATTCAAGCGGCGGTGTCTTTGGCTTTGCCTTTCTCGCTCTCGGCCGGTCTCTGTCTCTGGTGTCTCGCTGGTCCGTGTGCTGGTGCTGGTGCTGGTGCTGGTGCTGGTGCTGGTGCTGTGTCTCTCTACCTCGTACTCTGTCGTACTGACTGCGCCGGCGGCAGTGGGAGTTTCCGAGTGTGCGCTGGACCCGGACTGGTTAGCGGCCCAGACAGGGGTCATGTTCGGTAACCTTTGGGCGTCTAAAGCTGCCACACTGCGCGATGAACCACCACCACCACCACTGCCATCATTATGCTACCGCCATAGCATAGCATGGCGTCTGAGGTAGGTAGAATTATGTCTTGCAGGCAAAATGTGAATCCCATCCCATCCCGCTGAGAGCATGAACCCGTCCCAGACCTCTGTCTGCCATCTATGAATAGTTATAGTTACATCTCATATGCGAGAAGCACTTCAAGTCACGATGATATGATCACTTGAGAAAAGGGGTGTGATGTGATGTGGGCATTTATTTGGGGGGCCAGGGGTTTAAGTGGGGATGAAATGGAGACAGAGGTATCAAGTCACCAAGAAGGATATCAATATTAAACATGTCACGATGTATGATATGATATATACACAAGGCATTCTCCTTTTTTCATCTACTCATTTCATCTTTTCTCACATGAACATTTCATTCTCACTCACGGCATTTATTATACAGTACTTCCATCTCACGAGACCCTTCAGATCACACTGACACTCACTCACTCACACGCATCTTTCACTTTGGCCTCGCGGCTGCGTTTCGCCTCCATCAGTCGACAAATCCACGCCGCCATCTCACTGGTCAGGCACATCAAGACCCTCCACCATTCAACTCATGACATGCGGCAAGCTCGAATCTCGAACTTAATTACTAATTCGCCAAGCAGCTTCTTCACCTTTCGTTTGCCAGGGCAGGAGGATGGATGTTTGATGTCGGTGTTCCCGTCTGCGGTGTTTGGGTTCCTGAACGGATGATGGACGGTACGGACGGATTCAGGAACCCGCTATTTTAAATTTGTACGGTATCTTCGTCAAAATCACACTTATTTTTTCTCGGAGCAGAGCTTGGATGAGAAAGACAGACAGGGCATGATTAATTTGAGATTTGTAATAGGAAAGAAAGAAATTCATCGATTATCCCTCGTCGCGGATCAGTAGATCGTCGTTGATAGTGAGGGAGAAGCGGAGGCTGTGCTGTGCTGTGGTCGAGCGCGTGCGATGGGTTTTGTCTCAGGCTTGCAGGGGTTGGTGGGTATTGAGATTTTGAAGGAGAGGATGAGGATGAGGATGGTAAGCGAGTGAAAGGTACAGTACCGAAGGATGAGAGACGAGGAAAAGATTTAGGGCAAGGCAGGATGAGGATGCGGATGCGGATGCGGATGAAAATGAGGATGGAGGCGAAGTCAGATGAGAAGGAAGAGGTTTCTTCTCGTCAGGCACATTCTTCCTCGATGCCCTGGATTCGATTCGCAAGGAAAGCTCTCTCTTTGACTGTAAGTACTTACCCCTTGAACAGAAGACAGGAGACGGTATTCGTTACCAAAGAAGCAATGCCTCGTTATTCCTCGCCCTGTCAGTGACTTGATCTTTTGACTCGTCTACACTTCTGCCCTCGAGGCCTGGACGGACCGTACCCGACTCGTCTCCAAGAAAGAAGAAGTCGAGACGACAGGACGCGAGTCTGTTCCCTTTGTCTGCCCTGCCCCTCTCCTCTCTCTGTCCTACCCACCTGTCCATCCATTGTTTGCCCCAGCCAGCCGTACGGAACTTACCCACCCACCCATCCATCCCTCATTCTACTGTATCTGTACCTAGGTACCTACCCACCGGAAAGCTACCTCTCGTATCGGCCCGCCGCCCTCCTCCGCACGCAAACAACGGCCGTCTCACATCCCACCTCTCACCATCCCTTCCCCTTCGCTGCACCAACGAATCAGCGCCCTCGCACGAGGTCGATCCTCCGCATTTTCTCTGTCTGGTCCTTGCTTGCTTTGCTTGCTTGCTTGCAGATATGCAGATATGCATGAGCGAGCATGATTGATTCTGCAGTATCTATCTATCTATCTTTCTTCCTTTCCATCTCTCCTTCGTGCGACTGCAGATATCGATCTTCTGCAGCGTGTTGTGATGCGAGATGCTTAAGCGCTCGCTCGCCAGATATCTCCATCCTCGAAGCGCGGACACCCAAGAAAGTAAGTCAAGTAAGGTAAGTGTGTCTCGTGCCTACGCCTCAACCCTCCCTCCCTCCCTCTCTTCCCCGGAAAGACAGAGATAGAAAGAGAGAGAGATTAAGGTTCCTCCCGGAAGATTATGCTCCTTTCAGGCTGTATACTACACTGCTGCTATCTAGCTAAGAAGCTACGTAAGCTGAGCTAAGGGTCTGAAACTGTGAGTGTAGTCCAGGGAGGGAGGTTGTCGGCAGTAAGTGTTCGGTTCGTCTATTGGAATGGGGTATGGGGTAGCGAGGCTGGGCTGGGCTGGGCTGGACTTGGGGTAAGGGAGCGAGGGAGGGAAGAAGGGAGCTCGAGACGGGGATTGCGCAATGGGGTTTATGCGTTGTGGATGGGAGGATGGGAGGGGTTGAGGAGGCTGAGCTGTGGAGAGGAAGGGGATGGGAGGGAAGAGTTGTGTGTGTTGAGTGTTGATTATCTGTCGAGGCTGGGAGTTTTCATCTTTGTGGAAGATGAAGATTGAGAGTGATTTCATCTTTGTCTTGGTGCCAGACATTGGGCATCTTGAGCTGGGATTCAGCAGGAAGAGTAACAGCAAAGCCAGACTCGATTTTTCCTCCAAGAATGCTGCTACTGCTTGTTGTCGTCCAGCCATTTTCAGATTGAGGACGAGGAGTGAGAATGAATACTGTCACGACTCTCAAATGGCACGGATAAGATGGCCTTGAGGGATGTCATAAGACTGGAATTCTAAGTTAAAGAAGGAAAGAAAGAGAGCGCAGCTCGAAGAGCGCGGTCGAGTTTAAATACAAGTCCTTCTCCT